GTTAAGCAGATTATTGGCTAATGTCCCAGAATGGTCAGGGTGACTTCTTCTCCAACAGGCAGGAAATAGCTGGACATTTCTTAAGTGTTTTGAATGGAAGAGAGCTATCAAGAGTTGGATATTTTCAGAGGAGTGTGGATCAGGGTCTTTAGCTACATTTTATACAGTGTTACTTCTGACTACGAACTTAATTCATTCTGAAGGTCCGTTCTTAACCTGAAACCATTCTTAATCTGAGATACCACTTTAGCTAATGGGGCCTCCCACTGCCGCCATGGTGCCGCCGCGCGATTTCTGTTCTCATCCTGAGGTAAAGTTCTTAACCCAAGGTACTACTTCTGGGTTAGCGGAGTCTGTAACCCAAAGTGTTTGTAACCCGAGGTACCACTGTACTGGATTTTAATTATGAACTACATTAGGAGCTGATTGCTGATTGGAAACTGGGATAAAAATATAATAAATTCCAAAACGTTACAAGAATACCCATTTCCCCCCACAAACCTGTTTTGAAACAACAAATTCAGTGATAATGTCCAACCTTATTCTGCTTTTAACATGCCTTAATAGTATTTCTGTAGGCTCTTTATCATTGGTTATATGTATCTTTCTCAAAAAAAGAGAGAAAGACTCTTCCAAAGGAAACAGGCAGCTTAAGGCTGCTATGACTCTCAATGGCATGGCGGGGTCTGTTGTGCTCAGAGCAGGAGCAAAGTCATCTTTGACTTACTTTCGTGGATAGTAATGTGGCCTCAGCAGGGTCGCAGCTCTGCCCTTGTGATTGTCAGCTTATAGCTGAGTCACGTGAGACGGGCATATGAGTGCGAAGTGCAAGCAGATTAGCAGGAGATGTCACAAGCTGTTCAGCAGGACTGCTGTGCCTGCCATTCTCCTGGACCAGACACTTCCGTTTCAGAGACACTGCAGAATAATAAATGGAACCGCTCAATTTGATCAACAATGCAATAGTGTGCTTCTTTTTGCGGGATAAGTTCAAGGTGAAAGCATGAAGACACAAATGACATTTCCTCATCCTCATATTTTACCCTTATTTTACTGACCAGAAAGAGAGTGAACTCTCCTTAGGTGTCAAGGTGAATCCTTGACTGAGGCAAGATTTGAACTCAAGTCTCTCATGCCTCTTTGAGGCTGAGGGTGTTGAATTGTGATGCTACGTTTTCTAGGTTTATATGTGGCATCCACAAGAAAAATCATCCAGTCCTGTATATTCTCTGTGGTTCTTGCATCTTTTCTTTGAACACAGAAAGTCTTCTGGTTTTTAGAACAGAAAAGTATGATAAATTTCAGAGGCATGGACGCCTTTTGTGCTCCTTTAGGACAGTGTTTTGACATGGGTAGTGACATATTTGGAAAGTGAACCTATCACAGCTCACAGCACACATTTGTGATTAAATTTATGGCCCAGTTTTTGTTATATTAATCAATATTCATTATTGCCAAAATGTTTTTGGGGGTGTTTTTACTTTTTGAAATATGGCAACCCTAATACGTTTACCTGGAAAAGTGTTCCGGTGATTATGAAAGGTAAATTTTAAAAATGAGGTAATAAAATGGCACTCACAACAATGTGTGATGAGCTGCAAATGGCCCTACCCAGAGCAACTATGTCATGGCCACTGTTGTGAACAGAACAGAGTGAGATGTACAGATTGGAAAAGTGCAATACTCTCATGAATATGGAAAGTCTGTTGCTACTTCACTTGTAATTTGCAATGCAAGATCAGTGACTGGGTCATATCGCAAGGAACCTCCTGTCTAGAAACTGCCTGGATTGATGAAAAGTTGGCTGAATGACCACAAATGCATAGAAATTAAGAGGTCTTGTTCTTTATTGGTATCCACTATTGAGCTAAAATTTTGAATCAGAGACAGCAAATACAGTCTCAGAGCTGTCAAACAGTACTATGCTTCTGCTCAAGACTGTCATTTCAGTAACTGACAATCCCAGACCCATACCCATGTCCAGGACACATAACTCCATCTGCTAGAAACACTTAGTTTTATATTCTATACATGCACATGTGCATATTAAGTTACCTAAGGCTAAGCTCTTAAGAACAAAGTTCATTACATAGCATTTAAATGAGAGATCATGTAGACAAAACAGAATGTAGCATATGAATAACTCTCGCCTGCCACTAGATAGGTTAAGCAAGAGAGCTTGTAAAAATAAATAGCAATCTGTATTCAATATAATTATTTACACAGCAAGTTAAATTAACCTGTATGCACACTATTTTATTACAGTTATCATGGAAAACATTTATCCCTGGTGCAAATCCACTGGTGTTGCTTGTGGTAAACCATGGCTAGCTTGGCCCCATTATTCCTGAAAATTCCGAATGATTCATGTATAGCAGTGGCGTCCAAACTTTTTTCAAAGAGGGCCAGATTTGATGAACTGAAGGGCTGTAAGGGCTGACCAAAGTTGTTGACCACAGGGGCCAGATTAAACTGACCGGTGGGCTGATTAGGCCCCCCGAAATGGACTTTGTACATGCCTGATGTATAGGAAACCAGTTTTCCTGGTAGTTCTTTATACTTCGCATTAACATACTAATTAGCAGCAGGCTGCTTAGTTAAGTTACACTGACCACATCTGCACTTCACAGTAAACCAGAACCATGGTTTACTGTGCATGAATCAATTACACCTGCTCTTCTCTCCCATAGTGCTGGGGAGAAACAAACCATGGTCTCTGGTTTAGCACTACATAAAAACCAGGGATCATTATTTGTTTCACTCAAAACCACTGCAGTCAGCGGGGCAGAACAGGATGGCTTACCAACACAGAGATTGTTGATGGTAACTGAAAAGGAGATGGGAGAAGCAGCAGGGAGGTCAGTGAGAATCAGATTTGTCCTGATGCAGAACTTGCACTGCACCAACCTGTCAGCTGTCTTGACCCTCCATGCAGTGACCTCCACATTGGGAAGCCAGGTAAGCAGCACCAAACCACTTTGAAGGCCACTGCTGCTCTAAACAAATCATGATGATAAGCCAGGTTTTGCACTTGGCTGGTCAAGAATAAACCACAATCCCTGGTTCAGACATAATGTTATGGCAGGGATTTAGGTTTGCATCCTCTATGCATTAGCAGGGAATAGAGCAAGATAGCCCAGATTGCTATATTCACTGCAAACCTTTAATTATGACTTACTGTGATATGCAAACTGAACCTGTATCATAGCTGTCAACGTTTCCCGTTTTTTAAGGGAAATTCCCTTATTCCGAATAGGATTGACAGCTATGGCCCTGTATATTCATTATAAAAATAACACCCTACATTTACACTGGGCCTTTAAAAAGAATCTGAAATGTCTTAGAAATCATTCTTAGTCAGTCAAGCTTTCAAAACACTCCTGTGAGGTAGGCTAGTTCATCACCCCCTATTTTACAGATGGGGAAACTAAGGCACAATGTGGTGCAGCTACAAGCTTATACCCACTTAACTGAGAGAATGAATTACATATAGAAATGAGCTTCTGTTTGTGAATTGCCCTTCTTTGTACAATCCTGCACATGTGCAAAATATTGCAGCATGGGGAGAAATCAGGACCAGCACACAAGGTTACATACACAACTGGTTGGTTAATGTTGTCAGTTCTGACAAGCTTCTAATATCTGTTGAGGGATGTGGAGATTAATTCCAGGGTTCCCTTTTGTCCTTTCTTACTACTTCAAACAAGGATCTCTGGAGTGGGGTACCTATATATTGCAAAGTAACGAAGATAAATTAGCCTATGTATCTGATACTTCTATGCTCCATTTCCTGCATGGTTCCCAGCTTTTGACATCCCCCTCTTAATATTTACATGGGAGTCTTCATTATATATTTCCTCCTTTAAGAAAAGCCCAGAATTATTGTCTATAAAAAATATTTTTCCTCTGTATGTGTTCCTATGTGTGCGTATTAGATAACTGAAGACAGCATTTCCTACATCTGACAAAAATGAGCCCCCAAAATATCATGTCGCAACAACCCTGTTCACCTTTAAGGCACCACTCTTTGCTGTTTATGCATTCAGAATGAGCTTCAGGTTCATATTTCCAGTGTTATTTATCTCTAATTCAAATAAATAAGAAAAACCAGAATACCAAAATGTAGAGCTTTGTGGGCCATGGCTAAACCTGATCCTTATGTTGCAAGAAATAATCCTTTATGTTCACCTAGGTAGCCCTACTCCCCAAAAAGACAATAGCATTTAGTCCACTGAATGCCTAGAAGATGTATAACCCCTGACTGAATTTGTTCCCATGTACAGGGAACATTATAAAGATGTGTGGGGGGGGGGGTGTAACTTTCCTCCTGCAACATACAGGAGTTTGTGAGGAGGGAAGAAAGATTAAAAAGTGCTTGTGGAAATACACTGGGATACCCAGCTATCATGTGCAACCTCACTTGTAAAAGCAGCCTTCTTAAACAGCATCCTAAGAAAACCTGTTGTTTTCAAGACAGTTTCAGTCACCATATGAAGCCCCTTTTTCTTATCAGGCAGATTATCTTGGGTGGTTTGTCCATAGTAGTTGCAAAACAAACCCTACAGGTGTCAGCTTGCTACCCCTTATAATAAAAACCACCACATTCCCCTTAAGGGTGTAGCAGTTTCCCTTGATTTCAACATTTCATAGCAAACTCCAAATCTACTCCAGATCCCTTTTAAAAGTGTAGATCTGGCCATCCTTTTGCCAGCATCCACTTGTAAAAGACACATGCAGTGACTGAGATCCAAAGCCAACAGGTGGATGTTTTCAAGTATGAAAGTCAAGACTATCAAAAATTAACAAAGGAATGGGAAGCCTAAATTAACTGGCACAGGTGAACGGTCTCCAAATAGCATTGTGTGCTACAATGCCTCCTTCCAACACATACTCCAAAGGTGCAACAGGACGGGATTGCTTTCTCTCTCAGAGGCCAAAAAGCCTCAAAAATCACAATAGTCTTTAAAGTATCTCCTGGGAAAATCACTGCCTTAGCATATTCAGCAAAAGACAGACCAGTATATTAAATTAAAAAATATATAGGTGCCTGGAAATATTACTCTGGAGTATTTGTCAATGGCGTGTGTGTTTTGCATGATACGGAGGCTAACATGTCCCTTCAGCCCTTTCTTCCTTGATGAGTTAGACTCATTATTCAGGGCCAAATGGACCACCATCTTGTCTTGATTATCCTCCTCAGCCACCATCTGGCCTCTTGGGTACCCTTCTAGGCTATTGGTATCCGATTCACTGTAAATACCATCCAGCATCATAGTTTTTGTAGAAGGTATTCCACACGTGCATGGAAACTGAGAAAAGAGAACAATAAAAGGCAGATGAAAACTCAGGCATTGCAAAAACAGAACAGGGGACAAAAATTACACCTTGATTTTATACAGAAAATGCATTAATGTTGCAACTGAAAATCGTATTCTCTTTTTCTGCAGTTTCCCAAAGTTATTATCAAGACACACTAAACCCATACAGATGTACTATCCATCTGCTCATGAAACCCTGTATGGGTTAAGCAAAGGTGAATTCAGGGTGGAAAATATTATTTGTGTGACATAAGATAACAATAAGTTTTAATTCTGAAATTTTGCATCCATTTGGACTTACATTTCCTTGCAGTAAAGGTGCAATACCAATTGTATAGGCATACTGGAGATCCTTTAACTACCATATTTTTCTTATTTTCTGGAAGTCTGCAGCTCAAAATTTGATTGAAAAATAGCTGAGGATAAAGACAACCTTTCTTTTTATACAGTAACACTGACTTATATAAATGACTGTAGAACTCAGAATGGTGATCACACAAATTATACTTTTCCTTTTCCTACAATTAACAACAATATATGAGTCTCCATAAAAGCAAGGTAAAAGGTAAAGTCAAAGGCGACTATGGGGTGGGGCGTTCATCTCACTTGAGGCCAAGGGAGCCAGTGTTTGTCCACAGACAGCTTTCTGGGTCATGTGGCCAGCATGACTAAACCACTTCTGGCGCAACGGAACACTGTGATGGAAGGCAGAGTGCACGAAGCCTTGTTTACCTTCCCACTGCAGCAGTACCTATTTATATACTTGCACTGGTGTGCTTTCAAACTGCTAGGTTGACAGAAGCATCTCATCCTCATCGTCAAGGGGGACGCAGGTGGTGCTGTGGTGTAAACCACTGAGCCTCTTGGACTTGCCGATCGGAAGGTTGGTGGTTTGAATCCATGCAATGGGGTGAGCTCCGTTGCGCCATAAAAGCACAGCAGCCTGGACCCAACTCTATTCACACAAGTGGCAAACACTACAACTAATCAGCTTCAGATGAGGATGTGTATCCCCATCGGCATTAAATGATATTTCAAGCCAGCTGACTGGGGCCCCAAGTGAGCATCGTGTGGTTCAGCTGCAGATCCACCTGATCAGATTCACATTGGCTGTATGTGTGGATCTCTGGTTTGCTTGTTTAATTGTGGGAAAGATGCATAAGCTACCCCTTTGCACGTGACATGGGAAGTGCAAATGGGATGCATATGTCATTCATGCATCTGTTCCGGCCCCTTAATTCATAATTAATTATAAAATTATAATTAATTAAGGTCATTTATAAGCTCCCTTCAGTAGCAGGAGTCTCAGGGCAGGGTGTAATTCAGAAGACACAATGAAAGCATAAAAGCAAAGCTACAGAGTTCACAGAAGCCACAACTTCTGTGTAACGCAAGAGGCCCGTCTATATTTTGTACTGCAAGCGTCTAGCTCCTACTATTATATTGGCTGAATCCAGTTTTGAAATGCGCACCTGACTGGTCAGGGCTTCGTCATGATTCATCAGGAGTACCTAAAACAATGCAGCAAACACAGGGAAATGCCATACTGAATTTCCCCCTTCTTACCCTCCCTATATTGTCTTTGCCAAAGTCCCAGGTTGCAGACTTCCCCAGTTCTGATCTTAGTTTCCTTCCCTCTGTTGTTCCTACTATCACCAACTCCTGCTTTTGTGGTGTCAGGGATTCGGAGTCAGCTTGAATGGTCTAGACAAAAATTGTTCACACACACAGACACACAAGGGTCAGTTTTCCTCATTCGCATTCACTAGCCCCTAATATATTAGTCAGGTGTGCAGGAAGTGCTTCTCACCTTTTCTCGCAGCTTCCTCTGCTTTCGCTCTTGCACAGTGGTCAGGTAGTTCACGGCTGCGTACTCTATCACCGAAAGGAAGACGAACACAAAACTGACCCAGAGGTAAATGTCCACAGCCTTGATGTAGGAAACTCGAGGCATGGAGGCATTGACGCCCGTGATGATGGTAGACATGGTCAGCACCGTCGTGATCCCTGAAAAGGCCCCACACAAGTGATAAGGATTGGGTTTAATTTCAGCCAGGTCTCTCATAGCCACAGAACCTGTTTTCAAAAAAACTGTGGCTCAATGTGGTACATGTGAAGTGATAATAAAGAACAGAATCTGCTTGAGGGTGTGCAGACATCCTCACCACTAAGCAATCACAGTCAGACACCACGCACACTGTGTTCACTGGAAGAACTTGCAGATCAGTGGGTTTGACTTGAAGGAACACTGGACCCCATAGACTATTTTAGATTTAAATAACTGTCAACAAGCATGTATTATGAAGCTGAGCTTAGTTTCAGTGTTAATAACTGGGTCTTAGTCTCTCCCCATTTTAGTTTGGAGAATACAGTAATTCAAGAATGAGAAACCTTTTGACCTCCAAAAGTTACTGGACTGCAACTCCCATCCCATCAAAAGCCAGTGTGGTATAGTGGTTAGTGTGTTGGGAAGCCAGGGTTCGAATCTCCTGAGTGACTTTGGGCCAGTCATTGCCTAACCTTGGTGGGGATTAAATGAGGAGGGGGGAGAGCCATGTACACCATCTTGAAGAGCTACTTGGAGGAAAAGGTGAAATATACTGTAAATGCAATAAACAAACAATCCTTACTGACCACAGGTCATGCTAGTTGAAGCTGCTGAGAATTAAATCCCAACAACATATGGGGGACGACAGTTTCCCTGGCCCTGCAGTAATTAGACTCTGCCTCTCACACAACTTAGGTCCATTAACTCCAATGAGTCTACTCTGAGTGTAACTTGGTTGGATATAGCTCATAGGGACTCTGTAGTTTTCCTTCCCTTGTATCCAGCTCTGCCGTCCTTTATAAAAGTTGAGAGGAATCACTCACCTAACGATACTCTAGCAGGCACAGCCCTGCGATCGATCCAGAATGACACCCAAGATAGCATGACCATGAGTGTGGCTGGAAAATATGTTTGCAGCAAAAAGAAAAAGATGTGGCGACGTAACGTGAAGTTAATGTACAAGCGATTGTACCAACCTGTTAGGAAGAAAATGGCAGCTATTAAAAATGTGTGGTAGGCCTCCTTATGGCGGTATGAGCAATAATCAGGTGAGACATAGTATGTAATACAGAGATAAAAGTCCAGCAAAGGGAGGGCGGGGATAAAGGATGGTTCTGAAAGTACAAAAATAGAGCAGAAAAAGAGACAAGGAAGAAATACTAATATTATATACTATTACAGTGGTACCTCAGGTTAAGTACTTAATTCGTTATGGAGGTCCGTACTTAACCTGAAACTGTTCTTAACCTGAAGCACCACTTTAGCTAATGGGGCTTCCCGCTGCCGCCGCGCCACTGGAGCACGATTTCTGTTCTCATCCTGAAGCAAAGTTCTTAACCTGAAGCACTATTTCTGGGTTAGCGGAGTCTGTAACCTGAAGCGTATGTAACCTGAGGTACCACTGTATATAGATAACACTTTCTCTGTGTGATTAAATTTAAAGAATTCATTTTGACTTCAGAACAAGTTTCTATTCTCATTTTACAAATGTGGAGTGAGACTGAGAGTGACTTTGCCAAAGGATTTACACAGTGAGGAACTTAATACTGTTAGTATTAAACTACCATATAAAATGACACTTTTGTTCCTTAACAGCAGGTTGGGGATCATTAACATATACACAGAGTGCCTTTGTGCTTGTGGAAATTATTATCTTAGAAGATCGCACAGCTTTTGGTAAACTTAGTACCATCCACTGATCTCCAGTATTTTCACACCTTTTTTGCATTTCCACATTGAAGCCTACATTATATAGAACATGCGGATGATTTTAAAATGGCTTGCTCATGCTTTGATTGCATCCACGCATGCATGCAAATAGCATGATAACGTTTCGAAGGTGCTTATTAAGGTCAGACTAGAGAATAAAAAAAGAGACACCTGAATGCAAATCTATCAACATGAAGAGTTTGACTCTTAATATTATGCTCAGTGATTTTTAAATACTCACAGAGAACAGATAGTGTTTGTGGTATAGTGTTTTGAGTATTGGACAAGGATTGGAGAGTTCCAAGTTGAAATGTCTACTCAGCCATGATGACCTTTGGCCAGTCACTATCTCTCACTATCTACCTCATAATATTATTATGCAGATAAAATGGGGATGGGCAAAGCTTTGAATCTTGCCCTTCAAGGAAAGGCAGGATGATGGTGATGGTGATGATGATGATGATGATGAAGAAAAGACAGAAAAGGGACTAGTGAAATTTTATTGGCATTTCACCAGGCAAACTTGTGAGGCTGAGTTATAAGTGTGGCAGGCATTTAGAAGAGGATTAGAAAGAAAACCTGATACCAGTGCTACTATAGAAAGCGAGTCTGGAGGTTGTATGAAATTTTTGTATCAAGAACTGAGACAAGGAGATTTTCTCATCTGTTTTTAGAGATTCATTCCCATTTTTCCAGTACAGCATCAGATCTTCATCTGTGTAAGCATCTGTGGAGGGTAGTGATGGGACAAAAATAATATTACATTTATAGGTCAACAGCAAAATAGTGAAATAGTCAGATGAATCAATGGCTTAATGTGAGAGGGCAATAAAATAATCTGTCGTTTTTTTAATATATAATGGACCTGGGTGCTGGCTAGTACTGATACTAATCTCCTGTATTTTTATCTTGTGAACAGCCCTAAGATCTTCAGATGAAGGGTGGTATATAAACAATAATAATCTCACATAACTAAACTGGGGTTCTTAAGATTAACAAACATTGGACAGAGGAGGAGAAAGTATTATTACACAAACATGCTTGATTAGTATATCTCTACTCTCAAACTTTAAAAAGGTTTATGCAGCAATCCTACATACATTTATTCAGAAGTACCGTAAATTCTGTGAGGTCACTGGGATTCACACTCAAATCTGCATAATTCTATGCACATTTACCCAGAAGTAAATTCACTCTTTTCAGTTGGGGTTATTCCCAAGTAGGATTGGGTGAATCTGTCGCTTTTGGCTTATCTCTGTTTCTCATTATCACAGTTTTCAGTTATCCACATCATTAAGAGTTTACTATTAATTTCTCACAATATACACAGTTTTGTATGCAATTTCTTTATATATTCCTTATATAAACATTTTTGGAAGGCATTTTGGTATGTTATTTTCACTCATATATACACTCATATATTCATCTTTGTACAGATTTCCTGGCTGGAGAAATGCTTTGCAAAATTTAGAGAAGTGTGAATCTCAAAGGATGGCTGTGTTTCAGTGATGATGAGATAGGTTCTCCTTCAAATGCAAACTAAACCGAATTTCTCCCTATTCCTACTTCCAAGTAGCCATACATAGGATTGTAACCTTAAGCTTCTTCTGCCCTCTCCTTCAAGGACTTTGGGAATAACAAAGCTATAAGTGTGGTGTGCTTCGGATCTTTTATACCTTTTTTAAAAAAACGAAACTGTAATTTTAAACATTGCACACTACCCTGAGTGTTACTTTTGTTCCAGATGGGTGAGATATGTGCACATGCATGCATACATATAGACATAAAAATTGTTAATTCTCAGCATTCTCACCAGATTACAGTTTCCAGGATTCTTTGCACAGCAGCCATGAGAATTGCACTGTTATAGAAACAGTATCATTTGTAGTGTACATATACATAGAGTTGTTGGAACATGGCATGGCCAAACGGTAATATTAAATAGGGTCTTGCTGTAAATACCATGCGTGGTGAACCATTTTTCAGTTTGAGGGCAATCTTCCAGAGGACACATGAATGTAAATTTTATGGTTCACAGAGCAATTAAGCCTCTTCCAGAGTCAGGGGTGCTCAGCATTAACATCTGCATAATTGAAACATGCCTTTTCCACCTCCTAGATGCCATGGTCTGCAGGATGTTCCATTGGTTGCCCCTCGGTTACAGTGACATAGACATTTACCTAGACTTATATCCAGTCTCTGATATGCTGGATTCTATGTTTGATCAGCTCTTATATGACTACATTTATTAGCTTGTGGTGCACAGTCATTGGCAGATCCCATGGATCCTATGTTCACTTTAACATGCACACTTCAAACAAATCCATAAAGAATTGTGTAGACATCTAGGAAAACATTGCAGATAGAAACATGAATGCCACATACAGCTTTCGAGCTCCAGAGTACAAGTCTGCGAATCTAGCGGAAATCGGCTGAAGTCCATGTTGCACATGGCTGTAACCGTGATCCTAGAAATTCCAAAAAGAAAAGTCAGGTTTGCTAGGTAGGGAATAGGACCGAGTCACAGGTGCAGGGAAAATATAGGAAGATAGTACCCTCCCCATTCTCCATACTTCGGCAGGCTGCAAGTTGTATTCAATTGGTAGATTAATAAAATTACAGTGTAATTACAGATTAATTAGAGGAGCTGAGATAACCAGCATCACTGTGGAGGCCATATGCACTAGATTTTTCTCCTTCTTTCAAATATTATATTCATTCCTGTTTCACCAGGAAGGGCTCCTGAGTGTGTTAGTTAAAACGCCCGTCAGATATTAACCATCAAATATTGTTATTACATTGTAGAGCTATTCCAAGATATTTCTGGGCAAACAATACATTGAGCTAATTGGTGCACTTTTCACCTCATACTATAGAGCACATGGCCATCCGGGAACACCCGCAGCATGATGTTGTCAGTGGTTGTGTCATGAATGAAGGATCTCTTTGAGTGAACGAAGAAGACATCTGGCACCCAGATCTTCTTCACCAGCCTCCCATCGAAAGTCATGCTTTTGTTAGTATGACTGGGAAAGGAGAGGCGCTCATCTTTCCAGTAATGCCTCAGGTACAATGTCATCGTAAAGTCCTGCAACGAGAGGAAGAAAAAAGGGAGATAATGTGTCTTGTGGTTATATGTTCCACACATGTGAAAAAATGAGTAGAATGGATGAGGAGAAAGTCCAAATGATGTATCCACTGCTGAGGTACGGAATTACTGTTTGTCTTTAGCAGCATCCCAGAGGACTGGAATGCCTTTCTTGTCCTCCTCACTTGTTTACCTGTTTATGAACACAAAACACATAGCTGCTTCTTTGTTTAAAGTCAAACCTATAATGATATCTCTATCCGTGGTAATCTCATAACGATGTTAGTTGTAAGAAATAATTAAAAATCAAGAGTGGGACACCTTACCTTTACCTGGAAGCAAAATATATTTTTTTTCCTGACTAGGCACAAGTAATCAAACCTTAATTGAAAATTACATACCATATCGACCTCAGAAATACTGTCCAAACTTTCAACCTGCACGTCCACCCCGACAGGAATAGCAGGGCCTGTGACAGAGTGAAATTGAACTATTAAAAACTACCTATTATAAAAAAACTATTCTTATACAAATATTTACATAAAATTGTCATTAAATATGCCAATCGAAATCACACAGTACCACACCATATAAATATCTTATTAATACCTTAACTATTAATATCTATCTTCAGCATTTCATAAACATCCTTTTAAAAACGAGAGTCCTTAAATATACCTATTAATATGATCTCACGAAAATTTCCAAAATATAGTATGTAATTGAATATATTAAGCTTTCTATAGCTGCATAGAGTCTAGCTCAAAATTGGATATACTATAACAATGGAATTACTGGACTCCATTTATTTATTTTTTCCTGCTTTTGTTTTGGATATAATTACATATCTGACTGCTTCCAAGTGTTAGTTAATTGTAGAAACTGCTAATAACATTCCTAGAAGAAGAGTTGTTAGCACAGTGCTTTAAATTGCCATGCGCATTTGACTTTTGTAAAGTCTACATCAGGGGTAGGCAACCTAAGGCCTGTGGGCCGGATGCGGCCCAATCGCCTTCTCAGTCCAGCCTGCGGACAGTCCAGGAATCAGCATGTTTTTGCATGAGTAGAATGTGTCATTTTATTTAAAATGCATATCTGGGTTATTTGTGGGGCATAGGAATTTGTTCATATTTTTTTCCAAAATATACGTAGTCTGGCCCCTCACAAGGTCTGAGGGACAGTGGACCAGCCCCCTGCTGAAAAAGGTTGCTGACCCCTGGTCTACATCCTGACGTCACACACAAATCACATAGTGTTTATGTTCAAGCATAGTGGAAAGATTTTTTTTTAAAGAGTATCCTGCTGAGTAGTATTATAAAATAGCAGGAATCATTAAAAAAACCTACAGCCAGGGTGAGCACTTTTTATAGAATCAAAAACAATATAAATCCAACAGCCTCAAGCCCTGCCTGGGTGGGTTTAGAAGGTTGTCCGTGCTGCAGACCATACTGTTGAATTAAGCATCTGGTGATGAGTCACAGGAAGATGTCAAGAGATTTCTGATCTCGCTAATCCTTGCGGTCATTAGAGAGCTGCTAGGTTTTTAATCCTGTCTCTGCTTCCAACTAAACTACACAGTGGTAGAAGGGGGAGTTCGGGGGGGGCATGCTGCTCCAGATGATTAGTTAAATTCGTCACCAACTAACACTATAGAAGGGGAAACAAAATAAAACTCTGACGTACAGGAAATAAAGGGTGGGGAAGGGAAAAGAAATGGAAAACCCTGAAAGTATCTGTTAGAGATTCTAGGATGCAATGCATGAGGAATGTCTCTTGCACAAGTCCCTTTCAAATGAGCAGCTGGGGTGGTGGTGGTAGGAGCTGCCTGGTGATTGGGAAGCTTATTTTGCCTGTAGCCCCCAGTCCTAGCTTGCTTGGTTTCTCTCTCCTAGTACCGGTAAATATAAAGCAGGGATGGGGAGCATCTTTCCCTCGCAGCCCACCAGGCTGAATTCCCTAGAGGGGACAACTGTTGAGTGGCTGCATACCCAAAGGGGGTGAGGTCAAGGCCAATATGCTAATAAGCCTGGTGCTAGCACAGAGGCTGGTGCTAGCCTGGGGTGAGAGACCCTGAAACAGAAAAAAACAGTGCTATTTTTCTAGAAAAATAGGTGCTGGAATTCACCATGAACTCCTCCCTTGTTCTCTTATAATGGCAATGGCGCCCACCTGAGAGGTGCCAGAACTGAGTTATGGCTGGGGAAAAAGCCCTACAAAAAACCACAGGGTACCTGCAACTTCCATCTATTTCAATAGGGGTTGTGTGAGAGACCTTCTCACTGATAACTTTGCTCCCTACTTCCATCAGTTCAGACTTTCGTCTACTTTTTAATGTGTGGAATTTTGTTGCTTGCTTGAGCCTGTTCAGGACTCCTTCAAGTTACCTATTTATTGAGCATTCTTCCTGATTTGCTTGCACAAAGCTTACAGGGAAGGTAGATTCCTTTTGATTTGATTGCAGGGAGGTGATATGGCAATGAGCATTCATCCTGATTTGCTTGTGGTACATTTACAAGATTTTCTATTAATCACTCGTTTGTTCCACACTTTTCATTGCATTACTCTGTTACTTTCTTAGAGGAAAAGAAGTCAATTTCTTATATATATATGTCAAGGCTGCCTCAAGTCTTAGCTCACAAAAGACCAACGCCTACGTCTTCTTGAATACAAAGGTGTTTATTGCAGTTCATGGTTTGCTTGACATCTTAGGCGCGCAGCCTTACGTCTCTTACGCTAGACCGCCGAAGTCCCGTCTGAGTCAGTCCCTCCTCTGCACCAATTTAAGAGACTTGCGCTGCTCCACCTCTTTCTCTCCTTCCTTTTCCGCAGGGTCTTTCTGCCCCCTGGGGTTTGCCCCCTTCTGGATTCCTCTGACGCGGAATCAGACTGCTGCTCCACCCTCCTGCGGGCTTTGGGACCTGGCCCCTCCTCCGGGCTCCCTGCACTTCCGCGCGCCTCTACATTTGAACTAGGCGCGCGCGCCAAACCTCTAACTTTCCTTTTGACAGTTACACTGCTCCCTTCACTGCTCCCCTCCGGGAGGGCTGCTTGCTCTGACCCCCCTCCTCTCTCTGCTGCTGGAGCTCCTTCCTCTGACACACTGGAAACTCCACCCCCTTCGCTGCACTTTGGTGGGGAGGCTGGTCCTGACGCCCAGCTGCCACTTTGGGATCCTCCGCTGGCACCCTGCTCCTGACATTTCCCCCCTGGGGCTCCCTGGCCCTGACCACCGGCGCCCCTTCTGGGAATCCTCTGATTCGCTGGAAAGACTCATGGAATCCCTTGAGTCATTGTCGTCCTCTTCCTCGCTGGCTTGGAATTCCTCCCCTTCGCTCTCCATCTCCTGCCTACCCTGTGCCTCTCTCTCTGAACCCCTGACAATATATATAGCTAATTTGTTGTGCGACAGCAACAGAGTGCTTTAACTGTCAATCCTACATTTCTCAGTATGCACTTGAATCCCTCTCACAAAATATTAACAGCTTGGAGGCAGCCTCAGTTAGGAATTTTGGCATATCTTGGATATGTTTATCCTTATACTTGTGTTTCTAAGCATCTGATTTAATCACAGTAAAATATGGAAATGTATATAACGGCTCTCAAGTGGACTTCATAAAGCATATGAAACTTCCAATTACAGGGGCAGAACTTCCCGAGCGGCACCCTGTGTGATGCCAAAATTCAGTGCCCCCAAGGTGCTGCCATACGTCTGGATTTTCCTGGACACTAGTGGTATTTCAAAGGCAGAATGTCTGGGAGGAATTTCTGAAAGGCGGTGCTTTGACCTGGATCTTAGACAAGTCAATAACTTTCGGGTCTTCCTAAAAAAAAGCTCAACATGGCAACCCTAGCTCTGTGCTCAGTGCAACCAAACCAGTCACGCTCCCCTAAATACACCTCTGCACTTCACATTTTCCCTCAAGCGGCAAAATGGGATGAGCCGTCCCTGTAAACAGCATTTAGGTGTTTACATATTTTGAATAATAGAATGAGCATGTACAATGCCGGCCGGCCACCTCTATTAAATGTCATATACACATACACACACGAAGAAAGGATGTCTAGCAATCAGTGTCAGCTGTGGTGGGCCCTGGCATGACCCACAGCAGCCCAGGTGTCAATGTGGGGTGTTTGGCTGCTACCTACATCATCTGCGACCCTGGGGTGGTCATTTGGGGAAGTGGGTCTGGGCTGGGCTTCAGCTGCAAGGTCTAGAACTTAGCTGCGTCACTGCAGAGGAGCTTCTTGGGAGCCAAGATCTTGTAGGGAGGTGGGGGCTGTCATGGTGCTTTGAAGAACTTGCTTCTCTTTCCCCCCCCCACCTTCCTCCTTTCATATACTGCAATCCTACATCTGAATGAACCTAGCAGGGTTGACGTCACTCCAGCTTTTACATTTGTGTACACAACAACATTACGTCAGCGATTCAGCACGGATGACTGGAAGGTTCTGTAGGTTAGGATTAAGTTCTGCTGGCAGGGCTCTGCAGAGAAGCTTATGCTGCCGCACCTGCCCGCTGGGCTCCAGGCTGTGGTGGCTAATCCTGTCGTTCCGTGAGCAACATTTGCTATATTTTTATTTTCAAATTGTGATTGGATTTTAGATCTCCTTTAAGAGGCAAGAGATTAATAATCTGGGAGACTGAAGCCCAGACTTGAACTTGCATGAAAAATAAGCACAGTTTTAATTATACCAATGATCAAGTACAAGGTGCCTCCCGTCCACTTTGATATGGAATGCTTTATAGATTCCATTTCAAGGAAAGGACATGCTAAATTTGGTTGTGCTCGCTCCTTCACTGAATCAGTCACCAAACAGCATCAAAAGGGAGCACAGTTACAGTGTCTAAACAGCACAGAAGTAGTGTACGCACTTCTTTTGACAATGTGCCCCCAAACCTGCAAAAACAGGAACCAGATAGGAAGGCACATGCAGCATTAATCCAACATAGAAGCTACCAGAATATACACAAGTTAGGCTATCTCTGTCCAGATAAGGGCACAGCTGAGCCACCAGCCAAAGTTGATGGAAGACACTTTGCACCACTGAGGCCGCCTGAGCCTCAAGCGACAGCAAAGGCTCCAGAAGTACTCCCAAGCTACGTAACTCGCTCCTTCAGAGGTAGTGCAGCCCCATTTTTATCTGCAGAGCCCTGCTCTGGTGCCCACAGGATCATCTCCCCTGCCTCTCCCTGCTGCCAAATTGATGCTTGAAATAAACATTATGTTGTAGCCAATGCATCAAGCCACATAGTGTGCTTAATGGCTGCGGTCTGTGTGTCATGCCCACGACATTTTCTCCATTTTGCAAACATGCCGACAGGCACCCAAAAGATAGCAGAACCTGCTTTTAGCTCATATGTGCCAATTAAATGTCACCCAGTAGGAACTGGCTGGTACTACACTGGGTGGGGAATAAACTGTATCTCAGGAACCGTATTAGGCTGTTCTTCGACAGAAAAGATACAGCTATTTTAAGTATCAGCTAAAGCTGCTTATTCATGGACTCCCTATAAAAAAGAGAGATGTCCTAGATGAAATGCTTACAGTGAGAGTTTGAGGAAGGGAGCCCAAATGAAACATTTACATAATCTTTAGATATTAATATTTGTAGTAAATAATACCTGAACATCTGCTAGCTCTGACAAGGTCATTGGCACTGAGATAACTCTGAAAGGGTCAAATCAAATGTGCTCTCATATTAGGACAGGAAAAGGCTCTGCCACATGCAAGGAAAGGAGAAATCAGATACATGAGGTGAACAGAGAAGGTTTTAGATATATATTCATATGGGATCCATATATCCTGTATGGTGGGATGTGTTGGACATGCCAAACTGAGACAAAGGCCCATCTATACTGCCATTTAATGTGGACACTAAGCTTCCTGTACCTCCATGAATGAATCTTTATTTGCATCAGCCATCGGCCATAGCGATAAAACAGCATCCATTCATTTTCCATTGTCCGTCTGATATTCTCCACAAAATCAATGCCTTCCCACCACTTCCCCCCCACCCCTTAGTCTGAATTTTCTCATACCGTCTCCTTTTCAGAGTATCCCTGGTTAAACAAAATCCAGATTGAGGGAGGGGAAAGTATGGCAAGGCAGTGATTTAGAGGAGTGCATCATATGGACAATGGAGAATTAATTGAGGTACAGGAAACTACACATTAAACAACAGTAGGGATGAGACCCAAGAGGTACACCCTAAGAGCTGTGACCCAATCACTTAGGTGAACACACTGAGCTGCTGACACAAATTAGATGGTAATTCCATAGCTCCACTCAAAGTTGTACCCAGATTTCTTTGTGTGCATGCCTACAGTTAAATTCAGCTCGGTGCTTGTGTACTGCATCTGCCACTAACATGCTTTCTGGGTTACAGGTATAAATTGTGCAGCTTAGAAAAGGTCAGTGAATATTTTCAGCAAAATCTATGGGGAAGGAGCATGTGCTTCTTCACCACATTTATAGGTCTAACGTTTTGTTATGTTTTTGTATGTACTGGAAGCCACCCAGATGGGCAGGATATAATACTACTACTACTAATAATAATAATAATAATTAATAATAATAATAATAATAACTATTTGTGCAAAGAGGATCAATTGTCAATACTGGAGACTTGAGTCCCCACAATGCCGTTCCCACCATTTTTTGTGGGGACGAATTTGCAACACCCCCCCAGTTACCTCCAAAGGCTGGTCTCATGGTGAAATCATGGTCATCTACCCTCAGGAGCTGTTCACTTTTTCCTGTCCGAGTTTTGGTCATGTCGTGGTTCTTCTTATATATGTGACTAAAATGGAAAGCAAAGAACCAACTGTCACTCCTAGTCATCCAAAATAATAATAATAATAATAATAATAATAATAATAATAATAGTACTGAAATTCTATATAACTTGGATATTACAATGGAAGTTGAAGTACTTTCAGACTGTCACTATTTTGTGGGTGGGATTCAAGCGCATGCCAGCAAATTTAGTTTGAACGATAAAAGTGAATTTGGTGTTCTTGCAGAAAATGTCCACTTAAAAAACAACAGACTTTTTGTGGCAATGAAAGTGTTTGGGAAATGCTCTGGAAAGTGTGGAACAATCATTGCTTGACTCAGTGCCACATAGCCTCCCTGCAATGTTTGTGCAAACTATTCAGTTGAATCCTCAGGAAACAGGTTGAATGGAAGTGACCTTATAGTTAACTAGCGTAGTAGCAAAAAGATAGCAGAACAACCTCTTGATATAAAAGTGAATATAACATACATATGTAGAAATTTAATTATAGCCCAGCTAAAGGTATACAGGGGTCAGTTAGGTAAGAGGAAAATGTCTAGTTTTCTAATCACTACTGATTTAAGAGGGGGGATTAGAATAAATTAAGACCCAAGAGCCCTTTGGTCTAGCAGTGAGATCTGCAAAGTTGTACATACTACTGCTACGGTCAGAAACAGATAAATTTCAATGCTAGCTGACACTGATGGGAGTTCATTGAGTTTGGTCCAAACGTGTGCAGCCCTAAATAGCCTCTTAGTAGTGATTGATTTCTAACATTTTGAAGTATTCATAATATGGAATGAGGCTAGTACAATGTAAGCCTTTGTGGGGCAGCCATATTTGTGAGTTAAGTAACACATCCTCCAGCTCAATAGGTGAAGGTCTCCGCCACATCATACCCCATGCCCATCTAAGAAGAGGAAGCAGGAGTGTGGAGACTCACAAAATGGTGGCCCCAGTCTTCATTAGTAGTGTACTACCGCCAAACATTACAATGGGGAGTGGGGATTGGTTGCCATGGGAGATGCCATTTTGGGCTGTATGTCCTTGTCACAAACACTCTCAGGGGTCCTATCCAATGTGCAAAGCAACATGCCAGTGGGGAAATCAAGGATTAGCACACTAAGCTCCCTTTGTTGTCTCCCATTAACCAGATCGCAAACTTCTGAAGCAGGGAGCCTCAGGCATTCATGGAAGCTCCCAGAACAATTTAGAGCCCTAATCTTCCAGAATTCTCAGTTGTGCGTGTAGGACATTCCATGCTTGCCCTCCAACTTGTGGAGAGTGATTGAGACTGTGGTGCAGAGCTTAGCACACTCACAACTACTATAGTGTTGTCTTTATATATGAGTAGAGCACCTGAGGTTATTGGCATCCGTCTGTCTCAAGACGCAAGAGGCAATGGAGTGTGCCTCTGGGGGTGAAGTAAAAGTGCTGTGTTTGCAGCACCAAAGTGTCCTCCCCAGGGTGTGCAAGCTTGGACATTTGGTTGGAGGTCCTGGGATGCCCAGATGACAAGACCCACCCCCCTCTCGGCCTTACTGATGTGGTCAAAATGCTGGATATAATGTGTGTTCTGCATATAGGCAAGGGGTGAGAAGGCCTGAAGAAGAGGACACATTTTTGAACCTGATGTTAAAGACTAATAGGGAGCCAGTGCAAAGAATGAACAAGATTGGAGAGTGAGGTTATGATCACAGAAGTTGGAGAGGGCTTTCTGGATCAGTTGAAGAGAATCACTATAGCAGGAAAGGAGTGATTCCTGCCATCTATATAACATGCAAAGTGACAACAATCTTAACTGAATACAGAGAGATGATGGAGGTCTTGGAGGAAGAAGCAACGTCTTCGTTTAAAAGCCCCCACCTCTAATCCCTTGGCTACAACCCACCCACTCAATATGACCATCCAAGTCCTCCCATATGCTTGTTGTTTGAGGCAGTAAAAGGGCGCAGCTAGCATTAATCTGAATGCTCCAACATTATGTTTCTTCTTCCACAGCGTGCACCTTAACCGTACTTATTTAGTAGGTCTTCACTAGTATGCAAGCTTATGTTTGAAATTGTGAACAATTATAATGATTAGGAGTTGTATTTGTTTGGTACACTGAAAAAATGTTTTCCTAGTGCTTTCTAAATGTTAAATGAAATTGTGTCTTCTAAATGTTAAAGCAAAAGTGGTCATGAGTCAATGTATTTTTTAAAGCTACTAATTGCTAAAATCTGTGTGCTGACAGGTCTCACAAAAAACTGGTTTATTCCACTTCTGTGCCCCACAATGACGAAGAGCTACAAACAGTATAAAACAAGTACAACACTTTTAATCTGAGAAATGTCGGAAGGATAGGGAAAGAAGATTTTATGAAGCCCACTGCCATATGAAATAATGCCATTATTTGTTGAAGCAGAAAACATTAATCGATTAACAGCTTGATAGCAGATTAAAAATAGAGTTCCAATTAATCAGAGTCTGCCATCTGGGGCATTCCCAATGCCACTTACAAAGCCACAACCAGCTCTCCAAATTGGCTCCTTCCTTCTATGGCAGGATCTCCCTTCATGCGGAAGAAGGGGTCTTTGAGGAAACCTTGGTCTCTCTTGGATGCTTCTGCCCAGAGAGTAGGTAAAAAATCCAGAAAAGAGCTGGCCCTACTGTAGGCTGCGTGTGGCAGCCACCTCAGGTAGCAGTTGCCGAGACAGTCAGTGGTGCTGACGTGTTGGACAGAGCTACATGGGCCACACGACCTGACCTGCACCTCCTAAGCCAGTCTCTGCTGTCCTAAATTGTGGTGGAGGATGCTGATGTTGTCCAATTGCCAGTGTTTGAAGTGAGAGTTAACCACCTATCTTTGCTGGCTCCCAGTACATTTTTGAGCACAATTCAAAGTGTTGGTGCTGATCTTTAAAGCCCTAAACGACCTCAGTGCTATACACCCAAAGGAGCCCCTCCACCCCCATCGTTCAGTCCAGACACTGAAGTCCAGCTCCAAGGGCCTTCTGGTGGTTCCCTCACTGCAAGAAGTGAAGTGAGAGGGGACCAGGCAGAGAGCCTTCTCGGTAGTGGCACCCGCCTTGTGGAATGCCCTCCCATCAGATGTCAGGGAGATAAATGACTATACAACTTTTAGAAGACATCTGAATGCAGTCCTGTATATGGAAGTTTTTAACATTTGATTTTTTTAAATTATGTTTTGTTGGAAGATGTCCAGAGTGGCTGGGGCAACCCAGTCAGATAGCCAGGGTACAAATATATTATTATTATTATTATTATTATTATTACTATACATTATTTGCAGCAGGGCTGGAGACGCTGTGGTGCTCCAGGTGCTGGTGGGACTAGAACTCTCATCCCTGACCATGTTATTCCGTTTCTGATAGTTGAATAAATGATATTAAACAATATGCACAATCCCACATATAAATGGTATATTAAAGCTGTTTATTCTCATTTTAAAAATTCTGCAAAGGATAGATGTCAAGTGCCCATTTTTGAAATGTACCAATAGGAGGATGTACAACAATTTCTTGATATAGTGATGGGACAGTTCCCGTGCATACTTTTCACCATGGAGTATTACATGTGAGAAATGTTATGACTGGAGTGGAATAGACACATGGATTATTACAGGTCAGATCCAGGAGCAGGAGGCAGGAATCTAAGCAAGAGATCTTGTTTCACACCAAAAGGTATTCCTCCATAAAAAGAAAAATGTACTGAGGAGTCAGCTCTTAGGAACCTTAAATTGTGCATAAATATGAACAAGAATCCAGTGCCCATTTATGCATCTGTAGGCCCTTCCTGGGGACCTGTTTATCTATATAGATAAGTATGGTCCTGCAGCTTTTAACATAAAGGGTGAAATTCAAGCAAGCAGTGCATCATTTGGATCCCTTCCAATCGGGATTCAGGCCTCACCATGGGACTGAAACTGCCTTGGTCGCGCTGGTTGATGATCTCCGGCGAGCTAGGGACAAAGGTGAGAGTTGTTTCCTGGTTCTGCTGGATCTCTCAGCGGCCTTTGATACAATCGACCATAACATCCTTCTGGACCGTCTAGAGGGGCTGGGAGCTGGGGGCACTGTTATACAGTGGTTTTGCTCCTTCCTCCTGGGCCGTGTTCAGAAAGTGGTGGTGGGGAATGAGTGTTCAGACCCCTGGGCCCTCACTTGTGGGTGCCTCAGGGTTCCGTCCTCTCCCCCATGCTTTTTAACATCTATATGAAGCCGCTGGGAGAGATCATCAGGGGATTTGGACTGGGTGTCCATCAATATGCAGATGATACCCAGCTCTACCTTTCTTTCAAATCAGAACCAGTGAAGGCGGTGAAGGTCCTGTGTGAGTGCCTGGAGGCGGCTGGAGGATGGATGGCGGCTAATGGATTGAAGTTGAATCCTGACAAGACAGAAGTATTGTTTTTGGGGGACAGGGGGCGGGCTGGTGTGGAGGACTCCCTGGTCCTGAATAGGGTAACTGTGCCCCTGAAGGACCAGGTGCGCAGCCTGGGAGTCATTTTGGACTCACAGCTGTCCATGGAGGCGCAGGTCAATTCTGTATCCAGGGCAGCTGTCTACCAACTCCACCTGGTACGCAGGCTGAGACCCTACCTGCCCACGGACTGTCTTGTCAGAGTGGTGCATGCTCTAGTTATCTCCCGCTTGGACTACTGCAATGCGCTCTACGTGGGGCTACCTTTGAAGGTGACTCGGAAACTACAACTAATCCAGAATGCGGCAGCTAGACTGGTGACTGGGGGTGGCCGCCGAGACCACATAACACCGGTCTTGAAAGACCTACATTGGCTCCCAGTACGTTTCCAAGCACAATTCAAAGTGCTGGTGTTGACCTTTAAAGCCCTAAACGGCCTCGGCCCAGTATACCTGAAGGAGCGTCTCCACCCCCATCGTTCTGCCCGGACGCTGAGGTCCAGCACCGAGGGCCTTCTGGCGGTTCCCTCATTGCGAGAAGCAAAGCTACAGGGAACCAGGCAGAGGGCCTTCTCGGTAGTGGCGCCTGCCCTGTGGAACGCCCTCCCATCAGATGTCAAAGCGATAAATAACTACCTGACATTTAGAAGACATCCTAAGGCAGCCCTGTTCAGGGAAGTTTTTAATCTGTGATATTTTACTGTATTTTTGGTTTCTATGGAAGCCGCCCAGAGTGGCTGGGGAAACCCAGCCAGATGGGCGGGGTACAAATAATAAATTATTATTATTATTATTATTATTATTATTATTATTATCATCATCATTGAGTTAAGCAGAGGTTGATGGGACCTCTGTGTAAGTCCATCTAAAAACAATGGACCCTGCTTGGAGGATTGCACCATGCTGTAACATTTCAAATCTGAATTATTAACAAGCTGCTTTGTGAAGGCTTTTTCCCCCCCTTTGAAAAACAGGGTATAAATGCTGTCTTAAATTCTTTCCTAAACAGCAAAGAATTGATCAGTCTTTGTAATCAACAACATTCCCAATTACTTGCACAGTAAAGATTTGGACTGTAAATGTCACAGGAGGGCAAGAGAATGAGGCCAGTAATATGAGGTGAACTAGTTTAGCTGGAGAGAATGTAATCTTCCACCAACAATGGCAGTCCAATAAAATAAATCAGCTCATCCATTGTGAATCTCTTACCCACTGGGACGAAGTTAGTAATCATTTCATGTGTGAAGCTTGAGAGCAACATGCTCTAAGTTCACAGTGTCAGGCTGAAGAAAACACAACTAATAAAAAGATGAAGGTCACAGTGTTTCCATTTAATAAGACGGATTAACCCAACTTTGTTTATAAGGTCTTAACCAGGCAAATGGTCCTGTAAGATGCAGTTCACTGGATGACATAACTCAGTATAAAAAATGGATAATATATACTTGGGGTTGCTTAGCAGTTTGGGGAAGATTATCTTTTTCTCATATAAACCATTCACCATGCCTCTATGATATTAAATCTGATAAAACTTTACTAAGACCTTTTAGCTGTTTGGTACATGCTTACAGTACTAAAAAAAAAGTAAGGCTCACCAAATAATTTGCAACAACAAAAGGTAGAATTTATAAATATGAGTATTAGGCATTTATACATAAAGAAAAATAGATGTTTAACCAACAAAACAACAAGCCCAACACCAAACAAATAAAACAGAAAAGCTGTAATCCTCTGCACATCTATTTAGTAATAAGAACCACTGAACTAAGAGTTCTTCTCTCTGAATAGACATGCATGATTTCAGGGAGCACATCCTGAAACTGATATAGGCAAGATATTTAGAGAAGTATATTTTATGTCTTATATTTTATACCTTCGGATCTACAATAGGCTTTGGTCAAGATAAAAAACAGTCCTACGGGTTGAAGTAACAGAGCGGTTGATGCAATTTCAATATTTAATGTTCATGTCTGAGAATCTGTTCCATAATCACATTATCTTTTAAAATTCTTGGAAAAAGAATCATTATAATAGCTCTCAAAGCAGTAATGCAATTTAGTATTATTCGGGGAACTAGAGTTTTACCTCTCTCACACACCAGCAGTTATAGTGCATGTACTTTTCAGGCACACCATGCAATATACAGCAGAACTACATGTATTGAGCATTTTCCTGGTGAAAATATATAGTGAAAACTGAGGAAGTGATCAGTTATTTTAGCTACTCCTTACCTTATTTGTGGCAGCTCTACTTGTCCTGTCCATCTCCTTTTCCTGTGCTTTCTGCTCTCCACAAGGAAGAACAAACAAAAGATCAGCAAAATTAGTTTTGCAAAATTGTAAGGCATTCCGTGGGAATCACTGCTCCACTGTCCTTCAGTCCCGTAACTGCCTGCCGTGTAAGTACACGCTGGTTTAAACATTGAATCAGCTGCATCTCCAGAATCTCACATTTATCAGTGTGATCATTGTTAGAAAGAAAACTGCTTTTCTGCTTTAATATTTTAAACCTGCTTTCCAGGGCTTCCTACTCAGAGCTCTTCCTTTCCTTGCTGCTCAGGGATTGGCCATTACTCATGAAGAAGTTAGTCCTATCTGGCAACATTTCCACTGGGTCCTAAATGAGTGCTTTTGCAGAAAGCCATTGGATAAAAAGAATGCAACTCCATCTGCCAGTTTTGTTCTAGCCACTAATCTCAGAATTGCACAATCCTCTGCCAGACTGTGCAAAACCATCTCTCTCTGTTTTTTTATTAGGGAGGCTGGATAGACTGTGTGCCTTACAGAGAGCATTCTTCAATGAGAGGCAGGTGCTTACATGTTCATGATGCAGCAAACATAGCCTAGTGTTACTCTGCTGTAGAGTTTGTGATCTTGTAGTTAAGTTAGCCATCTAAAAGAGCTGCCAGCATGCAAACAGTGTCTGTTCACTCTGCTTTTTAAGATCATAGTCTTTCAGTTTTATCATATTTTTAATCAATGCTCGTAAATAATCTTTTGTAAACTGCTGTGTGAGGTCTGCTTGAAAAGCACTATACAGGTACCTTAAACTGATAAGTAACAAATCAAGTGCCATTTTCTTTAACAGGAGGAAAATGCTAGATTGTTAACAAAATAAGTGAAATGGCTTAAATTGTTTGTCTTTAGAGCACTCATAGTTGGTTTCTGATCCTGAAAGGTCATAATGAATGCAGGTAATAATGCTTATGCAGTACATTTTGAGCTTTAATTTTCAAACACTTTCTATACACTCACTATCTCTGTCATCCTTGGGGCAACTCCATAAGGTAGACCAGCTTTTATCAACATATTGCAGATGGGTGACAGAGGCTGGGAGAGTGTGGTGGCTTCCCTAAGGCTGTTACAGTGAGATAGCTTCTGAAATGGGGATTTCTGGGGTCAAACTCCTAGCTACTACAACAGTTCTCAGGACCTCAGAGATTAAAATGAGAAGTTAAATGCCAACTTTAACAATCCCTTGTTTTCAAAATAAAATGTTATTTAGTCAGAGTTGTTTTGAATCACTACATAGCCAGGCAGCGCCACTTGCATTTCTATGTGATAAGCAAATTCAAGGAAGAAAATAATTTGGCTTCGTGAGATTTGAATATTAATAGTTGTGTAGCTTCTACTTTGATGTGGCATCTCCATATCTCAGGCCAAGATGTGTTATATGTGTTATATTACAGGGATCAGGCTTGATATTGATTGTTCTAAGGGCAATTTTTTTAAGCCGCATATTCTATAGCATGTATATAGAACTACAAGTGGAACTCATAACCAAATATTGCAGTACAGTTTGCTCGTGTTCATGTTTTGAGCCAGTCCATTCTATTCCCCCTCCCCTCGTTTTCCATTCCCTTCTTCCTACAGCAGCCAGCCAGCATCCTATGTCTGTTTTTACAAGCATCTTTAATCCTCAATGGTCTGTTTTTGGAAGGGTTCCACTCCTATGGCTTTCCCTACTACAGTATATTGTACTTCTGCAAACTCTGGGGCTGCCCCAAGGCTGCTGCTTTGTTCCTCTGGCTACACAAGGAGCAGCACTTGGAGAACTGAGTTTACTATTAGTTTAGACAAGTGAGGACCCGCAACAAATTGTTGCATATTGTGTCAAGGGGAAAAACATTGAAAGATTTATTTTCTCAGGCAGGAGTCTGCCCAGAATGATACTTTTAAATGCAAATTACACTAGGCAAGATACAGAGAAATACCCTGGAAAGGGGATTTTCTTGCCCTTGCCTACCTTCTGCAACACCTTTGCATCCTGAATAGTCACTGCTGGAAGTCAAAGATCTTCCAGAGCAGCATGGTATGGGTGTGTGTGCGAAGATGTCTCAAATCAGCTGAAATTGATTTCTTACAAAAGGAGTGGCTTTTGGTGAGCTGGAGTGGTTGGGAAAGCCCATTGGACAAAGGAGCTTCCTCTCATACTGAGCCTTCACTCTATTTCAGGGGTCTTTTTTGGCACTAGGTAGATTTCATAGATGATGTTAGATTAAAATATCTTGTTTTTGCTTATGGGTTTTGAAAATGCTTTAATGAGTTTTTCATTAAATGATGGGCCCATGGAACAATCAGCTCAATGCGTTATATATATTTCTGGAATAAGTCACAGTCAATAAGCTCTGGGTAAATATTACATATTTATAACTATTTCCAGGATCTTCAAATTTAAAAAAGCAAAATATACACAATTGAATATTAGAAAATGACATTCAAACCTCACAAAAGATTATCCTAACTTCTGGAAAATTAAAACTAAAAAGAAAAGCAAACAACGTTCTGGCCCCTCTTTTTCACAGAGGATAAAAACCCTACAATTTAAGGGACCCCCCCCCCCAAATTTGTTGTGTAGGAAATAAATGTACTTACAAAATATCAACAACTTCCCCTCCTTGCTCAGTTTTGTAATATTTACTATGCAAGTATACCTGCACTTCAATTTAAGAAGTTCTTTCTCAGGCAATTTTTTATAGACACTCTTGAAAATAATAATTATTTATGTTGCCACATAGCATTAAACCACAATTTTATGTGTCTATCAGTTAAAATTACCCACCAAAGCTCACAAGTGATGCATTCAGCCCTCTCACTCCTTAAATATCCTGCTAATCCAGATATATATCCTGTACATCATCTCTCAGGTTATATGCTCAATTTGTATTAATCATTAATAGTCCATGTTCACACCAATATCAAGGTGTGCTTTTCTTGCAGATAATAATGTACCTCATGATACATTAAATTCAGACATAAAGTGAGTAAATACAAAAAGTAATTTCATGTAAACAATCCTCATGACATATCCAACATAGAACATTTTAATAAAGAATTCAAGTCACAGTTTTTTTAAATGATCAAAACTCATAATTCAAATATATACTCATTGGCTAGATATATACGCCTAAATATAAGAGCTGCTAGTGCTAAAACAAGGAGGAGAATCAGCGCATTTGAGCCCATGTGGTTTGTGTTGACCCTTGGCTGCTGAACCTGATTGAAGTTGGTTGAAGTCGGCACCCTTCTCTGCTGTGCGCGCCGCTGGCGAGGGCTCATAGAAGTATTATTTGACGCAGGCTGGTTATGTTGTTCTTGACTTGAGGTGGCTGAGTTGGTCTGATTTTCAGACTAAAAAAATAAAGATTCTGGCTTTAATAGAATAGAATGGAATGGAACACAGAATGGAATGGAAACAAAATGCAGCTTGGCAACTTCACTGAGGCTGCCCAGTGAGTTTCATGGGTGAAAGGGGATTTGAACCCTGATCACCCAGTTCCTAGATCAACCCTCTACCCACTACATCACACTGGTTTAGGGTTGTGCATGAACTGGAATGTCGTGCTAAACCAAGAGTGGCTAGCCTGTTGTACCCATAATCTCTTGACCACTGAACATGCTGGCTGATGGGAGTTGGAGTCCAACATGATCATCCCTGTGATGAACCATGACATAGTGTGAAGTGTGGAAGTTTGTTTTATGTGTGTCACTCATTCCGATGACCCAACAAATGGAATAAAACTAGTGAGCTGCTAGATGAAAACAAAGTCATCTAAAGTGAGGTTAATCAAACTATTACTGACTTTCCCCCCTTCTCAGCACAAAATACAATTAATATTACTGGTGAGTGAAATGGATATGCTTAAGAAGACAAACCATATACTCAAGAACTATGAAACTTGCAGGGGGGGCAGGAATCAAATCACAAACTTTGTAAGAATCTGACAGAGGGGAAATTGTTGGGGAAATCTGCATAATATTAGCATGCCTGTATTTCTAAATAGCTGGAAAATACTCATCACCAAGCAACAGATGGTCTGACGCGATTTGACAGGATTTTTAAAAACCAATCTGCAGCTCCATCAACCTTTAAAACACACACACACACCACACACACACAAGCTTAACTGGGATTTGTCTACAATTTGTCGGTGAATTTAGATTGCATCCACAGCAGTCATAGAAGCAGCTGCCCTGTCACAATACCAGGCCTCAGTTACTTCCAAAGTGGATGGGTTATATAAGCACTCTTCTTGGCTATATTAATATGTCATAATTAAGCAAACAATTATTTAAAATGGTCAGAATTAATACTGCCCTTTATGTAGTCAAATTTACTTGAGAGATTATAAACAAAAAGGAACATGATAAGCATATTTAATAGAATAAAAGCTGCAAATCACTAAAGAGCAGGGCCTCTATTTGCTTTGGTTTATATAAGTCTCTCAGGCTTACGGATAAAACAAGTGTGGCTCTGGGGGCAAGTCCATATCACTGCTGCAAATAAATTACCTTCTGTACAAGGACCATTTAGATTCGAAAAGGCAGGATATTCTCTCTCTCTCTCTCTCTCTATATATATATCTCCTTAGCTTACAAAGATGTTTAAATTGGATTTTGATAGAAAAGTTAAAATAATATAGTAAGCAAGGTCAGAACTAAAATAACTGATGAAAAGGATTTTCTATGGGCCAACAGCTCTGAAAAGCCATACACAGTAAAAGCCTACTTATGTCTATCAAGATATAAACCTCATTGAATTTAAAGGAACTTACTCTCAGGTAAATCTGCAGTGACAAAAGGCAACAGATGAGTAAAGGAAGGTGACAGGACTTCAGCAATAGTAGTTTTCCTGGAATGCTAATAAGCTTTTAAAAATGCTCTAAAGTGACAGCCTATCAATATTATTTGGATTTTCCAAGTCTTTGCCTTCATTTTTCTCAGATTTATGAAACACCTACCACTTCATTGGGGGTGGTGTCCTGGAATGCTGGAGTTGTACTTTCTTGTTGGTGTTCAGGTGAACTGGGCAAGTGGTTAAATCCTGATAAGTCTGCAGGTTCAGCAACTGATTTCCTAGATGAGTTAACTTCAGCCTTAAAAGGACAAAACAGCACAAATGGTACATCAGTTAAAAACTCTAATCAGGCATGTTATAGAATGCATCTTCTCTAGCATTATTTATTCAACTGTAATTAAACAAGTGCACACACATTATGTGCAATGTTATTTCCAGGGCAAGTGTCTTCTCAATTTATGCCTGAAATTCTGGACCTCAGCTGCGATGCTTACATCATTTGGTTGCCAAAGCACAGTACAACCAATAATTCTGAAACCCACAGAAGAAACTGTGAAGCCATAAATACAGCAGCATGACCAACCCACCACATAATCAAGCAACTACTGCTGCCTCCATTCTTTCCAAGTGAACTGTGACCTGGCTAGCTGCACCAACCAACCTACTCTAGGTATGGTCCTATTCAAATTAACTGGGGGACGGACGGATGGACAGCAAATAGTTAAACAACCTTGAAACTAATTTGCCTGGCAAGTTCCTTAGCCTCTTTGTCAGCTTGGCTTGAAGCACTTCCAGATGTTAATGGCAAGAGGGCTTCCTTCATAAGTGATCCACATCCTTCACAATAGAAATCTTGAGACCTGGAATGTAACAAAAGTTTATACACTAATTTAATTAAACCACCAAGAGTGATCAAAATATCCAACATTCTTAATGAATGTACACATGTATGAAATTATAACGTCCGCCATAGATCTACCAGCACAATTGCTATTAAATTTTGCCATCTATTAGCTCCACGGTGCCTTCTTGACAATAACATGTTTGTGGTAAGTAAACAAACACAAGTGACTAAATGTTTTCCTCTTAAGTATTTATTTAATACAGAACATGCAAAAATAAGAATAGCTGACACCTGATCCTTTGCATGTTTATTCAGAGGCAAATCCAGATGTTCAGTGTAAGCATTCATCGGATTGTCCTCTAAGCTAAGAACAGAGTGCACAAAATAAATGAAGGTGACCATCCTGAGCAAAGTGGGACAAACTTCTGAGTAAATATGCTTATGAATGCAATGTAACATACTGAGCATTATGCACTGAGCAAATAATATGATTTACCTAGCCAACTGAAGAGGAACATAGGAATAACATTCAGAAATAAGATTCAACATAAAAAAAAAATAGTCACAAAAACAAAAACAAACCCTTACTTCTTAGCAAGTGCTCTTCTTTCCTCAGGGGTATAGTCTAGAGACCCTATGGCTCCCTCCCCTTTCGTTGGCATAAATCCAATAATAGCAAGCAATGCAGTTCTTACTGTGATCAAAAAAGAAGAGGGGTGCAGGTTAAGTACTAAATAGGGGAGGGGGAGAAAACTACTTAACGTACAAATTTATAACAGGTAATTTAAAAAAAATAAGCCCAAGGTAATGCAAAATATATTAAATCCTGCCCCCAGTGTCCAACACATGCCTGAAGAGAAGCAGGAATGTCACATAACATTTAAAAGGAAAGATCTGCTGTTGAATGTAGCACAGCGATCTTACAGTGGTACCTCGGTTTACGAACTTAATCCGTTCCAGAAGTCCTTTCTTAAACCGAAACCATTCTTAAACCGAGGTGTGCTTTCCCTAATGTGGCCTCCCACTGCTACCTTCCACCATACAGATTCTGTTCTTAGACCAAGGTGAAAGTTCACAAACCAGGGCACTACTTCTGGTTTTGCGGAACTTGTAAACCAAATCGTTCATAAACAGGTAAACAGGACTGTTCTTAAACCGAGGTAACACTGTACTTGTGTATTGAGGCCCTTTACTGCCAACAATAGCTGATACTTACTGCTCCATGATGGTTGCCATGTTTCAGGATGATGCCCTGAGATGCTTAAGCAAATTTTCTTTCCCACTTCAAACCTGCCATTAGCCTTAAATGGGCACATAAGAAAGATAAAGAAAAATAATACTATGTAAATCAAACCATTTTCATAAGTCAAGATTCAACTAGCTTGAAGAGAGTACAGTATCTTTGGAATACCGTACAATTGTACAGTCAGCAGTCTGTAATTGAATGTTACTGAAAAGAAACTTGATGTCTCAGCTATAGCAGAATTGGTTTAGTCGTGCTCAAAGAACAGAGTATTCTCAAAGATTGATGAAACTAACTGCAGTCACATAGGCTGCTCTAAGTCACATCAAAATGCTCCTCCAGATTAATTTATTGACCAGAATCAAGGCAATCCAGTCCTAGCCTACAGTTATTAATCATAGCAACTAAACACAATTAGGCACACATCCACCCCACCTCACACAAGGAGGGAAATCATTTTTCTTGTTTTGATGTATGTAGCCTTCTTGGTGCATGCAATAAAAAACAGCTTCAAATATTAAGTTATACAGTAAACTGAACAAAAAACAGTAGTGATGTTTTGAAGACTAGTGGACATAATTTTTTTTTTTTAATGTAACTATTAAAACTCTCAAAACAAACAGGAGAAAAATCCTGAATGGTACTGAGGATATTCTACTGTTGCCTAGCCTTCTCCAAATCACTTAAAACATTCCATTTCTCAAAACACCCTGAACAAAATGCCTCACAGACTTCAGAACAGAACACAATTCATTTTTCTTGGGACCTTACTAATGCTCCCTGCATAAAGTCTAGAAGTGAAGTTCCAGTTAGCCTAATTGGATACAAAGAGAAAGGCCAAAAAACCAGGGGTCTATATTTGCTTACACCTTTTTAAAAATATTGTTTAAGGTGACCAAATTTCTGATGTAGATCTAACCAAGTGCTTATGCTGTTATGAATGGCTGAGAAACATTCTTACCGTTAAGAGAATAATACTTGGTGGTTTCATAGGATACTCTGGTGGTAGTACTATTCTTCCATGATAAACTCCACCATCAAAATCTGAATCTGGAGGACCTCTGACAGTGAAATGCCACTCAAAAAGATTGTCCTACAAGCAACCAAATATACAGAAATACACTGAATATAATAGCAACAGGAGAACATGATGGGGGAGAACAGAGGCAATGATCTGGGAGCCCTCACATATTCATGCTAAGTCATGGTTTGGGCTTAGTGTTATAGTCAAACCAGCTCAATGTGCTTTTCACAATAACTGCAAATACAATGAAAGAGAGACTGGTCAAGGTAAGCATTGCTGTTGTGAATTTATTTATCAGAATGGCCACATGCTAACCTCTAAGGGCTGTGCATGATAATGGTCTGTTGGATCCTTCAGTTCTGCAGCTTCTTTCATTAAACGTTTTACAGCTGAAAGAAAAGAAAAGAAAGAAAAAAACACAGTAAGTGATTTCAGTATCAAAAACTTATAGCCGATAGGCCTTGGCGATATATCTATATATTGCTCAGGACCAGTATTAGGGGAGGAGGTATTCAGGAGAGGTGGTGCTTTCACCAGCGATATACCGCAGAGTGAAACCAACATCATGGTCTGCCCTCATACTGTTGCAGATGGAGAAACAAGCTGCATTGCCAAGACACAATACACCTTGTTCTTCCCTCTGCTTCAACAAGCCCCATGTCTATCCGGCTTGAGCACGCTGGTGGGACATGGGGCTTGCTCAGCTGGGGAGTGACATGGCTCAAAGAAGCACTCCTGCCCCCCAGCTGAGCCTCACCAGTCCCCCTTGCCTGTCTCCAGGCAGCAGCAGAAACTGCCTCTGCTGCCTCGGGACCGGGGGCGGGGGGGAGAGGCACGAACGGGCTGCTTCTTTCTCCCCAAGGGAGAGGCAGCCCACCCGTGCCTCTCGCTCATCCCAAGGTGGTGGAGGATACTGCCTCAGCTGCTTTGGGATGGCTGGGGTGGAAAAGGGAGCAGCAAAACAAGACATGAAGTTTTAATATAGCAAGAAATTATAGAATATATCAATTAAAAGACAGTAAGACAGAATAGGTGTTTTGAAGTCCAGTCACCCATCTGAAAAAGGAGAAAAACTGAAGAAATGTGAAGGTTTGTTATTTCAGTAAATATATTTGTATGTATCTCAAAGCAAGATTTTTTTTTATTTTTTTTAGGAGAAAGGTGCTTCCAAGTACATTTGTAAAATCAAAGTAGGTTACATATCCAGTACAAAGTGACAGAAAACAAAGCAATTGTCTGGGATCTAAAAAGCCATGTGCTTAAAGAGGATCTATGCATAAAGGGATTGTTGATATCGCCTTTAGTCTGAGTTCAAATGTTATGCCAAATGGCTGACCTTCAGCAGCAGCTTTTCAGCGAAAGGGGTGGGAATGAGGGGCTGCAATAAGAGGCCTGAAAAAAAATCTGATGGAAGCATAGAACACCAAACTAAGTTGTATGGATCTTAACCATAATTATCCATCAGATTTATCTTGATTCTAATTTAATGCCCCTGTTTCAAACACATATTCATGTAGACATGCACCACTGATTTAGTATGCAATTCACCAGACTCAGTTACTACTAAAACAAGTGTATATAATAACATTTCTAATATAGTAATTTTTGAAATGGCAAGGGCAAGAAGAAGGCTTTGCAAGGGCAAAAGAAGTTGCAAGGCAAGGACAAGAGCTTCTGAGCAATACTGATGAACTGTTTTGCTTTTCACAATTTATGTAAGTTGGACTGCTAACATCAGAACGTCACTTCACCTCAGAGGGGAGGCTGCCACCTACTGGATTAAAAACACTCCCACCTTCATTTTATAGATTACAAAATGTGAAATTTTAACAGGCCACCTAAAATTATACGGTACATTAAACAAATATAAAGACTCAGGCACAATCCTTTGAAAACAAATTTCGGTAGTGGTCATTATTATATTTCACTGGAGTACTTTTATCTCCAACCATTGGCAAGCATTTGATTAAAAGGACCCTATCAGGATGGACTGCAGTTTTAGCTGCACCCTAGATCCCTAGATGCTGGTGGCGCTGTGGTCTCAACCACTGAGCCTTGGGCTTGCCAATCCAAAGGTTGGCGGTTCAAATCCCCACGATGGGGTGAGCTCCCGTTGCTCGGTCCCAGCTCCTGCCAACTTAGCAGTTCAAAAGCATGGCAAAAAGTGCAAGTAGATTAATAGGTACCGCTCCAGTGGGAAGATGAAGGACGTTTCTGTGCACTGCTCTGGTGTTGGTGTTCTGTTGCGCCAGAAGCGGCTTAGTAATGCTGGCCACATGACCCGGAAAAACTGTCTGCGGAGCGGACAAACGCCGGCTACCTTGGCCTGTAAAGCAAGACGAGCGCCGCAATCCCAGAGTCATTTGCAACTGGACTTAACTGTCAGGGGTCCCTTTACCTTTAGACCCCTGTAGCAGATGACATGCCCGCAATGCCAAAACAGTATGGTGATTTTAAAAATACGCAGTAAATAATACTTTTATCATTCTTGTGGAGAGAAAAAAATCTTAAGCAAGCATTGGGCCATTTACCTATCAGACTGTTTAATGCAGTGTATATGTATAAACAGAGACAAATTTCTTATTATTCTTTCTTATTATTCTTATTATTTTTCTTTGCTTCTCATTTCTCATTTCTGTCTCTGAAGAGATTAGTGAGCAAGATTTAAGTGCAGTTTTGTATTTCCAAAGTGCCTGCCATAATTTATTGCTTCTTTGTCCCAGCAGGGTTCAGTGTAACCTAATATAGTTCTAATCTAATTAAGTCTGCAATATCTTCCTTTATCACCATCTTAAGCCTGAAACAAAGTATAGTAAACATATTTCTATAAATCTGCAAAATAATCCTAAAATACATTTATTCAATAGTGACTTTGACTAATACTCTTATGACTTGCAGGCATGAAATTTATATTCAGCTTTAAAAAAATTATGTCTACTCTTTGTCTCTATTCTTGCATCTCCCTTGAAATGTTCCATTCTTTCATTCTTCTGTCCTACCTTGACTGAGTTGAGTATACAGGGGAAGAGAACAATTCCAATTAATTTCCAGGGGCAAGGAAGATATTTGCACTGAGCTACCCTTTAAAAAGTAATCTATATGTATGAAAAGTGATGTGCCTAATCACATCTGAACTGTGAAGGACAAGAATGCAACTTTGCATTCTACTCTGTATAGTGTCTACTCTAGAGCTAGTCAAAAAGGAATCCTCTGTGCAATTACTCAGAATTAACTGTTTAATAATAATAATAATAATAATAATAAAAATAAATTATTTATACCCCACCCATCTGGCTGGGTTTCCCCAGCCACTCTGGGCAGCTTCCAACAAAATATTAAAATACAATAGTCTGTTAAACATTAAAAGCTTTCCTAAACAGGGCTGCCTTCAGTGCAGGACTTATTCCTTGGTAACTGTGTAGGGTATATTAAATGCAGAGAACCATGTAGAGGAATGAGCACTGGTTGTGAAGGCTGTATTGCAGAAGGGTTCGCTTTTTTAAAAAATTGTACTTAGGTACTTCCAACATTTCTGGCAAGAGGCTGAATGTGACCCACCAGGCCTCTCTGTCCAGTTCTCAGGACTCTCCCCAGGTCACAGTCACCACTGCTCTGCACTCTCCTTGAGAGCTTTCGCATGGCTGGAATGTGTCTGTGAGCTGTGATACTGCCTCATGCCTGGATGAAGGATGAGGAGAGTTGCATGAGTAGAAATTTCTGTTTTGTGAATGGAATGCAGCCTACTGTACAAAGTTAAGAATCACACCCCTTGCTTTGCCCACTCTTGCATCTAGCAACACTCACTGTCCTCCGGACACCAGAATGTTGCATCCAATCACGTATTATCCACAGTAGACCCACTGAAAGTAATGACCTTAAGTCAGTCAAGGTTCCCTACCTCTGGTATACTAAACATTAAAAACCCATTTCAGATACAAAATGCCACTACATTTTCAGGTATGTCTCAAATGCATTCATTTGTCACCCAGAAAGCATCATGATTTAAGCTAGCTTTGTGGTCCTCCACGCTACCACAAATTGTTGGTGTTCTGATAACTTTTGAGAACTGTGTGACTGCAGACTTCCTTGCAACATACTTCATAAAGTGCTGGATACACTGAAGGCAGCGAGTGCATAAAGGATATGCAAACAGAGGGTTCATTTGAAACAATCTTCTAGGCCTATGGTAGCAGCATATAATTTTTTCTTTCAATGAGACTAGCAAGAACCTACCACCACCTTGGCTCAAAGGTTCATGTGAAATCTGGCAGCTGCTAAGCTCAGTCTATATCAGCTATTTCCATGCAGGCACAAATAGTCTTAAAAATCACAGTGGGCATTGAGTACAAAAGCTAATCAGTTCTGAGCTCAGCACATGCTGAGCAGCAGCTTTTCATATGAGAGTATGAGCCTATGGCAGGGAAGCCAAAGACATACTAACCAAAGCCTCAGCTACCACAAGCTCAAAAGGCCCAGTAGCCAAACTGCATGTGATGTTTGGTCACATTGGCCTTGCAGTTTTTTCTATAACAAAATACAGTCATAAAGGCTGCAATTTAAGGGAAAGACAAACAAGTGGCTGGATATAGGAGGTTCATCTCTCTTTCCCTCTGGATGGTTTTCAACTCAAAATCTTCCCACTTCCATGTTGGCCAGGTAATATTTAGCAAATCAAAATGTACTCGATCTTGTACTAGAAGTACATAAATAAAGTTTCAAAATGGCCACTTTCCAGGTTGCAATTAGTTGTGTCCATTGTGTGGAGCTTCAGTATTCACAATGTATCCATTATGTAATACACTAGAGCATGAGTCACCATCATTGAACTCATGGGTGCACCTGCAGAAGCCTTTGCTGGTGCCTACAAGGTCCAGGTTCCCCCACCATATTTTTCTTATTGGGGGGCCTTTATAATTGGGGAAAGAAGAATTAACCCTCCACAAGTATGGACCCCCATGCTAAATCCCCATCCCTGTTGCAATTTCACTTGAAATATATATTCTATTATAGTCAACAGAATGCCTTTTTCAAGTCTAGTCATGACTTGACTGGGCATGATCTTGAAGCTGGGGAGGGACAATTAACTCTTGCCTTGCCAGCTGCACTCTCTAGGAAGATTGCCTCCCCCCAATTAGACAGAGGAAGGGGGAGTTAAAACATTTTTTCAAGCCTAATTGCTGTCGGGGGTGGGATGGGGTGGGCATAGTATGAGTGCACATGTTTGTGTATGGTTGTGGTGCATGTGTGGTGCCCATAACAGTTTCTCTAGTCAGCAAATGTGTCCACAGGCTCAAAAAGGCTGGCAACCACTGCTGGAATCTGACCAAATTCCACATTATCACATGAATTGTGACTATAGTGGTTGCCACATACTTAAGTGATCTTGTGATTGTTTCTTCAGGTGTTCATTTACCATGTCTCTGCTCAAACAGCTTTTCATAACACTGCACTGGCAGAATTACTGATGAGAACTGAGGCTGTGTACATACCTCAGAGAGCTGTCATTCTTAGCACCCTTAATGAACTACAGTTCCTAGGATTTTGGCGGGGAGCAGGGAGAGAATGTGCTATACATGTGTTGTGTATGCAGCTAGAGTTAAACACCTTTCACCACTTTAAGATAAGGGCTGTAACTAAACAGACTAGCATCTCCTTTGCACAGAGAAGGTCCCTGGTTCAATCCCTAAGATCCCTAGGTAGGGATGGGAGAGGCCCCTGTTTGAAATCTGGCAGAGCAGTTGCCAGTCAGTGTAGATACTGCTGAGCTAGATGGGACCAATGTTCTGACTCAGTAGAAGACAGCTTCCTGTATATGTACCATAAGACAAACAGAGCAACTCAACCTGCATACCAATTTGGTCATGTGAACTGACAGTGTGATGGTGTGGAGTTTTTTCCTGCCCCATCCCCCGATTTAAAAAATAATAATTTAAGAACAAGCATCCTTCAGGCAAGAACACACACACACACACACACACACACACACTGCAAGCTTATATGGAGATGAGTGTTAGGTACACGTGTGCCAGAAGAACCGGAAATATGCTTGATCCAAAATAGACGCAGAAGATTCTTATGGAGCCACAAGAGATGAGCTGGGGGTGGGGAGCTCTGGACTGGGGCAGGAATGCCCCCCCAACCCCCAGCAACTGAAAGACAAAACAACAACAACAACCCTCCCTCCACCCCAGTGACACGAATAACCTCTGTTTTCCAAGCCGTCTCCTCGTCACCCTCTTGGGGAATCGAAACTGAAGGAGGCGAGAGAAACGTCTCCCTTGGGCTGAAGCATCGCCGAAGAAGCGCAAGGGCAGCACCCACTGAGGGGCCATAACCATAACAATACATAAAGCAAAATTACTTCCCCCCTCCTGCTGCCAGGCACTTTGCGGCAGCGGGCAGAAGAGGCCGGGGAGAAAGCCGGGGGCCTTGGCCTAGCCGAGCATCCGAACCAGGGGCTCGCGTGATGGTGGATCCCAACCCCCGCAGTGCCATCTCCCAGGGAAGGCCACGAAAGGACCGTCTTGGACCCCCTCCCTTAAAAAAAAAAGATGAAGCCTTCGCAATTCTCCCCCCGCCCCTTCCCCACAACTCACCGGGGCTTTTGAGGTTGTAGCGAGTCTCCATGGCGGCGGCGGCGCCCGCGAAGCCTCTTCCCTCTCCCGCCCTCCTTCGCCCGTCCCTTCCCGGACTTCGCCGGGGCCACGTAAGGCTTGTTCCTTCGGCCGGGCGGAGAATAGCAACGCCGGCGGCGAGGCGAGACCGTGGAAGGGGCGGGAGGCGGAGGAGGAGGCAGCAGCCGCCCGCCCTTCGTTTCTTCGCAGGCTGCCGGGAAACTCCCCCTGACGTGGCGGCGGCGACTCGGAGGAGGACGGAGCCGCCTCCCCTTTCCTTCGCCTTCCCGAAGGGGGCAGCGGCAGGCGGCCCTCAGGATGCCACTCTCGGCTTGCCCCTGCCGCTTCGTTCAGGTCTCCGACACCTCCCCTAGACCCGCAGCAAAGACCATCACCCCTCCATTTACTGATCCGGAGTAAAGTAATCCGGAGTAATTGCCACAACCCCAGCTACCCGCTCAGCACTCGCTAAGAGGGTTAGCCTTCTCTACACCCATTAGTATATTGGGGAGAGGAGCAGACGCACCCACACACCCCGCACGCACACAACCAAGCCAACTCTGAACAAGTTCGGTCCAAAATATGTTGGCTCCCGAGACATGAAATCAGATAGGGTGATGATATGCTCTCTCTCTCTATATATATATATTAAAAATCCTTATAAATTTGCTTCTCCCAATCCTGCCTGACCCCCTTGCGACTTGAAATGGAAAGCATTCTTTGTGCATCTTCCTGGTTCTAAGACAAGGCATCTAAAAAGCTGCAATCCCGGTTACCTCGATGAGATCATAGGATTGCACTGCAAAAGTTGTTTTGTTAAATTCAAAACCAAATTATTGTAATTTAATCCAGAAGATGGGTCATAATCACTGCTACTCCCACTACCTAGACTGTCATTAATACTTCATTGTGAGAACACACCTTTTTATTTACCAGTAGACTAGTTTCCGTGCGCTGCTCTGGTTTACCAGAAGTGGCTTGGCCACATGACCTGGAAGCTGTATGCTGGCTCCCTCTGCCAATAAAGCGAGATGAGTGCCGCAACCTGAGTCGGTCACGACTGGACCTAATGGTCAGGGGTCCCTTTACCTTTACCTAGACTATAGAGCAATGGGATGCAAGAGAGCAGAGAGAGAGGTAATGCTTCACTTTCACATTTGTAGGCCTAAGAAGTGGTTGTGAAGCCACTCTATAATTAGCTGATGCTAGTTATATTCACACAAAACATAGTGGCATTCATGCTCAAGAAGTACTCTTTCAGATGTACAGAACCTTCACTCCAAAAGGAGGAATTGTGTAGTTTCCATTAAGCTTAATCTTGAGCTTCCTAAGAACAGATGGCAAAAAAATTAGTTGGCAGTTCTGCCTAAACAGAGGCAACAAGCTGTGCTTAAGCAATATGAACTTAAATGCCCACTGTGGGGACACGTGAGAGGGAAGGGAAGACAAGCAGTGTTTTATGTAATGCCTTTCATACAGTAACTTGGGCAGGGTAAGTTTTATTAAACAAACCCAAATAATGGTATTTTGGGTAGAGGTAGAAAGAGGGAGTGACTATACTGCCTCATGTACCATCTCCTTTAGAAATGTAAATATAGCTTCAGATGCTTTTTGAAACTTGTATTCATTCAAATGCAACCTGTGAGCCACTTTAGTCATCTCTTGGAATTGGCATCTTATGGAAGCAGAAATACGTGGACCCTCATACATTGTTCCTGTTACCAAGATATACTTGCTAGTCAAAAGATTAGCATGAATGGTTTGAGAAATCATATGCTGTATTTCCATTACTTGAGAACTATGTCGATAACTTCCAACATGCACCCCTTCCTCCCCAAGGTTCTCTCTCAGCAACTGGGTCCTTCCACTAGATAGCTCTGTGGGGCTAGCAGGCAGATCCCTATTCCCAAATCAAACCACCCCTAATATCCTGGACCTAAATACAGTCATACCTCGGGTTGCGAACGTGATCCGTGCGGGAGGCACGTTCGCAACCCGCAGCGCCGCGTCTGCACATGCACGTGACACGATTCAGTGCTTCTGTGCATGCACAAAGTGCGATTTAGTGCTTCTGTGCATGCACCGAAACCCGGAAAAAATCTGTTCTGGTACTTCCGGGTTTGGCACGGTCCATAACCCGAAAACGCAACTCGCAGCGTTCACAACCCAAGGTATGACTGTAGTCTTAAGGAATGAAGAGGAATCCTTCCTCTTCTGCACCCTGTGATTGCTGGTCCCTGCTTGTTTCCACCATAACTGCATAGAATTTCTTCTGTTGCTGCAAGTGTATTTAAAAAAACAAACCCAAACACAACATGCAACTGTTACAAAATAGGTCTCTTTATAGAAAGTTGTAGAGGTAATCATCATTATAAGAACAAAATGGGTTTGCCAGGATTATGGAGACATTTGGGAGATATTTAGCTCAAAGCCTATTTTTACAAAACTTTTGATGTACCAATAAAAGACTCCCAGGAAATATTTTTATTGCTACTGTATTTCAAAATAAAACTTCAATTTACAAGTTATATATATATAACTGGCATGAATATTAAACTCCCACAAATTTGTAAAAAGGTATCTTACCATTTTTTCTTGATTGTTTTACTCATTTGTTTGCAGCATATAGAGAAACTAACGGTACATATCCTACCCAAGTTCACAAGTAAAAAGTGTCATTTTAAATAAAACACAAATGGGTTTATCAAAAGTTCATTTCCATCAAGAAACATGACAAAAGTGCAGAAAAGTTCCGTTACAGATACTTCTTAATATGAACAACTGGATAAGATAAACAGTGTTTTGGCAGGAGGCTAGTGTGGTAAAATCCATGCCATCCAGTACAGCAGTCCCTTTCATCTTCCAGCTATGGAACCTGATGAAACCATTACAAGAAATAAGAAGTTTTACAAGTTAACAGTGGTTCACACAGTTCAGCTACACTGGCATTCTAGGGGTGCCATTAGGAGTGGCCCTCTTGGTCTTCTGAATTTGGTTTTGATTCTTCCGAGCTTTCACCGCTTTCATTCTCACTTCAAATACTTCATGTATGGCCTTACGGAAACAGTGGAAGTTGTAGTCTATTAGTCCTAAAGATAAGAACAGAAATGTTCCATACTCAAACTGCCATGGCAACAACACAATTAAGTAAACTCTTTTCTGTGGTATGTACTGAAAGTAAAGGGCTAAAATCAGATTTCTCTCTTAAACGCAACAATGTAAGAAAAGCTGTAAACAACTACAGAAATTTATGTACAATTTACCAAGAACTACACATTATTTTAAAATGCACCATTGCAATGTTTGGATTTAAGCATTAAGCCAGTAACTTCACTCAAAGTTAATGCCATAAAGCTCTCTCACTTCCCTAAGTGAAGAGGGTACAAATTTTAAATGGTTTAAATCTGCTGTGTTAGCCCTTTGTTTTTCCAGGGATTCAGAAGTCATGTGATACTGAAGCCACAAAATAATGAAGACCAGCCAAGTTTTATGAAATATATTTTAAGTTGAATTACCTCTCTATGGAGACTGAAGTCATGAAGACTAAGTTATTCTATGCATACATTCCCCACAGCATTTGGAGAGTAAGTATGATGCAGTAAGTTTCCAAAAACAAAAGGCAAGGAAGTTACTGCTGCTTAAGTGGAAACTCTTGTGTGTACTTGTGTATTTAGAGGATGGTAGGAAAATATAGGAGTAGAATGAGAGGTGAATATACAGTGGTACCTCGGGTTAAGAACTTAATTCATTCTGGAGGTCTGTTCTTAACCTGAAACTGTTCTTAACCTGAGGTACCACTTTAGCTAACGGGGCCTCCTGCTGCCACTGCGCGATTTCTGTTCTCATCCTGAAGCAAAGTTTTTAACCCGAGGTACTATTTCTGGGTTAGTGAAGTCTGTAACCTGAAGCACCTGTAACCCAAGGTATCACTGTAATGAGAAAGTGTCACTCCTGATTAAGCGTTAGGGAGGAGAAAAGTTCCATTTCCAGAAACCCTCTAGTGTTGGACTAGGATACACAGGTTCAAATACCCTCTCTACCATTAAAGCTTCCTTTGTGACTTTAGCCTAGTTGCAGTCTCAACTCTTAACCTCTCACAGATATGTAATAATAATGAGGGACAAAGAAGAACATTATGCCACTCTGAACCGAAATGACCAGATATATAATGTAACAACATGAATACATGGTTCCAGCAACTTTAACAGAGGCTATAGCAAGCCCAATGATCAGCTGTAATACCTCCATACCCTCTGCATTCTTTACTATTGTTTTGTCACAGCTTGTACATACGGAATCACCAAGACAAATATTTAATTATTAATTGGGAACAAGATTCTGAAGGATTTTTAAACTTTCAAAATGAAGTTCAATACCTTTTCTCTCAAAGCTTTCTTCTCTGACAAAGCAAACTAGTGCCAGGAACTTTGTCACTTCCTTTAAATAAAGGACTGTTGTGTTGTTCAGTTTTATTATTGCTGTTGATTCTTTGTCGTAAGGAGTTCCTGCTCCATCTGCTTTGAGCCTGAACAGCAAGACACAGGAGATGTTGGGGAGAAGATAAATGCTGTGATTTTATCTGCTTGAATGAATATGTTTTTATTGCTGCTTTCAAGTCTATTTAAAGCAAAATATGTTCGAGGCAGATACTGCCAACCTTTTTAGGCCCGTGGTAACATTTACAAGCTGGAAAAACTCTTGTGGGCAGACCCTCTCCCCTAATCAAGCACACACCACAACCCATTCCATCAAATGGTTCTTTCAAGTCTTAATTCAGCAGAGGAAGACGACCCTTTGGGTTCACATGCACCTCTGGGTGCTATGTTGATATTCCCTGATCTAGTATGTAAATATCTTATTCCAGCTCTATTTTCAATCCTAGGCTGCTTAAAAATTTGCAGTTAAAAAAAAAATCCTGCCATGTATTTGATGGCTTGCCAGGGCTAAAGTCGCTTATGTCTCAGCCTCAGTGGAATTATCACTGATTTTATTTACATGAAAATTACAATGCTGCCCTTCTAGTGACCAGGCCTTTGTGTAGAACTTGTGGTGCATTTTAGGAGCTGTTACTAGAATCTCTGATCTATAATATTTTGTATACACAAGTACCCCCCAGTTACATCAGCTAACTGGCTCCTGTTGGAAGACCCTTGGTTTCTAGTTAAAAAGTGCTGTAGATTAAACAAGACTAAGGCGAATTCACTTAATCTTTTCTGCACCCAAGCCTATTCTGCTCTATCAGTTGTAAAAGCTTTAGAGTTTCAAAATCACTTTTATCTACACACACATAACTCTGATGACCTTTCTCTCTCTCACACACAGTGTGTGCTTTTGCAATTAAAGGTTTTTTCTATCCAGAAATAACAGCAAGCTAGAAGATCATTACTGCATATGAAAGAAAAGCCTTCTAATCTTATTTGCATTTTAATTGTTATGTGACTTTAAGCCTTATAGGTTGCCCAAGACAGACAAGCACAAAGGATGGCGCAAGAGTACTTTTTGTTGTTGTTTCTTTACTCACCCATAAATGCAGGAGATGTCAATGACAACATCTATCATATCACAGCTGAGCTCATAAGTCTGCATGTCCACTGGGGTACTGTCTGTTGCAATATAAATTTTACTGACTACATCAAAGAGAAAGGCTTTCTCAATTCCAGAATTCTACAAGGAAACAGGGAGAATATAGATTTCACTGAAGGAACCAAGTCTTTAGACAATAAAGATGATGCTGTCATTGTGCATGAGAAAAGAAAAGCTGGTGAAATATGATATTATAAAAATAGTCTTAGTGTAATTCTTGGGCACAGACCAACAGAACTCACATTGCTGTGTCCCACTGAATGTATAACTTGGTGTTTGAGCTGCAATCCTAACACCAAGCTATGCTGAACAGTCCATCAGAACAGTGGATACAGTTCTGATAAATATATGAGCTTGTAACAAGAATCATAGAGACCTAAGTTACATTCTAGCAAAAGTTTGAAATGAATTGTTGTTTACAAGCAAGTGAATGTTTTCAAAGTAATTCCACGTCACTGAACAGTTTTTATTGGCATTTATTGTCATATACCAAGTATCCTAAACAACACATAACACAAAAATGAAATTAAAAACAGTGTTTTGCAAGAAAATATACAAAGGCTCAGGAAATACATATACAAAAGAACAACAACTATTTACCGAGATAAAGATGTTAAGCAAGTTCTCCAGTGTTGGGAGCTGGGGGATCAATTTCTGTACCACTTTGCTAAACGCTTCAAATATTGAATGGTCGTATATGCTTGTTAAATAAAAGCTGGAAAAAGAAACAGACATCAGTGTATCTCTCTGAAATGAGCAACTCTGGAAAGTTTGTAGACAGAAATGAGGCGTTATAGCGCTTCCAGACAGGAGTTTGTGGAATTAGGGCTGCCCATGCATGCAAGTTTCCCTGCCCCACCCCCTGCCCGTGCTGCCAGCTCAGACTTTATTTAATTGGAATTTCCCCTTACTGTGGAAAATTCAGCAAGTAAAAATAATCCATTATACATCTGCATGCACTCCTGGTGTAAAAACTCATAAGGAAACTTCTTTTGATGGGTGATCTGACACAGTGAACAGTCTCTTATCACCACACCTGTATTTCCATTTGCTCCTCACCCAAGCATAATCTAGCAGTTCTGATGAGTGTGCCTATTTTTACCATTTGCTACATGCTGAAGTCATGTTCAAATTGCACACCCCACCCCTCCGCCAACCCTGGCGAAAGCACAGGCCTCCACTTGGCGAATTGTAAAATGTGATAACTGAAGCTGGTATCCTTGTGGGGTTAGCCATAACAGGGCTCTCATTCCTCCCTGTTTGTGGAATCTTCTAAAGGGATGCTCTTACAAGAAATAGGGTTAAAGTGCCATCTGCCTACTATTTAACGACTATGCCATCTTGTGTATTACTTGAGTAAACGGTAAGTTATATCCTCAACAAGTTTATCTCTTAAGCCAGGGTGGGGAATCTTATTCAGCATGAGGGCCGGGTTCTCTTTTTGGAAACCTGTCAGGGGCCACATGCTAATGGTGGGAGGGCCCTGAGGCAAGTGTGGGTAGATTAACGGCTGTAAGCATTATGTTTCCGCCATAGGCTGGTTTCTATACACCCCACTCTGCCTTCCATCCAGGCAAGGAAGAAGGGACACTGTAGCCAGAAATGCAGAGCAGGGTCATTGTGGGGTGTGGCCTAGAGAAGAGACTCTAGGGCCAGACAGGGAATTCTGGAGGGCTGTATTTGGGCACTAAGCATCAAGAGATATAGTTTGACTATGCTGTTAACAGTTTTCAGGATTCAGGTAGCACCATATTTTTTGCACCATAACACTCACTTTTTTCCTCCTAGAAAGGGGAAATGTCTGTGCGTGTTATGGAGCAAATGCCTGCGGGTGGCAGGGGGGATCTGCTGCAGTCATGAGCAGAGGATCCATGGTTCCCCTTCCTTCCCTCCTCCGTGGTTACAAAGCATGGATCCACATGGATCCTCAGGATTTTTGCATTGGGCTACTCCAAACTCACTGTCAGATCACATGTCTGTGGCCACAGCATGAACCACAAAAATCATATATCCACTATTTCGTTTAGAATATTTTTTTTCTTGTTTTCCTCCTCTAAAAACTATGTGCGTGTTATGGTCTGGTGTGTGTTATAGAGCGAAAAATACGGTACATAAAACCAAATATATTATTTTCCCATGTCAATTATTGAGTATTCATTTTAAAGCTGAGCATTAAGTCAATTTTGGGCATAATGCTGAACTCCAGCCTAAAAAGCTCGTGATTTCTAATTATTTGACCACTGCAACTCTCAGTTGGCCATACCACTGCTGTGTCACCCCTTTTCCCCTAAGATTTTACAAAAAGGTGGCACATGTGCTTGTTCAATATGTGAGGCATACTGCTTTTTTCATTCTCCCCTGTCCCCAAAGCAGGCTTTATCAATTGTTTTGCTCTCCTCACCTCAAGTGGATTTTTTCCAGCCCAGCATCTGCAAGGTCATCATTTGCCCTCTGATGAATGTCTCTCTGTGTTTCAATCTTGTGATCATCAGACAAACCATCTACTTTGTGGATAAATATTTCAAAGTTTATGTCTGGATTCACTTTATATGCTCTTGTCACAGTGAGATGCAATCTTGCCAAAGCTTCCATATAGTCATCCTACAAACCAAAAAATAAACTGGATAAATGCTTTGCTTTTGTAAATCCAATTAGGAATTAAAGTGTTTAATCTTTACTTCTCAAGTTTTTAAAGGGTGGGTTTTTTTACATTTTCATGAACAAAAATCACAACGTGAAAGCACTTCAGCGAGTTATCAAGCACTAAATCTTAGCAACACTCCTACATTTTGAATCTTGTTTTTCCTGCCTGTCTCTTTCACCTTCCCTTATTAAAGCAGCTGTTTTAACAAGTACAGGTCACTTGCCTGTTCCTTCTGTGTAGTGTTCACTACACTAGTTCCTTCTGTGTAACTTTCACTAAGAAATAGGACACTTTTGTGATGGTAGTTTTAACTAGGCATGAGGGATCATCCCATTTCCATTCTGTGTTAGTTTCGCATGCTTCATTCATAAATCTCAAGCATTGTTTTAGTATGAGTTAACTCTTATAAAAATTTCAATTCTACTACATGTATTAGTGTTTCAGATAATACATAGAGGTGCAAAAAGCATACTAGGTCTAATGTCATGATGAAGTCTACATGTACATAACAAGGAAAGCTAAAATAACAATATTTACACTATAACAATGAGAACTCAGGGCAGGATTGATAGAGCTGCTCTTCCACTCATGCTTGTGTGGGCGAGGGAGATCTGGTTTTTGCCAAATCACTTGGATGTAGGCCCCTATAATACATTTCACACTACTCCACAGGGTCCCTCAGAATCAGCTTTTGAGGTGTGTGAGCAAGGGGCTATAGTGTGAAGGGGGACAGAGGAAAACTCTGCCTCAGAAGGGAAATCCTGCTTGTCATTCTCTGGATCTTGCCTGTACTAATGAGAGAGTCAATCACATTGTGTGTTGCTATTCTTATTGGAGATGTGAAGGCCCAAAGAGAAATATCAGAAAAATTGGGAATGGGGTGTGTGAGAAAGGTATTTTTATGGCTCTTCACATCTCTACTTTTTACCATCCATTCTACTGTTGGGTGATGTTTGTGTGTGCAAATTTAGGGTATTTGGTCTAAGCTAAGATCATAACCCAAATCCTTTCCTTACCTGAGAATCAATAACAAATATCAGTGCTCCTGTGCCTCGGAAAATCATCTCATAGTCAAAGGTAGGGTCAAAAAAGTCAATTTGCCCAGGAAAGTCCCATATCTGAAAGTTAACAAAGGAGCTGTTGGAAACATCCTCCCTGCAAATCTTATTAGTGCTCTCCAAGAAAAGGGTTTCATTCGGTGACATTTTATGAAACACAACTTTCTGAATCGAAGACTTTCCACTTCTTCTCAGTCCCATTAGCAGAATTCTTGGCTTGACTTCAGTACTAAAGGGCTCATTGAAATCTAGAACTGAATAAAAAGAAAACATTATTTGCAAAAATAACAACAACAATAAAAACAGGTGTTTATTTGCAACCAAATTCTAACACAATTTCAACTGATTTTACTCCCCAATCCTACCATTTTAGGATTCCTTCCTTTCCAATGCCAAAGAGATCAAGCTTTAGTTGACTGATCTAATGACTAATTAACCTCTGCATTTCCCCTTCACCCTACCCACCAGATATTTTGCCTGCAACGCCTGCTGGTTCAAAAGACAACTCACCTCCCTTAAAGAATAACGTAAGCTACTGATGGTGAAAAATGCAGAAGACCCTCAGAATTAGTATTGCATATTGTAAGCTGTTACAATCACAGGATTGCTAGTTTTATTACTTAATAATCAATCAATCTATTAAAACTTTAGTTGACTGACTGGTGAGGGAAAACGTGAAAGCATTGAGACTTATTGTTTTTGACTATTTTTGTTCTGGGTGGTTAGTATGATAGTGAAAGGAAGTAAAAAATATTAAATGCAGCCTTTTCTTCCAAGAATACAAGTTACAGCTTTTTGTTTTCTCTATTATACCCTCTCACACTTTCTTAGTTATCTCAGAAAGGCACCTGTATTGGGGGTTTCGAGGAAGGCTGGTACAAAAATATTCAAAATAAGTAAATAAAAGTATTTCAGGTATATTGAAATGGACAGTGACCAAAGAAAAATATGCATTGCTGTATGTGACATCTGGAATAATTAATGCTATATACTGTAGGAGCTCCCAAATACCCAAACAAATATGTAAAATGGAGCAGCATAGCTTCCTCAAGTAAACTAACATGGGTGTTATGATTCAAATATGCAGTACTTAATTTAAATCTTTTTGAAAATTAATAAGGTTGTATTATTGTATTGGAATGCAAGACAAGATACGGTAGTAAGAAATCCCTTACCACTGTATTTTTTCAATAATTAAGTAAAAATCTTTTAATTTTTTTCTTTAGTTACCATGGCCTTCTAGTAAATGTAATCTTTTGTTTAAGATGTTGGTGTTGGAATTCAACATCAGGAGAGCCACAGCAATGTAGATCTTAATTCCCTGCCTTGTTCCTGATGTAGGTCTTCACTCCCCACTTCTTCCCTGGTGGGGAGGGGCACAATTTTGTGGTTCATTTTAGGTGCTAAAATGTCCTGGACCAGCCCTGGCCACAGCTTCCCTTATCCCTGCCTTATATGGTGCAGCATTCAAATATTCAAATCTTTCTACCACCTGCAGTCTGTAGGAGTATAACCCAGAAAGAACAGTACCATGTGCTATTTCTGTACATCCAGATCAGTTCTGAAAGGGAGCTGTGAAACATGAGATGGCACATATGCTCACTGAATCATGGGAGAAGACCTCTGATGGAGAAGAATATTCATTTTGGAGAAGAACACCTATTTCAGAGGCCGCTACACTGCAAGTAATGTTTGTCACATTCCCTTTTCTTTGAAGGAAAAAAGAGCACTCTTACTAGAACAAGTGCTCCTTAAAGTAGTGTCACTGGAAAAGCTGTTTTGCTTATAAATCCACAGATTGTCAAGTGTGTGTGTGTGTGTGTGTGTGTGTGTGTGAACTATACAGACTCTATAGAAGTATAAACTCCTTTGCACAAAATACCAACAATGCTTTCTATGGATTAATGTCAAAAGGACACTTTGAAACATAAATCTAACGCTTCCCTCAAGAAATCCTAGAGTCTGAAGCAATTTTCTATCTTTTCCCAGCTCTGTAAAACAGAAGAAAATGTAGCCAAAAAGGAAAACAGTTTGTGTTATGCACAAAGCAACAGGGGGCAGAACAGCCTATTCTTTTTAACACAAAAATGTAGGTAACCATGGTTAACCCATTAGCAGGAAAAAAAGGGTTTCTCCTTTTAAACATGCCTATAAAAATACCCTTTCTATACCATCACACCAGTGCACACAATGTCATCAAAAATATGCAGGCAGACCCTGGAGCAGAGCCTGGTAATAAGGGAACTGACATTCACAGCTGCAAAGGAGCTCTAAACACTGAGCCCTCTACAGCTGTTGCCTTTTATGGGCCTGAAGTCTGCCTTCCTTATTTCCTTAGATCTCCAAGTTCGCATCAGTAAAACACGTGCAATTTGTAAGAGACACTGGATATCTGTACCACAAATACCAATAGGAAGTACTTTATTAAAGCTTATCCCTCCCTCCAGATACTGTTTCAAAAGTTTGACACATTTATTAGGATAGTTTTCTCCCTCTGCTCTTGAAACACAGGCTAAACCCAACCTCCCGTCTCCAGCTTATTTCCCCTCCCCCAACTCAATGAACTTAGTTTTTCTTTCCTTTAGTTTCTCATTGACGTTTCATCCCATTGCTCGTCTACATAAGTTTCCTCCCAGCTTTATACCATCTACAATTCACTTCTGAAGCAACCCATACAATCAGCTGCGCAGCCACTTATGTTTTTATTTCCATGCTCTCCCAATGCTCTCTACCTACCGTATTCCACTGTCTGTCACATGCCTGGACACCTCCTCCCCTTCCCCCTCTGTTTTCTCCCTGTTCTTCTTTTCCTGTTCTTCCCCACAACAAGACAGCCACAGCAGACAGTACTCTAAGTGCCTACTTGTTCCTCTCCCCAAATGCTCACTTATTATTTGGACACAAAGTCTAGATCCATAAAACTATCTACAAAGAAAGTATTTTTGGTGCTGGCTTCTGCGTTACATATGCTAGATTGTATTATTTAAACAATCGTATTTTTCTATTTGATTGATTTTTTCAAGCTGTCAGAGGACTTGGCCAACGGGGCAGTCTATAAATGTAATAAACAATAAAATACAAAGTTAGATCTGACTCTAGCCAATCAGCTACTTATTCCTCTTTCTTACATCCCATCTCATACTTAATTTCCTTTGGAAAAACAATGCTAGGTGTCATGCGGCACTTCAGGTTGTACCTTTGGACCCGAAATCCCCTTTCATCCTGATCTCAGGTATGCATAAGCTAGAGGTGGGCATTCAGTAGCAAGGTAAAAGCTGCATATGTTGAGGCCCTCAATGGCTACTTACAATTTTCTGGGTGGGACCTACACCATGATATTGAAAACATAAACTAGATGGGATGGGGGAGTAACGCGCCCCCCCCTAAACTAGACCCTGGCTCACATTAAATATGGTGCACCTTTATATTTATGCAGCAAAAAAAGAACCATGCATAAAGCTGGAGTACCATTAGGGTTTTAAGTGTTTGTGCTGTAAGCCAGGAGACTCCTAGTTTGGGGCTGCATACACAACATACATTTAAACACATCCACCACCACCCCAAGAATCCTGGGAACTTTAGTTTGTTAATGTTGCCGAGAACTGTAGCTCTGTGAGGGGGTAAACTACACCTGCCAGGATTCATGTGTATATGTAGCTCAAATCTCTCTAACTACAAGATGGCTTTAGCAAGTCTCACCCAACGCTTACCAACATAATGAATGTAAAGTGCTCCAAACTTTCTGAAGTGATATACAAAAATATTTCTATAAAAAGCACGAGAAATCTATCCCCTCCCAAATCTAATCCTCCCAACAGATTTCTCATTGTCAGGTGCCATCCTAAAGATAAAATACATCTCTCGCTATCCGTTTCATTTCTCCACTGAAATTACTGTAAGCTCCAGCACACCCCACCTCAGTGACTGATGCCATAATCACACCTCTCTTTCAGTCTAGTCGTGTGTTCCAAATCTCTGTAGTCAAACTCCAGGAAGGCTTGCTTCTCTTCCAACCCATCTCATTCCTAGCACCACCCATTCATGCTCCAAATTCTAACCCCATTCCTAAACTAATGTCTCCAACTCCCAAACCTGATAAAAGGTAAAGGGACCCCTGACAGTTAAGTCCAGTTGCGAACGACTCTGGGGTTGCGGCGCTCATCTCACTTTACAGGCCGAGGGAGCCGGCATTTGTCTGCTCCGCAAACAGTTTTTCTGGGTCATGTGGCCAGCATGACTAAGCCGCTTCTGGCGCAATGGTACACTGACACCAGAGCAGTGCACAGAAACGCCGTTTACCTTCCTGCCGGAGTGGTACTACTAATCTACTTGCACTTTTGGGTGTGCTTTTGAACTGCTAGGTTAGCAGGAGCTGGGACCAAACAACGGGAGCTCACCCTGTCACAGGGATTCAAACCGCTGACCTTTTGATCAGCAAACCCAAGGCTCAGTGGTTTAGACCACAGTGCCACCCACGTCCCAAACCTGATACCACCCCCCAAATTCCCTCCTCTGCCCCAAAACTCTTACCCTATTCCAAATGTTAGCCCTGAGACATCAAGTACCTCTGAACATTTATGTTTAGAGTGGTACCTCGGGTTAAGAACTTAATTAGTTCTGGAGGTCCGTTCTTAACCTGAAACTGTTCTTAACCTGAGGTATCACTTTAGCTAATGGGGCCTCCCGCTGCTGCCGTGCCACTGCCAAGCGATTTCTGTTCTCATCCTGAAGCAAAGTTCTTAACCCGAGGTACTATTTCTGGGTTAGTGGTGTCTGTAACCTGAAGCATCTGTAACCCGAGGTACCACTATACTTGTAGCCCCATGTTCTAATATCTCTCCTTCAAGGCCCTCACTCCATACTCTATCCAATTCAAAGCACAGCCTTTCCCACCCCAGAAGTCTTCCACATCCCCACAATCTTATTCCCACCTGTATCGCCAGTGTCTTGAAAACTGTTGTACTTGTACACCAAAGAGAATGAAAGGCTTCTATAAGTGGGGCCAGTCCAGGACATTTTGCTACCCAAGGCAAAGGACAAGCACAGACGTTGACTGGACTTTGGCAACTGAATTCCACTTCCAATGCTGGTAATGGGACACCATCCTCTACCACATCCAGGGGCAGCAGGCTAACATACAAGCTTCATGGCGCACAAAGCTCTGTCCTCCAACCACTATCACCGTCTGCACCAATTCCCCCATTCTGCTGTACGGACGTAGCCTGTATGAGACCCTTTGCAATCTGCAAGAATCCAGGATCACTCAGCATTCACTTGGGCAGCATGACGAGACTTTGGTTCTGTCTCGCCAAAAAACAAAGCAAAGGGAAAACCCCAACCCAGTTCAACAGGTTAGGTGTGGGCCGGTCCCAGTATTAGGCAGAGTGAGGCAGCAGATACTGGGGAGGAGGAGAAGTCAAGAGGTCAAGGTAATGGAAGCTGGAATAGCTCTGTCAGTAGAGCACGAGTCTCAGTGTCATGGGGTCTCAGTGTCATGGGGTTGAGCCCCACATTGGGCAACATATTCCAGCATTGCAGGGGGTTGGACTAGATGATCCATGTGGTCCCGCCCAACGCTACAATTCTAGAAGGCCTCTGTGTATCAAGCCGCCTGATGTGCCCCCTAAGCCCTCCTGCAGCCCTCAGGTGTGGTGGCAGGCGGAGTCCCTTTCAGTATATCTGCCAGCCCAGTCGGAACTGGGACACCACCTTGGCCCTCGTTGCCTCGGGTAACAAAATGCCTTGGGCCACTCAGGTTGCTGCTGCTGCTTCTGTGGGCAGAAAGAAAGAAGGGGGGTGTAGCATGGCCATAGCCAATATTTTTGTGGGGGGGGGGCAGGACATTGTTGAGGGGGGATTGATCAGTTAAATATTTCTATTATTTTACTTGATGGGGAGGGCAGCTGCCCCCGTCTTTGGCTATGCCCATGGCATGCAGGGCAAACATTAGGGGTGCAGTTTGTTGCTCCCCCTCCCACTCCTAGGGGCTGAGGTTCCCCAAAGTCCATAGGCATTGCCATTCAAAGGGTGTGTGTTTGTGCACCCGCGTCTTGTGATCGATTACGTAGGGCGGAGCTTACCTGTGTCACTCACCACAATATTTTATCCAAAGTGGGCACCCCCGTGACCCAACCCCGTTTCCTCCCTCCCCTTTCCCAGCGCCGCAACTCTCCCCAGTTCTCCCGGGTGCGCTGAACGCCGCCTGCGCGCAGCCCGGTGGGTTCCCCCCTCTCTCTCTGCCGCTCACTCCGCCCCAAAACAATGGGCCTGGCAGTCACGAGGCCGCCCTTTCCCTTCGGGGCAGCGGCGGCGCCGCCGAGCTACTTACACGCCCCGTCCCCGCCGTTCTCCGGGTCGCCGTCCGAAAACGATCCACTCCCGTCCCCGTAATCTGCAAGCCCCACGATCTCGTCTTCTTCCTCGTCTTCGTCGTCGTCTTCCTCCTCCTCCTCCTCTTCATCTTCCTCCTCTTCCTCCTCCTCTTCTCCCTCGTCCTCTTCCTGCTCCTTCGGCTTCCCCGGCACCTGGCTCATCCTGCTCCCTCCCCGGGCTTCTTGCCCCTTCTCCGAAGGCAGACCCCGGCCGGCCGGCCCCCCAGCGGCACGCTCGCCCCGCCACGAGACCCCCCCGCGCCCCTCGAGGCTGCCTCTCGCCTGGGACGCTGACCTAAGCTGCTCCCTTTCCTTGTATTTCTTCCTCGCCGCCGCCGGAGTTGTCAAAGGAAAGTCAGCCGCGGCCCTGCCGTCCCTCCCAGAGGAGAGAAACTGCGTGACCCAAGTCACCTGACACACTCACACACACACACGGAGTAACATAATAGTAGACGCCGAGAAACGAGAAACGAGCCACTCGAGGGAGGGGCCCTACCAATGAACACGCGCGCGCGCACACACATACTTTTTAAATAGATATAGATAGATATATTAAGGATTCTCATGCCACACGGAGGGAGGGGCCAGCGTTGAATTTGCGAAAGAAAAGCCGCGGGGTTTCAAACAATGTTTCAAAACACACCGTCCCGCCTCGCCCCAAAATTAGGTGTTTGTGCTCTTTGTATGTAGTGGGACGGCTGCAGTGGTGACTAGACTCGAGAGTAGTGCAGAGTTGGGGATTTTGACAGGTATACCTTTTTCTTTCTTTCTGTAACACGGTGACATGACAGGATCTCCCAAAAGTCCTTTTTTTGAACAGCTATTAAATGTATGGGTGTCACTGTCTCCTCTTGCATTTGGTATCTGAGCATGTACAGAGTACTTATGTCCCCATTAGCTTACTAACACATCTGAGGGTGAAGTATTCTGGTCAGATTTGAGCGCCAAAATCCCCTTTTTAACATACAACTGCAGTCCTAAGCATGCTTACCAGGGAGGCAGGCTGCAATTATACAGGGCGAGTCCTTTAAAAGAGGCCCTGTGGATACAGAGTACAAATGTTCCACGGAGCCTCTTTTAAAAGACTCACCCTGTACATGTGTATACCCACACCCTTCTACCTGGGAGTAAGCCCCATTGAACTCGGTGAGGGCTTATTTCTGAGTAGACATACAGAGGATTGCACTGTAAGTCTCACAGAAGGCAGCAAGATTTTACCTGAGGAAACCTTCAGGGAACCACACTGCAAAGTGTCTTTTGAAAAGCGCTGTCTTCTCAGTATTAATCCACAAGTTCAAGCAGTGGCATTGAATAAGCTGGCAAGACAGGGACAGTAAAGATGAAAAGTGCACCCTTGAAAATTTGCAGACAAGTTTAGTCAGGTAAGATGCTTCAGAGTGACTGGTTTACATTATACAGTTATGGATGCACAATCCTGTGGCCAGTAAGCAATCTGTTGCTTCTGAACCTGCTTGTTGACTCATGATTTGTAAGCGATAGGAGAAATCCATTATCCTCATGACCAGATGGTTCATCACTTTAAAAATATTGCTTTATATGTTCTGTTACTGAGCTCAGGCGCTGGAAAACAAATACAGTGGTACCTCGGGTTAAGTACTTAATTCATTCTGTACTTAACTTGAAACTGTTCTTAACCTGAAGCACCACTTTAGCTAATGGGGCCTCCTGCTGCTGCACGATTTCTGTTCTCATCCTGAAGCAAAGTTATTAACCTGAAGCACTATTTCTGGGTTAGCAGAGTCTGTAACCTGAAGCATATGTAACCCGAGGTACCACTGTATAGGCAAGGCCTGCTTTTTTGACCCAGACATACACCAGAGGGCAGAACCAGCCCACTGATGCAGCAGGGTGAAGCACTTGCCTCAGGTGGTGGATGAACAAGAGGCGGCGCCCACCACTTCCACCCCCACCAGAATGCACCTTCTCACTGGAATGCCTCCTAGGGTGGAGAAGATGAGCCACAACACCTTGCAGAATGCCTCTACTCTCACCCAGTTTTGGGGTGAGTGGAACACCGGCGGTGTGTTCCGGTGGCAGCAGAAGTGGTGGTGGGGAGAGTGGTGTTTGACCTGTGGAAGCATTTTTTGCATATTCAAGTCAATCACTGAGTGATTTTTTCCCCCCTTAAATTTGTGCTGCTCCTTTTGCCACATCTGTTTTCCTACACAGCAAGTCAAAAGCCTGATCCTAAGCGTGATTTAAAAAAAAAAAAATTATTTACTGAGAAGCAAGTCTCACGGTGTTTCATGGGACACATACTGTGATGAAAAAAATTAGGACACGCGAGTCAAGGAGGGTCAGACGAATTCCGGACCGTGTTGTTCCTGACCGTGGCCGCTAGATGTCGCTCACCAACGCCCATCTCGACCTCTTGACTCTGCTCTCTGAGCAGCAGATCTTTTTCACTTTGGGCTGTTTCCAGCTGCGGCCGCTAGATGGCAATGCCGGAGCGGATGGTGAACGCAGAAGCCTCCCCCGCCCCACGCCGGAGAGCAAAGTTACCTGCGGCGTGCATTGGAGCAGGATTTCGTAGTAACTTTGCAAACCCTTTTCACGAGGGTGGAGCAAGGGAGGACCAAGCCTACCGCTCCTACGAGGGGCAGCTGGAGCGGCAGAGATTCCCCCACCTCCCCGCTTCCTACAAGCCCATCGTTTTGCACGGTTTGTTCGTCCGCCGAGCTGGGATGTGCGTAGCAGGGCGCCCTGGGAGAGAAGAGAAAAGGTAGGTATTTAAAATATACATATATGCATTGCATTGAGCGGGGAGGGGAGGGTTATCCCTGTATGCAAGACAGGGTTCTGCAGCCAAGTCTCCTCTTGCACCGTGTCTACATTTTGTAAACAAGCAGAAGGAGGGGGAAATCTATGAATACAAGAGCTATCTGTAAGGAACTCCTCTGTTTCTCTCTCTATTTCTCCCCACCCCCAGCTCCGGTTTCTGTGATTGTTTGGCCGCTGCAAGTGTTGCCTCTTCCTCTCTCGCCCCTCCTCCTAATCTCAGAACCTTCCAGGGCTCAGGTCTGAGCCAGCGTTAAACCATAACACTGCCTGGATATGCCAATGCACACCCTGGCTTATGTAGGAAGGCTAGAAAAAACAAACAAAGGAAAAAAGCAAGACGGGAGTCTGAGCATAGCCAGAGTGCCGCTGCCTTCTCCCTGCCAATCAGAGAAGCAGCAACAGCTGGCCCAGGTCACACCTGAGATTAGGAGACTCAATTTACAGCGGGGGGGAGGGGCAGAAGCAAACGTGAGTGGGTCAATAAATGTGTCTCTTACCTTTGCACTGTAGTTAAACACATGCAAAAGTTACAGGTTCTACTCTCTCTCTCCTTCATTTCCCCATCCAGCTAAGATTAATTTAATTACAGCCCAAGGACTCATTCTAGCCAGACAAAAGCACTTGAGAACCCAAAGCAAAAGCTAGTCAGGGTTGTGGCTGAGGGGACACAGCCCAGGAAGAGAGGCCTGGATGGCTGCATTTGGCTCCTGAGCCCGGCTTCCCCATTTGTTGACTTGTTGGTTAGACATCATGCCTTCCAGGCTGAGCTGAGAGTCCAGTCCAGCCAGGTATGCTCCAAACTTGATGTGGAAAATCTAAATGGCCACAGTAGGAGTAATTCTGCAAGCCTCATTGAAATAAATGGGAGCTGTGCATGTGCAAGATATTCAGCTCATGGTCATTTCAGTGCGATTTGTGAAGGGACTTTTCCTGGTGGATTCTGCCCACGCAATAGTCACCTCTCTCTTGTCTCTCACTAATTAATGGCACTCCAAGTCTGCTACCCCTACTTGCCTCATGGTAAGCCCTGCTGTCAACACCTCTCATTTCCAGAATCCCGTCACCTTGATTTATTTAAGAAGAAAACACATCTCATGTTACATACTTTCTCTAAACGATAGGTGCTTCAGTGGAGGGTATTATGATGTGTATCCCAAATGTAAGTTGTCAGGTGTTGACTGCTTCACATGTGGTTTCCCTCCTGCCCCCATGTATAAATGCACTGGGAAGCTGCTTTTGAATAATCTCCTGCATTTTAGGAAGTTTATGAAAGGTTCTTAATTGTGAAATTAACCATATGCTATTCACCAACAGTCTCTCTCTCTTATTTTAAATACTTTTTAAAAAACCTGCATTCATTCCAATTATAGGTAGACTTGTCACAACCAGTTCTCATTAGAGACAAGTAAGAATGAAGACAGAATCTGTTAAACAAAAACTTGCATTGAGCAAGTTTATTATTATAATTTGGATCTTTTACAACACACTTTGCAAATTTATTGCAAACACTGAATTAAAACGCTACTTTTATGCTTTTACATATGCAGAAAAATGGGATTAAAGTATTTTAAAACTAGCTATGTAAAGATAAAGGGACCCCTGACCGTTAGGTCCAGTCGCGGGTGACTCTGGGGTTGCGGCGCTCGTCTCGCTTTACTGGCCGAGGGAGCCGGCGTACAGCTTCTGGGTCATGTGGCCAGCATGACTAAGCAGCTTCTGGCGAACGAGAGCAGCGCATGGAAACGCCGGAGCGGTACCTATTTATCCACTTGCACTTCGTGCTTTCGAACTGCTAGGTTGGCAGGAATAGGGACCGCGCAATGGGAGCTCACCCTGTCGCGGGGATTCGAACCGCCAACCTTCTGATCAGCAAGCCCTATGCTCTGTGGTTTAACCCACAGCGCCACCCACGTCCCTTCAAAATAAGCTATAGTGGTTGTTAAATATAGTAAGCTGTTACCTATATTTTATGGTGTTTTTATACGTATATAACACACTTGGGTAATTGTGTAATTTCAGTGATTGACTGTGTTGGCCGAAGACAGTTACGAGAAAATAAAATTAACTGTTGGGTGGGAGAGTTCCTATAAGGAAGTGGAAGCTTTGGCAGAAAGTTACTGTTTGAATCGTTAATGCTGATTTGTGTGCATTTCAGTATTCCATTTGCAAAGTATAACACCTTGCAAATACAGTGTATTAAAATATGACCAGATATTATCTGTTTCCATAGCTGTATAAAGAATAAAGCTTCCTTTCTTTTATGAATTGGAAATGACAACTAAGCACAATAGTTAGCATGGCCAGTCCCTGTCTTGCTGCTGTGCCACAACAGCTCTGCATATATCCATTTCATACACCAGATGTTTTAACGATCATCCCCCCCCATCCCCCTGTTCAATATTGGCGGAATATTTTCACAGCCACACCGAACGTATTCCCATAAACTTCAACAAATGTCGTGTGGAATCAGCCTCTGCTTTGGCAGTGATGGCTCTCTTTGTGCAACTTAACTTTCAGTGCAAGTTTTCTCCATGTTTATGTATGGTTGGTGACCATTACCTGCAAATTCAAAAAGTCCTGAGCTTCTCCACTGCCTGCCTTAAAGGATGTAGCAGCCTAGTCAAGAGGGCAGGATCCTCCTATCTCTAAAATGCAGTTATCTATGCATTCCAAAACAGTGCCTGTCATCTTCTTATTGAAGAGATGAGTTGCAATTTGCTTCAGGCACTTTAGAAGAGGGCTGGGCTTAGTCCTCTATCTTGTAAGCTTTGTGTTGAGTATTAAAGTAACACAAAGTACAAAGCTTGATGAATATTCAGGTAGATGTAGAACACCTAAATCTATAAAAAAGAATAGCATATTCTTGAAGCACTCAGCTCGAAACAGTACATAAAGAGTGATAGAAAAACAGTGTCCTAGCTAATGTGATTATATGCTTGTACAAGATATACCATTTGTAGATTTATTACTTAGGTGCACAGAAGTCATGCCATAATTCAGTACTAGGGAGGGACTGAACACTCTAGTTACTTTCATATGCGGTGAAACATATAGTAGGGGTGGATTGCAAAAAAGAAGAGGAGAATGTGTGGCACTAACTTACATTTCAGGCCTCTGTTTTTGTACCAAAAACATCCATATTAGATTACTAGTATTGTGTCTCTTGTATTATTGGCATCCCCTTGAGGCAAAATTTAAACCTAGGATGAGTTGCGACTTGAAAAGGAACGCAAATCTTGGTGCTAGAATCTGTTTCTTAGTTGTTACCTGTTTAATTCTTTTAAATGTTTCTTACTCTCTTTTAATGCTTGAGTTAATGGTGATCCATCAAAATATCTGTTCAATGCATCTGTTGTTTTTAGTTTCAAAAAAATTGTGGCAGTCAAAAGGAAGTAGCAAACTGCTATTTTGCACAGCATAATACCAGTAATTAATAATTTCTCATGCCTCCCTCACCTGATGAGAACAGGAATCATGCCACCTTAGAATTAATACATTCTGTGTATATGTATAATCAGTTGAATTTTACCAAACATCTGTAGGCTGATTTGCATACATCTCTAGATGTGTTCCTATGGAGTGCCAAACTTGTGTCAAATCCCCCACCCTCACTCTGCGTTGAGACCTACACCAGTTTGTCCCATGCAGACAGCAGAAGAGCATAATTAAATTCTTGAGTTTTGGGCATGTATTATAGTTTCTGCATAGTTATTTCTATCCCAAGTCCATCAATAGCAAGACACATTGGAAGGTTTGATGTGCCCAGAGACATCCGTATGCAAAAGGATACTTATGCACACAGGCTCCATGATTGGTAGTCTTAGATATGTCTTAGGCCAATATTTTTTTTTAAATGCCTGTGAAAAATCACTTAGAAAGTCAGCATTTGTTTCTTTTCAAAATAGCTGACTGTAATCTAATTATTCTTCCTTTAGTTGATAGAATCCCACACTCCGTTGCCCATTTCTTCATTTGTGCTAATAGGACATTGAAAATAAAGCATTCTTCTCTTTCAAAGTTGTCACATTGTCATTCTGCTTCGTTGTAAAGGGGGGACTCTTTGTATGTGTTGTTGATGATAATAAGCAACTGGTGGTGTAAAGGGATCTAGTTTTAAAACAAGATGAAATAAACTGAAGGATGCAAGATATTTTTACACTCAACATTTCTGCAGATTTCATTGTTATTTGCATAGACTAGGTATGCAGGGATTTAATTTAATGTATGGGGAGGAATATGCTATTCTCTGAAGTAGGTAGGTTGGTTGGTAATAATGTAATGCTCATGACAAGCAATGCCCGTGTTTGTTTCCTAAATTCTGTTTGTCCCTGAGTTATCATGCTTCCTGCAATAAAATATATCATATAGATGCTTGATCCTCAATCCTCAAAATTAAAGCTCAGAATGCCATCTGACCTTAGGTATGTAAGATACAAAACAAAGGTTTTACTGTATTAAAGTGTTACAGGCCTGGTGAAGAGAGTTGATACTGTTCTCTTCCCCACTTTACAGTCAATGTTAGAAACTGAGTTATGAAAGCTAGGAGATAATTGTCACCTTAAACCTAGGTTATGGGCACAACAACAGAATGTCTAGGCGCACTTTTGTATAATGAATACAAAGCTGAAAATGAATGAACTGCAGCTAAAATATTATGTTTACTTTTCACATGGTCTAGTCCTTCTCGTGCCCACCCCCCTAATATTCTTAAGAGGGTGTCTTCTCCAGTCTTCAGAGCGTAGCTGGAAGTGAGGAGGCAGAAAAAGGTCCTCCTTTCCTTCCACTCTGCAGTTTTAATCTGAAATCTTAGGTGTAGTACTGCGCCCAGAGCTCAGAAACTGCTCGCCCTAATGAAGTTCCCTGTTGCAAAATGCGCCGAGAGTGATGGGAGTTTCGAACACTGTTTGCAGTGCTTTTTCTGTATTTTAAACTTTATAGAACAATTTTTTTTGTATGCTTCCATTAGAGGATTCTGAAAACAAGCATAGATTTGTAGTTACTGTCAGTTCAGTGTGTTTTGTTGTACTGTACAGTACTTTGATAACTTTCTAGAATGAAGTTTTGTGTGTCGTCATTTAGTGACTGAATAACAAGGTAGTTCTGTCACAGGGAAGCTTGAACTCTTGTAGTTTGTTGATTTCCTTTCTGCTAAAATTGTCAGTGGCAAAAATGCATTATAAGTAATGACAACGTTATTATTTACGTATATTGCAGGGCTTCCTTTAATACCTGGCATCTAGAGGATTTTAAGAATGATGAATAGTGTGTGTGCAGAGCGAAACTACTGTTAAGACAGGTTAAGCTTCAGTGAATTTGTTTGAAGGGCACAGTAGGAATTAACTGTGTTAGCTGTGTTACACAAGGCTTGTAGCGGACGTAATTCTTCAAAAACTTTTCTGTCAGCAAGACCAATAATCGTTCATGCATTTGAACTGTTTCCGGAAATAACTACACAACCTCCCTCCTGCTCTCTTTAAACTGACCTTTATGAGTGTACAGAATACTTTCTGTGAAAGTATTCTAATAATTGTGATCACGAAAAAGTTCTAGGATTGGGGGACTAAACTATGTTTGTTTTAAGGGAAGAGTAAAATTTACTCACCATCAAAAAGACACAGAAATTTTAAATTAAGGAATTCACCTACTCTTGCAGTGTGTAAATAGTAAACATATTTCCTCTTTCATGTAAAATAATGTGCTTTTACATTCTAAATCTTTGCTTCTGGCAACTGTCCTCTTCTGAAACCTACTTTGAGTTGTAGGGCACAATTTTGTGAATGTTCCAATGAAAGTGAAACAAGTATTATTGGAGCATAATACTGCTGTCTTCTGCTTGTAAATTTTAACCATTTAAGCCTGTTGCAGAACCCTACCCTATGTATGCTGACTCAAAAATGAGGGACTTCCCCTCCTCTTTGGTCTTGCTAATTCTGAGGTCTTCTCATACTGATACAGTCGCTGACGACTCTGGGATTGCGGCGCTCATCTCACTTTATTCCGAGTCATGTGGCCAGCATGACTAAGCCGCTTCTGGCGAGCCAGAGCAGCTCACGGAAACACCGTTTACCTTCCCGCTGGAGAGGTACCTATTTATCTACTTGTTCTTCGACGTGCTTTCAAACTGCTAGGTTGGCAGGAGCAGGGACTGAGCAATGGTCTGATACAGAAACAAGTGCCCTAATGCCTGTCTGTCCCCAGTTTTGCATATTCCCTACAACTTTGTGTCCCCTTTCCTAGCTTATCCTTACATGTTTATGCCATTCTTTCTCAACTTGAATGAAAGCAGTTTGCCCAGTGCCCATGCTTCTGATTTGTGGGTTCTCTCTACATAAGAGCATTCTTAATTTGTGATAAAGTAAGACCAGGTTTATAATTCCTCTGGCTTTTGCAAACAAAAAAACCCCCCTACTTCCAGAAGCCTGATACAAATAGTGTGTGTGTGTGGGGAGAGGGGAGGCAGAGGAACAAAGAACAAAATGCCAACAGTGCCTTGGAATGAAGGACATTATCTGTGAAGGATCTTGTAAAACCAGATCTTTTCACCATGATACTAAATCTTCATTCCTGAGCCCTTTTGCTGCCTTCTTCTGACACAGGGCGTAAGTGGATGTTAATAGTATTCTTGTGACCCTTTATGACCTCTTTGAATCTGCCCCCAAGCGCTAGCTGTCTTTTGGTGGAGAGCAAAGTGGGAGAGGTTTAAAGCTACAGCTACTGAGATGTTGCTGAATTAGTGATTACTGTTGGCACAGTTCAAATAGGCACGAAACAATGTTGTTTACAGAAGAGGAAGAAATGTTCCTGCCCTGGGAAAAAAACACCTTGTGGGGTGAAGGGGATAAGAATGAGAAATGAGAAGCTAAGATGAGACTGAGTGGATGCGAGTCTAAATTTCTGTCCGAGATTAAGATTTAAGGGGGGGGTTGGAAATATGTGTTTTCAATGGGTAATTGTAAGCCTTATAGTGCACATGTCTACTTAGAAGTTATTCCCATCGAGCACAGTGGGATAGGATTGCAATCTTAATGTCTCACCACCATCAGAGTTGAGGCAGTCACTCAGGGAAAAGGGAATACACTCCCCAAAGAGGTCCACATGGTGCCTTCATTGCTGTGTGTTAAGGGTCAGGGTTAGGAACTTTTAGGTGCTAATCATTACTGAACAATCTCTTGATTTTTATCTAATGAAAACTTGCATAAGGGAAACAGCTTTTCCTGGTTTGATGTGTCACTGTGTGGTGTTTATTTTATTTTATATATTCTTGTTTTATCAATATTTGTTGTGTGCTACTTAAGAAAATTTTGCTTATAATTGAAAAGTCCAATATAAATTTAAAACCAGCTATATAAAATAAAGTAGTGTATAATAAGCGATAAGGCCATGAGGTGTGTGTTTTCAGATCACCCTTTGCATGAGTAGTCAAAGCATGCCCAGCTGCATTTTAGGCTTTTTGGTTGTAGTGGACTTATGGCCTTCCATTAGTTGTTGTTGTTGTTTACATTTGTATATCACCCTATCTCCACAGATCTCAGGGTAGTTCACAACATAAAATCACAAAATAAAAACATGAAGTACATAATGAAAATAAAAACAAGAACAACCCAATAATCCCCCAAGTTTACAACATGACTGAAGTCAGAGAGTTGTATCTTTCAGCCCTGATTATGCTTTTTCCTTGGCGTGAAAAAGCGTTGATAGAAGTTATTAGTATTAATTATATGATCCCAACAAAGATATTGTTTATATTCTTTGCAGTCTGTTTTGCATACAGCACATAGTTAATGTAGAAAAACATGTGCAAGGGAAAGAGGAAGTACAGTGGGCAACCAAAGTTTATAACAATAAATGCTAGTCATTTATGCCAAAAGCTTCATAGAGATTTATTTGTTTTGAAGCAGTTTTGTTTGTCGACTGCAGTAGTATGGAAGGGAGCCCTTAACCTGTCAATTAAGCAAGCTTGCAAATATATTTACCTTGCTTTAGTTTAAAGGGACATGCAGCCCATGGGTTGACCGGTATAATAAATTATGAAGTTGTTAAGAGCAATCTTGCAATGAGTTCAGCATGCAAAGGGCATGGACATTCTAGCCAAAGTCATGCAGGCTCCATTGGTTTCAGTGGGAAAGACTTGAGTACACTCATAACTCTCACTCAAATCAGTGGGCTGCAAAGTGCTGAAATTTGGCTGGCTAAACAAACCTTGTGATGCAATTCAGCACTTTTCCCATTGCTTTCTATTTGTGCTGACATATTATCCTCTACTGCCACATATTAAGATTGCTGTCCATTTTGGGGTCTTTTATTCTTTTCATCTCATGGAAAACATTACTCATAACAAACAGTATACATTGGTACCTCAGGTTACATATGCTTCAGGTTACAGACTCCGCTAACCCAGACATAGTACCTCGGTTCAATAACTTTGCTTCAGGATGAGAACAGAAATTGTGCTCTGGTGGTGTGGTGCGGTGCGGCGTGGCGCGGCGGCAGCGGGAGGCCCCATTAGCTAAAGTGGTGCTTCAGGTTAAGAACAGTTTCAGGTTAAGAACGCACCTTCGGAACGAATTAAGTACTTAACCCGAGGTACCACTGTATTTTAATCATTCTGAATTCATTAGTGATAGCTCTTGTTTCTAAGATTTGCCAGGTTCTGGTGGTCATTTGTATAGCTTTTCCACCAAATCCAACTTGCCTACAGAATCCACATTTAAAACAAGTTTTATTTGAAACCCCCACTATTGAAAATCTGTGATGTGTATCTTGGAGATGTGTTTTCCTTATGGTTCAAAATTCTAGATCCAACCCCCCCCCCAAAAAAAAAACTTTAGATGGCTGTCTAAACAAAATCACACAGACCTACATCACCTCCAGCCAGTTAAAGGGGAGGGAAACATGTCCCCTTCTAGAAGGATCTCTAGCTGTTCCATTTCTGGAGCATTACTCTAGCATATGTTACAAACAGGATCCTTAGCAGACCTTGCCAGGTCTGCTTAACAAAGAAACTACATTTTAGTAATCCCCCTTTTTTGCAGATCCCAATTTAGGGCTATAAAACCATAGAATTTGAGGGGACCCCAAAACCCCATTTAGTCTAATCCCAATCTTATTACATTGATAAGCCTCATTTGTTCTTCGTAACAGTAAATCTCAATGTATAACAAACAAACAACTTTCCACAACATATGGTAGCTTGTAATCATTCTAAAGCACTCAATCACTTCCCAAGTGTTAACAACTGTGTTAACTTCAGTGAAATGAAAGTTAGTAGGTTAACCATGAGAAGAGGATTCTGTGGATGTGAAATAAGAGTATTCTTTATTGGCTTTATTTAAAAAAAAGCATTTATAGAAATGCTCGTACCATAATATACAGTGAGTAGTTGGCGTAACCACCTTACAATCACACTTCTCATAATGCAACCAAAGTTGTGAGCTGGTAACTTCCTTATTCAGCTGCTCTGGAATAGCTTGCCACAATGTGGGGGTCAGTCTGTTGCATATTGGTGCAGGCTTTTCCCCATTTATGTCCACACATTTCCCATCCATCTCTGCACTGGATATTGGAATGTTTGTGACATGCTCCCTCAGCTCTCTGAGTGCTGTTATCTAAAACTTCTAATGCAAGTGTTATTTAGACATCATTGTCAAGTGTACATTCAGTCCTGGGTCCATTAATTCTCTACATTTGCTCCTGCTGATGGTAGGATCCTTTGCCCTGATGTTTCGTTTCTTTCTTTCTTTTTTTAGGAAATCTATTTATTATATTTTTCTCGGGTTTTGAAATAAACAAAGTCAGTTCATCAGATGTTTCGTTTCTTTCTAATGCCACCCGGGGGCTGGGGAGGAAGTCCCATTGTGCAAGCAGATCTCATTCCACTCATGCATACCCCACTTAAGAGTACGTTGAATTTCCACCCCGTATTTCTAACTCTCGAATAGGGCAATTGCAAGATCATCATGCATTAAGGCCAATTTTTCATCACTGCTATCTTTTTAAATAGCAGTATCTTTAAGGTCAGGGGTTGGGAACCTGCGGTTCTTCAGATGCTGCTGGACTCCAGCTCCCATCAGTCCTAGCCAGCATGAACAAGGGACTAAGATGATGGGAGTTGTAGTCCAAAAACACCTGAAGGGTTGCAAATACCCCACCTGTTTTTTAACAGAATAGACAGTTTCACCCCTAGACCCACCAAAAGGGTCTTCAGGCTGTTTCCTCTTGCTACACACCCACATTCTCTTTCCACCTGAAACTGTGCCTTGCTACCATTAGAATGTAAAATTCAAGAGTTTGTAATCCAAATGCTTTTTTGGGGAATGTGTTAGTGTGCGTTGGGGAACAGAAAAGGTGTACTGAAAGATTCAAAGTCCTGCTCTTGGAAATATTGCAGATTTAAGTTGCAGAGCATCAAAAGAATAATTATGATGTGGCTCTTTAAAGAGCATTTGTATATCTTTTTGTATATTCCTCGTCATAACCAGAGATAGAGTAATCCTGGGGAATAATAGCATCTGGTCTGCAATACAATAGAGGAGGGGGCTGTGAGCAACTTTCTAAGCAGCGCACTAATTCTAGGACCAAAGGCTTTCCCCACTGGACCCTAATTCTTTAGAACCTGATGGGCCTCTGGGGAGTCCTCCATTGACATGTAAATTGGCCTGCCCTATTATTGCCAGTGGTAGGCACACTGCTGTTTATCCCAGCTGTCCCTGTGTTGGGTGTCTGTTTGTTGCTTGGTCTTCAACGCCTAAATATGTTTTGCAAACACATGGCTGAGAGGATCCACTGTTTCCCAGAGCGTGGCAACATGTCTCATGTGAGTTAGGAGGCTTTTTTATTCATGTGTTTGTAATAAATATTTGGTACAGATCTAGGTACAGGCAGCCAGAAAGCAATACAACGTTTGCATTTAAATATTTGGAATATTTTGCTATCTAAGCTCCAGGAAGAGCTGTTAAAAGCCTTGAGGGGTAATTGAAGGTTCTTTCCTCTTTAAACAATGGGCCCTATTATCTTTTCCAGTGAGAGAGCCTGTGTAGACTTACACAGTGTTGGTAAACTAACAAAAGATCCTAGTCTTGTCTCTGTTGCTGCTTTGGTTTAAATTAAAACCCATTAAGTTATTGTGGTTTAGCAGAAGGTGTTACTTTGTGTTTCAGCAATTACGTTAGGTGACTGCAAATTTGTTTTATAATACCAACTCATCTTTTTAAAAAGTTGACTATCGTTATTATCCTAGCATATAATTATTTATAATATTTGCTTTTTACAAGGTCTGCAACGCTGACTAGAGAATGTGAAAGTAGATACATTTCTGTAGGGGCCAAGCAAGTTGAAATGGTTTTTAAAACCTATGATATTTATTGAGGCATATTGATAAGCAGTTAAAATGTTTTAAGAAAAATATCTTAATTTTTGAAGCCATGTGTGAAAACTTATATGCTTCTGGCTTCCTTATTGGCAGAATGTGGAGGACCAGCCGTTACCCTTAGGGTGTTGAGAAAGCAAGGAAGAGACTAATTGAAATGTAACAGATTTATTATGTGCAAAACACACATACTGTACTAATCTATTGAGAAGCAGGTCTTTAAACATGTATGCAACCTGTGGATTTAAACTAATGCCTATGAAAAGCAGATTAGTTAAAATATGGGAGTACAAGGTCAGACATCAGTAAAGTCTATTTTTTAATGATACAAGAACTAATACGTTGTGTATATAAAAATATTTTATTATACCATTTTCTGGTTAATGAAACATCTATCTTCAATTCCTTAGAACTAAGGCTGAGATTCTAAGAATCACTTTGCTCCCCTCAAAGGCTTAAAAAAACCCCTCCAAACAAAATTGAAACAAGAATCCAAAGTGGACCAGCTTTGTCACTTATTTTGTACCAATATTATAAGAAGCAGTAAGAAAACCTAAAATGCTTATTTTTTCCGGTTTTGCTGCCTTGAAGAAGCATTCAAAAAGAGACAACTTTCAAGTTAATCATTTTGATTTAATTGAATACTGCAACAGAGATAATAATAGTTAAAATGTGAAAAGATACTTTCCTCTGAGCTTTGAAACATGGTGGAAAGTTAATGAGGCAGAAGACTCCAGACAGAGTGCTCCAGATGGTCAAGGCAGTAGAGAGAAAGAAGGCTAGTCTGTGATAGACTGAAAGGGAAGGAGTATCTGAGCAAAGAGGCATTTTTTTAATGAGACAGCCTGGAGCAAATCCGCAGAAGATTAAAAATCAAGACGATAAATACTGAGCTCAGTCTGGAAACTGAGCCAGTGGATCTGCTAATTGAGGAGGTGAATGTTGGTGCACTGGGTAAAAAAAGAAACAATGCAAGATACCTTGCAGGATTCTTATAGCCCATTTTTAATGGCTCAATGCTTATTCACATGTTATGCTTCTGTTAACAGGTAGGTACCAATCGCCTGGAAGTACCTTAGAGGCAGTTCACGTTCTGCTTTTTAAACCCGGTACAAAGGTACAGTTTCTGAATGGCAAAGCACATGCATGGTAGCATCTGCTGTGAGTGATGGTACACGTGCTTTTAAATGTTGGGGTTTTCCCTGTAATAAACATGGAAGAAAGACAAGGAAGGTTTGGGAGTGCAAACGGTGGTATCTTCTGTGACGCCTCAGCAGCAGGGATGATGGGTTCCAAAGCCAGCCCTGCTCCCCCCTCTGAATTTCTGCAATTTCTCCAGTCAAATAATCCATACATATTCATAATCTAATGTTTATAATAACTATAGCAGGGCAACCTTAATAGCTAAAAACATGCTTTATTTTTTCATGAAACCCAAGTTTTTCAGGAAGCTGAATTCTGCTCCCAGTGCTTTATCTTTGCATGTGTGGAGTTGTGGCATATGCACAACTAGTTCTGAGCATATGAGAAAATTATGTGTGGCATATGTATGCATTTCCTGTGCTTTCAACAGGAAAACATTCATGTTTGTATTTTCAAAAAAATAAATGTCCTGGATATTCAGATTATCTTCCCGATTTTACTAGATGTCAGCTCCCCCTCTTTGGGGGGCTGCTTTGCAGGCGGTATCTGGGTCTTGCAGTGACCCAGCAGTGGGGGAGTGACGCAGCCCCGCATCACTGGGATGCCCAGTCGCGTCACGCCCCCCCGGCTGACCAATTGGGTTAGCCAGGGGGCGTGGCTACATCCGTTGAAATAGCGGCGCAGCTGGAGAACAGTCTCCTTTGCCTCCTTTCGTCGGATCTCCCAGGCTACCCACCCTCTTTTCTTGCATTGATTGATTATGGTCTTGCTATGACTAATGTCGGTCGCCTGGTTGTTGGGGCCGGGTAGGAATTTTTCTACTTGGCAAATTGGCACCAGCCATTTGGTTTTCACCTACCTAGTAGCAATCGCCACAGCTTTGTAAGGTTAGGCATTGCGTAAGCTTTATTATGGGAGGGGAGGTTGTAGCCTCTGCCTGCCCCTCCTCATTAAGGGTATCCCATTAAAGGGATCCGGGGGTGTGGTTCCTGTCTGAAGCCTGGGCGTGGGCTAGGGCCATGCCAGGGCCCCATTGGTGACCCTGGGGGAGCTCTTAATTGGTGTATATCATAGAGCTCCCCCTTCTGGTGGTTGACCCTTATGAGACTTCCTGCAGACAGGCAGGAGTCAGGATATATAGTCTTGCTTCACCCAATTGCCCACATCTGTAACCAATAAAGTTGTGGTCTAATTCATCCCATTAACTCAATATACTTGTGTTTGTGTGTATTTTTCGGAGGGAACAGTGGGGCCCGGGGCCTCTCCACGCAATTAATTCCAGTGGTTTTCTTTTCAGAGTTCTTTTAAGTGTTTATTGTGATTGATTGACAACACTAATACTGGGAGATTAAGTACAGTTGGCTGCAGTTTGACGCAGTTTTTTCCCCTATGAAAGAGGACTGTATAAATGGAGTGGAAGCTTCAGGGGTTGGGGTATGCAAGTTGAAATGCATATAGTTTTATTTAATCTCTTTAATGGGTTGTTTCATTGACTTGCATAGTTGTTGTTGTTTTTAAAAAACCTTAGCCCTGGTAAACAAATATTAAGACAAGAGTTCCATTATTTCTCAACTTTTATTTTAATTTCACTCCAATTATGTTGTGATAGACAGACATAACTGATCAGTCTCTGCACAAACTGGTTTACTGTCAGGATGATAAAACTTCATGTCAGAAACATGGGTAGGATTGCAGGGCCATCTTAGCCTGGAGATGGTGCTTGTGGTTTTAAAAGTGAAAAGGCACTTAGTGAGGGTGAAGCTGTTGTTCCATTGCTTTCTTCACTCACTCTTCTTCCCTGACTTCTATCAGGCAAAAAACTAGTTTGCTATATCCTGCAGGTAGGAGAGGATGGGGGATCAAGGGAACGGTAAAATAGAAGGACAGGAATTGCAGTGGTTGCAGTTTCTTTGAGCTTATGTAGTTAGACAATCACCCGTACCCAGCTAAGGAAGTAGCATAAATGGGCGAATGTACCTGTATTACTGGATTTTGTTATGATCAGATTTTCACTAAGGACGCCTGGATTCAAACACCTGCAGAGCTGTGAAGCTCACTGAAAGACTTCAGTGACCAGTCACTGTCAATCCATTTAAGCCATCCAATGTGGTTGTTATGAAGCCTGAGTTCCTTGGAGGAAGGTTGAGATCACACATTTTAAATTAACATATATGCATTCAGAAGTTCATCTAAGCCAACTTGCAGTGTGTTGCTTTGTATGGGATTTACATTCTGATGAGCATTCGAAGATCCACATTTCAAATATGTTTAAAATTGTGCCTGACTAGAACTTGACTGAGACAACTATTTGCAGGTGAAGAACTGGCAACCCTAAACAAGCAATACTGTAGAACTGTGGCCTGGCTCTTTGGTGGTATGATAACGATAAGAAGATGTACATATCAGCCACTTCTACCTCTTGGGTAGTATTCTGCTTCTATAAGTGCTCACTTGTCTCCCTAGAGTTTGGATTCCACCACCATCACCGCCACTTGGATCATTTTCATCTGGTGAGCTCCCGTTGCTCTGTCCCAGCTTCTGCCAACCTAGCAGTTCGAAAGCACGCCAGTGCAAGTAGATAAATAGGTACCGCTGTGGCAGGAAGGTAATCAGCATTTCCGAGCACTCTGGCCCTTGTCATGGTCCTCTGTGTGTCAGTAGCGGTTTAGTCATTCTGGCCACATGACCAGGAAAGCTGTCTGTGGACAAACGCCAGCTCCCTCAGCCTGAAAAGCAAGATGAGTGCTGCACCCCATACTCACTTTGACTGGATTTAACCGTCCAGGTGTCCTTTACCTTTACCTTTTACCATCTGAAGATGTGCTAAGAATGAACCTTCATTTAATAGATATTCTTTGGAAATGTGCTTTGGCATTCTTCTATATTTAGGACCAAACTGGAATGGTGAGGGCAACCATCCTCGTTCATGTGCATGCCCTTGTTGACATATAACATAAGAGTTGGTAGGGGCAGTCTTAATTTTTTCACTAAAGACGATTTGTGGGTAAGGGGAACTGAAGCGTCCTTTCCACGGTTTGTCACTACAGGCGCTTCTCTCAAAACTGAGGAAAACAAATATGGCTGCACTTGTAGTTTGTCCCTCAGTATGTATTGAATTCTGACACCTTTCACATAGTTCATCTTTCAGATCTCTTCCTCCCCATGATATTATGTAGGTATTCATAGCCTGTGATGTGTAAGCTGCTGTGAACTGTTAGGCAAGGATCCTTCCTTTAATTTAATAGACTTGTATGTACAATATAGTCTTTTTGATGGTTAAACATGATTATAGAAGTGGGCCTTTTTCATGTTCCCACAGATACCATATATGGGGGTGATGATCCCAATGTCTGTTAATGCTTGTAAAACAAATCAGGTTGGCTTTATTTGGAATCAGCCTACACTGATTGACACAGGGCCATCAGAATCTTCCAGTACACTTTGGAAAGAGCAGAGAGCCATGTCTTCTACCACATTTTAAATGATTACAACTTTGCGTACAAAAGAGTGACTAAATTTAGTTCAGGTAATTAGCCTGCTAGAATTATTTAATTGCTTGGTCAGCAGCTTTTCCCTAGAGATGCGGATGTCCGTGTGCTCTCTCACTTTAATTCCTAATTGTTTCCAGAGCCTCTAGCACAATTTACAGTATCCATGGCACACTCCAGGATGTGCTCATGCTTTGGACCCAGTCAGGATGTAGTATTCATTTCTGATTAATCAACCGGGAAGGAAAGAGTGTGGCTCCAAATTAATTATTTCCAGCAGTTCCATGGCACCCTGAACTAACTTTCCCCATGCCTTTGTTCATACAGCCAGAGCTTAGTTTGTGCCAAGGCTCATCCCCAGGATGTGCTTTCAGCAACAGGACTTGGCCTTGTAAGCATGTGAAGTACTAATAAAGAGGGCTGTGTGTGCACGCGCGCCAAGTGGTTTTCCTTCTGGCCACCTCAAAGCATGCAATCGGTGACTCTTACTTGTAAGTAAGAAAGAGATATTTATTCAGACAAGTGACAGTAAAGGCTCAGCAGCAGGCACAGAACTCCAGCGTCATGGTTCAAGAGCAGGGAAAGGAAGTTCACAACTGGAGGGAAGTGACAAAAGATGTCCCACAACTTTCCACAAGCCACCCACCAAGCTTTTAAAGATGAGATGTGGCTTGTTCAGTTACAAACCTCGCTTATTTTGTGGGAATGGCAGGATTGCAAACACATGTTCCATCAGGGTGGGTGGGTCTGCTTCCATCTGTGAAGGTGGCACCCGATTCTAGGCAACAAGACTGCACCCTCCTGTACAGGCTCCAGTTCAGTCATCACCTCCGTCACTTCTGCCTCCTCCTGGGCTAATCAAAGCCAGTTTTCCCCCAACAGGTGCCCTTCAGTTGTTTTGGACTACAAATCCCATCAGCCCCAGCCAGCATGGTCTGCGCTCTGAGATGATGGGAGCACTAGTCTTAAACATTTGGCGGGTACCACGTTGAGGAAGACTGCTCCACTCAGTCATAACATCTTTCTCACAAGAGAGTTCTCACTGAATCAGCATCTTTCAGCCATTTTGAAAATTCCTACTTTGACTTCTGAAATATGTCCCTTTCCGCATCTTTAACTGGTGACTGCTTTCGATATAAGCAAAATCACCAAATATGATTTTATAATGTGGATAGAGAAATGACTACATTCTGCCATTTCAGTGCTTATATGGATATTGGAAATAGGTTAAGGCCTTTCTTCATCTATATATAATTGTTCAAGGAAGCCAGATGGCTAAGGATTAATTTATAATATACTTTTGACTTTTTTTAAGGAAGGAAGGAGGGGTAATTGTTTCTCCCGGGGATTTAAAAGACATTTCATTTATAGTCTGATCATTAACCATTTGAAAAGTGAAACATGAACAGCAGTCCACCAACTGTTTTCTCTCAAGCAAACTGCAGCTCTGTTTATATATATGGGATTGCTCAATAATTATACCACACAAGTAATTTGTGACTGTTCTCCATCATGTCATTTCATAGCTCCATAGATTCAGGACTCAGGAGATACCGTGCTGTTGTTGTTTACTGTTGTTAACTTAATGTATAAGCTGATACAAGATGTTGTTTTCTTCACTGGTCTGCAGCGTTAAGCTTTCCAGATTGCCTATTACATAGATTAATTTAAGTCTGCCAGTGGATGTTAAGTACGGTCTTTGTTTCCCCCGGGTGCTAGTTTGCTTGGGGTAAAAAAAAAAAATAGGGACTAGAAATAGAATATTGATATATGATGGTATCTGTAAGCAAATGGAACCTCTATGTCAGGGGTCAGCAACCTTTTTCAGCCATGGGCTGGTCCACCGTCCCTCAGATCATGTGGTGGGCCAGACTATATTTTTTGGGGGGAAATGAACGAATTCCTATGCCCCACAAATAACCCCAAGATGCATTTTAAATAAAAGGACACATTCTACTCATGTAAAAACACCAGGCAGGCCCCACAAATAACCCAGAGATGCATTTTAAATAAAAGGACACATTCTACTCATGTAAAAACATGCTGATTCCCAGACCGTCCGCGGGCCTGATTGAGAAGGCAATTGGGCCACATCCGGCCCCTGGGCCTTAGGTTGCCTACCCCTGCTCTATGTTAAGAGGCACTATGCATTAAAAAAGTGATGCTGGAGACAGACACGTAGGAGAGCTGCTGCTTTCGTGCCCTAATTGGAAGCTTCCCAGAGGTACCTGGCTGGTCATTGTCAGAAGGAGAAGATTTGATTAGATCAGGAATAGGAACCTGTGGCCTTCCAGATGTTATTAGACTCCTGTCAGTCCCAGCCAGCATGACCAATAGTCAGGGATTATGAGAGCTGCAATCCAATAATACCTGGAGGGCCACAGGTTCACCATCTCTGCACTAGATTGACTTTGGCTCTGCTTTGTTCTAGAAAGGCTTTTCTTACATTCCTATCTACAGTGTTCCTGTAACAGCCCACTTCAGACTAGGACATCCCTTACCCTTATCTTACTTTAATGCTGAGTGCTTCTGATCACATGGACAGTTTTCTTGCCAGCAATGGATATTCCTGGAGGTGATGAATCAAGTGGTATGGTATCTCTCCCCTGCATTCTAGAGAATTCTCTGGATACTATGCAGGTGAAATAAAGTTAGAATTGGTCCTAAAACAAACTGTTTTGGAATTTTGAGATTAACATCCGCATCATACATTCAGAATATTTTTATACCACTTCAACAATCACTGCTCCCGCCAAAGAATCCTGGGAAATATAGTTTGTTAAGGGTGCTGAACTCACAGACTTTGAATTCTCAGCACCCTTCAACACACTATTGTTCCCAGATTCATCCATGGCAGTTAAAGTGGCACAAGAGCGCTTTAAAGGCATGGTGTGAATATGTCCCAACAGAATTGGAACTGTAAGAAATTGAGAGAGATTAAGATGCAGTTCAGGGGTATCTTACCCAGCTTCTGCCAAGATTTATTTGTTGTCTGAGGGTTTAACCAAATGTGAGATGGAAACTGAATTTATTGATAAAACCAAAGGAAACCTTTAGCAAGACCAACAGCAGTTGCGACTGCATAATTAGAGTTTGGCTGCAGTCCTGAATCTTTTGAAGCTGTTGATCCATAGCTGTCAACTTTCCCCTTTTCTTGCGAGGAATCCTATTCTGAATAAGGGAATTTCCCTTTAAAAAAGGGAAACATTGGCAGCTATATGTTGATCCCATTCAGTAGATTTAAGCAGTCTGTGTGTAGGATTGCCACCACCTGTCTGTCCTTGCGCTGACTGTGCTTTCCATTTTTAACACTATCTTTAACTGCTTTGCCTGTGGGCAGTTCATTTCCTGCCACAACCTGACCTGTTAAGTTCTGCACAAAGGGCTCACTGACGTTTGGTCAGTGTCTCTCGCATGATAAATCCTATTTGCTTGGCTGTGAGCATATGTATTCATTTGTACTTGGCATCTGGTTGTTTTTGCCACTTTAATTTTTGCAGCAGATGTTAATACAGGGCTATTGTTATTGAATGTACGCAAGGTTTGCTGATGCACTCTATTCTTTTTCCGGCAAATCCTCCTGCTCAGCTTCTCCCAGCACCTTTTTTTGCAGGTGGCAGGAGAGAGATACTTCCTGCTCTCAAACTTTTTATTCAAAACATCCGGTGCATCCAGCAACCCCAAGAAGAAGTTTTTGAATAAAGGTTAGAAAAAAAGGGAAGAATCTTATTTCTTTCGGGCTGCGTTGGGATCACCATTAACAATCTTTGTTTTATAAGCCCCAGAAAGCTCTGAGGCACATTGGCAGGATGTGGTAGTTTTTGCCCACTGTGAGTGAGCACTGAAGAGAGATTTGACAGCAGGACTGAGGGACCAATTCTCATTTTACTCCTCTCCTCCCAAAACTGTTTACACCCAAGTTTGTCTTCATATAATAACTGCTATAAAATGTTTCACAACTTGTGGCTAGACCTAGTTTCTTCTCACCTTCCTATCTCTTTTTTAATGGTTTTGCAGTGTCTTTTAGGTAGTAAGCCTATGAATAGGGACTTCCTTATTTTTGATCTGTGTACAGTGCTTAGTAAATGTTAGAATCATAGAATTGTAGGCTAATCCAACCCCTTGCAATGCAGGAATCTGCAATGCATCTAACCTCTGCTTAAAAACCACCAATGAGGGAGACTCCACAACCTCCTGAGGGAGGCCATTCCAATGCTGAACAGCCCTTACGGTCAGAAAGATCTTGCTGATGGTTCATGGGAAACTCCTTTCTTGTAACTTGAAGCCATTGGTTAAGTCCTACTCTGCAGAGCAGGAGAAAACATCCCTTCAGATATTTGAAGATGGCCATCATATCTCCTCTCAGTCTCCCCCTTTCCAGGCTAAACATACCCAGCTCCTTCAACTGTTCCTCATAAGGCATGGCTTTATAAATTATTATTGTGATTAGGATGATGATAATCCATGCCCTAGTTTAATCATTCAAAGATGGTTATTTCCTTCTGTTATAAAAAAAATAAAAATACCTCCTATGGCATGGACAGCTAAAGCAGAATGCTCTGTTTATATATCAGGCAGATTTGAGGCTTAATTGCTCTTTGTGGGATTAACTTTTTTTCTTTTATTGGAAACTTTATTTAAAGATTCTTAATGTCCTAACCTCATAAGCACCTAAGCTTTAATTTTGCACATGAGAAGAAAATTCTGACCCTAATAAAGCAGAGTACAGAAACCACTCAATATCTCCTTATCTTTGAACTACCAGAGCTTGTTTGAACATTTCCCTTAAATCTTCAAAAGGAGCTTATATCAAAAGGGACTTATTTGAATAGCTAAGGTCCTCCTAGCCAAATGCCATGGGTTTCATGCCTTTATTCTTCTCTCTTTTCCCCTTCTTTTTCACGTGTCTGTTTTTCTCATTCATACTTAAAACACTTCAAGAAGTTAATAACTGTACAGTGTGTGATAGAACATTTAATTTTAAACACATGGTAGTCTTGAACTTGTTCATCCCAAATCCATATTTCATTCAAGTAAAGATCCTTATGCAATCAATTAACAAGCTTAGGTGTATCTCATAAACTCATAGAATTGTAAAGTTGGAAGGGACCCTGATGTTCATCAGGCCCACCCCACTGCAATGCAGGAATCTCAACATGCAGTTGGACATCCAATTTGAAAGCATACCAGATCCTGCTTAGCTTTGCAACTGTGAAATTATGGTTAAATAATGGAGGTTTCACAGTGCTTGCCTCTTCCAGCTGCTTATTAGTTGTCCAGTAAAGGTACAAACATACCAACACCTTGTCTGGTTTTTTTAAACAGACAAAAAAACTTTTATTATAAGAAATAAACAATATTCCAAAATAGCACAAACACACCTAAATAGTATTGCCATACATAACAGTGCATGATGATATCAAAACCCAGGTGCAGGTATTATATTTTTGTATTTCTCTGACATTTAGATAATTTTGGGGGCTATCCTTAAAAGTAGCATCTTACCAACACAGGACTCGTATCTTTTTAAATGTATGTATAATGCACGGTCCCAAATCAGATTTCATTATTTCTAAGTTGGGTTGAATTCTAGCCTTGTTGCACTAAAGTTTACTGAGTAAGCTGGTTTACCTTTGTCTGTAATGTGCAAATTGAAAATGGAACACGATTTAAATACACAAACATACAATCAATTTTAATAATTTTAGACTACAATTGTATATGTATATACCTTGGAGTCAGCCTGATTTTATATAGTCTTGAGTAAACATGTAGACTTCCACTGTTAGTTTATTTGAATATTGCATACTTCTATTTCAAAAGTGGGTAATCTTTACTGTGGACCAGGAATGCATGCCAGTAAGTTGCTGTTCTTTATATTTTAAGAAAGCTGGGAAACAGTGCTAACTGGGTGCATTTAGTAAGCCAACGGAATTGATTCATAATTTGTTCAAACCATGGTGTGATTGCAGTTAAAATGCTATCTCTGTCTTAAAAAAACAACCCTTCCATGTTGTATTTTTGGAAGAGAGACCACAGCATCATGAATGCACATTTGCTTTCTGTTGTTACCATTTGTTAATTGTATTTGCGCAATTACTAATCTAGGTACTGTTTATACATTAATGCCACTTAAAACTTTGCAGTGGAGATTACGCAGTGTGGCGCAAAGGTCTTCAGAAAAAAAATATTGTGTGAGGATGGGTACATATCAGATATCATTGTATTTGAAAAGCCTAGTAGGCCTGCAGGCCATGTCAATGGTGCACATTGTTATTGGCAAAAGGCATGAATCACAGATCTCCACAGCAAAGGCAGAAACGGTGAACTTGCTTGGGTTGACAAAGACAAGTTTCTTCAGCTTGTATTGACCCTTTCTTTCCCTGGGGAAAAAAAACAAACCAATCTCTGCACCCCCCTCTTATGCTAAGTAGTCTGCCAGTAGGGTTGGCAGGAATCCAGTGCCAATGTCTGACTGGTGTCAAGCACCTGCTTCAGTTCGTTTCCTCATTTGCGTAGAAGCGGGGAAATCACCCTAATAAGCAGAGATGCATATATTAAGAAACGAGAACACAGAAAGACAGGAAGGGTCAGAACAAAAAATAAACTGTCAGAGAACCCTGGGCCTTCGGGGGTTTGTTAGGCCCTATCCTGTCTGTGTCTGCCCTAAAATCCTATTCATGAGCAGCCATCCATTCAAAATGTGGATATGAAACTAGAAATTGAGAACTCCATCCACCAGAAACAGAGGGTGATTCAGGAATATGGCTTTGCTTCAGCTGCCATGAAAATAGAGGTTATATTGTGCAGGCACTTTTCATCCTTGCCCTGAAAGGGGTCAACTGCAACCTTCCCAGGAAAAAAAACAACCAACCTGGAATTTACCCCACAAGAAAGACACTGACTTTATCCATTCAACATAGTAAGCCAAACTATTACTGGTACCATGCAAATGTGCAGGCTCCCAGAAAGGAGCTTGCTTTTTCTCTGGTCCTTTGGGCTGCTGCACCACCCTTGAACTAAGCCAAGGTTTGGCTTAGTGTATAATCCAAGCACTGGCCCATGGCTAAGCTCTCTCTCTGCTAACTTATGAGCTACAGTGAAGAACAAACCATAGCTATAGCTCATGGTTAGAGAGGAGAAAGCACGAGCCCAGTTTGGATGGCATTCTAATCCAAACCTTATCATGGTGTTGTAGTCTGTGAATTATTTATTTCATAAAATCTGTTTACTGCTTGATTGATTATGAATTGGTGTTTAATAAGTTTGAGTTGAGGAGGAGATGGGAGGAGGGAGAGAAAAGTGGCAGAAAGAAATACATGCTGAAAATGTGACTGGAATAAGCACTATCTCTTTAAGCATTACAGTCATACCTCATGTTATGTTTGCTTCAGGTTGAGCGTTTTCAGGTTGCGTCCCGTGGTGAACCAGAAGTACGGGGAAGGGTTACTTCTAGGTCTCACCGCTCACACATGCGCAGATGCACAAAATGACATCACGTGCATGTGCAGAAGCGGCGAATCGTGACCCGTGCATGCACAGATGTGGGTTGCGTTCTGCTCATGTTGCGAATGGGCCTCTGGAACGGATCCCGTTCGCAACCAGAGATACCACTGTATTTGAGTCCTTTCCTTTTGGACAAAGGAGCAAATATAAAACAAGGCATGAGAGTAAAAAGACCTAGAAGCTCCTCTGTGGGAAACCCACACGTTTGTATGGTCCTAGCAAGTCATAATTTGGGTTGTTGGGTTGTTGTGCGAACAAGTAGTCTGTGTTTTGTGGCAGCTACAACCCTCCCTGAACTGTGAACCAGCTACAGGATAAAAAGGAGAATCATTCTCATGCAAAAGAAGAAGTGCCATTAGCAGAAAGACTGTTGGCTTGTGTTGGGAAAGCAAACAGATGCAAAACCATACTTTGAAATTTCCTTTTCCATAAATGAATCATGGCATTATGTTTCTAAGAGTTCTGCCCAGGAATGCAAATTGATTACTAGAGACACTCTGCTCTCCTGTTCCTTTTTCTAACCCTGCTGGAATTCATTCTCTTATGTGCTGCTGGAAGGAACAGAGCCCATGTCCTCTTTTCCTTTGGGTCACCCTAGCAAGGAAAGTCCATCAGTTACGCGGATGCTGTAGCAGATGGTGTCACGTCCTGTGGTCTGAAAAAAGTACCCCCACCCTCTGTTCCTGCTTCTGTCTTTGACATGTGTGATCCTTTGGATCCTAGTCTATAAAGTGTAGTTTTCCTTTGTGTATAATAAAGATGTGCTTTTTAAAAATCTGTTTTGAAAATAATGAATTATTTAACAACTGCTGGAGATTAAATGAACTATTTGAGTGTGTTGTGTTTCTATTTTTAAAAAGCAGAATTCAATTACTCCACTGGTCAGCTGATCTTGTATAGCGCGTCATGACGTTCTGTTAGAAACAGAGTGTCCTGTTTCAAATGAAACCCTTTCCAGGCTGGCTGGGAAATTGAAAAATTAGGCCACAAATAGAAAGTTATAAAATGTATTTATGATTTTCTTGGCAGCACTGCTTGCCTTAGACCATAATGATTGATTTTCGCATAACGTTAAGAACAAAATTCATTAAAAGCACAACTAAGACCGTGTCCTTAATGTTCTCAGTTTTTGTATATATTGACCTTGCATAATTTTCGTGAGTGAAGTGGCATTTATCAGCTGTACTGTTTACTGTAAAATAGGTGCGGGGGACATTTTTTCAGCTGGAGGATTCCATTTCCTCATGGGCAACCTTCAGGGGTAGGTGGGGCGACACCAGTGGTGGGTAGGGTCTAAGGCAAAAACTGAGTGGAACCAGAGGCAAAAGTGTGCAGAGCAATGGATTTCAATCTTTTGTACATTCTAGCCATGTAAAAGTTGGGAGTTTCTGCACACACCCACAACTGCTCATCCTCTGTTCAGGCAAAGAAAGAGTGCAAGGACAGATTCCAGCCAGATAAAAGCACCCAGGAAGGGTATGGGACATGGGCATTGTGGGGTGTGGCCTGGGGCCCAGGAACTGGCTAGAGGGCTGTATTTGACCCTCAAGCCTGAGGCTGCCCTTGATATAAGAGGCACACATCACCTTGGTCCTGAAAGACCTCCATCCTAGCCCTTCTTTATTAGGTTCATCCTGCCCGGTTCTCCCTGCAGCAGTCCAGGAATTGTGAAGGAACAGAATCCCATGATTAATCTACTCCATCTTTAACATGCTAGAGCAGGCCCGACATATTAAACATAATATAAAGTGCATATTCAGCATTTCTTCCGATTTCTGCAACTGATATTGCACATCATAGTTAACCAAAACTGCTTTCCTGTTTCCCATGCTGGCACATTTTCATGGTTAACATTCATGAAGTGTGAATATTGCCAACCAATATTTGGCATTCCTAGTTCGTTCCTCCAATCCTATAAAGGCTGTTGTAACTCAGCCAAGCTTATGTACCCCCACATGTTTTCCCGCCTTGTTCAGATATTAACCCAACGTCAGCCTTCAATATGTCCACCAATCCTATGGGTTTTCCCATTAGGATTTCATTCACTCCACCCATTTTTTTTGCTGCTGTCCTTTACCTGACACTCCATTACTTTCATTTGTGTTCTTGCTACTACCTGAACTTATGTCGAGTTTTCAGTAAAGAACATGGTTGGCTCCAGATATGTTGGCAAGATTGGACATTGGCTGGGAACATGAGCCTTGGCATCCATGCTTTCTACAGAACGTACAAACAGGTCAGAAGCAGCAAAAGAGGCCAATGTCAATTTCACAAGTATCCTTTCTGTCTACTTTTAAATATAAAATCAAAATCAGGGAAATCCAGGGGGTATCTTACTGAAAAGCAAAAGCAACACGCAGAACGAAAATGGCCTAGTATGGGGGTCACTTTTTTGTATGGGCAATGGCAGCAGGGAGAAAGGCACAATCCAAGGGCAAACGAGAGCTGAAAAGAAGTGTCACGGCTGGGAGATCTGTGGCGTGATCTCCCAGAGTCTTTTTTTAATAATCAAAAGCAGCTACATGGTCCTCCCAATTGGATTGGGGCCAGTCTTTTTCTGGGATGGGAGGTTTTAGTTGACTATTCACAGCAATTTCATGACTTTAAACTTAATGAATTGCTATTATTCGGGGGGTGGGGGGGGGAGAGAAGACTGATGCAATGTGGGTCTTGGGTACCATTGCCCTGCCCACTCTCTGCAGCTAATATAAACTGTGGGAAAGAGTTTAACCTTTCCTTCCCCAGAGTGCATTCTGGAAGACAAAGAAAAGTACATTGTGAGATCTTGTTGCAGATTTCTTTGCATTGTTGTAGCTTGGTCCAGTTTGGCCAGCATGCAGAGTAACAACATGATACAAGTGTGGGTGCACAAGGTTTAACTATCCCTCTCCATACATTTTTGTAGCTTGTTTTGTTTTAGAAGGGGCGTTCACGATTCCTCAATGCAGCAGAGCTTTCCCCAATTCCCATGTGTGTTCAGTCTAGTTGGCACATACAATCTCTCCTTAAATAAAGTTCAACTTGGAACTGACTTGTGGCATACATTCAGTGTTGAAAAGGACTAAAACCTGGACATTTCTAACCTTATCTCAAAGCCACCCATCCTTGTTGCTTTGAGATGCCTTTTTCCCTCCTGTTAACTGTCGATGCAGCAGTGAATGAGTCATTGAGGGATATTCTTGGATTCCATTATCTGGAAGCTGATTACATCATTGCCTCATTGCTGTGGGTCTGAAATACTAATTCTTTTTGTCAGTCAAACTATCGTTTTTGCTTTCTCTCATATCTTCTCATAAGCAGCATTAGGAAGAGTGATTTTCACTGCTAAATCTCTGTCCTGCTAGCTGGCAGATTCTCTTTTCTGCAGGGTGGGGTGAGGATGGGCTTTCTTCCTTTTTTTGCCACAGGTTTTAGCTTATTTCAAGAGCACTTGTGCCATTAAGGAACTTGGAATTTGAACACACACACAGTGTTAAGATCTTCTCATGTCATTTCATATTGATAAAGGTGGGAGTATTGAATATAATAATAATAATAATAATAATATAATAATAATAATAATAAATAAATAAATAAATAAATAAAGGTTGTTGGGTTTTTGTTGTTGCTGTTACTGATATTAATTTTGTGTTACATTATTTTTGGATCTTATGATTAATGCTAAAACTTCAATTTGATCGTGATCTTTTTTGATGTGTTCTATTTATTGTTTAAGACTACTTTTGTAATTATGTAAATATTTTCATGTTGTAAGCCCCCTTGAGCCTGGTTTTACTATAGAAAGGCAGCAGACAATGATAATGGTGATGATGAAAGGCCGTAGATGGAATTAACAGCTGAAAGCTGAAGGCCTGGTTGAAGAGGAGTGTTTTTGTATGGTGCCTGAAGATAAGGAAGGAAGATGTCAGGCGAGCCTCCCTGGGGAGAGCATTCCACAAATAGGGAGCCACCACAGAAAATACCTGTTCTCGTGTTGCCACCTTCCAGACATCTCATGATTGCATGATTGCAAATAAGATGATTGCAGGGTCCTGGCTGGTTCATACTGGAAGAGGCGGTCCTAGAGGTATTGTAGTCCTGAGTCACATAAGGCTTTATAGGTCAAACCTGAATTGGGGCTGAAAACCAATTGGCAGCAAAGCTTTTATTATTGCTTTACTGCAGCACTAAGCACCTGTTCCCATTTGAGACTAAATTAGCATCAACGGATGTTAACCAGAGGTTTCAGCATGACTCTTGAGAGGCATTATGATGGCCTCCCTGCTAAAGCAATGACTACTAGCTAGATGATTTGGAAACTCAGACGTAGGACAAGGGTAAAGACTTCCTGGTCAAGAGTGAGTGGTTTATCCTTTTTGATCCACACACTTATTTGTATTTATTTGAAAGATTAAAGTTTGTTTCTTACCAATCTATAGGTTAGACAAGAAGCTGAGGACACCTCCCACGCCACCCCAAATCCTGGGAACTAGTTTAGCCCCTACAGAGCTGCAATTCCTAGCACCCTTCATGATCAACAGTTCTTGGGATGGATGTGCTTTAAATGTTCTGTAGTGTGGATGGAGCCTGAGACCATACAGGATTAACTGTTTCCTTGCTGTTGTAGCATAGTCTCTCTCTTCCCCTTTTCCTTTTAGTTTTCTTTTTTTGGGGGTGGGGTAACAGGTATCAGAATTCTTCTTAACTTGAGAGAGATAGAGGCAAGTCTGTTGTTTTGTCATAACAGAAAGGCTAGATGCAAGTAAGGCAAGGTCCCCCTCCCCACATTACATCACTTGCTGTTGCAATGGCTGTGGTGGACAGCCATCCAAATACTGAGAGACCTCAAACAGTTTTTAAAGAGATGCTGTTCTGCCAAGTTAGTATAATCCACAATAAGCAAGATTGAAAGGATGGTAAAGGATCCAGTCGGCAAAAGAGAAGGCAGGACCTCTAAACCACTGTATGGAATGAAAAAGATTCTAGTGGTGCCTCAACGAAAATTATTGGTGCAATAATCCGGGGTGAGTTGCCGAAGAATATAAAATCAGGCTTTGAGATACTAGCCATTAGTAAAGTTGGAATACTGAGATATTCTGTTAAATAAGCTTCCACCTCTCTACAAGTCTTGGGGAGTGTTGCTAGAGAGTTTTTCATGTGTTAAATGTGTGATGAAAGTTTAATTATATATGTTTACAAGGCATATTATAGTATATAAATGTCCCGCCTCACTTGTTCCAAGGGATATTTATGATATTTAAGTACCAATGGTCCCCTCTCCTGGTCCGTTGCCTCTGCCACACACTCTTCAGAGCCCTGTCAGTCCCTGACACTGCCTTAAACTGAATCAGACCATTGTTTCTTCTAGCTCAGTTTTGTCTGCATTTACTGGCAGCAGTTCTCCGGGGTTTCAGGCAGGACACAGATGCCAGGGATTTGAACCCAGGACCTTCTGCATGGAAAGCAGATGTTCTACCCCTGAGCTGTGGCATTTCTTTCATAAAGCTTCTTTGTGTTTCCCATGGCAAAATGAGCAACCCCTTTTGTGAAGTGTTGTGTGGACAGAAAAGAAAAGTGTACTAATCTCTTCATTATTTTATCTGCCCTGATAATTAAAACATAGTTATATCTGTAAATAAATTTATGACAAAAAACAACAACCCACCACCACCTCCCTCTCACATGTTTTTAGATATGTTGTTATGTTTTTAGAGTGGCTGGGGAAACCCAACCAGATGGGTGGGGTGTAAATAATAAAATTCTTGTTATTATCACAGCAAAATAGCCATAAAACCTGCATATTATTGGGGATACTTTTGCTCTTTGGCTGTCGTTCCGAAAGAATATTCTCTGGCAGCAGATCTTGAGAGTGCTGTGCTGATTGAGATCACGAACGAGTCAGTTTTACGATATTCTTAACAATCACGAGGCTCCTGCTGGAAGACATTTAGACATAGATAATGGATTGATACCTACACACGCCGGAGGTTGTACTCTTTGAAAGTGAGTACACCAGTAAGGGAGGAGGTGCCGTGTTGCTGTCCGTTAATGGAAAGGCTGTGGAGGGAAAGCAGGCTTACAAATGAACATCCTGGAGCGACAAGAGAAGGCAGGATGGTTTCCGAGCAGCGCATCCTCTCCCCTCAGGTTTCATGCATTCGCTGCGGTGTGGAGTTAGAAATATAGTGCCATTTACGCACTGTAACTACTGATATTCCCGTTAAACAAATGGACGGCAGAAGGATGTTCCGAAAGTATATCTTTCTCAGATCCTCTGTGTTGCATGTAGGAATCCAACCATTCTAGCTTTTTCAGCCTTCCAGGTATTGTTTGCCACTCCTCCTGCTGCTTTTCAAATAATTTTTAAAGGAGTAATTGCTGCTGTTTTGTTTTCCATGATGTGACTGAGAGTATGTTTTGTGTCTCTTCCCCGCTCCCTCCCCCTTTACACAGATGCAGAAGATGGCATAGCAACGGATCCAATCTTCCACCAAACTGGGGTCCCTCTGTGCACTGCAGTTGGACTGATGTGAAGCTTTTGTTTTGGACTGGAGGAGCTTGCCCACAGCTTGTCCTGAAATCCATTCTCTCCTAATTCATGAGCCAGCAGGATGTGGTCGCCGTGCTTTCAGAACGCCTTCTCATAGCTGCATACAAAGGGCAACTGGATAATGTTGTGCAGCTTATCAACAAGGGTGCCAAGGTAGCCGTTACCAAGGTAACAAGAGAAAAACTCCTTACAAATTCATGGAGAACTAACCTCACTCCCAAACCATTCATTCTTTCTGATAAATGTTCTTTTGGCTTTGAAAATCTAATTGTTCGAGGAAGTGGTGCGGACGAAAGTATTTGATTCCCTCCCCCCCAACTTGGGCCAGTTTCATTTAAATGAGACACCATGTAGATGTGAAATAATTTTCCTTCTTTTTCTGCTGTTCTTCCTTCTCCAAGGGAAAGAAGCCTAGAGCATCATAAATGTGCAGAGTTGAACAGTGAATCCACTTCTATATTTTTCTCAAAAGTGCACACTGCATTTTGCAGTGGCAAAATTAATGGTTGTAGGGGGAGGGAAATCAAAATGAAGTTATCTGGGGCTGCCTGGAAAAAACAACACCTCCTCTGCTTTAAAAGGGCAGAGAGCATCCTGTTTGTCTTGGGGAATGTTACTCCAGCTGTAAATAATATATTTTAGGGAAGAGGACTAATGGCTGGGAACATAGTGAATGCTTCTAGTATACTGTGTAATCCTACTGATTGTTCAGAATTAAGGTTTGGAAGGGGTGGGTGATATACAGGGTTTGAAAACTTTGATCTAGCATTTTTGAATCCAGCTTCCAAATTTCACCAAAATCTTGTTCGAAACAAAACTATTTTCCAACCATATATGTTTACAAATGGGAAAATGACAAAAACATGCATTTCTCCACATGGAAGGAGGGTGGGAGTCTTTGTATTTTATGTTGTCCTAGCCTGGAGCCAAGAAGTTGGGAATGCTTCTCCTGTGTTGCTTTTATTCCATTCTTCCAGAGGCCAGCGGTTTAAACACATGCTGCTGTTCAACATGAGTGGAATGAAAGTTGCAGGTCTTTAATGGTAGGTGTGGCCACAAGGACCCTTCCCCCAGAGAGTGGTCATTTGGGTCAAGGATGGCACCAGAGATACTTGAAGGGGCTGGTGGTGACCAGGAGGTGGAGGCGGCCTTCCTCAGGTGCCTCCCATATACTAAAAATGTATATGGGGCAGCCAATTTGCACAACATTCCAGGCTTCTTGGCAACTGACCTCACCTCTCTTACCCCTCCCCTCACTTTCCTAACACATAGGTAGGAGGGAGATTTGTTTCACCTGGGAAGCACCAAGAACTTCAGTATGTCTGCTAGTCCTAACATGGGGCTAAGATTCCTGTTGCTCTCCTAGGGAGGAATGTACTTCTCCAGGAATTACTGGATTTCAGTCTGTTCTACCACCCTATAGACAGTGTGTATTCCTGAACCCTGGAAAAGGTTGTGGGGATGGACCCCCCAGGTTGCTGACAGTCTGTTCACCAGTCTATGACTTGAAGGTGCCCCAAACAGCTGAGCATCATTCTGGTGGAAAAGAGGGCTATTCATCTGGAACTACTAGCCTATCAAATATAAGTAGCTTGTCAGTGAGTCCTTAGAAGAATGGACCACGTGCACCAGCCAGTTCCATATAAATAGCAAGGAAGACAAGTGCACTTGTCAAATCTACGCTCCTAGAATGGTTGGAGTTTTGTGCAATTCCCGGTGAGAGTTGATTGTGATGGTTCTTGTAGGCACAAGCCAAATTGAACAGAAAAATGTCATGAGCTTACAGAAGGAGCCTCATGGGTGAGACTGAAGCATGCATTTAGTTTCCCCATTGAAATAGATGGGATATTGTAATGCTTAACTTTGAGTGAGTTATGCCTTAAATTTTAGACTTGCTTCAGAGGTGGCATAATTTTAGAAAGCTTTGAGCTATAAATTTGGTAGCTACATAGGTGTAGTGCAGTCATTCTTCCAATTCCCATTTGGGACACGGTTTCATCTATCTTTATAGGCATGCCCAAAGGAAAATTGCAGACACATCTTCTACTGTAGATGCAGCTGCAGTTGCTTATAGCAGGAATATACATTACCTTAGCATTGGAATGTGAGGTCCCACTCCTGCAATAGTTCTGCACTTCTAAACAGGGAGAATATCAGTGCGGTATGGAAGAATCTCTTTCAGTGGAATGGGGTTAGGATGAATATAAAGCACTGTGTGCAAGCCCTAAAAATCTGTGCTAGGCACAAGTGTAGCTTGGTTCAGTTCTCATGTCTTTCCCTAACTGAACCACCCTTTTATATTCATCCATTTGGGTAGGAGTTCAGCCCCTTTGCAGTAAGCCTAAGCTACATTTCTTCTTCCCCAGTAGTATTTCCTTCTTTAGTTCTTCAGTTCCAAGGCGGCCCCTTTCACCCTATTCTTCCAGAACATTGGAAGCATCATCTGACATACTATCTTGGAAGCTTGCAGGTGGAAAAAAATGTTTTGAGATTATTTCACTGACAGGCTGCTAATGTTCATTTTCAATCCACACTAATTTTAAGGGCTGGAGACAGCTCAGAGTTCAGAAATGACAGGGTCCAATCTTAATGGGTAAGGTAAATCCTGTAAAAGAAATGTCTCCCATCTGAAGCAATGAATAGGATTACAGTGTATTGCAGTGCCTGAAAGTGTCCATTTTTTATGCCACTGGTGGCTCAGTGCAGGAAGGTAGAGGGAGGAGTGGGCACATGGGAGGGACTCTGAGGGTGGAGTCATCAAATGCACCTATGTCCCCCTCTTCACTTTGAGCCCTCACACATTATTTCTGACCATCTGTAGAGGGAGAATGTTCATGAGGGCATATGACTTCCAATATTTGAACAGATTTTAGAATAAACTCCTTATCTTCTTTTTTTTTAAAAAAAGCACACTGGCTAAAGATAACGAAAATAGACCTCTGAGGAAACACTGGAACAGTTATGGAGGTATTCAAATCATTCTGAATTCAGGCTAGTACACACAGAACTCTTTAAACAAAAAGGAAGAAAACAGCATTTTTGAATTCTTGTTTACTTGCAGAAACATACGAATTAACGTGGTCTTTCACGGTCTAATAATATAGTTGTCTCAGCTTGCTGGAATTGAAAGAGGTTCCTGTTTTCCCTTTTCTTGACTGAAGGCCGATATATCTGGACAAGTTCTGTTTAATAAAAAGACAATTCAAGTATACAAAGCCTAGTAATTATTTTTTAAAAAAATGCCTGCAAGTTCAGACATATACCTAAACTTGCTCTTAACACTGTCATCGTTGGAACCAGTGGCGTAGCGTGGGTTGTCAGCACCCGGGGCAAGGCAAGTAATTTGCGCCCCTAACCTGTGGATTTGCGCCCCCTAACCCTAACCCCCAGATGTTGCGCCCGGTGCGGCCAGCCCCCCCTGCACCCCCCACGCTACGCCACTGGTTGGAACTATTCCTGACTTAGGGCCAGTCTACCCATTGCAGTGGTCCTATAGTGTCTGCTTACTAGCCTTCTCGTGGTGGCTATTCCATGTATTACTGTAACACAGAGAAAGGCTCAGCATGTACTGCAGAGCTTTCCAAACTGTGTGTTGGGCGAAGGCTCCCTGCGCTCCTCCCGGGGCTGGAAACGGGTTAGTTTAACCTCCAGTTTGCTAGCAAAACTGAATTCCTGTGTCGCGAAATGATGCATGTCTAAAAAGTGGGGCACCAACATGAAAAGTTTGGAAAGCTCTGATGTACTGTATTAGAAAACATTCCTTATTTCTTCAGCACTGGTTGATACACGCTGCTACTTCATCGCATAGGTTGTTTCCATGCCAATGTTTAGGGGCAATTGTTTGGGTGGAGAAGCTCCATGTCTTGAAGGAGTAGGACATGTTTATAGAGGCAGAGGTAGAAATACCTGAACTGAAAGAGAAACACCGAACTGACCTCTGTATCTCAGACGCTTTCTGTAATGCATCCTTAATGGGCCACCAAGCACCCCCACCATGCTCTTTAAGACACAAGGAGGAAATGTTTTCCACAAATGTGTTAAGTGATATGCATGTTTCAGCAAAGTGTTGGCTGGAGATTGGAAGTGTGTGCTTTGGCAGGGACGTGGAGAAGTAAATGCCATGGAAAAGAAGTTAGAAAAGGACATGCAGAAGGGGTGGATACAGTGATGTTATTCAGCAGCAGGATAAAGGGTGTTGCATATATCAAATCAACTGTGTGTACTTGGTCATATAATTTGTGTGCGCGCAATGGCTCTTAGGGTGAATTAACAGAGATAATGGTAAGAAGTAATTCTTCACATTTTTGTATAGATGTACACACACCTTGCACACCCAGTGTGTTGTGTCTGTGCAATAGCATTTGTAAAAATGTATGTATATGTGTGTGGGGGCGGGTTCCATCTTATTGAAAAATTAATTACCATCCCAATATGTGGAAATTTACCCCGAGGGAAAGGATCTTCAGTCTCTTTGCTATGTTATACATAAGACACAACACCAAGTAAGCAAAACCAAAACCATACAGCATTCCTAGAATATGTATGAACTTGCTTGGCTTTAGACCTTTCAAGGAAGTAAATCAAATTATTCCAGTTATGTAAATTATTCTTTTCTCTTTCTTTTGTTTCTACCTGTTACGTCCACCACTTTCGTTCCATCTGCCTGCCATAAACAATTTTCTTTTTCTTAAAGTGTTTCTGTCACCTAGATAAGACCTCTCTATCTGGTCCCTTGGCTAGTGGCAGAATATAAATCTCTTTCTAGGCCCTACAGGCAGACAACACTATGTTGTTTACTTCCTTTTCTCCAACATCCCCACCTCCTTATTACAGATTGCTGGCTGTGTGCCACCTCACACCCAGCCACCCTGCAAACTTCAGAATTCACATTTCCACTATCCATTTGGAAGGGTTTTTTAAAAAACATTTTTTGAAAAGTACCTTCTGTCACAGGTCTTTCTTCCCTAAAAATCCTAAGGGCTCATCCACACTTCCTGCTTGTCCCATGCTTAGAACCCATGGGTCTGAGCAATTTTCTGCTTGTCCTGCTGCTTTCCCCTGGGGAAACTCTCTCTTTGCCACTGAATTGGAGCAAAGTGGAAAACGCAGTTGACATTTGCTCTGATTCAGTGGTAAAGAGTGGGATTTCCCAGGGGAAAGCTGTGGGACAAGTGGAAAGCAGGATCGAGCCCTAACATTTTCAATTTTCAGATTGTGCTTGTGAAAATTCCATGTCAGACAGGCATATCTGTGATGCCACATCAGAATCCAGCAAAACAGAGTTTTCTTATTTGGGTTGGAAGAAAGCTTCGAAGTATAAACCATGTTCACTTGCCATGTGCTGACTTGTTGCCAAATGTTAGTGCTGTGCCAGCTCTGGTAACATAAGTCTCCCACAATCAAGTGTGGAAGCACTATTGGGGAAATACTATTACTGACTATGATGTACTCTGGCATGGCAAGTTCATATGGTCATAGAAAACCCTGCTGCATCCACTGTTTGTGGACCTACAGCATATGAAGGAAGGGTTGCCACATGTCCTCTTTTACCAGGACATGTCCTCTTTTTCATGGGTATGTAAAATGAGAGTTGTCATAACAATCCATAGTTAAAAGTAGAAGTCAGCAAATGTGTCCCTTTTTTTTTTTGCCCTAATAAGGTGAAACATTGCCAACACTGACTACAGGGCTAAACTTGTTTGAATTCATATTTATGATCTAATGTTTTGCATCTCTGAATCATTTATCAATTCAGGTTCTGTGGTGTGTGTGTGTGTGTGTGTGTGTGTGTGAAATTGCCAAGAGATTTTTTGAACCATCTTACTACATAGTCAGCTGAAAGTAGTGTCAAGTTCTGGATATTATTCTCCAGGGAAGAATAAAAGGAAATGTACTCCTAAGGTTTCAACCAGCTGTTGACTTTAATGACAGCCTTTGAAAAGGTCCTGTTGGAATCAGATCAGACTTGTATATGTGGCTATCAAAGCTACAGCTTTCTGTTTGTGGAATTTAAGAACTTAATAGATTCACACATTGCCTGAGACTTTTTGAAATTAGGGGTGGGATGACTTGTGCTGCAGACACCAAGTAAATCAGTGTGAGTTATAATAAAAAGAAACCAAAATGCACAGGAATAAAGCTATTTGAAAGCATATTGGAAGAATGTTCTGCTTTATAGGGCAGGAGTCATGTAGGCCATGTAATTAAATGAAATAGTCCAAATATAGAAGATCACAGTTGGATTAAAATGGCATTCTGTTACAAACTTGATCAAATGCCTTCCAAAAGAAATGTTTAGCTAAGTAAGAGAGTTTGCCATTAAAAAGACCCACCTTGGTATCCTTACTAGACCAAGTCGTCTGAAACAGGGTCCTGGAGGAGGAAGACTCCCATTGGACAAGGCATTCTTTTGACTAAATGATACACTTGCATTTTTCAAGAGCATCTTGTTACTCTTTAATTCCAGGACTCTTTCCATTACTATCTGATAGGGGAAGAGGGGATAGATAAATAGATTGTGATGATTTGTTAATTTCAAGCTTTGGTTCCATTCGCCATCTTCTGACAGAGCTGAGGATTCTGGACATCTGTTTTGCTCATAGGTGTGTCTTCATATGATGATCTCTAGAATGGCAATCAAACCTTAGGACTGATTTGTTTTGCTTTTTTTTTCTTTAAATATATCTCAAAGCTGCAGTTAGATCAGCCACGGACAGTAAAAAACAGACAAGCAGAGAACAAGAGCAAAACCCTGCTGTGGGCTGACCACACAATTATGATCTCACTATGCTGGCAGCCTTTATACCAATACGGTATTATGTAATGTAACAATCCTATGCACTCCCGGCAGCAAAGTAAAAAGCAAAACAGTGCTTGTAGAGGCAAGAGATAACATAGTACACAGCCACTCCCACAAGTATTCTTGGCAACTCCGCCAACACCTGCCAGCCATGATGTTATGCCCCCATAATACTCATGCAAGGTACCAATCATCAGTGGTGATGGTGGCAACATCACGATGCTGTCACATGTCCCAGCCCATGATGTGGCTCCATGCCATGTATCTTCCTATGGGATCTGTGTAACTTTGCTGCAGGGCTGATGTATATGCTGCTGCCGTAGGTGGCTGTTGAGCTGGTTGGAATTCTGTTGTCCAAGGTGGTTGTGTTAGGGTGGCCATTTGTCCTACAGAGGACCATTCTCTCTTAAAGAGTAATCCACCCAAGCGTGGTTTCAAGTTAAGGAACTATAAGAAGGGAGAGCAGGGTTAAAGTTGCAACTAGGCAGCAGATTAAGCAGGTACACAGATCCGCCCAGGGTAGCTTCTTCCCCACTATGGTGACATTTATCTTTCTAGTGATTCTTTCGAAATGTGCATCTAGGTGCATATATATGCAAGCATATGCATGATTTATGCAAAGATGTGTCCTTTTTTTTGGTGCGGTGTTTTCTTTTTTGGCAATGCAGAACTGGCAACCCAAAGCGGTGGAGGCAGAAAAGGAGGCACTGATGGGCAGACCAGTGGTTTTACTTAGCTTTTTCTCTTTTTCTGGTGTAATGCTATCTCCTTGTTGATAGAGGGACATATCCCCCCAAAAAGTATAATTTTGGGGACTTTGAGCAGTAATTCGGTGAAACTTAATTGGAGTTCAGGTGGATATTATTTGATTGTCACTTCCGTGGATGTTTAGTTCCATTCGGTTAGTTCCACTAGCTAGTCTGCTGATTAGTATATCCCTAATTACAAGAAACATGTAACTTTGCAATTAGTTCATGATCCCAAATTGTTCGTCATGTGGTGCCCCAATTATGGAATTGTTTCCACAGAGAGGTCCATCTGATGCCTGTTTTGTTGCATTTTTGGTGCAATGCAGACCTTTTTTTATTTTCCCAGTCTTTCCTGGCTTAATTTAGTTCTGTTGATAGTTGTTTTTTTAAAAAAAGGTCTTCCTGCCTTTTGTTTATGTTTTTATGATTGCTTGGTGGGCTTTTTGTTTTATTTAAATAAAAAGTGTGTATCTTGATAGCTGCACTTCCTGTTTCTACACTCATTCTTTTCTGAAAACAACAGATAACACAGGGGTGGGGGTGGGCTTCTGGTTGCTATATATATCTGGCTGGCCACTGTGAGAACAGAATGCTGGACTGGATGGGACTTTGGCCTGATCCAGCAGGACTCATCCTATATTCTTACAGTCAAACCTCAGTTTTCTAACGTCTTGGCTGCCGAAGACTTTGGAAGCCAAACGCCAAAAACCCGGAAGTGAATGCTTCCATTTTTGAACGCGCCTCGGAAGTCAAATGGCTTCCGATGTGCATTTTTCATTTCTTTCCATTGAACTTGCTGACAACCCTTTGATCCTCGGTTTTTGAGCGTTTTGGAAGTCAAATGGACCTCTAGAACAGATTACGTTTGAAAACCGAGGTTCCACTGTATGAAATTGATGATTTTATGTCATTTCAATGTTCACAGAGTTTTCTGTTCACTATGAATGATTTCTGTGCTCACTCCAAAGGATAATGATAAAGAAAGTCAATAAAATAATATGGGCAAAATCAATTTTAAAAGTTGCAGTTTATCTGTGTGTAAGTCCCATTGAACTCTGTGGAATTTACTTCAGAGTAAACATGCTTCAGATTGCACTTCAAGTTCTTTTGCTTTCTGTTGTACAGTTAAGCACCTGCTTAAATCCCTTCCATTGAAATAAATGGACTTCACATTGCTTAATGTGTCAGTGTGGTGTAGTGGTTAAGAGCGGTAGTCTTGTAATCTGGTGAACCGGGTTCGTGTCTCCGCTCCTCCACATGCAGCTGCTGGGTGACCTTGGGCTAGTCACACTTCTCTGAAGTCTCTCAGCCTCACTCACCTCACAGAGTGTTTGTTGTGGGGGAGGAAGGGAAAGGAGAATGTTAGCCGCTTTGAGACTCCTTCGGGTAGTGATAAAGCCGGATATCAAATCCAAACTCCTCTTCTTAATATTGGTTGGTTTCTTCCATATATGCCAGCATTTCTAGTTGCTTGCTTCTAGAGTGAGTTGGTTTGCTGGCCTAAAATGGAATTCTAGTGGGAAATGAAAGTGTGGGTGAAACAATGGAAATTAGGAGCATCTGATACTCCTAGAGAGAAGTGCAGGTTCATGAATACGAAGAGAGGCCATACATTTGTAAGTACATATAGTTGGTAGTGTTGCAATATTCATTTAATAGGAATGTCTCTGGTATAAAGTTGCTAACATGCTGTTGTACCAGCAACTGGCTTTGAATTTTTTTCAGCAATTGCTACCTTCTGCTTTACAGCATGGGAGGACACCTCTCCATCTTGCAGCTTATAAGGGTCATCTCCGCGTTGCCCAGATTTTGCTCAAAGCAGGCTGTGATGTGGATCTTCAGGATGATGTGAGTAGTTCTAACCATTCTTACACCAGGGAAAGCCCTTGTGTCCCTGCGTTAGCCATCCAAAGAACACTGCAACAAGTTTTCTCCTTTTAGAGACTGATTCTGTTTCAAAAAGATGTTTGCTTTGTTTACTAAGGGTACTTCCAGATGGCAGCTTAATATTGCAAATGGTTCATTGGAAACAGGCTTTTTCTCCACGTTGGATTTTACACGGAAAGTGTAAATCTGAACCATTATTATTATTATTTTGTGGGGAGGTTGGCATTTTGATGCTGCCAAAGTTGTATGGATACTTCAAACAACAACAGAAGCCTGCATGCAGGAGAAGCATTAATTCCACAATAAACCCCCTATCTGGAAGGACCCTAATTTTAAAGCTTTATAGGACAGCATGTAACTGGGATGGTCAAAGACAGTGGTTCTGTAGTGCCTTGGGGCTTTTTCAAAATCTGCAAGGATCGTTTTGCCAGATACTTTTCAATTTATTTTAAGCATAAATAAAGAGTAGATGTTGCCTTTCAGAGTAGTAGAAGGTTTTTCAATATGGTATTGGACAGACACCAAGTGTTTTTAGACTTCACAGGCCTTTCCTTCCTCCAGGAAGCTCAGAGCTAAGCTGTGCTGAATGTTCACATCTGCAAACATTCCATGTGAAATTAGTGCTTTGAGGGAGCTGAATTCCTACCCCTGAACCTTACTCATCTTTTTCACTGCTGTTCTTTTTGGTCCCACTTTTCTTAGAGCTGGAAACTCTCACCACCACCCACCATCACATCATTCATGCTATTCAGAGGTGTGAAACCCATGGCAAGAATGCTTGCATTTATAATGCTCAGGACATTTCTGAGCGGAACCAAAATGCTTTATGGCATGGAAATCACTCTATTTTTGTACTCCTAGTGGATGGTTCTTTGCCATTCATTGAACTAATATATTGTGATCAGCCTTAACATTAAAAAAGAAACGTTGAAAGAAGCCTTTATTTTCATATTTTTGGCAGAATTTGACTCTCATAAAATCTGTGCAGCATGAATACTGTTGTTGCGCTCAAACAAACTTTTACTAGCTGGGGTGAAAGTGGTTTTATTATTGAAAGTCACATTATGTACAAGTTATATAGAGCGGGTATATTCATTTGATGAAGTAAATATATTCTCTCTTCCTGTAGCTTTCCTCCAGCTAGTAGATAGCATAGATGAAATGCAATGTTGTATCCAACTAGGTTCTATTCAGAGCTTGGCTTAAGTTCATTGAATTTTTCAGTGGATCTGCTCTGGGTATGGCTAACATTGGATTTCACTCAAGGTGGATTTTTTTTTTTTTAATCCATTTACATCCCACCTGAGATATTTGTACCTCTTTTATTGATTGAATGCGTTTATATTCCACCTTTCCTTCAAGGAGTTCAAAGTGGTGTACAAGATTTTCCCTCCCCAAGTTTATCACCACAACAACCCTGTGAAGCAGGCTACCTGAGAGGTAGTAATTGGTCCAAGATCACTCATTAAGCTTCATGGCTGATTGAGGATTTGAAGCTGGGTTTCCTCTGTCCTGGTAGCAACACTCCAGCAACTAGACAACAGTAGTTGTTTTACACCAGAAAGAACTTGCAAATGTGGACTTAGAAACATAGTTCTGCGGCCTCCTGGATTGCAAATATTCTCAGCTTTCAAAACACTGTCCTTTATCCTGTTTTTTTCCAGTGAACTGTGAAAGTCAATAACGATATTGTTTTTATATCCTATGTAGTAAATACATAATTGCCCAATTAATTTTCCATCTGCCAAATGTTGCATAGCATAAAGAAACTCTTAAAAATGTTGTGGAGGATTTAAAATGCTGACTTCATGTTCTACAGATGTTGATCGTTAACATATTGTAAAAGACCTTATCATTAGTTGAAGAATGACCTCCAGTGGCCTTGAATGGGATTATTATGAATTTCAGCCTGTGGAGACCAGCTCTGTAGAGTATGAAACCCCAAGAAGTAACTCTTTCCTTCTCCCTGCTAATCCTGCAAGCCCTTATTGGAATCCTGATGCCATCTCTGATTGGTCAATGAGTGTTCATACAGCACATACCTCAGAAATAGTCAAGGGAAAAGTGGCCCTGGTTAAAGAAGTCAAGGAAGAAAAAGATAAGAAAAAACAGAGGAGAAAGGCTAGAAAAGATCCTAGAAGATTGCAAAGAGAGAAGGAGGTTAGAACTGTTAACTTCAGCTTCTCTGCGACACAGTTGCATGTACCATTTGGATTGGCCATCTGGCATGTCAGAGCTACTTTAAAAGTGCATGGTTGCATGTCTGACTTTTTTAAAATTATGCTTTGCCAAAAGGTTATCTACCTGTGTCCTTTTCACACAAGAGTCCCACTAATTGTTTTGTGGTTACCATATTTAAAGGAACTGCTTCCTGGGAATTGTTTGCATTGCCAAAATCTAAAGCAGAGGTGGAGATCTTGTGGCTCTCCAGGTGTTATTGAGCTCGCATCTTCCATCGACCTCAGCTAGCCTGGCCGGTGATCATGGATGATGGAAGTTGTGGTCCAGCAACCCCTTGCTCAATGCATTCCCTATGCCTGATCTGTTGTACAGTTCTGGACTCATAAAAGTCACTGGCCAGCTATGAATGACCTTGCACTTAAGAAATAGTTTCTGCATGAAAATAATGGAGGGTAGACGGGTATACTGTGCCTCAAAGGTGGCTCTTATTGGCTAGTTTTGGCTAGTTGGACATTTATGTTTTGGTGGTACATACAGCAATTAACACTGCACAATTTCCTCTTCATTTGTCCACCTTCATCCTCCGTAACACATGATGTAGTCGGGACTAGGGGAGGAACAGAGCTCTAATTATTTCCCATAATATTTTGAGAACACTGTTGCACTCTTTTGTGTTGAGTGAAAATACCCACTTCACTCCTAGTCATTCTTATGTGCTATCCTGTGTGGATATATACAGATGTAGCTGATTTATGTGCAACAGAACACATGACTTTGATAGCCAAAGCAAGCTGGCCTGGACAACTATTTATAAAACAGTTTTCCACCTTGATGTTGGTTGTCTTTCAATTACTCTCTTTGTTATTGCACTGGAAATGCATTTTTCTGTTTGTGACTTGAGATTCCTTTTAATTGGAGGGAAATGGTTCCCAGAGCATATGTTGTCTTCCTCAAATGCCAGTATGTTTAATAAGTCCTTTAATGAACTACATTAGTTTTTCTTGTTGCTGTCACTCTGATCTAATTAAAATAATTGTTACAACAAAAATCTATCAAGCGGGTGAGCAAGTGGGTCTTTTGTTATGAAACAATCATCAGCCTAATCCATTCTATCTGCAACAGCTGGCTCTTGAGCAGTGCCATTTAGAAGGCTTTGGGTTTGAGCTGCAGGGAATCATAGTAGCTCATTTCAGTCCCATGCATCCCAGTGAAAAATGTAGCTTGATTTTATGATCTTTTATAATTTGGCCTTTATTATTTTTTAAAAATAACATTTGAAACAATAAGAAAATAGTATTTGAAAGAAAATAGTATCTGAACATGCTGCTCGGAGAACTCTGTGTTCCTTGAAATGTTTGTACAAATAAAATGGTCTCCTGCTGCTATCAGAAGATATTTTCTGTACTTTCCCCAATAGCTTCACAATGGGTCAAATTGCAAACTGTCACATAACCACTTTGCTGCAGGCCAGGCATTGCATGGAGCCACTCAACTTACATTCCAGCTTCTTTATTTAGACTGAAAACAGACATAACTTCTAGGAATAGTGGATGCAGTTTGAACATGCGTTGACCCAGTTTGCACGTCACGGTAACCCTAATGGTGTACCATGAAAATGGTTTTCCTGTCCTGTTCATCTCCCTACTAATGGTGGGGCAAAACAACCAACACCCCTGGTTTAGTGTTAATGTCTGATCCATGGGATGTGGTTTGTTTCGCTTCAACAAACCAGTTAGGAATCCCAAGGGCAAATATTAGTGACAGATTGTATGGTTTGTTGCGAATGAAACAAACCATCACCCCTAGTTCTGATGTAACGCTCAGCCAAGGTTCATGGCCTGTTTCTTCCTCTTCATCAAATATAAGCCCCAGTAATGGCCAGCAGGTGTGTGTTGCTGCTGGTTACCAAGAGGGAGGGCAAGGCAGTGGGGAAACTGGCATGTTGTGGGTGCAGAGTGGGGAGCTGTGATGCTGCACCTTCACTGTGCCAATCTCCCTGCTGCCTCTCCCTTTCTCCTCTCAGTAACCAGCCGTGACACATGGTGTTGGTAAGCCAGGAGAGCAACACAGCCCCGCTGGCTGCATAAGGCTTAAAAAAAAACCCCACCACACGTCCAAATAGTTGGTTGACCAGTCAAACATGCGGCCTTTGTAAGTGCATTGTTCATTGGGCTATCTAGATATCCATGGATATTGAAAACATCAGTCAATTGCCTGTCAGTTTGCTGAACTTTGCCTGATTTTGTTCCATCTGAAAGAACTAGATGATTGAGGAACACTCAGAGCTACTTGAGTGATTCCGAGTCAGTTAATCTGCTGATCTGGTGATACATAGTGCTAGGTAGAAGTTTGCTAGGGAGGACATATGGTGAAGCCCATGATTTGTAAGCAGTGTGTGTTGGAGTGGGGTATGACTTTCAGAATTGTAAGCTACCAGCAGTTAATGGTTACATCATGTAATGCTTCTACAAGGAAAATGATGGGGGTGGGCGGAGCATGATAACCTCTGTGGCTCACCACATACAGTTGCCAGCGCATTAGTTTTCATGCTGGAAAACTTCACATGTGACAACAGCCTACACTTAAGTTTCATGTTCTTCTTTTTCTAAATGGGAATTCTTTCTGTGTAGGAAAAGTATAACACGTGAAGTGACCTAATTGCTTAGGTTGTCTGCTAATAGCTAGACCAGTGTAATGTTGCACAATGTAGAATTTGGAATTTGGAAACCAGAGTGTGGCTTGCTCTTAAACTCATACAGTATTTCAGTAGCACTGTGTATGTTGCTGCTTATGGGGATGGGATGTTTTGATGCGGCTAATTGATATGCATGTATGTTGATGTAGATTTGAAATAAAATGTGTGTTAGTAAATAATGGGTGCTCTTTGCAGGGTGACCAGACAGCTTTGCATCGAGCTACCGTTGTGGGAAATACAGATGTAATAGCAGCTCTCATCCACGAAGGCTGTGCTTTGGACAGACAAGACAAGGTTATTGCCACTTTTGTGTTTATTCTCTTTCTGTGTTATGTTGTTGTCTCTGGAGGAAGCTCTCTCCAACTTGTTTGTGTCATTTGCTGTAGAGGAAATAAATATAATGCAGAATAACACAACACAAGTACAAGCTCTTGAAAATACATATCTGTATTGAATTGGTAAACTTCATTTTTTTATAAGTAAACATCAGTCATAGCTAAATACAAAACAACACAGCATATGGCAACATACATGCAGAGCAGCATCACTGTAAATACAATAATTACACAAACTTTCTTAATCTTTGTACTAGTTACTAATGTTTCCTTTTTTGTTGTATTCAAGTGGCAGTGGGCTACAGATCCACATAAACTCAAAGCATATGTCTTCCCCTAAAGAATACTGGGAACTGTAGTTTGTTGGGAACCACAGCTCTGTGAGAGGGAAGCACCAGCCAAGTGCTTTAAATTTGCATTGGGTGTGCTATATACGTATGGTGGGCATCTGCAGTGTCCAACTGGATTATTTCCCTTCAAGTAGTAGGATGCTATGAGCTGATAACCACATTGTTTTGAGGAAACCCACCCAGGGCTGCTACCCTTGCTGGAAACCCCTGGAGGGGAGAGTGCTCTTGTGCTAAATCGTGCTTGCTGGTTTCTCACAGGCAACTCTTCTGCCCCTGTAAGAACAAGGTGCTGGACTAGATGGGCCATTGCCTTACTCCAGCAGGCTCTTCCTATATTCTTAAGTTCTTAGATGTCACTGCTAGGGATGAACCTTAGCCCTAGGCCCCGCTCCCTCCTTTACACATTTTTTTCTGCTTAGCTTAACCATGGTTAAAGGCTGCATTGGCACTGATGTTTATCATAGTAAATGCTAACCAGGGATTGCACCTAGCTGTGGTTTCTAGTGTACTTCAAACTCTGGTTAGCCTCAGGTAAATTAAATGTTGATGCTGAGCTGATGCTGGGTTAACAAAGATTGGGACCAGGAGGGTTTTACTTCCTGAAAAAGGGGGGGAGAGAGTGGCAGTGAGTATGCGAATTCCCATGGTCTGCGTATAGTAATTCAGTCATTTAACATGGCATCCAAATAGAATTATAAATAGCACCTCCGGATATATGCAGTATTTTCTCTATATGGACACAGTACTCTAAACTGCTGCTTTTCTTTTGCCTTCAGGATGGGAACACAGCTCTCCATGAAGCCTCTTGGCATGGATTCAGCCAGTCTGCCAAACTGCTTGTTAAAGCAGGCGCAAACGTTCTTGCCAGAAACAAGGTGAGATGCATGCAGAAAGGAGCATTCAAGTGCTGCTCTGTAAAAAAAAGGAAAAGAAAAGAATAACTAATTTTTAAATGGGAGTTTTTCCTCATCAGTAGTTTCCAGCGGAGGCATTTCTGGATAAGTGGCAGTGCATTTTCTTGGCAACACTCTTCCATTTCATTTAAGATGGACTATGCCTTGATTATTCTCTTTGAGAGAAAACTTGTATTCTGGCAGTTGATGCACGCGCGCACACACACATGCACACACACCGCTCTGTTGGGAATGAATGTTGCATTAATTATGGCTGAAGAACTATCAAAGTCCTTCTAGCACCCTAATCAGTACAGAAGCGTGTGAAAATGAATTGAACAAACAAGAAAATGTCAATTAAAAAAACCCCATTTATCAGAAACAAGAAAGCCAGACACATGAATGGCAAAACTGAGGGGAAACAGCTTGTCTTCCATGAGACTTTCAGACACTAGGATAAGCTCTTGTTGCAAACTTTTGAGAGAGACTCAGGTGTTCTTCCTCCTCTCATCTATATTATGTTTTGAGGAACGTTTTGCAGAGAGGACTGGTGGGGGTGGGGACAGCAAAAGGTTGGATCCTGTCTTTTTCTAAGTCAGCAAGAGTGTTTCCTTTTGCATACGGTAATTCCACTCAGTGGAAACTCCCACCAGCAGAAAGCAGGGAGGTGACTTTTGCTAATTGTGCCACCTTTCATGCTGTTCTTCTGCGTTGGTGAATCTTTCAGAACGCTCTTGGAAAACGTTACTAGAAGGTGTTTGTGTATGTGATCACAAATCAAACAAGCCAAAAGGTGAAGGGTCATACGGTATCCCTAATGATGAAGCAAATCACTTAAGACAAATTATGACATTACTAAAAAAAAAAGTTAAAGTGTGGTTAGTGTAAAGACGAAATCCTGGTAGTGGCAGCCATTTTCTTTAAGACATCTTAAAGGACTTAGAATGGGCACAAAGTCCCTTCTTAAAAACTACAATCACACTTTTCAAATCTAGATGGAAACAAACTGATTCCTATCCAGTTCCCATTTACTTCTCCTCCTGCATGTATGCTCTACTTTTCTATAACAAGAACAGAACCCAGTTTTTTTTTAAAGAAAGTAGCCAATAAACTGGAATTATACAGGATTAGGGAGTTCTGACCAAACTGCAGGAGGCAGTGGAAGACAGGAGTGCCTGGCGTGCTCTGGTCCATGGGGTCACGAAGAGTCGGACACGACTAAACGACTAAACAACAACAGGGAGTTCTATTATAATGGTCAAGAAAAAGAAATCAGAAATTTTAAATGAACAAGAGCACTCTTGGTTTGAACTCGGGAAATTAAGTTTATTTATAGCAAAAGATATTATCAAACAGCAGGTAAAAAAGAGAATTAATGTTGTTTTAACAGCTGATTTTGGCATTTAATTTTAATGTCAAAGGACGAACTACCAAAATTTATAACAAAGTTATATATAGGTGATCTAACATGATTGTAAGAAATGGTGTGAGATAGTTTCGGCTTCTTTTCTAAAGGTGACTATTGTGTTTCCCCACATCTCTTTCCTAAGGCAGGTAACACACCACTACACCTGGCCTGCCAAAACAGTCATTCCGAAAGTGTTCGGGTCCTGCTGCTTGGAGGCTCTCGGGCTGATATAAAAAATAATGTGAGTGTTACCAAAATCTATATCTGCAGATTTGATAGAGAAAAACCCTCAAATGCAGTCTTTGAGTGGAAAAAAATAATGTGACCATGCTTAGATATGAGTTTTGTGGCCGGTCCCATTCCAAATTAATTATCAGTTGAATGGTTTTGAATGAGTTTTCTGAAGGTTTAAAAACCTTTACATTTTAACAGGAGAGGAGCAAATTTGCAATCAACCTAACAAAGGCAGAAAAACATTTTGTAAGGGCAGCAGGGCAGCTTGCACCCCAACCTCATATCAGTGTTGCCAACTAAATGGGCCATGGATGTTGGAGAAAAAGAAGCGTAACTGCTCCATGTGGTTAACCAGATTTCCAGTGTACAGCACTTGCCCCTGCATGTTTACCCAGATGCATATTTCCTCACTGTGTCCAGTCAGGCTTACTCCACAGAACCACAGCTTTACTGTGTTAAGGCATTATGTTAGCTTCCTTACTGTGATTTGCCTCCCTTATTTTTAGGCAGGAGACACCTGTTTGCATGTCGCAGCTCGATATAATCATTTGCCCATCATTAGGGTGCTCCTCAGTGCTTTCTGTTCTGTCCGTGAAAAAAACCAGGTCAGTGCATGAACTTCATTGCCACTACACTCCAATTTCTATAAGGCTTCTAAAGTATAATCTGATTCCGGTATTTAGAACAAAAGAGGTGGCTGTTGTGCTCTGAACTATGGAGAAAGCTTTTGAAATTATTCCCCTTTAAATTAAAGTGCTGCTATATCATAGGTATTATTTTGGCCTCAAGAATTGCCTTAAAGAAATGGTGTGTCCTTAGTTTGTCACATCAGAGCACGTTGTTGCATTTACATTTCTTATCTGTACTCTTTAAATATATATATCTGTAAATGAAAAGCTGCAACATTGAGTCTATGCTCCTGCTTCTGCCAAGACTCATTCCATGGCATCTTGCATAGCTCATTGCAAATACTGCAACCAGCAGGAAGATCATTTTCAAGTGGTCAGTGGGTGGGTGGGTGGGGTAGTTTGGGAACCACTGATTTAAGACACAACACCACAACACCATTTAAGACTTAAATGAAGTTTGCTTCTACTGTCTTGTTGTTCAACACATCTACTTCAGAACGTTGTAGAAAAATATACTTCAAAAGTAAAAATAACCATGTACATGCGTAGTCAGCTGCCTCGTGATAAAAATATTATTAGAAATAAGAAAGAAAGGAAGCTGTGGTGATGTATCATGAACCTTGGAGGTACATTGATGCTCGTCCTGTTTGCACTTGCCTTCATCATCTGCCACTCTCCTTTGGGACCTTCTGGTCTGCAGGGCTCTGGAATTTGGGTCCAAGATGCAACCTTAGTTGCACTGTTAACTGGATTGTCCAAAGGAATTTAAGATGCTGTGGAACAAGTGTGGTGACAAGTGTTGGCTGTGGCTTCCATAGGATCCTTTACAATATCTAGTTACACTGAATTGCTAATATGTGACAAGTCTCAAAGCCAATATACTGGGGAATACATTTGTGGGTGTGGGTGCTTTTAATTGGCTTTACATATTTTCACTGCTGTTTTTAATAGGGCTATTTCTTTACTTTTTAAATCCTATTTATTATGCATTTTTAGTTCTTTCTGTTCTAATTTATGCTGTGAGCTGCCTTGGGTCCTTCATTGGCAGAAAGGTGGGGTATTCAACCAACCAGTCTGCTAGAATGACTCAACAATATGGTAATACAAAATGTGCACCCTCCTTTTGGGTGGCACAAAATGGTGCTGTTTGTCCGGACCTCAAGGGGGGGCATGTTCAAGTTTCATTCTGCTTTCTTAACCTCTAGGCTGGTGACACGGCACTTCATGTAGCTGCTGCTCTGAATCATAAGAAGGTGGTCAAACTGTTGTTGGAAGCAGGAGCTGATGGTACAGCCATTAACAATGTAAGCACTGAAGTCACTGAAGTCCTTATTCTTACTGTTTCTAGTTATTTTTTCCTGAGTGTTGGATGACAGGACAGCATTGATGAAAGGAGTGTCTGGTTCTTTTAATTTCTAAAATGTCATTTGGAGAGAATCGTGTTTTCTCTTTTCTCTTGCAGGCTGGTCAGACCCCGCTAGAAGTTGCCAGAGAACATGACAACCCTGAGGTTGCTCTTCTACTCACTAAAGCCCCACAGGTACATTATGAATACAGTTCATTAATGATCGACTCAGAAGGATCATTCTGCAAAACTGCTCTGGAATAAATGTCTCACACACTAGTGAAGTGGATGTGTTCCAGATGTTGACAAAGAAAAGACTTGATGATACTCATTCTCGCATGCATAAGCAAGTGGGGTGTGTTGTGTCTAATGTATTGTACGCTGTGCTGTAGTTAGTGCATTTGGTTCAAAAACTACATTCTCTGCCCATTTCAGAATTTACTTTGCTGCTGCTGCTACATTCTAGGAACCGGGCAGATATTTTAAAGCATCCCTTTCTGTAATTGGACCAGGATGACTGGGTCATCATGGTATTAACTTGAAATGTTGCTACATGCAGATCTTGCGCTTTAATCGTGGAAGAAGCCTGAGGAAGAAGAGGGACAGACTGAAAGAAGAAAGGCGTGCTCAGTCTGTACCAAGAGATGAAGTGGTGCAAAGCAAGGTACAGCCAGCTTTCTATGTACTGAAGGCAAGGAATGTGGTCTGAGTGCTTGAGTCCCCCACCTCTTGAAAGTATTTTTTTCATCTGCCATGAGTGTTTCACCTTTTGCGTTGTTGTGCTTTAAGCACCTGGAGGAAAATAATTAGTACCTGCATTACAACCTAGGTGAGCCCTCTTCGGTTGCTGCTGCTGCTCTGTTTGGAATTTGGAGAACTGTTGTGTTCAGGTCTGAATGTGAGAACTTATCAGAGAGCAAAGATCAGCATCTCTAGCCCCCTTGCCTGTGTGTGCTTTTATTTTGAAACAGGGCAGTGCCTCAGCTGCTGATGACACTCACAGCAGTGACCAGGCCCTTCAGGGGAGAGGTGACATGAAAGAGGAAGCACAGTTGCCTTTATCAGAGCTCAGAGGGAGGAAGAATAAAAAGAAGAAACCAAGAGAAAAGGTACCGGCAGATGCAGAATGACAGCGGGAGGGCGCTCTTAATCTAGGCGGTTTCTCTCATCTCCTTCCATTCATGGGCAGGCTTTCTAAAACATGCCTACTTTGGTGCCCTCTGTCAGAGACATCATCAACCTTTCTATAGTTTCAAAGAGAATGGGCGATGGGGTAGCTGACCTTCAGCCGGAGGGGAACAATGGGCCCCACAGATTTCTGTCCCCCCCATTTGCTTAAACAAAAGTGTAATAGTAGTAGTAGTAGTTGCTGCTGTTAATATCATCACCAGCTTCTGTGAATCCCTCATGCCAAGTGAGAGGCCCGAAGGGTTGACCATGGGTGATTGCAGCACACAGCCTTAAAAGGATTAGCTGCTCCTGCTCTTGACCATGGGGAGGAGGTTTGGGTCCAGACTTCACATGAGCAGACTGCTGCTCAAAGGATGCTCCACAGAAGAAAGAGGTGGAGGCAACCTTTACTGATTCCTTCTCCGGTGTTCCTCCTGCTGACCTGCTCTGGAAGGTCAGGGGACCCTCTGAAAGTTATTAAAAGTGACACTGGAGGGGGAAAGGGGAACTGGCGGAAATTGCCTGCCTCCCTTCCTGCAATGGGGCCCTCCACTGGATCAGAGGCCTTTTTGCAAATGGAAGAAGCCCTTTTAGTCATAGAAAGCTATTATTGGGGCCAATTATTCTTTAATATGTGTTTAAATCTAGGCAGATAGTGGATGCTGAGTGCATTTAACAGAAGCACAAGTTCATAGCATGTTGGGTTCAACCCATTTTCCAAAACAGTTTGCAGAACCTGATGAGCAGCAAACAGGAATATTGATTTGAATGAATGAAAACAAGTCCATATGGCGGCCACATTTGCGCCAATGCATTTCATCACTTAAATTGGGCAGTGGTAGCAAATGTAACAGGAGAGATAACATTTGACACGTTACTTTGACAATTTTATTGGGTTGTTTGAAGAACACAGTTAGCTTTGAATTTGGGTATCACCTTAAAATGGATATTGTGTGAAACAGTCTGATCCTGAAGAATGTGGAATGTTTCATATGTGTCCTCAGCAAAGTTTAATTAGACCTTGTTATGGAATACGGGGAAAAGGGGGCTTTTTGTATGCCAATAGATAAGTTATCATGAGTGCTACATTTGCACTCATGGAGAATGAATGTGCTGGAATAAATAGGTTTTTTAAAAATGGTGTATTTTTTAAAACCAGGTTTTGGCACTCTCTGAACCCACATCACCAGCTGATCAGCAAGTGCCTCCTAACCCACAGCAGAATTTGCCAAAACGCAAGAGCAAACGCCGCTGCGCATCTCCTCCACCTCCCCATGAATTCAGAGCCTACCAGTTGTATACACTTTACCGTGGAAAGAATGGAAAAATCATGCAGGTAACTATGCACTTTGTAATTGGATTAACAGGCATGTACACTCTTCAGAGGGTAGGGGACAGAAAAGGATTTAAAAGTTAAATATATTAACTTTCTGTCTTGTGCCTTTGTGGGCTACCCCAGCCCGGAAGCCTTTCTGCCTGAATGAAGGATGGAGGGGTTTGTGTGTATGTAGGAACCTCTGACTTCTGGGTGGCTGGAATGTAGCCTGTACAAAGTTAAGAGTCACATCCATTGCTCTGCCTGTTTTTGCCTCTGGTACATAAGCCCCTACGTTTCCCCTGAGGAAGCACAGTCCTTGACCTGAAAAAGGTTCACCAACTCTTTTAGAAAGATTACAAGCGAACAAACTTACATTTCCAATGAAAGATACTTCCTGGTTTTAGGTTTTTGTTTAACAAGAAGCTGGAGGGACTACAGAAGCTGTGTTGGCACAGCTTTAATAGAGCATCACAGAGATCTGATCGTAACTGTGTGAGCTTAAGGAGCATACCTGGTAGCTTCTAAGCTGCAGTCAATGGGAAATGCTGTGGTTCTACCATAGACTCATTTTTACAGCAGCAGGTCAAGCGAGCTATTTGTTTAAACTATTGGCTGTAGTTGTGCTTTTCTTAAACAGCTATCTTGCCATTTTTCTCCCTAAACGAATAAAGGCCCTCTGTATACTCTAAATGCGAAGGATGAACTCTTGAGAAAAAACGTCCAGGCAAATTTATTTTATTTTCATTTCCTACTGTATAACCTGTATATTTGTTTTCTCCCTGGAGGCTCCAAGCAGTACTGTTGGTTGTGGTTGCTTTGCTGTCCTTTGAGCCAATCATAGTTGTTATTAAGATACAGGGGATGTGTTGTCACAGTTGTTTTGCTTCTTGCAGGCACCAATAAATGGATGTCGTTGTGAGCCACTGATAGATAAAGTAGAGAACCAGCTGGCAGCCGCTGTGGAAGAAATAAAAGCGGAGCTTGTTACAGCACAGGATAAGATGAACAGCAAACTAGGTCAAATGGAAAACAAAACTCAGCATCAGGTAAGGAAACATTCCATGGACAAAGTATTTCTTCAAACACTAGGAGCCTGATTAAAGCCTATAGGGCGTGGTTTGGTCTGTGTCAGGAATGGGGGACCTATAGCCCGTAGACTATACTCTTGGCCCAACAGGGGGTCCAAGTTGGCCCATGAAGCCATTTCCCCCAAATCATACCCACCTGTTCACCAGCTGATGTCGCTGGGTCAACTGATATAGGCAGGGTCCCATTCCCTGGGAGAACACACTGGAGTAGCAGAACCTGCAGCTTATCCTGTTGGTGAGCAGAGGGTGCAACCCTGTTCCATGTTTCTCTTCCCCACCTGTCAATCGCCTTACATCAGAACGACACCAGGTGATGCAGACTTCAAAAAGCAGGGTGAGCTGATTGAAAGCCCTTTTGCAAACAGCTCCACGCTGCTCTTTGAAAATGAGGTTTTAAAGAATAGCAAGGGGCTGTTTACAAAAGAGCACTGACTGTCACTAGGTCTTCAGGGGTTTGTCCATCTGTCAGATTTGGCCCTCCTAGGGGTGGGGAGACACAAGGATCTGGCCTGCCAGCCAGAAAACAGTTCTCCACTTCTGGTCTACTTGTTACAATCTTCAGGTGGAGGCTGCTTGAAACTCATAACGTGGCAATCTTTTCTATGTGGCTGTTGCCCCATGGAGTAGCCAGACATTAGTTAATTGTATTTCTGGAGGGGCTGCAATGCAGGACATAGTGGCACTACTCTCCTTGCCAGACATTCCTGCACTGAGCAAGAAGGTCTGAAAAGCCTTGGGAAGCAAGCAGGGTTTAGAATTACCAGAAATCTGCCTTGATCACTGCAGTATCTCTTATTATTATCAAGGTATCACCTTGATCATTTGTTTATTGTGTCACTCCTTAGAGTCATACCTGCAGCCAACTGAAATAACCTGCAGTGTTTTTAAAAACACTGAAAGGAATACTTTTATTCACAATGTTTCACAAATGCCTTTTCCGCTGTCCTTTTTAGATGCAATTTTTGCCCTTGGTAAGTTAAATTACCAGTAGTAAAGTAATGAGGTTTAATAAGTCAGCCTATGCATTGTTGTCATTTCTGCTGTGCTTTCCTCTTTTATAACAGCTCCGCGTTTTAGACAAATTGATGGCAGAGAGGCTGTCAGCAGAAAGAACAGAGTGCCTTCATCGTCTTCAGGAGCATGCCGAGTTGGAAAGGCATGAAGGGGAGAAACGCCAGGTAGATTAGAAAATAAGTATCTCGTGGAGCATATAAGACAATGAGGAATCTGAAACTTTCCATTTAAGATACACAGAAAAGAGCGCTTATCTAAAAGAATGACAAGCAATTTTAAAAAGAAAATTATCTGGTTATAGTGAGATACATTTTCATTTTGAGCAGTCATAGATAGCTTACTTGGGTGGTTGGAAATAAGCCATTTAAATATGTTTCTTGACGGCAGCCTATCCATTTCAGTGATCTTATGTAAAACCTTTTTGCAAGATGCTTAAACGAACCCATATTCTGAGGAAATATCTGCTTCTCATTTGATTTTTGTGGTGTCATAATTTGACTGCCTTTTAGGTAGCTAACATTTGAACTTCCAGTTTTAGAAACCCAGCAGGAAAATGCTTTCAGAATGTCTCTTAAAACTTCTATTTCCTCACATAATAAGAAAAAAAGTCAACAACCCTGTGCATTGATGAACATGGGGGTGCAGTAAAGGTAAAGGACACCTGACTGTTAAGTCCAGTCGCGAATGTCTCTGGGGTTGTGACGCTCACCTCGCTTTACTGGCCAAGGGAGCTGACGTTTGTCCGCAGCAGTGGTTGGTTACATTATTAGATCTGATCTGGGAGGTTAAAAACTTCACGTAGGTCAATATATTTTTTAGCCAAGCAGAAGGATGAAATATAAAATGATTAAAAAGAATGCTCCTGCTTGCTATCCTCAAGAATCTTCATATTTGTTCTGACATTTTTATGGCTCTAATGCAGCAATAATAATCTTACAAGCAATGTCCTACTCCCCCATTTTGGTAGAATAAGCAAGACTGTATCTCCAGACATACTGCACTAGCAATTAATAATGGCTATTGCATATACTGTGGTCCTATCACAGTGCTACAAACCATGGTATAATTACAGTGTTCCAGGCCAATACACCAATGCAAATGTTCCATTTCAGTGTGCAAGAGTGCAGATCGGATCCATTATTGCTAGGGTCTTTCAAAGAAAACATTCATTATCCCAAAGCTAGATTTGTAAACTTCCTTACTATATAGGACGCTAAGTTCTCTTTAACTCAGTAGATCAGGCTGCAACAATAATCTAGCATGCATTTAGCTGCTAAAACTAATAGACTGTCATTTGATGGCCTCTGATTTGTACATGGGTTTTTCCCTTACAGATATCGTTGGTGGGGGAACTGAAAGCTTGGTGCATGCTAAAAATTCAGAACCTGGAGTTGAAGCTTTCTGGAGACTCTAGATCTTCAAGGCCAAAATCAACTCTGTCTACATGTGAGTCACTCGCTGAGACTTTGGATACAGAGAACCTTCCTTGTACGAAGGACTGTAAAGCTAGCCAAACCCCACTGCAGTCGGATGGTTCGCAGCAGCATTCTTGCACTGCCCTTCAGAATAGTGTCTCGGAAGATACTGGAAGAAGTAGAGTGCCCACAACAGAGCAGAGCTTTGGGAAGCAGTATTTTGTTGTTCAAGAAGCCAACACTCCAGGTATCTTTTTGTTAGTCGTTTCTGGAGGGGAAAGCTATGCTAGAGTATTGTGGCAAACAATATTAGGGAGCACCCCCTCCAATGCCATCAGATCCTCTTCCACACTGATCAGACACATTTTGGATTAGTGCTTGTCTCAATTAGGTGATGGCTGGTATTCATTGTCTCTGGTTGAGACAATGAATACCAGAAAGTGGTTGAGAGAATGAGCTATGGTTAGTCATGCGTGCACCCCCTTAACAGGAATACTGGCTCAGAGGTTCCTCACACCTAAAAAGTACGGGGAAATGTGTGTGTGCCTTATGGAGCAAATGCAGGGGGGAGGCAGGCAGGAAAAGCCCCCAAAAGCCGCACACAAGCTCCACGCGGTTCTTGCGGGCTCTTCCCCAGGAGGGAGAAGGGACTGACACGGCCAGTCAGTCCCTTCTCCCTCCTCATAGAAAAGCCCGCAGGAGCTGCACGATCCTTAAAGGGTGTGCGGCTCCTGTGAGCTTTTGCGGGAGGTGGGGGTATTGCCATAGCCGCGCGCAGGCTCTCCCGGCCGGAGGGGCTGCGCGCGCCTTGGCAAAAGCCAAGACAGCGAGTGGGAGAGGCTCGCGGAGCAGTGGGAAGGCTGCGCGCCTTTCCACTGCTCCCTGACCTGCTCTTTGGGACTGGCGGCGGGCTTCCCCCCGCCAGCCCCAAAGAGCAGGTCAAAAGAACCCGAAGCCCAGCGGGAACTCCCGCCACGCTCCAGAGGCTTCAGGATGCCTTCACTGAAGCCTGGAGAGCGAGAGGAGTCAGCGCGCACCGACCCCTCTTGCTCTCCAGGCTTACAAGGTAGCCTCCAGAGCGCAGCGGTAACTCCCGCTGCGCTCCGGAGGCTTTGGGTGAATGCACCTTGTTTAGAGGGGGAGAACAAGAAAAAAATCCCCCCCCCTGTTCTCCCCCTCCTATGGTCCGGTGCGTCCTATAGAGCGAAAAATACGGTATTTCAGAAGTCAAAGTAGGAATTTTCAAAATGGCTGAAAGATGCTGATCCAGTGAGAACTCTCTTGTGAGAAAGATGTTATGAGTGAGTGGAGCAGTCTTCTGCAACGTGGTACCCGCCAAATGTTTAAGACTAGTGCTCCCATCATCTCAGAGCACAGACCATGCTGGCTGGGGCTGATGGGATTTGTAGTCCAAAAGAACTGAAGGGCACCTGTTGGGGGAAAACTGGCTTTGATTAGCCCTGGAGGAGACAGAAGTGATGGAGGTGATGACTGAACTGGAGCCTGTACAGGTGCGCACCAACCCCTCTCGCTCTCCAGACTTCCAAGGTAGTCTCCTAAAGGTGACTGAACGGCACCTTGTTTTAGAGGGGGAGAACAAGAAAAAAAAATTCTCCCCCTCTCTGCGCAGCACTTCCTGCCGCTTCGCTGAAGGGGTCCTGGGCACAATTTTTTTTTCTTGTTCTCCCCCTCTAAAACAAGGTGCGTCCTATGGTCGGGTGCGTCCTATAGAGCAAAAAATACAGTAGGCCTGGGTGCTGTATTGATCACCCAGGAACAGTATGGACGGCAGATTGTGATGGTGGCTTCACCCAGTGGTATATTTTGGGTGAAACAGACATCACACCCAAGACCCTCTCCTGCCAGCGCCACTTTCAACACTGGGCCACTGGCAGCAGAGGTGTGGTGTCTGTTTCACCCACAATATACCGTCGGGTGAAGCCGCCATCACAATCTGCCCTCCATACGGCAGAGAGAGGAGCAAGCTATATTGGAGGGCCAATACAGCTTGTTGTTTAAATATCACATGATACCTGCAGAACACGATGTTTCACTGACATAGCCAATCTCTAGCTAAGGCTGGGCAGAGAGAGTTGAAGCAATTTAGCACACAGTTGGGCATTCTTCAACACCTTCAGTACAGGGGGTAGTCCTTTGAAACAATCATAGTATTCAGGGCTTTTTTTCAGCCAGAACTCACTGGAATGGCGTTCTGGCACGAGAAGGGGGTGGGGAGACCCGCTCTGGAGAGGCATGGGCGGGGGCTCGTTCAGCTGTGGTGTGGAAGCCTCTCTTGAGGAGCCTCAACAATAGGCCTGGATGATACGTTGCCTGGGGCCAGAGTGTGACAGTGGCTTCACCCTCTGGTACATCATGCGCGAAATTGCAGCCACTCCCTCACTCATGTTGCCACTAGTACGCTGGTGGCAGAGGGACTCATGAGTGGCTGTAGTTTCACTTGTGAGGTACCACTGGGTAAAAACCATCATCACGCTCTGGCCCTCATAACACAGAGCGACCATGCAGGCAGGCAGCTTCTTTAAACTGTACCACTTAGGGGTGCACAGCTGGCTGCCTGTGCTCCAGCCGCCTTCAGACAGGCAAAAAAACCTCCAACTACTACACCTCCCCTCCTCAGGGGGATGGGGAATTTCCAACATAGATCAATCACCACCAACCAAGTGCACCACATAATCCCATACGTCTTAGAAGACAAGACGAAACAATGTGACTATCGCCGTGCGTACCCACTCAAAAACACCCCACCATAGCATACCCATTCCTTCAAATCTAAGGAAAATCCCCACAACACTAAACTAGGAGACGCCCAAATACCCTGGAAAACACACCACCTTAAACAATCTAGCAGTAAAAGCAGCAGCCACTAGGCCTTGGACCAACTTCGAAAACCACCTCCTGACAGCAGAGGGACATGCCATGGTTTCCACAAAATACTAGAATCCCAGAAACCCCCTCATCTCAATCAAAAGGGAGCACAACATAGGTTACAAAATAAACCCCGCCTGATGGATTAAAGGATTGTTTAGATCATAGTTTAATCCATCTCAGCCAAAAGAAGGGAACTCACCTTGAAACCTATCTACAGATGGTGGCTGGCACTGATACACCCAGGAACCTCACCAAAATGCTGGAGAGGCTGCACTTCCACATGTGGTGGGAATGCCCCAAAACCCAACCCTTTTGGACATCAGTCCTACAAGAAATATGCAAAATAACTAAGCATTAGAAGCCACCCCAGAACTGGCCTTATTTAATATTTTCCAAGACAATAATGCTCACACTATAACCCACCCACTCTCAACAGCCAGGAGCATCATAGCTAGACACTGGAGGGCCTGTCAGGAGTAAACATGGACCACTGATACTAAACAAACTGAAGCTAGCATGGGCACAAATAAAAAAGGATGGTTTCACCCTGGTGTGGCTCCCCTTTATTACACACACAGCCCAACCAGAACCCACCGACAGCATATGAACTGATATGGCTAACTTGACCCAACAACCCCTCCACCTCACACATGCAAACAAAACTCATTGCAGTCAACTGAAGGCAACCAACCATGCCCTGGAGTCCCCAATCTCCCTCACTGCCAATGAAAATGAGTAAATGAATAGTAAGAGAACCTACCCACGTGACACTGGCACAAAAACCTTACACATACACTATGTAAAAGAATGAAAGTTTACTATCAACCCCTAACCTTATACTGTCTGTAACATTAGTGTATAACTGCTGAAGAAAGAATTCTATGAATGGAAAGCAGAGACACTGACTGTACTTTTGTAACCAAGAAAACCTTTAATAAAAACATTTAAAAAACAACAACTCATAACTGTTCATATTTCCTTATTTACAGGAATAGAGCAACAGTTAGTTGGCGCTGGCCCAACTCCCGCTGCAGTTTCTCCTCAAGTTGTAAGGCCCAAAGACAAAGCAAGTTTCAGCAGATTGAAACAAGAACTGCCACCATCTGAATACTCAGGCTCCAAACTGAGACATGCAAAGGTACAAACTGTTTCCAAGACCCCTACCGAATTTACAAAGACTGAGGTGGAGAGAGGAGGCTGCTTTATAGATAAAGGAACTCAAACGAAGAGGTCTGGCAGAAGTGGTCAGTTGAAGCACAGGCCTCAGCAACATGCAGGCACCCACTCTGCAGAGCAGCCGCCACCGCCACCACCTGCTGTCTCTGGAGGAAAAGAGGTCAGCCCTCAACTTGCAGGCACTTCTCAAGCTCTGGAAATCACACAGTACTTTTTTGAGGCTGTATCCAGCCAGATGGAGAAGTGGTATGAAAGGAAGATTGAAGAAGCTCGGAGCCAAGCTGACCAGAGAGCCCAGGAAGATAAAGCACTCCTCAAAGAACATATAAAAAGTTTAGAAGAGGAACTCTATAAGCTAAGGACTAAAGTGCAGAAGGAACATTAGCATTTGCCTGCTCTCATGAAGTGTTGCAAAGGAACTGATAACTTTGACAAACAGCAATTAAGCTAATTTTATTGGAGTTTTATTGGAATTTTACACTTCTTGGGGATTTGTGGCCTTTCCAGATTATAAGGATTTTTGCTCGTGCATTGCTCACAAGGAATGCAGATTGCTGCCCTCCAAGTAGCACTTGTTTTGTACAGAAACTGCATTGCATTTCCCTTCCCCTGTTAAAAATGTTTCTTTTATCCCCATACAGTGTGCCAGTGGTGATAGTATAATACAGAATGTAGTTGTGTGGCTTTTCATTGCTGATGATACAGCTCTCCAGTATGCCTGTGCCATTTTTATGAATCTTGTAAAGTTTTATTTTATACGTATTTAAGACATGTTTTTGAAGCGAAGCATTCTCTTGCTCTACCATATGTGCTCATGTATCTTTTTGAAAATAAAAGAGTTAAGCGCCCCAAATTAGCAAGGCTACCTCTTCCTCCTTCATAGGACTGCATTGCCATTTTATGAATCCTATGGGATCCCCTACCCCAATACAGATAAGAGTAGCCTGTATGGGGAACTATGTGCTAACAGGTCAGGCGAGTGATTTTCAAGTCCTATCTAACACTTTGTGCTGCCTATGTGTACTTTTGTCATACCGTTTTACTGATCAGCTCTTGGGATGGAGGTGCTGAAGTTTTAGCTCTTCCAACCAAAAAGCTAATTGGCATACAGTGGTACCTCGGGTTACATACGCTTCAGGTTACAGACTCCGCTAACCCAGAAATAGTACTTCGGGTTAAGAACTTTGCTTCAGGATGAGAACAGAAATCGTGCTCCGGTGGTGCAGCGGCAACAGGAGGCCCCATTAGCTAAAGTGGTGCTTCAGGTTAAGAACAGTTTCAGGTTAAGAACGGACCTCCAGAACAAATGAAGTACTTAACACGAGGTACCACTGTACTTGCAGCCAGAAAAAGCATTATTGTCAGGGCTTTTGTATATAAGAAGAACTTGGCGTTGGTCTTTTGTGAGCTGAGACCTGAGGCAGCCCTGACAATTATATATAGATAGATATTGAGTGCCTTTGAGTGACAGTAAATTCCTAAAAGTTAACGCCTTGTCCTTGTATAGTGATGGTCAACTGGTGGTCTGTGAGATAAATATGGCCTTTTTAGCTGGGTCCTGATGCCCCAGCCAACTTCTAACCAAGGTGTGGTACCTTGTTTCACTCAAAGGACAAAAGACACTGCTAGATAGTAGCAACATGTTCTTCTGGCCCACTAACTGTTACTTGGAGAATATAATGGTCCTTGCAAATACAGAAATGGGCTGTATTTCCTAAATTAGATTGTGTCTTCACTGCACTTGCCCCACGTGAATTTCATCTTTAACAAAAAAATTTAAAACTTGCCTTAAGGTTTCTATGCACGACTGGCCCCTGATGGATTGTGTAGTTTCAAGTCTTCAAATTATACTGTTATTCAGCCTTACTTTATTTTTAAATATATCTTGAGTGCTGTGATATGTGTCAAGAAGTGTTTTTTTCACCCAGGGGAGTGGGTGGTGATCTTTAAAATTAACGTTGGCATGACACTTAGGCAAAAACAGCTATTGCTTTTAAAAGTTCAACAGTCCAATGCAGCTAAGGAAATCTAGTGTATGTAAGCAGATTTGCATATATGTTTTGCACATCTTAATGAGGATGCAATATATTAACACTGTATGCCTCTGGATGTGCCCATGATTGTGCTTTGCTAGCCCTATTATTGCACAACTAATGCTGAATTGAGGCCAAATCTGTTGTGATTTAGAAATAGTTCTCCAGGCACAGATCTTAACTCTCATGTAAGAGTATAAACATTTTGAATGAAGTCCTTAAAGAGAGATGGTTGTATACGAAAAGTACATAAAGCTCTTTATGCACAAAATCTCAATCCAAATACTCTACATTTTTTACATTCATGTGCTTCTGTGGTCTAAATCTATGCTGCCCAAAGTGGGGTATAATTTAAATCCTACAATGAATTTAAATCCGATAATCCATAAATCTATAAGCATATTAAATATGCCTAGGTTATAATTGTTACAATTTGGAGGTGGTGGTGTTGGGTTGTGTGATACAGCTAAAAAAGCAATTTTTAACCCCAAAATCCATATTTAAGGTAGGCCAAACAAGCTAATAGTGCACTATCACAAAGTAAGTCTGCAGGTTTTTGAGTTCTCCAAAACTCTTTGTCAGGTTAGAACTGAGCAGTGGTGGAAAAAAGTTGGCTGATGTTGAAGACATAGAACCTGTTATCTCACCAGAGTCTTAAAATGGAATGGAAGGACGTAGCAGACAATCTAACTGAATGTCTTTACCCGTTATAGAATTATAAGGGATTCCCCATTAGTCATCTGGTCCAACCAATCCCCTACAATGGAAGAATCTCATCTAAAGCCATCTAACCTCTGCTTGAAAACCTCCATGGAAGGAGAGTCTACAAGCTCCCAAGGGAGTCTGTTCCACTGTTGAACTGCTCTTACTGTCAGAAAGTTCCTCCTGATGTTTAGTTGTAATCTCCATTCTTATAACTCGAATCCATTGTTTCGAGTCCTACTATCTGGAGCAGGAAAAAACATATTAGGTTGCACTAAGCCTGCTGGAAACAAGCAGCGTAACTGACTATCCTCCATCTCTGGAAACACACAGAATGTCTCATCAAAAATTTACTAAAGGTTTCCTGCATTCTGTTCATTTTGAGTATCCCACTGTTTTCAGGCATGGGTGCATTAGATGTGCATGGGTCACTCTCTGGGGGTTTCAATGGATTTCAGAAGTGTTAACTGCCCTCAGAAGTGTCAAGAGCAGCACCTTAAGAACAACTACTTAAGATAGCGCACACCTCCCATATTATTACAGACCTAGTTCAGAACTAGAAATCTCCCTGTGTTTCAGCCTCTTATGAGCTGCTTCCCATCACACCTGAACCTTAAAAAAAATCTCAACACTCACGCCTATAGCAGTACTAGCTGCTTTGTTTAAGTCTACTTACCAATAAGGGAGTCTGCACAGAAATCAGTTTGGTTGTGTGAGAGGTCCTTCCATGGCAGTCTTTTGAAGGAGACACACTGAAAAAACAAATACTGTGTTCCACCATCAGTGAATGATCAGGCTACGATTTTGCCAGCTTTAGTGTTCTCTCAAGCTCTTCAAGCTGTAGGTTGCCCTGAGTGATCATCATCCTAATTGTATCCTGCAAAGCAGAAATTATATACTTAGTAGGCACATGCAAGGCAATATGCATTCATACACTGAATCTGTTTTATTTCGACAAATGTTTTATCAGTCTATATTTACATCCATAAAATTTGCAACTAATGATCTCACCCCAAAGGCTGCTCTACATATTAGGGCTACTCCTAGAGGGCACTTAGAAAGGCCTCTGCTTATGTTACATACATACATGTTTAGGAAGCAAGAACCAACAGCTGCACTAGCATGAACTTTTTGAAATGGGAATGCAAGATAAAGTTCCTTGGTCATTTCCTAAGTGTTCTATGATTGCAGTTAATCCTTATTATATTTTACACCACCCTTCCTCTGAGAGGAGCTCAGGGCTGAGTACCACATACACTAACTGCAAATGAACAGTAATACAGCATTAAGAGAATCTGACAACTATAGCAGGTGAGGCATATTGTGTTAATAAAAACAGTCAATATTCTGCAGGGCCTAGGATAAACAGGCAAATAATAATAATAATAATAATAATAATAATAATAATAATAATAATTTATTTGTACCCCGCCCATCTGGCTGGGTTTCCCATAGAAACCAAAATACACTAAAATATCACACATTAAAAACTTCCCTGAATGTCTTCTGAATGTCAGGTAGTTGTTTATCGCTTTGACATCTGATGGGAGGGCGTTCCACAGGGCGGGCACCACTACCGAGAAAGCCCTCTGCCTGGTTCCCTGTAGCTTTGCTTCTCGCAATGAGGGAACCGCCAGAAGGCCCTCAGCGCTGGACCTCAGGGTGGAGACGCTCCTTCAGGTATACTGGGCTGAGGCCGTTTAGGGCTTTAAAGGTCAACACCAGCACTTTGAATTGTGCTCGGAAACGTACTGAAAAGATGCCAGAATACTGGCACCGTGTGTGGCAAATGAATCTCTATGACAGGGATGGGGAACCTGACATCAACAGGCAACAATGACAGGTGGGCAGGGACACCCTGTTAACCACCTAACATCATTATTGTATTCAGTCATGAGACTGTGCCACGGAGCTCATACATTCATACATATATACATACATAAAAAAGTTCAAGGCTACAGAAAAGTATCAGAGCTGTTAAAAACGACCTATCCACTACACAGTCATACCTTGGGTTGAAGCAGCTTTGGGTTGAGCATTTTAGGGTTGCGCTCCATGGCGACCCGGAAGTAACGGAACGCGTTACTTCCGGGTTTTGCCGCTCACGCAGACAATCAAAATGATGTCATGCACATGCGCGGAAGTGGCGAACCACGACCTGCGCACGCGCAGACATGGGTTGCGTTCACTTCAGGATGCAAACGGGGCTCTGGAACAGATCCTGTTTGCATCCAGAGGTACCACTGTACCAGCCTTTCTCAATTCTGGGTCCCTAGATGTTGTTACTACAACTCCCATCATTCCTAGCCAGCATGGCCAGTGGACAGGGATTATGGGATTTGTAGTTCAAGAACATATGGACCCAAGGTTGAGAAATCCCGCAGTATACTGAAGCAGTATTTAAGAGCGAAACACAAGAAAATTAAAATTGGCGACATCTGTCTGCAGACGAAGTGCTGACCTAACAAATGCCTTTGGTGCTATCAACATCTACTTCAGGGGTAGGCAACCTAAGGCCCGGGGGCCGGATGCGGCCCAATCGCCTTCTCAGTCCGGCCCGCGGATGATCTGGGAATCAGCGTGTTTTTACATGAGTAGAATGTATCTTTTTATTTAAAATGCATCTCTGGGTTATTTGTGGTGCATAGGAATTTGTTCATCCCCCCCCCAATAGTCCGGCCCACCACATGGTCTGAGGGATGGTGGACCGGCCCACAGCTGAAAAGGTTGCCGACCCCTGTTTTACCTGGTCCAATGTGGCTCAACTACTCCCCTCCCAATTCACTCTGAGCCACGGTTATCCTTTAGTAAGGGAAGGATATGGCACATGGGATGGATTCATATAAGTATTATAACATATAACCATAAAAATGATCCATCCAACACTATTTAATAATTACCTTCCTAAGAATATATATAAAAAATAAAAAATCTGACTGCATCAGACAAACACGGATACCTACCTGAATCTTCCTAAGAATATGCAGTGAAATCTCTAATAAACACTCCAACCAGCTTTTCAAACTAGTAGCTCTCTATACATCTTATGAAATTGGATCTTGTTAATTTTGCGCAGCAAGGTATTACAGCCCATAAAAATTAGTTGAAATATTAGCGAATTACTTCAGAGGGTTTACCACAATGACCAGTTTGGGGTTTTACATAGTCAGCCTTGGAAATCCCCATTCTTGAGTCATTTAATCAAATATTCCAAATTTGTCCAGTCTACCGTGGCACCTCTTGCAGGTGAGACACAGTGATAATTATTCCCAGTCATTATGAGGTGTTCTGAGCAGGCTGTTTGGATGTCTCAGAGAAGACACCTTCATGAGCCAGGAATACAGGTTCAACCTTCAGCTGCAGTGTACCAAGTCAGCAGAACCACAAGTATTTCTCACCTCATCTGTAGCACCTTTGTTTCTTTTGAAGTCTTCCCTTGCCCAGTCCCTGAGGTAATGGCGATCAGCTTCATTAGGCACTTGACGAACAGCCTTCAAAATTTTTCTATACAACTGAAGGACCTGCTGCCTTCTCAAGAACTGCAAGGTATCAAGAAAAATAAAGGATGACCCTTTTACTGTTTGCACAATCTAGTGTTGATCATGTGCTCACATCCTCATGGAAAGGTGTCTTAAACCGAGTCAGGTGACTGATAAAACTTTTGTATTCGTTGTCTATTCCAGGGATGTCAACCTGTGGCATGCTAGCTGGAGTTGTTGGCAGAGTCCAAAAACATCAGGAGGGTGACATGTTCCACCCTTCATCTGCTCTGAATGTCAGATGCTCTCTAGATCTCAAGTAGAGAGATCCTTTTAACTGGAGTCTGAACCTATGTATATAACCTATGGATGTAGTAATCCCACTACGGGGTCCATCTGCTTTCTGCTGCAAACCACAGTCTATAAATCAGTTATTCTAACTAGCGCCCTCCCATGCTGGTCCATTTACGGTCATCTATAAAATCACTCCAAAAGTAGAATAAAGGTAACCTTGAGTTTTAAAACATTTGACAGGATCATAAAAATGATTCAAACACTGCAATGAAGAGGCCCATGTGCAACACAAATCACCACTTACTACACTATGAAAGAAAAAGTTATTTTCTGTAATTCAAAACAAATAAATCTTTAAATGAAAAAAGACGGAAGATATGTTAATACATTAATGCGTTCACATGTAAAACGCAATGTTTTCCAAACTACCAGTTACCATACATCCACTATTGCCCATTCATTTATAAATTGTCTCACTTAAAATATTAATTTAAAAAATTTAAGAAATTGTCCAGTAGCACCTTATAGACCAACTAAGTTGTTCTGGTATAAGCTTTTGTGTGCAGGTATCTGAAGGCATCTGAAGACGTGTGTATGCACACAAAAGCTTATACCAGAAAAAACTTAGTTGGTCTATAAGGTGCTACTGGACATTCCCCCCTCCCCCGACTGCGTCAGACCAACACGGCTACCTACCTGAATTTAAAATATTAAGTTAAAAAGCTCAGATGCAAAACACACAATGCCACAGGTAAAGCACTCGTCTGCGTAAGATTTCCGCAAGTACCACTGTCCCATTTACATGCAGAGTGTAAATGCCTGAGTTATGGACCTGTGACAAGCTTGTGCTACACATGAATGGCCAAACTCATGTGGAGCACATGTTTATAAGGGCAAGCACTTGTTCCCATCTTTGCAAGGTCCGCTAGCAAAGCAGAGGTGAGGCCTTGTCTACCCAGAAAGTTCTATCAGTTCAACTCGTGTTAATTCCTCTGCTATTCACAGCAACCAGAATGCTAAAATTCTGCAGGAGTACAAACTCCTTTTCGAAAAGAAACCTAAGTTCTTGATTTTTTTTTCATAGAACAAAAATATAGGTTGCTTTTCTATTTCCTACACTCTTGTCCTGTCCACTACAGAGGGTAGGGCAGTAAAAAAATGTAAGAAGTGGATCCAAGAACAATTCTAGGACATCACCTGCTCATCATCCCCTCCTGGGTCAAAAAGCAGTACAGGTATATGTTCCATCACCTAAAATGTGAAGAAACAGAACAGAAGCAAGCATGCCTATCCAAATAACCCCTAGATGCTATTGCTAAATGCTATTGCTCAGACGAATATAAATGCAGCCTTAATGGGGTCCCCATCACTCCTGTGAAGGGTGAACATAAACATGCCATATACAAACTATACTATTTACACCAACTTTCCTTTTCCTGCGGAAAATCAGCTGGCAAAGCTTTTCCTCAGCATGCAAATGCTAAGGTGAAAGCAGCTGGAGGAAAAGAGGATAGAGGCTGGAGAAGGAACAGTGGGGTGGTGAGATGTCCTTTCCCCACCTTTGGGACCCCCTGGGCAACCTGGAACTGGGTGTGGAGAGCGTTGCCCGACGGCTAAAAGGGACATCCTGAGGAAGCCGCTCCCACCTGCCCACAAAAGCAAGCCCAGACTGAAAAGCTCGGGTGCTGCCAGGAGTTTCTAGGATCCTTCCTCTTCCCGGAATTTTTGCGGAAGAGCTGTGAGTTTATTTGGGCTCTGGGTGAGAGGCGTGGGAAGGAGAAGGAACCAATCCCGATTTATGTATTAGCAGTAATGTTGTAGTTATGTCATATGCAACTGCTTCTTGTTGTTGTTTTTTTAAAAAAAAACTGGTTACAGTATCGCTTAAGTTGCTGCTATAGCTTCCGTTTCTTGTTCACAACTTTACATTTTTAAATTAAGCGGTATAGAAATGGAATTAGTAATAGAAATAATCAACAGGCATGGCGACGCCCCTGACCTAAAGGTAGCAAAGCCAATTACAGTATTGCCTGCTGCTGCTGTCCCCCGACCCTGCAGTCTCCTCCAATGCCCGGTCGCCAAGCCTAGACCCTGCTCTCTGCCTCGCCGAGGAAAGGGCGAAGAGTCGCCTCGCTGGTGGGCACCTGCCTTCCCTTCCCTCTCTACCTGCTTCAGAGTGAGCGCCGTCGGGGGCAGCCGGGACGACGCCATGACTGAGGGGCGCGCGCGCGCTTCGCTTCGGCGTGGTTCTTCCTTCTCTGCGCTCTGCCGAGGCGCGTCAGAGGAAAGGGAAGCGGAGGCTCCCCCTTCCCCGCCCGGCGTCTCTCTCCAGGCTCTTGGGAAGAACGAGGTTGCGGCGCCGGGCAGCTCCGCGAGGAGGGAAAGAGCGGCTCAGCAGGCCACCCTTCGCGCAGGGTTGCAAGGGAGAAGCGCGCGCACTTTGCCGATATTTGGAAAGGACGGCGCAGGGTGGGCCGAGAGCGGCTCCTCCTCTGAAAACTGAAGGGCGGAACGGACTCCTGCAGCCTCGCCGACGAAGCAGCCCTTCCGGCCAGAGCTAAGCGGAGCCCAAGTAAAGGGCCCGAGAGAGGGCTTTGAAAGAGTTTTACTCTTTCATGGCAGCGTCAAGCACAACGGCGATTGCTCCAAGCACCTTTTTAACCCGGTTAGATTTACATCTGCCTTCATCCACCTTTCAACAAACGTTCCCCACAAAGACTCAAATAAGTGATTTATTTGCAAATCACTTTGCATATAAGTGGAATATTTACTCACAGATTCCAGAAGCTGCAACGAAACAAGCCCTCCGTCAGCCGGCAGTGAAGCAAACGACCCAAGAAGGAAAAGAACTTCGTTTCCTTACAAATAAGCATCGTGTATGTATAGCACAGGTGCAGGCTTTTCAGATCTGCCTTTTGGAGAGATTCAGTTCACCTGCAGGATCAGCTGAGCTGGGAGCCAAAGCCACATGACTCCTCCTCCTCTTGCTCCAGGAAGAGAACACACAAACACAGAGAGAGAAAGGGAGGGGGGAAGCAGAAGCTACTGTGAGCCTGCTAAGCCCCAACCTGAGCTCTGGTTAACCCTCATGCAACTAGCTTTATGTATATTACAACCAAAAAGTACTTTCTACAGGTTCAGAGGTACACATGTAAGTGCATAAGGTCCAAGGCTAAGTATTGCAGTTAAGGTGACATAGGCCTGTGCCTGAGAGCAAGCTTGAAGTTCTAACTCTGGCGACATTACTAGTGGCCCTTTTTAATCTGTGAAAGACTGCTTCCATCAGAAGTTAAACAGCTTTAACAGTACAGAGATATTCTTTACCCTATTGCAACACAACTGAACTTGTTAAAGTAGGAATAAATGCATCTTCCTATTTTTTAACATCCTTTGGAGAAAGCCCAAACCTGCATATCAGTATGGTACATCACTCTTCCCCATCCTCTATCTTGTAACAATATGCTTCTATCTCCTGCTGAAAAAGACTTTAATTGGCCTGAATTCATCTGCCTTTATAGATTAATTTACCAAGTTGTATTCACAGCAGATTCTATTTTTAACATTGATACACATTTTTGCATCATTTAGGTTTTGATAATAGTGCTATGTAACTTCTATTCAAAACTTTTTTTAAAAAAATAGCAGTTATTTGTATTTGCTGATAGTAAATTGTTTAATCAAAATTAATGCAGAAGTTGCTAAGTTTGAATTTGGGGCATGATTTATCAACTCCTTTCCTACAACTTTGTTTTTCTTTGATAAATCGAGGAAGGTTGAGGGGGAGGGACTAATCCAAAGGAAAAATTGGGCATAAATATCACATCATTTGAGCATCTTTCACTCCTTTCAATTTGGACGTATCATATGAGCTTTCCCTTGCTGCCCAATTTTAGCACTGCTGATTCTATTATCTAATTAGGGTTTCTCAGTTCTGCATCAACAATCAATATTTGGCTTGCAATGCCAGCATTTTATCAAGCTTCTTATGCTATTAATCTCATGTATTTTTTCCCTGTAATGCTTAAATTCTAAGTGAATGTGCCCGAAGACTCGTCCTTAAACATTAAATATTCTGTGTGGTTATCCAAAGGGGCTAACTTAAGTCACCCCTCAATGTGACAGTTGTTTACAGAGAAAACTATGGTGACAAATTTAACTGTCAAAACATAGAAATCAGGCTTGGATTTGCCCTCTGAACAGAGCAAAACAAAGGGCTCCGGGTCATCCATGTAGCTTTCAAAATTATTTTCTCCAAGAAGGCCTTAACTGCGTCTTTCAGGATAACGTCATCAGCCCAAGCTCTTGTCCAGCTTCGTTTCCCTGGAGCTGGAGACAAATGCATGGAGCTCTTTGACAAATGCATAGCAACAATGGCTGGCTTTTTTCTTTTTAGGTCTTCTATTATTGTTTCCCTGGTACTGAATTCCTTCTTTATCTTCTGTAGAGAGAGAAGGGCAAATTCCAAGAGGCCCTGTGATCAATCAATGGACCCATCTTTGTCCATTCTGGAAAGAAGCTGGAGAAATCTGCATCTGATGGTGAACACGTTTCTTTTATGGGCTGTGCAAGCAAAGCACACGTCATGCGATGAGTGCTTTTCCTGGAAGGGGTGGGGAGGAAGCAGACCTGAGGTCACAGTAGCGCAGGAAGGTCAGGCCCACTCAAGACCAATTCTATTAAGTTCCCAAGATTCTTAATATAGAATCTTAATATTCCAACAAATAATGGACACCACAATTACAAACAGCAAAACATTGTTTATTAGTAATCACGACTGATGCATAGCTTTTGCAATGAAAAAAGTTGGGGGGGGCAGGGAATAGGAGATGACAGAAAGAGCCTTGGGCATGCTTTCAGGATACTAAAATGTGTTTATCACTATTTCCCTTGAACAGAGGGCAAAGTTCACAGTGTAAAATGATAACGCGGAGTCTTTCTCTAAAAAAACTACTCTTCCAGCATTATCATAAAACCAGCAACTGTTCAGCGACAGTTTCAAGTATTCAAGTAGGATTTGTGGTGGTTGTGGGTTTTTTTGGTTGTGTAAAATTCAACCCTTCCTCGAAACACAGGGTCCCACTAACACATGTGACCCAAAACAGACAAGTATTCTTTAATTATGGTTAATCATTCTAGTTGCAACTTCCTCTCAGAAGGAAACTAGTTTCTTACTACTATAGAAAATAGTCTTGGGAGCCACTTATTTCTTAGTGGTACAGAAATAAGAATAAATTATACAAAGAGTAAAAAAAAAAGGAGATGGTTTTCCACTGTTTTCAGATATAGGCAAGAAAGTGAGCAGTCTTTTAGTTCATCACCGTTTGCATAGTCTCCTGCACTGTTAAGGGGGAAAATGCATGTTATGTTAGTGTGTAATTTCTGGCCCGTCTGAACAGCAACTCAAATTTGCTGACGACCTTTGCCATTAACTGGTAACCATGTGTTCACATGACCTGCCAAATTTTACACGTTGTCTGAACCAGTCACCAGTTCAAACCACTGCCTCAGTGCGTCACTGAGGGTCTCTGGGAGGGCATTCACATCTCTCAGAATGATGTAGAAAGGAAAGGGAAATTCCTCCATGTATGACCTGATTTCTGGCAATTCCCCTGGGCCTTTGAACACAGGTACTTTAATGTCCAAGATGGAATCCTGTGAATTAAAATGACAGTATCAGATACAGGACTACACAAGTAGCATTATGCAGCTAGGATCAATGAAAAAAGTTGCCTCCCTCAGTCCTCATCTCTCACCAATCTCCTGAGTCAATTCATTCTGTTTTCAAATAAGTGGACTGTAGCCTTTGCAGGCAATCCTAACAATAGTTACTGAAGACTAAAGCAGGAGGTCACTAAGGGAGAGAATATTAGTGCTGATTTCAGGGCTGTCACCATACACTACTTATAGCTTTTTTACTACTCCATGTGGTCTTTTATAGTATAGTCTCCATGCACAATTTGCTACCTGTGATTGGAAAGAAACGTAACACAGTAGGAATACTAAATGCCAGTATTGTGGCAGGGAATGTCAAGACAAAGATGCCCGCAGAACTCTGTTCCTTGATTTGGAACCTGCAAAGTCAGGCTGAGAATAACCTGAGCTGGACCTCCAATGGAAAGGGACTTGTCGCTTTCCTCACCAAGGTGAGAGGCAGAAGAAGCTGGATTTAAATATCAAAAAAACTATTTTGCAGGAAAGGTAGTCAGCAATTAACCATGGAAGTTTGTAAAGATTAGGCAAATTTTCTTGTCAGCAAAATGAATGTTGAAGGCAAGAACCAGAAATAAGTGCAGATGAAAGTAGATTTTTCCTTATAGTATGAAACCTCAGCTCCCAAATCTATGGTTGGCAGGAAGCTTGACTAGTTTAATATAGTTTTTCATATACAGGATGCCTCGGACCTATTTTAAACCCAACCAAGGCGATTTTTCCACCCAGTTAAAAGTAGTACAATTATCTGATGGTTCATTTACTCACCCGTGAATTAGGGTTGTCCAACACTACAAAAATGACAAAGATATTTGCATTCTGAACAGATTGAACAGCTGCCGTGACACGTTCTTTGCCTTCGAGAAAAAGACCTCTTCCATCTGACACTATTAGGAGTAGCTGAGCAGTTTCTATTGAGAAAGGCATGTTTTCAGTTTTAGCAAACAAAACTAGAAAAAGGGTACATATTCAGTCTTACTAACATTTTCTATTACTTTAACATACAAGCGGACATGAAAGCCAGCCCCAAGAACAAAGTTTTATGTATAAAAATAGTATAAAATATATCCCTGAATGGGATGTGAAAGCTTTGTTTCCCAAAAATGGGACACGAAATTTAAAGTAAGACAATCAATGCTTATGAATGTTCTAAAAGCAACAGGAAGAAACATCCCCACTGTCCAGTAGTAGTGCCAACAAAGAAGAAACAAGAATTAAAATATTAATCTGAGAAGAGCTCACAAAGCTAGCCCAATCATGTCTTGTCACAAACAAGTCCTACCCAATAACAGGGCTTACTCCCCACATACGTTGGGCTAGGATTTCAGCCTTATTTACTAACAATTGCCGTTTGTGTATTCAGCATTCTGCCAAGAGAGCCATGCTCCTGATAAATCCAATGAAGAACTATTTCGACTACCATGCCTAACTTGTTTGTATACAAAAAAGGAGGGGGGAACTCACCTGGATTAATGTTTTGAGAGAACTGCTGTGCTGCAGCAAACATATTTGTTGAGGATTCTAGGAACTGTAGAAAAGTGAGAGAATATATGTGCATCAGCTGTGAGCTAACAATTTCTTTTCTAAGACAATTGTTCTACAGAAATGAATGGGAATGCAAGTTGAGAACTGCAGCCTAAGGTTGTGAACTCAAAATAGACTTAAAATTATACAGCAGCCACATTATTTCCTTGGCTGTTTTTAAGGGGCTGCAGTAAACATAAGACTGCACCACTCTTTTTTGTTACAAGCAATATACCAGGCTAGTGCAGAGACAAGACCATTTTCTTCTTGTAACATTCTAAGGACAAATTGGACAGGAAAGTAAAAGAACTAACCTAGAACACCCTTAGCCTGGCACAATAGTTATTTAAACACAACATAGGAACTTTTAATGAAAAAAGGCAGCCCCACTCATCCAAGATGAGAGATACCTGAGCTATTTTAGTTTTCTTTTGTTCAAATTTGCACAGCTGGAGTATTCTCGTTCCCGACTGATCATTGAATTGTTCGTGGAATGGGTGTAGCAGCTGAACAGCCTCTCCAAAACTGAAATAAAATGAAACATTTTAAAACATTGCACTGAGCAGGAGTAAAAAGATTTCTATGACGACAAGTCCGGCTTTAAAATAGCCTTACCTGCACACAGCAATTTGTCCCACTTCTAAGAGTGACAAAGCATTTCCAATCACTGCCAGGGATTCATAAGCAAGCTATAGAAAACAAATAAAAGTTTGAGTCTGTTGTATATCTAAGCTAAGAACATAGAATTCACCACAGAACAGTTAACAAACTGCAGAATTCTAACACTGCTTCATGCATTTGTCATGGACCGAAAACTCACTGTGATATGTGATACTATCGGAGAAGCAAAGGAATTAGAAAATGGAATGATATACCCCTGCAATGCAATCTGCACTTGCTTGTAACTTTCCCCCTTAGGTGAAACTTTCCCCACTGCTAAACTCCCTGCTGCAGGGAAAGAAATGCATGCTCATCCATCACAGCCATGTGATTACCCCCCTATATCCCTGTCGCTATCCCTGACCTTGTTAAACAAGCATCTGGTGTTAAGTAAATCCCATGGTGGCAGACAGAGGGAAGCAAACAGTAGCAGCCATGCTGACAAGAGAGAAGGAACAGCAATGAAGTGGGGAAATGCCTTCTGTATAGTTAACTGCAAGTTTGATGCGTGAAAGATTAATGCTGAATTCATTCATATAAGACTTTTAAGTTGGCTTCTTCACCATTTCTGTTTTACCTGCTTAGAGTGGTTGTCTACCATACTGGCAGAGTCATCAAGGGCCAAGCAGATCTGGTACTGCCTTTTGCTGGGCTTGGTCCTCCGTAACCAAATTTTATCTTTTCGGAACTGGCTTGCAACATATGGAATTACTTTGCGCATGTTCAGCCTTTTTCCTGTTCGATAATCACCTCTGGTAGTTAAGAAGAAAAGGCACAATATTAACAATAACACAGTTGCTGGGGGAGGAAAAAACAACTTGGGATATCCTTTTCAGAGAAAGTATTTTACATGAACTGGTAGATAATGAATAGCCAAAAATAAGACAGCTTTTTCGGGCATCAAGATTCATTACTTGCACACCTATGTAACTGTCCTGATATTTAGAGGAGCCAGGCCTATTTGCATATTGCGTCTTATTTTGCATAATTTATTTCGGTTTCACATGGGTGGGTCAAAGGCACCGAATTTCCCCTCTGAGATTTCAGCAGGCAATGCCTACAAAGGCTGGACATGTTTCCTTTCAGGGAAAAATAAGCTTCTCCAGAATCTTTAATATGGAACTTGCTACTAAACCTGCATGGAAATCCACTTGTGTTGGGAGGAGAGCAGGAAGGTGATTTTCTGCCAATAATTCCTCCTCCACCCTCTGCAAAGCTGCTCTAGGAGGTTGAATGACTCCCCAGAGCAGCAGGAGAAGCAGCATGGGCAGCTGCAGGAGAAATTGGCAAAAATATGCTCCTTCCCTCTTTCCTCCAACACTGGAAACCAGCCGTCCCTGTGAATGAAAAGAGCTCTTTTGTTCATGATACGGTTTGATCCGGAGAAGTGTCCAGATCAAACCATATCAATGAGGGATGGTGGCCTGCCAGACATGGTTGGACTACAACTCCCATCAGCCTCAGGCAGCATGGCCAATGGTCAGGCATAATGGGAGTTGTAGTCCAACGACATTTGAACACTGGCTCCCCATCCCTACTACATACTTTTCTTCATGCATACATGCAAACGACACACATGTACCTCTGATGAAGTGGACTTTTGTCCACAAAAAGCTTATACTATAATAAATGTGATACAACAGACGAATATGGCTACACCTCTGGAAATAGTGGCCTGTGTCAAATCAAAACCTACAGCGCTTTAACTTTCAAGGTACTATGTAAAATGAATGACTTAAGAAACACATTTACACCACAAATAATGCAACAGGCAGTCTAGAATCACTTTGATTTCTTGCCATTGACTCCAGCGGGAAGTGAATGATACATCCTATAGTAACAATATGCTAAAGCAGTTCTAGCTGGAAGACGGCTTGGGTGCCAAATCGCGATGTATGGGGCTCTGCTTTTATTTTTACAGTGACCCAACTTACTTCAGCTTGGCTGCCTGAGTTGGCTCCAGTAGGAGTCTCAGCTGCTCACAGAGCTGCTGTGAAAGAGGTGCAGTGAGGAGGAGATATCTCTGCCACATCTCTGCTGCTGCCTTTTCCTGCAACATTAAGATAAAAAAACCCATATAATTTTTGTTAGTAAAGTTAAAAGCCCAGAGAATTAACCCTTTTTATACATAAATCCCTTTCCCAAGTACAAAACCTAAATAATTCAGGATATATCAGTTGCAAATACTTTTATAGTGATGCTTTTAAAAATAGTTCTTGCTAGAACTTTCGAGTATAGCTTTGTCTTAGCATCCTGTGGTACAAACTGATCAGCTGCTAAGGGTCTTTATATGTATAATTGCCGTCCATGTATTGCAGAAGATTATCAGCATCTACAATTCTGCTCCTTGCTCTGTAGTGATTAAGCAGTACCAGAACCCAATATTTAACATGGCTTTGGAAATAATGTGTTAATATTCCATTTATATTCAATAAATACTTTCCAAAAGAATTATGCAAGTGTATATTGCTTGACTGAACGATTCACTAACCTCAGTAGCGTTTCCACTCTGCCAAACTTCCAGTTGCATCTCTAGTTCTCGTCTTAGCTCTTCAGGATCCTTAACAATGCACTTAAAATAACAAATTGGAATTTGAATCAAACAATATGGACAGGTATTTTAGAATGACATACTTGCTACATACATGCATACATACATACATACATACATAAAAAGGTAAAGAGACCCCTGACCATTAGGTCCAGTCGTGACCGGCTCTGGGGTTGCGGCGCTCATCTCGCTTTATTGGCCGAGGGAGCTGGCATACAGCTTCCGGGTCATGTGGCCAGCATGACTAAGCCGCTTCTGGCAAACCAGAGCAGCGCACGGAAACACTGTTTACCTTCCCGCCGGAGCGGTACCTATTTATCTGCTTGCACTTTGACATGCTTTAGAACTGCTAGGTTGGCAGGAGCAGGGACCGAGCAATGGGAGCTCACCCCATCGCAGGGATTTGAACCGCCGACCTTCTGATCGGCAAGTCCTAGGCTCTGTGGTTTAACCCACAGCGCCACACGCGTCCCTACATACAGTGGTGCCTCGCAAGACGAAATTAATCCGTTCCCCGAGAGTCTTCGTCTAGCGGTTTTTTCGTCTTGCGAAGCAAGCCCATTGACGGATTAGCGCTATTAGCGCTATTAGCGGTTTAGCGGCTATTAAAGGCTTAAAGGCTTAGGGGATTAGCTGCTAAAAGGCTATTAAAGGCTATTAAAGGCTTAGCAGATTAGATAAAGGGGGAAGCGAAAAAAATTGTCAAGACTCGCAAGACATTTTCGTCTTGCGAAGCAAGCCCATAGGGGAATTCGTCCTGCGAAGCAACTCCAAAACGGAAAACCCTTTCGTCTAGCGGTTTTTCCGTCTTGCGAGGCATTCGTCTTGCGGGGCACCACTGTACATACATACCTCCAAAAGCAAACTTTAAAAAAACCCACCACATAACACATCCCTTATTTTTTTAGGAGAACTTTTAGTGTTCTGGACCACTGGATAGCAAAAATTAAGGAGAAATTTTAAATTTACTTTTCTACTCATGGCAAAAAATTATGTGCATGCAGCATATTAACTGTACTTATCTCCTCTCTGAACCACATGACCAAGCCCAAATCTGATTTATCTCCTTGTATGCTGGGGGTCTGGAGGAAAACAGAGATCCTCACATCCAGCTGCAAATATCTCCATGACTGGTATTTTCTAAATTTCCCCCATCCATCGAGGGAAATCTCCATGCAGATGCAAGTTTCTGCATGAATTTACTGAGGTGGCTCAGATTGTGCACATGTAAAGCTACCAGAGCTGAATCTCTGCAGAGAGCATGTTGCCTCCAAACTCAAGGATTTCCAGCCCTCCAAATAAGTAATCCGTGTTGTCAAAGCTGAGAGTGTTGACTCGATTATAGACAGTCCCACCTACAGGCAGCTCACTTACACATGCATTTTGAGGCCACAAGATCTGAGTTTCAACTTGTCATTTAATAAAAGCCATCTACTTTGATGTAGGGGGAAACCTGCTTAAGTAATGTAGATCAGACGTATACCTTCCCTTCTCTAGTATCTCACAGTCATGTGATCTTCCTATCCCAGTCTCTACCATATGTATATGGAGATCCTTCCTCAGTGGAACCTAAATATTGATTCAGAGCAAGAAACTAATTTGGCGATAAACTAAAATTACAAAAGCACTGTATCCTGGAGAGATTCACATCAATCAACACATCCTATTTATTTAATAGCACAATTGGTAGTTTACCTGGATGGAGGTATCCCTCAAGAACTGATGGGCAGTATGTATGGTAGAGTTTTTGTCTCTGTCCAGCTTTACTTCCGGAGGCGATTTTTCTGTTCCACGCTCTTCGTCTTCTTCAGAATTGAGGGCTTGGCTGTCCAACTCGACCTCCTCGGGTCCTATCGTTGAATAAATGACATGCTTGCTTCACACATTTTCAAGGCCATTAGCAAGCACACTACTAACCTCCGAGTACAGGGCGGTATATAAATTCAATAAATAATAGTAACTCTCTTCAGGTACTGGCCCTTCACTTGGTTACAGTGGTGTGAGGGGAAGACAAGAGGCTGCGCTTGCTGGCTCTGCCACTCCTGGGAGTAACATCTGAAGTGGAGAGCCTGCCGCAGATGCATAAACTCCCCATGCATGGTAGCAGGGTTAAAATCATATATGGCACAAGCAGGGGACCTTGGCTCCCCACAACATGTGAGCAGTAGGGGCAGGGTGGGTGAGTCAGAGCCAGGGAGCAAATAGTATCCCCCAAAGGCACTACAGGACTGTTTTCAATTGAAATGAAGAAATTATTCCCGAAGAATAAAATTCTTTTAAAGATAATGAGCTGGCAATTTACCAGATTTAGCAGCACTAGGTGCCTTTAATTCTGGATTCAGTTTCTCCGCCTCTACCGTTCTAAGATCCTCATCTTTCTGAGCTTCTGTTTCCATAGCTACATCTTCAGAAAGTGGTTCTTCATTGTCTTCAGTGACAGGCATGGTTGTTTTCTGTTGTTCTTCACTAGCTACATCTGGTGGAAACATAGCCAAAAATCAAACCAAAATCTTGCAACTCTGTGCTGTTCTCCCATATCACCAAACTAACAGTCATCAATATCTATAAAGTTTTAACTTGACACCCGAAGCACTTGAAAGGGGGGGGGGACAACAACAATTCAGAGAGTGAGATAAATACTGTAATTTACATAGCGTTTGAGAATGTTCAAAGTACTTCACCTGCATTATCTTACACTCTTTAAAACCTTTAGGTAGGGTCAATGTCACCATTCCCATATTGCTAATGGGGAGAAGGGAGTGATGGGGGAGAGAGAATTGTGCCTAAAGCCTCTTAGTGAGGTCATAGCAAAGGTAAACTTTAAACTGAGGATTTCCCCATTCATAGCTCTGCCTCCTACCCACCTTGCTATGACCTAGCACCTAGGTGAATGAGATGAGATGAATGAAGAATTTATGGGAACCACAATCTCCTGCAGTCTAGGCTAGAAAATACCTTTGTAGGGATTTGTTTTTAAAGCTTCAACTGATTTAATGTGGAGAAATAAAACATGGCTGCCTATTAAGTTTAAAAATGAAGCCACGCAAAGCGAACTATGAGAGAGAAGCAAACGCAAGTTCCTTGAAAAATTCCTTATCTAAATCCTTTCCCCAGCGTTAAGCTATGCAAACCAAATCTAACATGTTTCATTGCTTTTACTTCAATAAAGAATGCGTGCTCATTTTCCTGTAAGCGGAGGTTTAGTGGTAAAAAGGATTTAAAATTGTCTGTCCCTCTGACATCACTGTGCGAATGCTGGCATACCATAGGTCTGTGCATCGTAGGCTTCGCTGCCTTGCTTAATGTGCTCAAAGGCATCAGCTTCTCCCATGTTTCGTTCTGGCTGAACCTGCTCCTGTTCTGCTTCGCTGCTGGATTCAACAGTTTTCAGCCGCTTGTGAACTTGTTGACTGTGATCCCCCGTTGAGCGCTCATTGTTGGCTTGGCCAGGCTTTCTCTTAAAACTCTGAAAAATGAGCAAGTACAGCAATGAAATTTCAATGAGGTTCGGAAAAACCAAAGTCAAGACTCAGAAGCTCGGTAACTTATCACACTGCCCACCAGAACAAACCTGCACTATCAAACCAAAATCCTATCTAGGTAAGCATTTTGTTTTCACAGCAGACAGCCAGGTGCTTGTTCAAAGCCCACAAGCAAAACATGAGTGCATTAGCAGCGTCTGATACTGGGGAAAATATAAACATCTTTTTTAAAAATGTGAGAAAATTTGCATTTAAATATGAATTTCTAAATGTACTCTCTCCAAAGATGCATTTTAAAACTCAATGCAATTTGAGCTGGGAACTGCTTAAGAGCATTTGGGATGTACTACAGCTGCTGAGTAATTTCTGATCCAGGCATTAGTCCAGGAGGTGCAGAAAAGGTCATATAAAAAAGCTAGCTTACAATTTCTTTAATCTATGAAAGAATAAAAGACCTGTGTATTTTTCCTGCTCTGTTTCCGACTAGCCAGTCGTGCCATTAACTCAGATTCATGTCCTTCTGACTGATCTGCATCAGCAGCTCCAGTTCCATGTTCCTGAAGAAAGACAGACAAACCACCAAAGTTAAGTCTTCTGCTAAAACGTAGAACACACAGTTCCACACTCATCTGAGAATAATGCAGTGTCTTCAAAACACAGAAGCATACCCGACTGCGCTTCTATGAAGAAGCCTGTGTGTAAATTCTGACACTGCAGAAAACCCCAAGGTTAGTTAGTGAAACACGGTCAATATGCTTCGACCACAGGGTTGGGAAAATCCTTGGGGGCAGCAGCAGGTAACAGAAGGGAGGAGAGGCTATTTCTGCCCATTTCCTTCTCCCCACCGCACATGCCTTGCAGTTCCCAGCACCCCAAATATTAGTGCTGTAGATTCAGGGGACCTTCCAGGACAGTGTGGGAGTTGATATAGGGGGTAGTAGCTCTGTTCCTGGGTGAGGAACCACTTGAGGTAGGTGTACTATATGAAGTTTAGTTGAAGGACTCTGGCCTGAGTGGCAGGAAGAGTCAATGCACTCTTGGACACCTCTTGCACACCAGAGCCTGGGAAGGTAGCGTGGCAGATGCAAAGGGAAGAGTGAATCAACAAATGCTGCCTCCCTGCTTGCACTTAGGGTCACAGACTGCTCAGTGTGTATGGCCATCACATATATTGTTCTCCTTTAGTATGAGACTGCCCCAATGGGATCTGCAATTTGTGCACACGATTAACAACTGAGGGAATTGAGCAGCAGAAAACAGTGGCTGCTGGCCCTGTGTGTTGTAGTCATATATATGAGCATCTCTTACGTCCATTTAAGCATACAGAATTAGCTTCTGCCTTAAGCAGTCCAGCTACTGAGATTTATTGGGGGTGGGGAGAGAGCAGGGAGACAGTCGTGTGCCTCAAAAGCCTTGTATTTACCCAGAGAGGAAAAATCAGCAGCAGTAAGACAAGCCTGAAAGTTAAGTGCTTTAGAAGTTTCCCCCCCTCCAAAGTATGTTCTGCATAATACAAAAGGTACTGTGGGATTTTCCCTGCTTCACCTCTTTCGCCTGGTCCTTTTCAGAAGCAGTTCCAGCCAGCTCCACAGCCGTGTCGCTCTGCAGGTTCTCCTCTCCTGCCTGCCCGTAAGTTTCATGTTCCATTCTCTCAACAGCATCAGGCAGCTCCTCGTCCTTGTCAGGGTTATTGATATCCTCCTCTTCCTAAAGCAATTCAGATGAAGACATCAGTATGAGCATTCGACAGGTGTGATGGGAGGGAGGGCCAGAAATGGTTTTGTACTACAGGAGATCTATTTGCTGTCCAAGAAAACCACAGCGCTACCACTACCATTTACTGGAATTTTAGCCTTAAAACTGTATACTATCTCTACATACACTAAGGTGCTGAGACTAAGATGTGTTTTTCACATGCCTCCATGCAGGGGAACTCAAGGAGGCCATTTACTATTTTTTATTAATAAAAGAATAAGCATAACCTGAGGATTAAGGCCTTGGTCATGGATGCCCTTTTCTCCCTCTTTCTCAGGAGATTCACTCAGGTCTTCTGTTGGCTCCTCTGCTTCTTCCTCCATATTTGCATCAGGATGCCCTGTGCTTTCCTCATCCTTTGTTTCTTCTTCCTCCATTTTATCTTCTCCTTCACCTTTCTCTTCAGAGGACTCTTTCTCAGCTTGCTCAGGATCCTGGCCATCCTCTCCTGTCTCTTCAGAATCCTTAATTTCTTTTTCGTCTACATCCATTGTCTTCTCCTCAATCTCAAAAGGATTTTCTCCTAATGCAACGCAAAAGACACACCTTTCAGAAGGAAGGCAGAATTCAGTTTTTTCTCTTACCCACTCCTGGGCAGGTAGGAACAGAGAGGAAGATTTACTAAGATTCCTAGATAATCCTTAAAAATGAACAGGTAAGGTACATTTAACTTGAAACTTTCCCTTGGTACAAGCATAGATTGTCAATATGTCAACGTACTGCAGTAATGGAAGTGCTGCTATTATGTATTTCCAATGCCCAACTCTCTATATGGTATCAATCACGCAAACAATACACTACTTACTTGAAATAGGCGAAACATTTGTTATATACACGTATCAACATTTGTGGTACTGAACACCCTAAAATATGAAGAACACATACAAACACAGAGAAAAATGGCAGATATGCCCCATGAAACCAGAATTAGCCCACTGCTCCTTGGTCTATGTCCCTGTGTGGAAAAGGCAACAACCTCCCTACTACATGGAACTGGCTGAATTCCTTCATCAATGCAAACACAATCAGATGCAGCAATTAATTCACAAACTTCCAATGGTTATAAGCACGAATGATCAAAATTATGACATCAATCCTTATTTTCCCCAAACAACAGGGACGACCCTTGTCTGGAATCAGATTAAGGCTCTGTACCTCCACCCAGTCCCCAATTATAGCTAGACACTCAAGAGGCACCACAACTACATAATATTTTCTTTTCTTTATATCTGCTGATAAAGGAACACCTTGTGAGCCATACCTCCTTCTTCTTCCTTGTCCTCGTCATCTTTCTCTCCGTTCTCTAGGTTCAGGTCCTGAGGAAGATCCAATGCCTCAGCTTCAGGCTGTTTCTCTTGATTTCCATGATAAGGGTCTACCTCATTCTCATCATATTCACGCTGTTAAACAGAAAGAAGTGACACATCATACAAGGAATGGAGGCAGGAAGTTGGGGGGGGGGCAGGGGGGGAACCTGTTGAGAGCCACAGTAAAGTAACTCTTGAAGTTATCTTTAGATGAAGCCCCAACAGAAAGGATGCCAAACTTCATTAAAGAGGCCTAGTTTCCTAGAATAATATTATTTATTTATACCCCACCCTCCCCAGCCAAAACCGGGCTCAGAGTGGCTAACATCAAATGTTAACATTAACATAAAATCAGGCAATCAATTAAAATACATCCTAAAATCAGATCAGGATCAGAATAAAATCCAATCAGGTGGTAACCCGCAGATTAGGTTTAGGGACCTTAAATACGCACCAGTTAATTAATTAATTAATAATAATTTATTATTTATACCCCACCCATCTAGCCAGGTTTCCCCAGCCACTCTGAGCGGCTTCCAACAAAAGATTAAAAATACATTAAAACATCAGTCATTAAAAACTTCCCTAAACAGAGTTCCCTTCTAAATATCAGATAGTAGTTGTTGTTTTTTTACATCTGATGGGAGGGTGTTCTGCAGGGCGGGCGCCACTACTGAGAAGGCCCTCTGTCTGGTTCCCTGTAACTTCACTTCTTGCAGTGAGGGAACCGCCAGAAGGCCCTCGGCACTGGACCTCAGTGTCTGGGTTGAACAATGGGGGTGGAGACACTCCTTCAGGTATACTGGGCTGAGGCCATTTAGGGCTTTAAAAGAATGAAAGCCACAAAGACAATGGGACCACAAACTATTTAAGAAGGAGCAGGTGTTATTCTTGGAAATAGCAATACATAAAAATCCTTTGGAAACGCATGTTGCTCAAGTTCAGTTAAAATAAACGGTAGTTATATAAACGTAGCTTTCTGCAGCAAACTTGCTCTCATTACCTCATCTATTTGCTCATGGACTTTCTCTTTGGGTTCACCACCATCTGGTTGATTCTCTTCTTCTTCGTCTTTGGGAGATTTGTTATCATTTTTGTTGTCAACGTCCGTGTTGTCATCTTTTGCCACAAGTTCTGAATCGCCCTAAGTTGTTCAAGGAAAACAGCCATGGAGCCATTTCATTGTACATCCTGCTACCATTGGTGTATATACAATTCTGTTGGGTCTGTTACAGTCAAGCCACAGGGAACATTCAACACGTTTTGAGACAAATGGCTACTTTATCAAAACACTCTACTTATTACACTAAAGGCAGCGGCACACTAACAGCTTTTTGTGTGTGTAAGCCCAGGGCATTTCCCACAGCAAACATGCAAAGGGTGGATGATAAACACATGACTGTGTACATTTGCCTGGAAGCTTAATCATAGCAGGGTTCTCAGACAGGTGCACGCAGCTGTTTAAATTACCTGCATAACGTTATGCATGTATAACCTTGTGCGTTTTCTCTAAGTCAGGGATAGTCAATGTGGGGCCCTCCAGATATAGCTGGGCTGCAACTTCCATCATTCGTGACCATTGGCTACATTGGTTGGGGCTGATGGGAGTTCCGAGTCCAATGACATCTGAAGGGCAACATCCTAGCTACCAGTCTACTTGAGGAAACATGGTTGCACATTTTGGATCCCAAAATATATTAGACAACAGTTGTTTTACAGGAATTGTGTATTATGAAGATTGAGTAGGCGTTTAATCTGTTCCTTGTCACTCTATGGATGGATATCCGATTAAAAACCAACAACCCCTAAGGTCGCTATTTCCTTTCATAGGAAAGCAGATGCCTAAAACTAGGGATGCAACATAAAAGGCTCTGGATTTGGTAGCCCCTGTTGATATTTACACCTTGAGGAGTGGACGATTTTGAAGCACTGCCTCCTCAGCCACTCTCTGTGGGTGGCAAGTTCCATATGGAGAGAGGCATCTTCAAAAAAAGATAGACAGCAGGCTAGTTTACTCCTTGCTGATTTTATGAAATCCAAGCAAGGCTTCTCAATAATCCCATTCTAAAAAGAGAGTCTCACAAAAAATTGAGACACTAATCTCTGTATTGTATTTCATATACTGTACCATGCAATTAAAAAGTTGTACAAAACTTCCTCCTTGGAGCACACTTTTATTTATGTTTTCACCTCATCCATTCCTGGTCCCGTTTCTGTTATATTATCATCCTCGTTATCACTCTCATCATCTTCCTCATCATCGTTGTCATCTCCCCAAAGCCTCTCATCCAATTTGTCAGCTTCAGCCTCTCCGAGATTTCCCATCTGTTTGTCTAACTCTTCGTCAGATTTGTCGTCTTCTTCTGTATAAGGCAACACAGCTCGTTTTGCATCATCCTCCTTATAAGGTACTAGAACTCAGTGCATAAGGGACACACGGCCTTTCACAAACTTTCAAGATGAACACCACAAGCATGGTGACATCACAGGTTAGCAATGCACACGTTCTGCTGGCAGGGACTGGACTAGGGTGACAGCCTAAAACCATTCAGCCACACTGCATCAAACAGAGGACACCTACATGAGTACAGTAAGCCTGCAACTTACGTGCATTTAACTTGCTCACATTCAGCTTCACTCACCTGGCAATAATTATTATTTTAAGTAAAAAGTGGGCGGAAAGGGGGTGGGTATCCAGGAAAAGAGACTCTGGCAATCCCACCCGCCATTGAACCCAATGCGTTTTGACTATATGTGATTTTGGGTTTAGATGCAATCCCCAGAATGTAACCCCTGCGTAAGTTGAGGGCTTACTGTACAAGAAGTGTCTCTCCTGAAATTGTTTCAACACATTTGGCGAAACAAGGGAAAAGTTTATAAGAAATAAGAATTATGAACATTTGAACAGAATGTATATTACTGTATATTCTTATTCAGATTTCTCCAAGGGTCTGTCACAGTTTGAAATTAACAGTAATGTCATGAAAAGTTTTTGGTAAGATTCCCCCATTTGCTCGCCCAATTGTTCTATCCCACTTAGAATAACACACTACACACAGATATGATATAGCTGGACTTCTGCTGCATTTAGAAATGTTACAATTAAGGGTTTTCCTAATTTAAAAGTTATAGAGGCTTCCCGCTCCAATTATTGTCATTAATCAGGAAGAGCTCCTAACCACGCAAGCCACACAAGGATTAATTTAATGAGAGAGCAGCAGCAGAACCATTTTCACAAATACTGAACTCTGCCAGATTTTGCCACAGAAGGACATCAAGCTGTTGGAATCACACTTAACGTTAATTCTGAGCAAGTACTTCCATTGCATGTCAATGTTTGCACAAAAAGCCTGCAAAGAAAATGTTTAGCGTTCCCACCTGTATTGGCATATAACAGGACAGACAAGCGAAACCTACAATTGTCAAAGTACAAGCCACATACCTTGGTTTTCTTGCTCCCCGTCATAGGTTTTGCCTTCAAAATCATCTGACATTTCAATTGCATTGTCCTCTCCTTCAATACCTGGTTTGGATTCTGGGTCTTCATCCTCCTTTTCTTGACCCTTCTGGTAAGTATCTTCTACCTGGGATATTTAACCAAAGATTATTCCAGCTTTTAATGAAGCATTAGTTTCATCCCCACCATTATCTCAGCAACACAGTTTTATTACTGAATAAAATCTAACTGCTCAACCCCAGCAGGAGGACAGAACTGCTTTAAGAATCCAAGGCATTTTTCTTCTTCTTTAGGAGTAAGCGGCAGATGGCGGGGGGGGGGGGGAGACAATGAAAGTTACTATGAAACCTATTAAACTATATGAAAATAACAGCAGAGTCCAACCCCCAAGGTCCGTTGGGATGAGAAATTCTGAATTCGGAGGAACTTGGGGCTTTCTTAGCTAACTTTCAGCTAATCTGTAACCATGTCAGTGCAATTCCCTAACCCCTACTCAGCCAGACAATCTTAAACCAGCCTAAGTCCTGAAAAGGGGCATTCCAGGGGAGTGGTGGGGCAGGACAAGGAGACTTATAGCTATTCCAAAGTCTGTTCAGCTAGGTCATGTGACCTAGGGCTTAATCCTCAAAACTCAAGCCCATAATTGCCTGCCAACACAGCCAACAGTAGCCCCTCCCAGCCACTCCTGAACAGGGTGTGGAATGGGTTAACTTGCACTGGTGAAATTTACATTGGCTTCCTATCGTTAAGAACGTGCTTTAACTTATTTATGAACATATTCATGGCTACTCTGGAGCCACTGCCTCAAATCCCACTTGGCACGTACCTGATCTTCGCTTTCTATCTTGTCACTCACATCCTTTTTGCCTTCCCCTTCTCCAATGCCACCTCCTTCGTAATCATGGAATTCTGTTCCTCCTTCTCCTCCTGCATCTTCCATTAGCTCTTTTGGTAAACAAAACCCCTAATAATAATAATAATAACAATAATAATAAGTTGAAACATTTTGGACAGATTTTAGCACTCATCAAAACAATTAAGCTTCCAAAGGACAGATTATACACAGACTTGTATCTATCTATCTATCTATCTATCTATCTATCTATCCATCTATCTATCTATATACATGCACACAAATAAAGTACTATGGAGCCAAAGATAAGGAGCTCATTCAACACACTGACGAACATCTTGCTTCTGCTGTGGCTTTCTTTAAACAAGCTTTATTCACAACTCCAGATATCTCAGAATTCTATCCCCTTTCCCAAATCCACTGAGAGGGTAAACTAGAATTTCTTACCTTCCGGGCCAGTTCTGTAAATATGTTAGCTAGAACAGAGAGCAATTTCCCAGTGCTCCTATGTGTAGCCAAGGTAACAGTGAGGTAGAAAAGGATGATATTGGAATATTTGTAAAGTATTGGCATTAGACGCACCAGTAAGTGGCAGGATTGATTGAAAAGCTGTGGACACAAAATAAATCCAATGTTCATTAAAAATATAGGGTCTTCCCCGCCCCCACCAAGACAAAACGAGAAGTTTCTAAGTGACCTTACAATTTCCCTCTGCTATTTTGCCTTTTACAGAAAGTCTAGAAATTCACGTTCAAAGCCTCCTCCAGCTGGACCAAGCCTCAATGAATAGCATGGACATTTTGACAGATGAATTTTACCTTGCACTTGTATTCAGTGTAATCCTCGCCATAGGATTTTAGTCGCTCCAGGAGTTCTGAAATAACCGAAATGATTTTCTGCACGTGCAGAGAATTCACATCTGCACAGATGTCTTCATCCAAGAGTTTAGTTAAATGCCCTGCCTTGAGCCTGTCAACCAAGGATTCTTCCCCTTGAGTAAGAAAAGGGAAAAGGGAAAGGACTGAAGACTCAATTCATCCTTAATCAGAAAAGGTTTGGGTAAACGTTTTTACCCAGTGAAAATGTTGCCTTTGTATAGTAGGCTAGTTTCTACACACACTTCCATCTTTCATCCAGGCAACAAAAAGGCCTTATCAGAGTTCAAGGGCATATTCAAGCCAGGCAAAAAAATTAAAGGAAAGTATGAAGCAAGACTGGTGAGGGCCTGGGGAAAGGGTGTGTGGCTGGGAAGGGGTTGTGGTGTGGGCTAAACAGAGAGGCCTGGAGGTGCACATTTGATCCCCATGCCTAAGGTTCCCCACTCCTGCCCTAGAGCACCACGGCATGTTGCAGGATCCAGGAGGAACCAGATGCCCAAGAGAACTGTACTGATTGCCCTTCACAGACAAGGGGCCTTGGCACTATTGCCAGTTCTCTCCACCCTCCAGTGTGGTGTAGTGGCTAGAGTTACTGGGTGACCATGGGTTTGCCACAGTCTTTCAGCCCAACTTACCTCACAAGGCTGATGTGAGGATAATAATGAGAAGGAGGAGAACCATGTGTGCCACCTTGAGCTCCATGGAGCAAAGGTGGGATATAAATGCAATAAATAGGAAACAAGTAAATCTAAAAGAGGTTATGAAAGGACGGAACTATTTTTAACTGTTTTTTCTTTTTTTTACTTTTTTCTATTTTGTACTTTGTACTTTGTATGGTGTATTTTTCTTTGTTTTTGTTAAAATTTTCTTGTTTATTAATGTGATTTTATTCTTTCTGAAACTTTAATAAATATTAATTAAAAAAAATATATAAATTCAATAAATAACAGATTAATAAAATATATCAGAGCATTCAAGAATCCTCTGAATTCCACAAGTCTCTTGCGGGGGGGGGGGGGGTGCATTCAGGAAGCAGCGGCTACAGCAAGTACAAATTTCACAATTTCACCGTGGCAATCATATTTAGAACATCCACCTCTGCCCCTGAAACAAAGACCTAATTTGCCAGGATATATGTTGTGTTCAGTTACACACACACACACACACACACACACACAATATTTCTGAAAGTATAAAGAGTGCTTCAGAGAAAAGGACAAAAGTTAAGACTCACCATCCTCCTTCTGTGAGGTGTCGTCTTCTTTTACCTTTTTCCTTTCTACCAAACACTGAATTGCACCCAGGATAGCTTGGATTGCAAGCTCTACTTGTTCTGAGTAGAGTTCGACAAATCCATCATCTGACTTTTGGTTCCCTTTGGAAATACAGTAGAAATGTTAGTGGGGAAAACATCCGATTTCGAAAGCAGCAACCACTTTGAGGGTTTTGTTTTGTTTTTGCAATCAAGTGGTGCATAATAAATTTTATGGAATAAACAAATGATAGGACACAAACAAATTGCAGTTCTAAGCCACAATAACAAATGAAACTTTAACAAGAAAGACATAATGCTCAAAAACCTGAAATAAGACTAACTATTAAGATTTGATATGATGGTTGGGCTTTATAAAACTAGTGTCTCCCCATTGTTAAAACCTGGAGAATTCCCAGTTCCCCGCCTAATTTAAAATTTGATATACTCCATTACTCCAAGAGGTATATATGCTTTGCCGCAGTTATCTCACAGAACAAAAGTCTGACATCTGCCGTGCAAGTGGAAGATAGTGCAAATAATATTGCCTCTTAGCCTCTCACCAGCCCTTGGCCCAGAAATGAGACTGAATTTTCAGGCAGTGCTGCTGCTAGGATTTTCCCCAAGTCAAGTCAGGTCAAATCAATGAATCCTTAATCCCCTTGCAATGTTGCCACTGCTATACTTATTCCAGCTCATTTCATAATGCATTAACAAGACTCAGCTAAAGACATGCAGTGGCATGAAAACAAATGTCCAACTTTTAATGAGAAAACAAGCTTTGTAGCATCAGATACTAGGAACAGAGGTCCCAGGAAGTATCCAACAACAACTAGCAAGAAATAAACAAAACGCCAACTCCCACCAAAGTACAGCTGCTAGGATTTTGACATCCTATATTAAACAAAACGTTGAACATTATTGTGAATGCTTCAATACTCTCTGCACACTTACATGCCTCTTTGAACTCTGCAAGATTTGGTTCTCAGTAAGCATGCTTAGGATCCTAACAAAATTGTGATCTAATTTTACTGCTCTTAGTCACAGATGCAAATATTCAAAGGTGATAACAGAATAATACTTAAATCAACTGCTTTACTGGTTGAAAGATTAAAAGGAACATGTATTTACCATTGCAGTGTGAAATTGAACTGAAGAGCTGTGTCTTCCAAATGGCAAAGTCATCCACACTTCTATTAATTTCTCCTTGGATGTACACAAGACTTCTGATTAATGCCATCCGTGTTGAAAATTGATTGGCTTCCATCTCAGGTAGGACAAAGAAAGACTCTATATCTTGCAGTTGGGTTGAAACCTTCAGCAAACATTCTATTCCTGAAGAGCACACTTCAAAGCTTTTCCTGTAAGACAAAAGCAATCACAGCTCACTTTAACGAGCCACCTTTTAGCTTGCACATTTGCTTTTGAGAAAGAGTGGGTCTGGGGTTAACACAAAACATCGCTTCTGTTGGACTTACTGGTAATCAGAAAAACAAGCTAAGACTCAATTGTGATACTAAAAACATAACATCTATGGTTTTACCAGAAGGTTTAGAAGTTGTCTTACATGAATGGAAAAGGATATTCAGCTTGCATAAGGTAGCCCTGCAGATTTCCTTCAGTTTCTTTAGCCTGTACCCCCACCTTTAAAAAATGTTCTATGATACAAAGAGGCACTACACTGTTTAAACCAAGCACTTTACTGGAAGTTGCAGATTTAATCTACTGTATAGTGTTTACAATATAATAAGCTTTGTTTTTTTTGATTCTGTACAAGTCTTACGCAAGTTGGAGGATGGATGGCAGCTAACAGATTGAGGTTGAATCCTGACAAGACAGAAGTACTGTTCTTGGGGGACAGGAGGCGGGCGGGTGTGGAAGACTCCCTGGTCCTGAATGGGGTAACTGTGCCCCTGAAAGACCAGGTGCGCAGCCTGGGAGTCATTTTGGACTCACAGCTGTCCATGGAGGCACAGGTCAAATCTGTGTCCAGGGCAGCTGTCTACCAGTTCCATCTGGTACGCAGGCTGAGACCCTATCTGCCCACAGACTGTCTTGCCAGAGTAGTGCATGCTCTAGTTATCTCCCGCTTGGACTACTGCAAATGCGCTCTATGTGGGGCTACCGTTGAAGGTGACTCGGAAACTACAACTAATCCAGAATGCGGCAGCTAGACTGGGGACTGGGCATGGCTGCCAAGACCATATAACACCAGTCCTGAAAGACCTACACTGGCTCCCAGTATGTTTCCGAGTACAATTCAAAGTGTTGGTGCTGACCTTTAAAGCCCTGAACGGCCTCGGTCCAGTATACCTGAGGGAGCGTTTCCATCCCCATCGTTCTGCCTGGACACTGAGGTCCAGCGCCGAGGGCCTTCTGGCGGTTTCCTCGCTGTGAGAAGCCAAGTTACATGGAACCAGACAGAGGGCTTTCTCGGTAGTGGCACCCACCCTGTGGAATGCCCTCCCACCAGATGTCAAAGAGAAAAACAACTAACAGACTTTTAGAAGACATCGGAAGGCAGCCCTGTTTAGGGAAGCTTTTAATGTTTAATAGACTATTGTATTTTTATATTTTGTTGGAAGTTGCCCAGAGTGGCTGGGGTATAAATAATAATAATTATTATAATTATTATTATTATTAGTGTTACTTATTGAGCATTTCAGTTAATTCAAATTATATTAAAATACAAATGGAGTTTATTGGATTGTTGCTTTTATTTTGAGGTTTTATATTTTGATTTTATTCTGTGAACCGCCCTGAAACCTCTGGGTATATAAATTCAAATAATAATAATAATAAGATAACCACTGGAACAAATACAGAAATAAGACATAAACATTACGATGGTAGGTGAGAAGAGTCCCTAACTGGCCTAACAGTTGTCTGGGTTTCCAAGAATTATTTAGTCCAATGAAGTTTATTATTTGTTTAGGAATACCAGTTTATAGACACACAGCTCTCTGAAAATTACTAGAATTTATCAACTCACAGTGGCCTAGTTCATATAGAATGCTGAAGCACAGTTAATGTTTTTGATTATGTCCTCTGAAATGCGTATCACCCAGTCAAAGAGTGCTAAGCTTCCTCTGTGCACTTCCTCCAAAAGTGAAGGCATAACTCTCCCCCAAGGCACTTAAGCTTCGATACAGCATCTGTAGTGTAGAGGACTGTTTAGTGCCTCCATGGTTGGGCCACCAACTTCTGCAGCGCCAATCATGTATTTGGGATATAGTGGGGGCTGACTGCAGGCCCCATTTTGAACAATGCTGTCAATAAATTCACAGTCCTACAGATTAGGGTAAATGAAGGCTGCAGGAGTGAAACTGTTTTCTCCCCGTAGTACTTTACTTACCAGGAATGGAAGAGTGTCTCACAAGACAGTTGTCTGATTCTGTCCACATCCGATTTTACTGCCTTAACCTCCAGCAGCATCTCTTTCACGTCTGAAATCAGCTTCTGAAACAACGGGTCATGCTTTCGCATCTTGCATCCAGCGGGCAGCTGATCTGCAGCTATGGGAGTGGAATATTGTAGCTCTGGGGGGTTAAAACCAGGCATGGACTTCAGAACACAAGGGGAATTCAGTTCAGTTGCTTCAGTCTCTGCCCTGGAAGCATTCAAGGACTGGCCTTTTGGACAGCACTCCATAAGCCAGGACAGCTGCTCCAGGACCACCACACACTGCATTGAAAGGTATTGCAGTCTATCGGTCCACTGTTGAACACCGTCTTGAGGAGGAAACGCCACTTCATATTCACAGGCAGGGTTTAACCGGGCATCAATCTCCTGCACACAGCTCAGAAGGTTCCTGTAGGAGATTCACAAGGTTAAGAGATCTGCTTATAATAATACTATCGGTACACCTCAGTCAGTATATAGTGGATCACGGCAATTTCCAAATGCTGCAGCTTTTGCGGAAAGTTTATTTATTTATCTGGCAATGCCTCTTGCTTGTATGAACAGAGGATAGAGAACATGCATAAAAATGTACTGAGGGTTTACATTTTGCACTATTATTGCAGTATACAGTCTGCCTCTCTCTTTTTTGAGTCAGAATGCTTTCCTTTCTCAAATGAGCTAAAGAAGTGCGCAGAAAACAAAAGTCCAAATACCTCAGGATAATCCACTGCTCAGTCAAGGCAGTGAGGGAGCTCCTCTGCTTGACAAGCATCTTCATAAGGTGTGCTGTGAATCCTTTGCATCGCTCAACGGTGCCCAGTCCAATTTCCTGCAGTGTGACAAGGTAGCACTTTTCACTCCTGTGTAATGGTTGCCATAATAATGTGGCCCCCCACCCAACTGCTACTAGGCAAATCCATGGAACTCTGCCTATGCCTTGACAATGAAAGATGCATGGAACGCATACAAACTACTGTGCAGCCCCATCTAATATTATGCTTGTTCACTCAAAACTAACTCCCGCTATATTCAAAGGTGCTTATGCCCAGGTAAACGTGCACAGGATTACAGCCTTCGGATAATTTTCAGGCAAGTAACATACCCAGAAAACAAGATTTGAAAGCCTATGCATAAAAAGATCAAAATAGCACAAACGTGCTTTGAAAACAAATTCCTATCGTAGCAACTTTAATGAGAGTAAGAGCTGTGGATGATCAGGACTGAAAGTGCTAAATCAGGGAGGAAAGCAGGATCCCCACAACATTCCAGCTGTGGAATGCTCTCCCTGGAGAGATATGCCCAGCACCATCCCTATCAACCTTTAGCCACATTAAGATGCTACTTAGCACCTAGGCATTTTACTCATAACTGGTGTTTATGTTGTGCTGTCACGCAATGTATTTTTATGTTGTGAACCACCCTGTGAAGGGCGGTATACAAATTTAATAGATAACGATAGCAGCAGCAGCAGCAGCAATTCATCTGTTAGTAGGATGTGTCCTTTTTATGCTATGAGGACTAGAGCTGTCAGTAAATGCTTAGCTAGGTGAAATGCTTGTTCTCTGATCAGCTAGTTTATATGCTACCATTTTTATTTTACATTAATGTCACCTCCACTTTCTCCAAGGTATACAGTGGTACCTCGTTTTTCGAATGTAATCCACTCCGGAAGACTTCTGAAACGTTCAAAAACTGAAAACTCATCGCCAACAGCAAGGTCTCAGGATCTTGCACTCAGCGGAAGCCGCGTGGCATGTTCGACTTCCAAGACGTGTATGAAAACCAAAGCATTTACTTCCAGGTTTATGGCGTTCGAAAACCAAAATGTTCGTCAACAGAGACATTAAAAAACCAAGGTATCACTGTACTGGAAAGTGTATTGGAAACTGGAAAGTGAACCTGACTCAATCCTACAATTTAGTGACTTGCGAAGGATTTCTGAATTTGCCAAGGTTTGTAATTGGGTACATTTGATAAGAAATATGATACATAAGTGACAAGTCTCGGTAGATTTACTGGTAGTTTACCTCTATTTATCTGCTCAACAACTACAATGTAGGCAGGTATAAACATGCCTGAGAAAAAAACTATGTTGATTCGGAATAAAAAGCCAAATGTTTAGATGATGAATGATCCTGTCTTGCCTACTCAAAGCTTTTAAAAGGAGAAGATTTGAAATAAATCTCTAGTACTGAAGCTACTGTTTACCTTTGAAGGTGCCAATAACGCTGTCTGAAGCCCACAGTGGCGTGCGAGAGACTGATAGAAGTATTTCTGGCATCCATCCCAGGACGAAGAGATCTCAGAGAGCAACCTGGAAAGCGTAAGACTTTTGTTCATCCGAGACAAAAATAAATAAATAAGCAATTTCAAAGTCTTTCTACGACCACACAAACACAAAACGTGCATCAGTTCAGCTTACCCATGCTTTTAGGCAGTCTTAACCGGCTTTACATTGCCTGCTTAAGGTATCAGTTTGGTAACCGATACTCCCGACGCTGTAATGCGTTTTTACTTAAGGCAATATCCGGATGTTTTTGTTCTGCTGGTTCCAGAAAATATCACGTTACACAATTTGCAAGTCGCTCCTTAAAATGAAAACCGAACGAACCAAGGGCCAAACTAGATTCACCATTTGTCACCTTTGCAGAGCTGATTTTCCTTTGCAGCTGGTGGGAGGGAGGGCTCAAAGATGGAGTGATGTATTTGTCCTCCACCCCATGGTCCTGATCAGAATTGGGTTTCCCTCGATGTCTGCTGTTTGCAAGGGGAAGAAAGCAGCCACTGGCACAAATGGCGGCTTTCTTCCCACTACTAACAAGAGGGAAGCCACAACTCTTAACAGGGCTAAATGGTTCAAGTCTCCCACACAACAGTTACTTTTCTATTTCTTTAGGTTTTTAGGATAACCTAATTTATTTGCATTGTTGTGAAATGTTATGTGCATTGATTTTTTCATCCTTATTAATTCTGATTATTTATAAAGGTTTCTAATAGGTGCATAACAAATATTGTGCATCTGTTATGCTGTGAGCTACTTCGGGCACAATTTCTGTGGAAAAGTGGCATACCAACAAACAGACGAGGTAACGGTAATATTGGATTGAAAAACCCCAATTAGATACTTTTGGAGGTCAAAACTGTAGCTGCGGAAACAGAAAATACATACGTTGCGTCCAGTTTCTGTGTGCAGTTAACCAGGGCTAATGCACTGCTCAAATCCAACGGGTGAAGGAAAAGCAGGTCCTGGGAAGTTTTTGAACGAGACCAAGCAAGGCCTTTGCGATATGACAACCCTGGGAAGATATTTAAAATACATCTAACTTCAATTTTTCTTTTTGAGACTTGAAATAAACAACATGGAAGTTCTTTTTAGTGAGTCCATTCAGTCATGCCTTTTCCTCTCCAACACCTAAGTGATGATGGCTGATATAGATGCTTCTGAGAATTTAGCTTTAGTGGTTGAAAGGAGCAAAGAAAACAAGCGGCTATAACTAACCAGCAGAAATTGCTTTCAGAGCCAGTGTGGAGACCAGGATTCAGATCCCCCTGGGCCACAAAGCTCACCAGGGGACCTTGGGCCAGGCACTGCCTCTCAGCCTGACCTACCCCACAGGGTTCTTCTGAGTATTAAATGAAGAGGGTGGGGGACCATGTATGCCACCTTGAGCTCCTTGGATAGAAAGGTGGGATATAAATGCAATAAATAAACAATGAAAAGGTTCTGGACCCTATCCTTTCTGTGTGCATGGCTACAAAGCTGTGCATTAGAGTGTGTGTGTGTGTGTGTGTGTGTGTAGAGCAATACAGTAAAAATTCATTCCACATTTCCAATTAGTATTCATTCTAACCCAATTGTACTACCTACCTCCCAGCTATTATCATTTGGTACACTATACATGTGCCTATGGAGGTAAATCATGGGCAGTGCCAAACACACTCACATGGCATTTTGCTAGTTTGAGGGGTGGGAGTGGGGGTTACTACTGCTTATTTTTTGTTTGTTGTCTCCAAAGAGTAGTAGTTCCAGCTCCTCTTACCTGTATTAGCCAGGTTTTTAAAGAGCTCTGTTAGGGCCCTCTGCTTCTGCACGAGTAAATGTTTGGCCTCGGACTTCTGCTTTTCCTTGTCTGCAGCTGGATTTACAGACATATGCTGCAGCTCATGGGAAGAGGAAATTACGTCACCTGTAAAAAGGAGGAGCGCAGCAGAAAGCAATCTGTCAATCTATTAATTTCAGCACGTCTACTCAAACCCATCAATTCTTAAGAAAAACAAATTACCTTCCTGTTGAATGTTACGCTGTAATAAAAGTTTTACCTGTGAAATTGTCAAGGCTCTCCACCAGATCCAAGAACGAGTTGTTCTTCACTAGAGATGTACAGATCTTCTCCATCCGCTTCGTAAGTTTGGGTAAGCGGCCCTGAAGGGACTCTGGGTGAAAAATGTCTCCCTGGATATCCTCTAAGTGAGCAGCCTGCGGGGGAAACGTTCACAACAGGCAAAAGTCCAGGTGACTGAAATCCTTGTGCTTCTGGTAAGACTTATGGGACCTATCAGTACCAACTAGCCTAGAGAGTGAAGAATGGGACTTCAAACCTAACGGAGGGTAGCCATTGGGCCCTTTGGTCAGCTTCCCAAGGCGTCTGGCTGGTCACTACTGACGAAGGAAATACTGGCTTACACATACCTTGGCCTGTAATAACAGCCATATTACTGGGTCAATGGGTACTTACTGTGAGATGACAGAAGTCAGCCACAGAGGGTTATGTCGCATCCTACTAGCCTAGACAGGAAAATTCTATTGCAAACTTGAATGCAGCCACACCCCCTTCCAAGAGCTTCTCTAGTTTCCATTTCACAGAGAAGCTTGAAAGGATGTCCCTGGAAGCCTTGGAGTCCTAACTGATAAGTATAAAAAAAAATAAAAAAATAGCAACCAGGACTTTTGTCGCCTTTCCAGTTATGCAGATAACAGACAGATGAATAAGGCAGAGAGAGGCAACGCAGCCATCAGCAGCCTAAGAATGCATGCAGGGCGTGGTCCTCCCACTCATCAGAAAAAGATCCTTCTCAGAAAGCACCCAATGACCAGAGAAGAAAGCAGTCTGCAGAACCCTCTGTAAGAAGGCTGCCTCTATTTTGTAATCTTGGGCTGCCCTGAAGAGAGGGAGAAAAAAAGAAGTGCAAGCTCGGAGGTAGGGGGAAAGTCAAAGCACAGGACGGAGGAGAAAGGACTTCTGCTAGTCTCGGTAAGCAAAATAAACTTGAAAAAGTTAGGGGAGGATACAGCCTACCGATTTGCAAAAGAGTTTTCCTGTCTAGCCTAGTAGGGTGTGATGTAACCCCTCTGGGATTGGCTCCTGTGTCCATCAGGGAAAAACACACATTTGGTCACCTCTCAATGAAACACTAGGACAGCACTGAGAACAAAGTTTACGTTCCTGTTTCGCTGTTATCATTTCAAACATTTTGTCATATCACGGTTACAACTAAGAGTGTTCCAATACGCAGCAAGGGAATCCAGCACTCAGGTTAAGAATGCCTACCATTCCATCTGAACGCAAATGAAAACTCCAGGTACCTGAGCAGAATGGGACCTAGCAGTCAGTTTTTTTCTTAATATGCTGTTCAGGCTCTGAATTTTAGTTTCTTGGTTGCCCAATGTCTCTGCTTCCTGCAAAGAAGCAAGTTGCTCTTCTTTTGCTGTTTCCACCAAGGCAGAACGGCAGGGTTCATTGAGAGCAGCTTCAAATTTCTTCATAAACTTGAAAAGTGTCCTAAAACCCAGGAAAAGACAGGGATGAAAACAAGGACCATCAATATGGGTGAGCACTCAAGCTCCACGACAACATGGTTAAAGGGGACTTAAAAAGTTAAAAATCCACTTTGAGTGTATGCATATTAAGGTATCCAATGCAGTTATGGCAAAGCAGTATATCCTCAGTCACCACTATGGTATGGGAGTGTCAAAAGAAGAGGATCCGGATACCAATATTGCATATTAGACACATGCAGGCCAGTCAGACAGATACTTTAACCCAAGCAAAATTTAACTCTATATTGGTAGCTAAGATTCATACTGTCAATGACTGGCTCTGCAATCTCATAGTGAACAGAATCTTGGGACAATGACTCAGGTGTATAATTTCGTTCTCCCACTACTGACTTATTTGCATTTACCCTCCCCTTAACCATTCTCAGAGTGGTGTTTAAGGAAAAAAGTAAGAGGAGAGGAAAGAGGAGAGCAGTCCCCAGAGGACATGTTTCAAGCCCCCCGTCTCTGGGCCGATAACTGATATAATCCTCCTGATGCCCAAATGCCCAATATCTCATCAAAATTTCATACTTACCTATGTGTCTTCTCCACAGACTGTTTTATAGCCCAAAAGCTGACATCATTCCACTTAGAGATTTTTACAAATTCCTGAAAAATATTCAATTCAATAAACTATGATGTTTATTTTAAACAGAATGAAGAATTGCTGAGAGGACATGTGCTTCTGGTTTGAAGAGATGTACTTAAAAAGCAGGGTAGGACCTAGCTATTTATTTGAACTAGCTTTACTTCCAACAACCAGAGAATACTATTACACCAAGAAATCTTGTTCTCACCTTCAATTCTTTTTCTATCGGATGCCGAAGTTCAGTCAGCCTGGTTTGGACACATTCTGAAAACTGCTTATAATAATTGTAGAGATTCCATAATACATTGCACAGCATGTCTGAAAAAGAGAGAATGGGTTTCATACAAAAATGAATCTTCGTCCGCACCTGAGGATTTAGGGATCTTAAAGGACATAGTAGTTCTGACTGAAACAGCATCTCTCTTTTATTAAATCTGTAAAAGTTTCAAGAAGTTGTTTATTTTTTTAATTCTACTGTATTGCTGCCTTGTTGTTTGCTTCCCTAGGTTCCTTTAGGAGGAAGGTCAGGGTAAAAAAATTAATAAATTAATAATGAAAATCTGTTCAATGCCCCCTTCCAATCAAGAGATTCCTTCAGGCAATTTTGCAAGGGGAAGACAAGCAAAGAGGTGTGGAAAAAGTTTTAATCTTCCATTCAGTGCTTTGCATAGAATAATCTACTTTGTCTTTTGGCAAGCTACAGGGGAGAACTGGGTTGAATACACCACACTGCAATTTTGCCAGTATCTTTCGGAGAAAACTTTCGATGTAAAATAATAATAACTGGAAAATTTAGCTGAGCTCTATTAAATGTTAGGAATAATAATTCAACTGCGTGCAATAAAGAAAAGAAACATAAGCTCAAAGGTAGGCAGAAGGCAGATCTGGATCTGCTGGTAGATCTCCAGCTGATCCACAGTAGACTGGCTGGAGACAGAAACCCTTGGCAAACTGTTTAACAACAGCAACAGCAGCAAGCTCTCCTGCTCCCAAAGCAGGCAGCTGAGATCAAGGAAAGCTGAGCACATGCTCAGAGCCACCCTGCTCTCTTTAATTCTGTGTGTGCATGCGTTCACCACCCAGCGCTACCTGGTGGAGCTAAAGTACACCCCACAAGTCTGGCGTCTGGCTTTGGCCCATTTCACCTACCATTTCCTTCCACCTGTGGCATCAGCAAGACGTGGCAGTGGAATTCCAGCAGCATCTGAAGCCGTGTGTCAAACTCCCCCAATGTTGACCCTTCTATGAAAGCCTGCAGTGTGCCGAGCAGTGCTTTTAAATTCACATCTGTCCATTTCATGAAGTTGGGATTGTAGGGAAGAAAGGGGGGGGGAGGAGGACAAGATGGCATGTAAATTCATTTTTGACATTAAACAACATCCATTATGGCCCTTTCAGAAGGAACTAACTCTGACACAGACAGAGGGCAGGCTCTGCCTCCCTAGAAACAAGCCTTAGTGCACAATGCAATGCAGGCTGCCTTTTACCTACAGTTAAGGAACTGTAATCCAGATGCAGGAATAATTGCTCCCTCCTCCAAGCCCTTCTGTCTCTGGAGGAAACTTCCCTCTCCTGCCTTAACAGTGGTTAAAGGGAACCAGTTCAATAAGAGGAGAAAAGACAACACCATAAACACATCATATTATTCATCTAATTCAATAGTATCTTTACTAACAGTTCACTTCACATTAAAGGAAAAGGTTGTATAGAGTCCACCAGACAGACAATAAAGGCGTACGTCCTGCTCAGATGTGATCTTGCCTACTTCATAAAAGATGTTTTTTTGGCACTGATAACAGGTGCTTGGTCTATACTGGGTTGTTTTCAGCTAGAGTTGCCCACTTGGGACGTCAATCTGATTTAAAACAAGCCAAGATTTGTGTGCCCTGTTTACAGAGCCATGGTTTCTGAAGTCAGCAGCGTTGTGGGCTAATGTGGTTTTTCACAGCTCTTGTGAACAGCAATACACAGTTGGACTGCTCAACATTTCAATAATATAGGCAGTTACAAGCTTTGCCTGTTAAGTTGCTTGAGAATCAAGATGGAAGAATACTTGATTTCTCCAATATGCTACATATTGAAAGAAGCTTTAAACTTCGCTATTGGGCATGTAATAGAGAATTGCAAATGCAGATATAGATCATATACCATTTGTATTTTTATCAGTTTATAGAAATGTGTATCCTTGAGTGTATGCACTTCTATTAACAGCTTGCATTTCTTTTACCACTCTGTTATCAATAGTTACCTTCAGTTTTCTTCTGTGTCTGTTCTTGCCTATATTTCTCAATCATCTGATAGATTGAAAACCAGTGTTTCATTGACTTTTCTGTGTGATGTTTCCTTGTGTTGTCCAGACTAACAGACCAACAGCTGACAATGCAAGTGGAAAAAGAAAGACCTATTAATGAACATTAAATCTCAGAGCCCACCCATGCTTGCTTTTAGATCGATGGGTACACGTTTCTTAGAAAGCAGCCCAATTTTTACGACAACTATTTTTACAGTACAGGTAAGGCTGTTATTTTTGCTCTGCACTAACATCAGTTCTGAAATATGAAAACTTAAAAACATCTGCATTAGTAAATAATCAGATTTTTAAAGAAGTGAATGTAGCACATTTATTTTGCATAAGCTGCTAGGTTATCTATATTTGAAAGAACAGGGATTCTTCTTTGGCTAAGGATTGAAGAAAAATACAACCCCCCCCCCCCAAAAAAAAAACCCCACAGGGATCTAGAGGGTAGGAAATAGAAGACATGCTGGAACGTAGCAAGAAGCTGTGTAGACGAATGAAACTCCACATCTCTCCCTTCAATTTCTGAGCTTGCTCCAGATGCTGTGGGCAAACCCCTGATCTGGTTTGTCCCCCCCCCCCCCCCGTCATTTACACTTGAAAATACTCAGCACAAAGGGAACTGACAGTACATACTTCAGTTCCAGTTTACGCCACTGGATGATCAGCTGAGTGACCAAATCCAGATGTTTCCTAAGAGAGACAGCTCGACTAGCATTCTCCTCCCAATCCTAGAAAAGGAAAAGATGCCTTTCAGACAAAAACTGAAATTATACATTTCAACGTTGATATAAAAAGTTGATTTGCTTGCCCATTATCTACACCTTTAAATTTAAAAATGCAATCACCTTCATTCAACAAATAAGTTTCCTTTATTAGTAAATTTGGTGTTTCTTATACTACTAAAAATCAGGTGTATTACAGAAATTTGTTTTCTCACCTTCTCTGGCTATACACACACAACCACTTGCCTCCTGATTTCTTACCTGGGACTTGGCCAGCAGAATTTCCAAGCCATTCAGGAACTTCGAAAGGGGACTGGAGAGTGGAAAACTACGGATTCTGTCCAGTACAACCAAAAGCTGCAAAATGAAAGACAATTAGTGCTTCTGGCAGTTGCTTTTTAAAGCTTAAAACTAAACAACACAAAGGAACAGAACTTTTAACTTCATATTGCATTGCAAGATCTCATCTCTTCTGCTAACAGCAGATATAACTGGTTGTTTGTCTGTCTCATATAGCTGAACATACTAACAAATTTAGGGGACTAGCAGTATGCTTGTCTCTGTGGAAGGTGCTATCCATGCAAAGCCTTAACGTGTAAGGAATCCTAGGTCAAAGCAAATATAAATTGAACTCTGGTTATTTTAGCTACTGTTTCAGTTCTTGAAAGTCTAGACTCTTACCTGGACGAGCGCAGGGTGGTCCGGCCATTCTTGCAATAGTGCTTTCACCTCTTTTGTGAAGTTTTCAAGAACATGTTGACACTGTTGCACTTGCTGAATATTAGGATGGTGATAAAAGTCATACGGCCCTTCGTTTTGCAGGACTAGTTCTGAAGCCCCCTGTTCAAAAAGTGTATTGTGCAGTATTGTGCTAGCTAGAAGTTGGCTGCCATGGAGATTATCGTTCATTTCAGAACCTATGATTTGGCCATCCAGGGGGCAAGAAGAGAAACAAAGTCATTAAGGCAATAAAGTTTTCCGTATCTTTTTAAACAGCACATTGATTAAAACAGTAAAGGATAAGCTCAGAGACAAATGTGTTGGGTCTTAGAGCAATTGTTTTGCACAGCCCATCACTATATATAGTGAAAGCTCACTCCAAAAGCCTCTGTGAGTATCTACTTCTGAGGCACTTAAGACCGGAATGTTTAATTCTAGGAAGAATAACCTAGAATGCCTTTCTACCAATACCCTCTGCATAGCAAATCAACAAGATCACAGGGACAGTTTCAATAAATGACCACCCACACCCTAGAGGCTGTCCAAGTTCAATTATACAAGGCTTTGTTTTGCTTTATTACTATGTTTTTAGTGTCATTTAGATTCTTGAATAACGAGCAGAACCAAACACGCTACTTTCCCTCAGTGGAAACACATCATGCTATTTGAAAGTTGGAGATTCCATTTACCCATCGCAATAAAATCTCCCCAACCCAACTGCATTCAGTAGTATTCTACACATACAACTAACCCTAACCCAAACTGAATTACGCTCATTATTTAAGCAGGGAAATGAGAGACCACTCATTTAAGCCACGTTGGCCTTTTAAGGCTCAAGCTAAGTATATCAAACGTGAGTGGGAAAACGGGTTTCTGAATACAAACAACAAGGAAGTCGTGAAGTGGTAGGTGCAACTGCAATGGGACTGTTTTAGAGAACGTAGCTCCTCAGATGTAGCCAAGGCTAAACATTTCAGTTTATTCTGTCTACTTATTTTTTAGAGATACAGTCGTACCTCGGAAGTCAAATGGAATCTGTTCCGGAAGTCCGTTTGACTTCCAAAACGTTTGAAAACCAAGGCACGGCTTCTTCCAATTGGAAGCCACAGAAGCCCTGTCAGAAGTTCAGTTTCCGAAAGAATGTTCAAAAACCGGAACACTCACTTCTGGGTTTTGATCATTCAGGAGCCAAAGCGTTCGAGAACTAAGCTTTTCAAAAACCAAGGTACAACTGTACATACTTCAACAACCATTAGCGGTAGACACACAGGATTTTTAAATCACAGCTGCGGCCTTTGAATGATGGTTCCATGGAAGCTTATCTGAGGTTCCTTAACAAGAAGGCAGCTTGCCCATTATTAATGGCTTCACCCTGCCGTGTTCAGATGGCAGGGCAGTGCTGGGTATGCTGCAGGGAGCACTTTAGCTTATGTAAGAGATAGGAAGGTGCCACACACACTTGTGCAACATATTGGAGGGGGGATTCTATGGCTCCCTCAAAAGGATGGGGATTCTCTGTCCACTGAAGCACAGCATACTTGAAAGCACAAACAAAAAATCCTTACCAATCAAAGGATAGAAGTGAGCTACCAGCGAAGCACCAGTCTGGTAACAGGAAAGGAATGTATTCAAATGATGCTTCGCCTGATGGGAGGACAGGCTTTGCTGATACCACAAGGACCGAGCAAAGTAAAGGCACAGCTGCTGATGAATCGTCATGACTGTTTTCATTGAGTGATGAGAAAGAAGGGCTTTTCCACAAACTGTTTCCTTTTCTAAACCGTCATTCATTTCCATTTTCCCCTCAAGGCTTGCCTCTGCTGTAATATCTTCAAAATCCTGCAAATTGTATTGAAAGGTGTATTTAGTGACAACTTGCAGCACTGTATTTTAAGATCAGCAGCAAAGCTCACCAATTTCAAAGGACACACTTGCATGGAACAAGGCAGGCTGGTAAGTACCACATGACACCCTCAGGTTGTCTAGTGAACCAGGCTTTACTAAAGATCCTGCTTCAGTGGGCATCTGAAGCACAACTGGGCTCCACACATATCCAGGTAGGAAGCAAAAAAGTGGCCACCTCTCTGTGGCAACAGAGGAACTAAACTGTACATTTTGCCATAGCACTGCAGCTGTATTATCTGCTCTGTATTCTATTAGGAATCTTCTTTATGGTGTTAGTAAAAAAAATGCTTGTACGATAATTGTATATTTTATAATTATTTGCAACATAATATATTTTATTCCTCTTTCCAAGCCTCTTTGTTCTATTATCCTGACTCCTACACTAATATTTTTACTGTTTTCAAAAAAAGAAAACACAAGCAACAGCACTACAACCAAAAGCAAGCAGGACTCAATTTGGTAACTGAAGGCTTATTTCCCTGGCTCTGTTTCATAACACAGTCCCCCCCCCCCCATTTACCATTCAAAGCTCTATAAACACTTTCCTCGGATGTGCAGAGAGCTTTTTCAGTCTTTACACTGTGTATTCTCCCAACAAGAACAAATAACGTCACAATGGCTCATTGAACACAAAGCGGAAATGTGAACTTAGGATTCTGGAAGTTAGGCTACTGGACATACTGTCTTCCAGTGAAATTAAAAACATTTTCAGGTTCTGCCCCTATCCCATTTCATCCAGTTCCCAGCTGCCACACTATTGATACTTCAGTATTTCTTTCTGATTATGTAAACTGCTGCACAAACAAAATAAAGTTCCGTATGCAATTTCTGATTAAAGCAGAAGTTGTTTACCTTCTCATGCAGAGGGAATTTCCTCCTGAACTCTCTCTCTTCCTCCTCCTCTTCACTGAGACCACTACCGTGGCTCTTGGTTCTGTATCTGTAAAGACTATTCTTCTGTTCCTCCTCTTCCTGGGCCTGGCGCTCTTGTTCATCCCATTCATTTATAATTACCTAAGAAATAGAATGCAAACAAACAAAAGCCCGCTCATCTTGAGAAACCCATAAGAGACTTGTGCATATAAATTCCACATGTGTCACGCAGTAAACATATGGTGGCGTGAGGACACTAGTATGTTGAAGCCTAGTCAAACAGGCTTTGTTTTCTGCTCCATTTTTGTGGCAAGAAAAAAAGCCCAGAGCTTGAGCCTGTAGGCTTGCTTTTATACTGGCTGCTCTAAAGCTGTGACCCCTCTTTCCAGTGAGCATTAGGCCAGTCACCTTTCTCTCTCCCAAGGGTGTCAAGATTTATCTTTCACAGATGGTTTTTGGCAGAAGTTTCTGCAGCCATTTAGTCTTATTACCAGGTTTTCTTGATATATTTATTTTTATCAGTTTTGAAACGCTTTGTGCAACCAGAAAAGCAGTCTATAAACAACTGAGATCCAACCTGCTGCATTTTATCAGAGATAAACAAAGCAAAACTCCAACCACACAATGAGGTTTTTTCTTGGCTCTTTCCCTCCCTATGGCTCTCAGAATAGCTGCTTGTGAGGTTCAAAGGAACTTCTGGAATGGCACTGTGAGGAACCAGGGTTGCAGGAGGACACAGAAACCAGAACTTTGCAGTGCCGCCTTGCACAAGCAGAAGCGTATTTCTACTTGTGGGAGTTATTTCTGGGCCGAAGCAAATTAAAAATATATAGAGAGCAACAGTTCCTAGAGTGGCCTGCTTTCATTTGACAAATGCGTCTACGTAACATTTTAAGTTAAGTTTCCAAAGATGTCCCCTGCCCCCCCCCCCCCCCGGCCAGAGCAATAAGGAGAGAATGAAGGTAGAGGCTCAAAAAATGTAGCTGCTTAAATAGCACCACCATACCTGGCACAAATGCCTAAATAGCTGCAGAGATTTGTGGTCCAGTTCTCCCTTGGACAGCACGTGGCAATGGAGAAACAACAAAGCATTCACCAGCAGCTGCTCCTGGGTGAGGCATACCCTCTGCTCCCCATCAGCAGCCTCAGAGGAGTATTTCAGAGATAGCCTCTTAAGGCCATGAAGGACGTCCAGAGCGTTCACAGAGCACAAGGCATCCGCATGGGAAAGGTAACAGGGGAAAGTGGCGCTGACGGAAGGAAACGACAGCAGAGAGGCAACCAGAGTGCCAAGCTTGGCTGGGCAGACAAAACTGCTGAACATCGTCCTATGGACTTCAGAAGCCACAAGCCTTAGGCCATGCTGCATCTGCAAAATGGCAGCTTGCAGTGGGACGACTGCATCAGGGAAGGCGGCATAGTCCTCTGCCAACCGTTTCCTGAACTGGTGGTGCGACTGCTGCCAGGCTGCCTCTTCACTGAGGACGTTTTGCACCATCTGGAGAGACTGAGACTTATCCAAATGGAGTAACTGCAGCAGGCGGGTCACAAGGTCCTGGACTTTTGAAGTCTGGGCAATGCTGCTGACGTACTGATGAACTTCCTTGTACAATGACTCATACGAAGGAGCCTGTGGTCTACAGGCTTGCTTTTGGCTGAGGCTGGCAATCTGGTCCTTCAGCTTCTGGATTCTTTGGCATAACATCCTGAGAGAGGGTAAGTTGCAAAAGGTCAAAGGTCAGGGTCATCCAACAATTATTAGATGAAAGCCAACTTCAAGAGCAGAACAAATTATTTTGCTGCCATGATGAAATCTATGTGCCACCCTGACTATTTCTATAGCTTCACTTTTCTTTGCCACGAGGAACTCAGGCAACTCTGTACAGGTCTAGGTAAACTGGATGAAAGCAAGCTTTTTAAATTGTGTCCAGATGGATGGGCACCAAATGGCAAGAGCCACACACCTGTTCTTGCAATCCACCCACCTCCGCCTCAAATCATTCATCACCCAAACAGCAAACTGAGAGTCAAGAAAACAAGAATCCTGTAGTTAAGTGCAACTACCCAAGGCTCTGGTACAAGTAGGGATTTGAACCCACAGCCCACTGGACTACTGTGACCATTTACAATTACCCTTTCAAATTTGGGAACAGGAGGTAAACATTACAATATTCCAAAGCCACAGGGAAGCTTTACCTAATGTGAGGGTGACTGTGATGGCTGATGGCTTCATCTTCCAGATCTTTCCCTGTGCGTAACTGAGTTGACAGATTGTGTGTCTTCCATTCACATTCTAGATGGTGCAGCTGAAGGCGTCAGGCAAAAAACAAAAAACCACGCAAGTTTTATTCAAGATAAAGCTCTGCCACCACTCCAATTGGGTGGAGCTATTCTTGTGTACTGAGAATTTACAGATCCTTCTGTATGATCTAAGTCTACAGCAAGGCTATTACGTCATGATAGGTAAATGGAACCTCAAAGTCTAGAAACAGTGGGCTGTCTCCAATGCTGTCATGTTTGGGCAAGGACTTATGCTTGCATAAATGAATTTGGCCCCCTCCCCACACACCCAAACCTGTTCTTGGCATTCCCAAAACCCTCTGGAGAAGATTGGGAAGGGGTATAGGGAGAGGGAGGGGAAGGGAAAGGGAAGGGGAAGTCCTTGCACAAATGGGATGATTTTGTTGGATACACCACCACCACCCCCGTTACCTCTGAATACCCGTGACTAGTGACCATCATTGTCTAGGGAGATGATCTCTAGCAATACACAGAAGGGCACAGATTCCTCACCTGTGCTCTATCTGCATATTTGTGTATATCTTTATTCATCTTGTAGGGTTTTACGTGACTATGCACACTCATTTTCTGTTTTGAAAAATGAATAAGATCTTGCACCCGCCCTAGTACTTGTAGTTATGCACCGTGTTATCTGAATATTGGGTTGTTTTGTCTCATACGACAGCAAATTTCCAATGCAATCTTACTACATTTGTTCATGTGGTTTGGTATAGTTTAGCAGTCGTCTGAAGATTTGAAATGTCGGTGTAGGTGTAGCCTAAAAATCCCATTAGCCACAAGGCAAGGGAACCCAAGCCCTCACCTCTTCCTCTGCGTACTTGAGCTTGTATTCTCTTTTCACCGCTGGATCATACTGAGTCTGTGGAAGCCACAGCTGGATCTGCAGGAGACCTAGGTTGACCCAGAGACTGCCTCGCCGAGCCGTTTCGGGCAAGTTCTGCAGCCCCCCTTCATGCCCAAAGAACTGCTGCAAGCAAGTCAGCCAGATGCAGACGATATGCTCAGGCAATATTTCCCGGGCAGCAGCATCCCTGAGCACTTTGCAAATGTACTGAAACGCCGCTGGGCTCTTGGAGGAAACCTTATTGCAGTTCCGGAGATATTCCTCCTGCTGTTCTGCCGGAACCAGGCCTTTAAGAACTACGAGTTGCCTATGCAACATGACACCTTGGAACCTGGAATCTGTAAACCTGAAAGAAGAAAGAGATGTTCCAAATAAGGATGAAGAAGAGATCTGCAACTGGAAAGTCCCTAGAGCTTAATCAGGCTACTGGATAGGTATCACCTAGGCCTCTGCTGCCAACATAGAGACAAGAGAACTATCTCTACAGTAGGGTGGGGAGTCCAGCCACCTGCCCACCACATCCTCAGGTGTGCTTCTCTTTTACGACCAGCTGTTAACCAAGGGTACAAAGCATCTATCTCTCCTGACCCCCTGGCTTTGTTTCTTAATGCAGTACCTAAATTCAGCCATGGAAGAAAAGGGCAAGTTGGTCCACAGAACTGTGCTGACTTCCTGAAGCTGCTGTGCTCTCTCCAGCCGCTCTCCCAGTGTGACGTTGGAGGCGGACAGGACAGGAAGGCCGGTCACATCCCACTGGCTCCACTTGCTGCTGCTAGTTAGAATTTCAGAGAGGCACTTGGAGAAAACTGCTCGACTCAAAATACCCACACCCTAAATTAATAAAGATCAAAACATATATTTATAGCATTGATAAAGGTTTCCACATTTTATATTTTATTTTTAAAAAGGGCAGGTCACAGACTTGGAAATGTCAGAACATTTTGGGGAACATGTTACCAAAAAACAACATCATCATTGGAACATTGGAACCCACTGAAAGTCACTGAAATTTAAGTGGTGCACCAGATTGGGTGGATGCAAAACAGGATTTCCAAACCAACATCCCACCCGTATTTAAAATACCGTGCATAAGCATTAAACTAATCCCTACCTTCAGCAATAAAATAATCCCAAAATCTGTAATTTTGCTAAATATATTTCCTAATTAAGTTTATTTAAAAGACACTTCCCCATCTTCTAATGCAGGGTTTATGCTATTTGTCTACCTGTCCTCTACGGTGGGAGAAAAACCTGTCATCCCACCCCCGGCATTCTGATAATCAAAATATTTGATAGGGAGAAGTGAATCTAGTCTCATCTCAACTGTGTTCCTTTATCTCCTGCACTGTCTCCAATCAATGACTTTCATTGACCACTACAGAAAAATGCAAACAAAAGTGAACATACTGACAGGAACTTTGCTAATTTTGCACAAGTCGTTCAAATATGAAATGTCCAGCTGGATTTTTGGACAGGGCGTAGAAAATGGGTTTAGTTTTTTGTTCAAGTTGTCAGGCTCCTTTTCAAGCTTTGTTTAAAAAGCAAATCCAAGTTCCCCTGAATTTAGCATCAGTTGCATGGAAGAATTATCCAGATTGCAGCTTGTCACAAACATCTCCTGCTTAACAGGCAGCTCAAAAGCACTTTAGGAGCATTAACGCTTTATTTTATATTAATGCTGTATTTTAAACCCGCATAAGCTATAAATAGCAGAGCCTTCCTTGGGATCAGTTCTAGTAGCTAATTCACACTCCAAGCAATGGGAGTGAATACTTTCAATCCTCTGAATGAATAGTGAACCCATTCTCTATGTGACATCAAAATGGCACCATTCATTCACAAGAAGGAACTATTAGAAAGTTTGTAGGAAACTCGATATGTGCAGAAGTACACTCCACCCCACCCCACCCCAAAAAAGATCTCCAGAAAAAATTGTAACAGGGAAAACTGAGTGAAGACTGAGCATGCTCAGTGGGCAGAGAGGACTCACAATTAGGAGAGGAAAAAATTAAATGAGGTGACAGAATGGAGTAACCTAAAAGAAAGCATGGCTGGCTGGAATTGTGATCAGGAGCACTTGGCAGTGCATCATTTTGTTGAAGGTCCTACACTATTCTGTAGAATAGTTTATCGTATAATAAGTTCCTGCCCTGACAATAGAGTCTTACCCTAACCCTTTAAAAAATGCAAGTTTCCTCACACAAACCTGAACAGAACAGTCCATGAGAGATTTGGGCATCTTCTTCTCTTTCACAGACAGCGGCTGCCAAGTCAACCAGCGCTCTGGATTTGTAGTAACGACACTGCTCCAGAACGCTACTAAAGCAGCATTCACTAGTTCTGACCACACGAGAGAAATTTCTTCTGCAGAGACCTAAAAGCGCAAGATGAAAGTGAAGAAGACTTAAAGAGACTCTCAATGTTTGCCTCCGCTTTTTAAGCGTTCTAATGGAAGTGTGCACAAGTTTTACTTTTCAGGGGCCAACCACATCAGCTAGAATTTTCCTTAGCTTTGTTATTAAGGACAGGAAGCATTTCCTGCATCAGATATGAAAGTAAGGTTCTCCCTTGGCCCTAAGAGAGAACTTAAGACAGAAAACACCACCACCGCCACATTGTTCAACTAGTTATAGTTAAGGGCTTACTGCAGCATTCTCTGGACAAGCAATAAATGGGAGTGAATAGAGGAAACTGATCCAGATGCACTGGGAATAGTACACCAAAAGTGATGCAGCCTACATAGGAGCAAGCAAATAGCATGGGGGGAAGGGAGAAAGAGTGCCATAAAAACTTATAGCAGTACAAAGAGTTTAACAATGAATCAAGCAAAAGGAAAGAACTTTCCCACTCCTAAAAATTTGCAAGCAACCACAAAATGCTAGCTGATTCTTGAAGATGGTTTCCAGCACACTGGACAACTGAAACCAGAGATGCTCACCAGGTAGCAAGGTTAAGGAAACAAAGTAAGGGGGCAAGAGAGGAGAAATGTTGGCTCCTTAATCCACAGTGGATGCTTTTTAGAGCCATCTTACCTACTTTCAATTTTCCCGTTGTTTAGTTCTCGCTAAACACACAGTTTATCCAAAAATAAATACGGGAAGTCAATCAAGGACTTCTGTTTGAATGCCAGGAAGTTAGTTTGTCATTCTCCCCTGACCCCCACCTAGCTGCTACTTTTATTAAGTAACAGTTAAATTTATGTCAATTTGATTTTTTAATTCTTTACATAAATTACTCAAAATCTGAACGACAAAGAAGAAAATAATGATGATAATAATAAAAGTAAAGGGACCCCTGACCATTAGATCCAGTCATGGCCGACTCTAGGGTTGCGGCGCTCATCTTGCTTTATTGGCCGAGGGAGCCGGCGTACAGCTTCCGGGTCATGTGGCCAGCATGACTAGCCGCTTCTGGCGAACCAGAGCAGCACACGGAAACGCTGTTTACCTTCCCGCCGGAGCGGTACCTATTTATCTCCTTGCACTTTGACGTGCTTTTGAACTGCTAAGTTGGCAGGAGCAGGGACCGAGCAACAGGAGCTCACGCCATTGCGGGGATTCGAACTGCCGACCTTCTGATCGGCAGGTCCTACGCTCTGTGGTTTAACCCACAGCGCCACCCGCATCCCTTATGATAATAATAATAGAGATAAAAAGTACCCAGGTGTTTGACACTGACAATGAGAATGAGAATGTGCAGAGCACTATAATACAGCCCCTTTTGATATCATATTACATTTTCCCTTGTTTTGTATGTTGCAGGTCTCTGTCCTGGATTGGAGAATACAGTGCAATGTGAATAAAGAAAAGAAAAATGAAAAGGGAAGGGGAGTTTTCTGAACTTAACACTTGTTCTTACCTTTTGAGAGTCTAACAAGTAATAAAGGCCTTGAAGCTGTTGTGAGGTAGATGGTGTAAACTTAAGGCAGAAAGCAATAAATTGCCTTATTTCTGAACATAGGCTTGATTGTTGACTGCTATCATTCCTGAGAAAAGAAAAGGCATGGGTATTCATTGACAGTTTGTATACACACCAAGGTACAAAAATACTGAAAGAGGAAAGACGCAACACGTCAATCACGTCAATTAGAAATTAAAGGAAAGTCCCACATTCAAAATCACCCTGGTCCTATTCAGAAATGTTCAGAATGTCTCATAATCCTTTTGAGACATAAATTCTGAAATTCTCCCCAATTCAAAGTTACTTGCATTTCTGTCAGCAGAATTGAGGTTTAAAAACATCTTGAGACATTCTAGCTCAGAGTGCGCGTTCATGAATTTGCTACCTGACAGAGCCATGGCAAACCACAAGATAAAAAGACTACAAAAGCTTAAGGAAGGGAAAGGCTGGATAATCGACCTTACATGAATCCCAGAAACCTTTTGCTCCATCACAGAAAACTTGCCCTCACCTTTGCAAAGAAGCCTCAGCTATACAATCAGTGGTTAGCTTGTACTGCCAAAGCACAGCTAGATACTCCATTGCAGGCCACAGTTGCACCTTATTGCAGAGCTGAGTTATCAAACTAGAATCGACCTGTTTGCCTTCAGCAGGCTTTTCTTTGAGAGGCTCAAGCAAGACACCTCCTTCCCTCAGCTTTGACTGCTGGAGATTCACCAGAGCCCATAACTCATCTGAAAGAAATAAAGAACAGAAATAGACTGCAACTAAAATCTTGTACCAAAATAAGATTTAAGGCAAAAACAGGGGGGAAAATACAAACCTGGAAATATGAATTTTATCTGGATTTTTATGTTCATTTGCAGGAAACACGGAAGCTTACTATATGAACATGAAAATACATATTTGAAGTAACCTGTAGTACAAACATTATGAGGTGTTCTTCGCTCCACCTGACCACAAATAAATCATTTACCTGAAATGACATCCTTCAAATTATTGGCTCTGAGAACTAGGCCTTGAGCCTGGAGCAATGCAGTCTTGATTTTCCACTCTGTGGCGGCCATTTTCAGAATACAGACCTCCTTCTGCCATTCGCCATCTCCAATAGCGGGCCTCAGCTCCTGGACATTAAGCGCTTTGGAAATTTTCCGCAACTGAACAGACGCATCCACTACTCCTACATCCTGAATAAGTTGAATAAAAATAAAAGTGGCAACTCCCAACTCAATAGACTGAACACTATTTTGTTTTGTTTTACTAAAACGCATGATAGAGACCACTTATGCTGACCTCTTCTGTAAAGACTGAAGGGGTGCATATAATTTATATGCATGCAAGCAGCAGTCAACCGTTTAGCCAATTGTGCCAAAGTCCAAAGCATGAGAATGCCCCACACTAAGGGTGCACACTTTGGTATGTATGCAGTACTCTGTCTAAGAGAGTGGGTACTTTTGCGTCCGGTTAACAGAAGCAGCGCTGCAGGACAGGACAGGCAGGATCAACGGTTTGCTTCATTTCCTAAGCCAGGCCCCATTGGTCTCACAGCTTCTGCACAAGCATGCTACTAAAAAATCTGCTGCCTGAGCATTTGTATAGCTGTGCAAGTATATTCAAAAGTGATATACTGTACTAGGAACTGCTATCTAGGAACACAGAAAACAAGTCAGCTGATTGGTCCATCTACCCAAGTACTGTGTGCACTGAATGGCAGTAAGCTCTCTGGGTTTTCAGGCACGAATGCGAAGATTGAAACCCAGCCAGATGGGTGGGGTATAAATAATAAATGATGATGATGATGATGATGATGATGATGATGATACTTAATTATAGCTCTCGCTGTAGGGTGTTTAGTAAGTCTGATCTAACTTTTCTTGAAAGGAGAGTATTTATATTTCTAAATCCATACACTCACTTGATCACCTTCTTAAATATCTATAAGCAGTTCTGTAACTCTGAGACACGAGTTCCTTAAATAATTCTAGATGGGTAGGGTAGCAGTGTAATACAACAGTTTTTCTAAAACGTATTACCAAAGAGAAACCTCCATAGAAGTCAACAGTACTCAGTTACATATAAATACATTGCACCTTGAATGGAAGAGGTCTTCCCCAAAACTTCTGCAGCTTCTTAACACTAGCAGAAACACCAGCAGGATTGGCTAGGCAAGCCTGGATTTGTTGTGAGGCAGACTGAATATCCTTGGGCAGCCTTAAAATAAGAGAAGGAATAATTGTTTATACAGAAAACTGAGAAAAGGTAAGATTGGTCATCAAACCATGCATGCAGCCTGGATATACAGCAACCTATGAAACCTCATTTCCCCAGTTCAGAGCTTTCCAAACAGTGTGTCACGACACATTAGTGTGTCGGCTGCAGTGTGTAGGTGTGTCACGCAAACACTCCCCACACTCCTCCTAGGGCTGGAAAGGGGTTAGTTTAAGCTCAGGTTTGCTAATAAAACTGAATTATAGATGGTACATAGCCCTCTTGACATCATTACCTACAGGGAACACTAAGAATACCTCTGTGCAGGGACTTTATACCTTCTAATCCCAGCCATTTCAACATATATAGGAAACATAATAAAACATTAAACCTTAAAAAGCTTCCCTATAGAAGGCTGCCTTCAGATTTAATGCATTGGTGTACAAGCTAAAGACAACATACTTCTGCTGCTCATATGTGCTCAGCAACTTAGTTGTCCTGCTGATTAAATGTTTCACAACCCAGTGCCAGTGAAGAGACAGGAGTGCTAAGCCAGAGGAATCCACAGCAACCATGTCAGATATCGTCCAAAACCTGTCACGCCACAATAAACAGTGCAGTATCTAGAGGCAAGCCAGAAAAAAAATGAGTCTTCCATTCCATGATGCACACAGTAATGCTTTTTCAGGTGGAGAGCATTGCTCTTTTATCATTAGGAAATGACAGATATTTTAAATCTAAAAGGGCCTTGTTTGAGCAGAAAGACACCTTCATTCCTGAGACTTTACGTCTGAGATGGAAAAGGTGCAAGTCTAGGATAACACAAGCTGCTAGACAAAAATTGCACATTCCAACCTTCGGTGTATCAGGAGGGTAACCTCTTGCACTTCACCCACTGAGCTATGAGCCTGACGTAGACTCCCTGTGGTCCTTGCTCAGAGAATCTCTTAAGGCAGCTTCCATGACCCATCCAGGCTGTGCTCCAGAAAACAGTATCTTTCTGGAAACAAATTTCTCTGATCTAACATCCTAAATTAGACCAGAAAAACAGAAAGCTGGAGCACTGCAGTTCTTGCAATTTAGCTTATCCTTTGGCATGAAGATGATCAGCTTTCCATTTCTGCAATCATTCATGGATCCTTGGCTTTGTTCTGGAATGTACTTATATTTACAGGGACACACTATTTCCCTACAGTTCAAACTAGGCAAAACATTTATCTGTTTTAGACAAGCTCTTATTCCTAAGTCAGAGGAATCTCTTGAATGTGACTAACCACTGTGCCCGATCCTCCAAGCAACTGGAAAAGACAGGTGGATTTCATGTCCTCTTTCCAGGTTTCCACTTTCAAACAAAATGGTATGACAAAAATATCAGAGACCGTAACACAGGGAAAGCAAGTGGACAGCTCCTAAAGTCCAAGCAATGAGTGACCCCAGACATTTGCATGGTCTACTTACTTCATACATTTTTTCATCAGACACAGACCCTTGAGTAGACTTCACCCAGTTCAGCACGAAGGCATCCCAAAGTTCAAAAAAGCCTGCGAGGTTCACCACAATAGCATGCGGCAGTGAGCTGTGGCTGCCGGGATCTTCATTTCAAGAATAAAATTAAACCAAAAGACAATGCAGAAAATTAAACCAAAATAAAATGCAGAACTGTATCCAAGCACCGTGCTACAAAAACAACACCAGTGATTCGTTTATGTAATTTTTAAATGGAAACACAATAGATACCTTTATGGAACTCCAGTGACATCCTCAAAGCACTAGTTCTTGGCTTTTTGGTATTAATCAGGCTCCTTTCAACATAGCTCTTTTTCTCACGGTCCAGAAACAGTATTGCCCTGTAATCACAACACAACAAACCCACACGAATATCATTTAAGTTATGTCAATAGTAAATCAAAATCTTGTTAAGAGGAAGCTAACAACCCACAAATTGAATCATGTTGGGACTATTTAACATATACATAATGCAGAGAAAGCATTAGACACTACAAAATACTAATGTGAAATGGATCCTGAATAGAGAATTTATAATCTGCATTAGACAAGCAAAACAGGAGGAAAGAATTCTGACTACGGCAGTGGTTAAAGGCAGAAGATGCATGAATATTCGGAATGATTTATGTAAAAATGAGTTTCCTTGTGAAATAAAGGCTCTGATGTAACTGTACTCTTAGATTTTGGATTATCAGTGAGCATAAGGGTACCCGACTTTTTCTAGATTGTACATTACACCAGCCTTCATCAACCTGGTGCCCTTAAGATGTTTTGGACTACAACTCCTATCAGTCCCAGCACAGCATAGCTGTGGCTGATGGGAACTGTAGTCCAAAACTTCTTAAGGGCACCAGGTTAGTGAAAGCTGCCTTACAACTTGCCTTCCAAAAGAAAACATAGCCAGGGATTGATTGGTTGGTTTTTTTTAGCAGTTGGGGGAGGGGGTGAATCTGTGACAAATATAGACTTTCGACCAACTTAAAAAGGGAAAGACATTATTATAGAACGTGGAAATGGCAAACTAACTTTTCTAATCAAAATAACAGAACGAAGGTGGATACCAATTGGTCCTCCACATGTTGCTGGAACTACAACACCCATCATGCCTGGCCATCGGCCATGGCTGAAGCATATGGGGAGAGTTGGGAGACCAAAAACACCTGAAGGGCCACAGGGTTTCCCCATCCCGGAAATAGCACATGTGTGACTGAACTCACCGATTTGAAAGTGATTTCAGCAGCATAAGCAGTTGATCCGAGTGTTCTTCTGCTTCAAAGTCCACTGAATTGCTAATGATATCCAAACACTGCATGTTCCATCTGGGATCCATAGGAATCACATGCTCATCTGTTTTGATAGATGAACAACAAGGAAAACTCACGTTTGTTTTCATTATAAACATTTTCCAATTCCCTCAATCCAAGAAATAGAGCAAGCAATATGCATCAGCATGAACATGATGCAAGACATCTAACACATGTTTACTGTGTAAAGGAGAGATTTGTTTAAATGGGAACGAACGTGGGGCAGGTTCCAATATGCAATTTACTGTGTCTTATTTTATGCAGAGTAACATTTTCTAAGTCCAATGAAAGGTGTTTTTTTTAAAAAACAAAACAAAACACAGCCCACTCAGTTCTGTTGCAAGCTACGTTTCACTCCCCATAACCTCATCAATATCGCAAATCAATCTTCACTGTATCAAAAACACAGGAAGAGAATACACACTCGCAGCCGAGAGAGAAAGAAGACATCTTACCGGTCATATTTGGTTGCAGCAACTTTATTACATTACTGATCGCACCTGAGAGGGGACTGAAGTAAAAATTATTCAGAGATGCCGCACCGGCTTCCAGCTGAGTATACACTGAATCTGTAGAAAGAATACAACCTGTGAATTCATGCCTTTCTAAGCTTATTATTTTTATTTATATGCTGGTAAGAATTCTTACTCGCCCTTCATCGTCAGGGCAGGTTGCAGCAATAGCACAATGATGAAAACAGATAGAGCCATTACAATTATAAAACGAGTGAAACGAACAGAACAGTGTAATTTCAATTAAACGTGGTGGGTCCCATGAATCAAAACACCTGGACTGCCAAAGGATTCTGCTGCGATCCAATCCCAGAGCCCCTTCCACCCATGCTTAAGGACCAAGTGCTCCTGTGCATATATTTGGGGGGGCACTACTTCCTATTAGCTGCAGCTCCTTACACATCAGGTGACGCACTGAAAGTCTGGCAACCTGAATGAGTGGGGTATTCATGGGGTAGCTGTGAGAAGAAAGCCAACCCCTGCGGAGAATGCAGTCAATTAATCAAGATAAAGCTGAATTGGTATCAACATATGAAATCAGTTGTGAGCTAGGGAAACCCAGCCAGATGGGTATGGTTATTATTATCAGAGGCCAAGAAGAAGCTGCAGGCCATAGAGCCAAGAAATTCCAGTTTTGGGGTTGAGAGTCTAATCAATTTTTATTTATTTTTTTGGCCATGAAACACTATTTCCTTTCACTCACTTATTGCACACACTATTCTGGTGACGCTGTGCTTTTGACTTCCTCCATCTCTCTACATTTACTTACAAAACTCAAGCATAGGATCGTGCTGCATGATTCTCTTCCACCACCACAAACATTCAGATTAGTCTTGCTTAAGCAGCAAGAGTCAACACTTACCAGGCACTTGTGGCAAATTCTTTTTTAACTGATTAAGCCACCCAACTCTCAACGTCCAGTCTTGATTCGTTGCTTTCTCTATGAATAACTTAACGGCTGCAGAAAGGACCTCCATGCCGTCTGCCCAAGAGGCACTAGCTTCCACTGCACCAAATTTGAGGCAATCTGGATTAGGAGAGTGCAGGATTTTCTCAAAGTCATGTATAGTGAGAGGCAGCGTCCTGAAACGAGAGGTCATTATAAGAAGATCATACCTATGCAAAGAACAAACCATCTATACAATTTCCAAAGGCCTAGAGGAGATTTAACCTCTAAACATGTTAGAAGTAACCATGGTGTGCTGCCTTAACTCTGAGTAAAATCCCAGCTGGACACTGAAACCATGCTTTCAAACTATTGCCACATCCAGAATTGACGCTTTACAGTATTCCATTTTCCCAACATGCACTATTAAAAAATGTGGTAACACCCACATTTTATGTGATCTTTCACATGATGTAAGACATATCTGGAAATCTGTGGGACCTAATGGAAGTTCAATGCTCATTTCCATGTTAACTGCTTCCAGAAAAACAACAGCAACTGTGCACCACCCCATTAACCTGGAATATCTCAGTAGTTTTGAGCTGTAATTTCCCTGCCATTTTCATGTGATGAAATCTAGGAGAGTAGGTAGTCCATCATACAGTTCCCCTCCCCCCAACATTTTCATGGGTGAACAATGGGGGAACTGAAGCATGTATGCATATAGAGGGGGGTGAAATGCCCAATGACACCCGTCACGTCACGCCCACTGGTGAGAATGACTTTTAGCATGACATGGTGGTATATCCATCAAAAAGCCACGGTTCCATAATGCAACAGGTAATGCAGTGTGAAAGGAATGTTAGAAACCAGTAGAGCAGGGCTAGCATTATAACCAAAATAGCAACACAATAAACCCCACATTTGAAAGCAGCTTAAGCTTCGCAGGTATAGGGAATGTGAGCTGCTTGCTACCTTGTAAACAAAGAGAGTGGAGGCAGGAAAACGGCCTTAACTATGGTAGCCCAGTGCAGATGTAACTGCTAACGTTGCTCACTTATTTACATAGAGGGGCAGGCAAAAGGCTGCTCACCAATTAACCTGGAACAGTTCACTCTTATATTTCCAGAGGGATAGCAACACCTTGTGCTCACCTGCTGTTTCTCAGATTCAGCCTGTTCAGGCAGTAAGCCAGGACCTGGCCATCGTGATGAACCATAGAAAGCAGAGAATCTTCAGCTGCAAACAAAGCACTGGATGCAGAATCTGGCCACAATCCTAAGGCAAGGAGGGAAGCACCCCTCGTTTCCTCTGATTCCAAGACTGAAACATGCTTCATTATCAAGTCCAGCATATGCTAGTATATCAGGAGAGACAAAGGGTTGCGATTAGGTTCTTCAACTGGGAAAAACAACAACAGTAGTCTTCTTTCTGTAACATTTTTCTCAGGCATGGAAAACAATTAAAATGTAGCAGTTAGTTTGAAAAGATAGATATATACACGGTCTCTAATTCTTGATTGCTCAGACTTTGAACTGTCTCTCACTGATTTTGCAAAAGTTGACTCTCTAGCACAAACACTTGATGAGCACATTTCCAACGGAGGAAGACTTACCTTTTGATTGTCTCCTGACTGTTGTGAACTGACGTAGATGTCCCAACACGCTTTATAGAAGCTCTTTGCTAAACCGAATCCTCGGCGCAACTGCTGCACGATCAGCGTTGCAGCATTAATCAAAGCAGATAGAGTGTAAGAGGAACCTGAGAAGGAAATATTAACATTACAACCCACCAAGCACCTTTGTAGAATGCCTAGGAATTTAACCATTTTTTTTTGCTTTCCCCCTTTTTCAAACCACCTACCTGAGTTAACTTCCGTATTATAAATCTGATATCATAATCAAAATTTCCCAATTCATTCTCTCTCAGATGGTCTCTAACACAATCACTAAATAGAAGTTATTCTCTTTAGTGCTTGCCAAGTTTATTATGCATGCTTATCTCACCTGCTATGCTTTCCTTAACTTCTGTATGCACAGCCACGAGTTCATCACATATGCTGCTTCCAAACAAGCCCATTCCATGAAGCAGCAGCTTCACATCGTGAAGATCCAATGAATCACTCTCTCCAGGAACGTAGATCTCAATTCCACGATTCCGCATGGCTCGGGATATTTCACCGTGTGATGGATCCATCGAAAGGAAAAGCCTTTTTAAGTTTCAATACACATAAGAGAGTATGGTTATTTAAGTTACCCATCCAGTATGTAATCTTACACTGCTGCTCCTAGGGTGGAGCGAGCGAGGAAGAGGTCACACTACAGCCTTGCAATTAGGCACTTGCCTGCAATGTTTAGCAATCAAGGTTATCACCTTGATAAGAGCAATACCAACAGTACATTTCTAAGCTGAGATTCTATTAGAGGGGTACTTGGTTTGTCTGGCTCTTCCCTATGCACAAAGTTTTTTTTAAAAATGCTTATTGCACCCCTGAACTGCCTCCTCTCCACCACCAGGGAACTCTGCCTTGGCAGAAAAGGGAACTAACCACACTGTTCTACTGTCTTGGCTAGGTGAACACAGAAGCATGTTGTGGCTGCTACTTTCATGGCTTCCTCCTCTCCTTATCCTACTTAGAATCAAAGAATTGTAGAGTTGGAAGGGACCCTGAGGATCATTGATTCCAGCCCCCTGCAGTGAAGGAATATGCAACTGTCCCTATACAGGGATCAAGCCTGCAACCTTGGCATTATCAACACCGCACTCTAACCAACCAACCTCCCCAACCTGCTTTATTAAACTTGCTGGACACCCAAATAGCAAATGCTCTCTAGGCTTTATACAGAAAAGGAGGAAATTATTTTTTAAAAAACACAAGAATCCAGTAACAATCTAAAGGCAATAATTAAGCAGAGAATGAAAACGTATGTGTGCGTGCGTGCCTGCATATACACATGCAGTTCAGAGAAGGTGGAGACTAGCATTCGTGCATCACACTGCTTTGCTGCCCAGCAAAGGAAGACAAATGACCTTGTTGTAAAAAAAAAAGGGGGGGGTGCTAAGAGAAAACTATCAAGCAATACATCACTTTGTTGACCCAGCTGAGTGATGATCAAACCTACACTTATTTTCTAGGCTGCAGTAGTGATACCTTAAAGAGACGGTGTTCCCACCCCAATGAATACTGCAACTCTCAAAGCATAATCCAACAACACACTCCAATAAGCACAAAGAATGTCAGAGCACCTGAAATTTGGATGTGGTGTGATAGTGGGGGTTACACCATCGATCACTCCTCTTTCACTCATGGTGAGGACTCCTCCAGGTTCAAGCAGAGCATTCAAGCGGTCCAGCACAGAAGGACTACACACAAGAAGTAAAGGAACAATTAAGCACTAAAGGTGGCTCACTGATTTACTAACAACTGCAAGCATTCATTTGGCTTCATAATGGAAGGCGTATTCCTGCCCCCCCCCCCCCCGCCCTGCTCAATCTGATCAGTTTTATAGGATCAGATATATGGAAGTAATGCAGAAATGTCATGGGATGGTATCCAGTTCTGTCCCCTCTGCTCAACAAAGACTCTTTGCCCCAGTGGATGCTTCTGTGACTGGAAGGGAGGGGAAAGCAATTTGTGCAATTTTTTGCAAACTTCCCCCTTTCTTCTGCATTGCCTCCTCCTTTTCCAAAGTGTTCCCTAACCCTCTGGAGCAGGAATTCTTTTTTTTGGGGGGGGGTGTCACAGCAGGCTACAGAGAGAAGGGAGAAATAAGCAAATATTGCCTTATGACTTCCCCCTTCTGTTCACGGAAGTGTCTGCTGGAGCAAAGGACCTCATTGAGTAGATGGGAGATAACTGTATAATCCAGTTTCCTTTGAAACAGTAAATGATGATCTACTCCTTGAATTTCTCTCTTTGATCTGGGACATGATTTGTAACAGAGATTCAATGACGTTTATCCAATATGGTTTTCTATATTTATGATAATTTCTTTCTAACAACACAGTTACGCTTACCTGCAGAAGTTAACATTGTCCATCAAGAGCCATTCTCCGGACTGTAAAGCATGAACCAACATCCCATCAACCCATTCAAATGTGCCGTGGTTGCTGCTGCTCATATACTGAATAACCTGCAGCTTGAAGTGCCGAAATTCTTCTACAAGTCTTGAAAACTCTAAAATCGGGGGGAGAGATACTTAGAATATGATTCAATGAACCAATAAGCCAGTACTCAAGATTCACACAGAGTGCTTTTCACAACTACATTTAGTCTAGTATCCTTCGCCAACTTAGACAAACAGTCCCTCTTTCTTTGTTCAGTTGTGATCATAAGATCTTTGCATTAGCTTCGACAAGATGTGATGTCTAAACTAATGCATGTAGATCAACCAGGTTTTCATTAAAAAGGGAGAATGTCTTTAATATTCACAGAATGATAAACATAATAGACTATTGCTAACTGGTGTGGGGGAGCAGAGCAACCATAACTGTGATGGAGGCTGGAAAAATCTTTAAGGAAGCAAATAATTATGCTTTGTGCTTCCGCAGATTATGTAGCTTTAATAAATATGGACCTGGGTGGCTTGCTCACAAGTGCTCTATGTGCATTCATCACTGTACATGTAAAGTTCCTGCACACTTCGGCTGAATGCCAGTGGGTGCAGGAGAATAGAGAGGTGGTTGCACACATGTCTAGACCATGTGGCACCACAAATACTCATACTTTTCCTCTGGTCACATTTGTACACATTTATCTCAGTTGACAACTGCTCCATAAAGACACACCATCTCTCGCCATGAAAATGTCTTCCTTGTAACATCAGAGCAGTCTTTAAAATGCTTTGTGGTTTTTGCCTTCTCTGGTGGCATGCAGCAACTGGAATTTGCACATGCTTAGCTGATGACATTTTAAAAGGGAAAAACGCTATCACTTCCTACTGCTTCTGTGCATACCTGGCTTTGAGTAGGAGCTGATCTTGTTGTTCAGCCGCTGGACCAGTGCAAGGACTCCCTCCAATTTGTTCACCAGTTCAATGGTTATGTTTTGATTCCCTTCCCCAAGGGACTTTGGCTTGAAATTTAGAACGAAACTGCTCCAGGCACGCAGCACAATTTCAGCATCTTCTGGACAGATAGCAGTGAGGAGGAGGCTGTCCCTTAGAAGTGTGCTTACAACGTTCTCCACCTTCTCCAGCAAGCTCTTCCAAGGCCTAATGATGTCAACCTATAGGACATTTATTACACTGGTCACTGCTTGAACCACCACTTCCCACTGGGTTCCTTCAGCACGGTTTTGGAAACCACTTAGAGATGTTTCTTTCTTGCTTTCAGTTAAGACATTTAAACTTTGCCCATTCATATACTCCTCAAATTTAAGTTAAGTGGTATCTTGTATGCACTTGACTTGTCCTTATTCCCAAATTTAAAAAATGCACACTTACTTGCTCAAATCCCCCTAACAGCTCCGTTGTATCCATAGAACTGTTCATCGCCATGATCTTCAACTGATGACCTGTCAGATATGCTAGAAGCTGAATGAGGCTGGTCTTGCCAGCAGCCGCAGGGCCTACCAATATCACCATCCAACTCATATGCACACATTTCATGATGGACTCCAAGGGCTGGAGTGAATGGTGAAGCAGGGATAAGTTTCTGCCAGGAGGAGGAGCATAGTTTGCGCGGGAGAGGATTGAGAAACCAACCTTCAGTAGAATTAAAAACAAAATAAGCAAGTGCATTAGTGTGCATGTATAGTGTGGAGCAGAAATTCAAGAAGATGCCCAAGTAGCAGCAACTTTTGTTCTCTCTCACCTGGACGTCATAAGGAGTGATGTGGAACTGTCTGGAACCCATATATGGTTCAGCATCCTGACCAAAAATGTCCCTGAATAGACACACTACCTAAAACAAACAAACAAACAAACAAACAAACAGATGAAAGATCACATTTATAACAAATGCTGAAATCCTTATATTCTAAATCTGAAGCAACTCTCAAATGAACGATTTCAAAAGAAACCGGGGAAACTCCAAATGGGTTGTTTGTTGAAGTCTGACGTCACCTGCTTCAGGATACAGATCTGCCCAGCTTGTAATGCTCAGCTGCAACCTGAACTAAGCCTCAGCTTGAGAGAAGCTGGAATGCAAAACTAGACTGCTTACATGCGGGGCCAGTGAGTTTTCAATTGCCCCTCAAAACCACATTTATTTTTCACGCCATTTTTCTGAGCACTAATCATAAGCAAAATGAGAACAGCATTCTGCAAATCCACTAAAGGCTGATTGTGGTATCTGAGAGTTGTTGGCACAGGACACAGCAAGAAAGCTGTGGGATCATTTTGTCTGATCAAGCTCCCTAATCGCAATGAAATTACACTTAGGTAGGTTCCCTTTCCACACACTTGCTGTAAGCCCTCTTTACTCAATGTACCAGGAGTTTAATCTATCTCTAACACATCCTTAGCACATGAATGGTGATAAAACTACATGAGGTCCCTTCAAATCCTGCACCTGCTTAACTGAAATGCTAATTCAAGGCCTTGGAGGAAAGTAGATAATCTTAAATAGAAGTCATTCAATGTTTCAAATAATGTGGGAAAAGGTACCCAAAAAAATTCAGTAAAATTTGTGTTTAAGATCCAAGAATGGTTTAACATATCCATACTTGTAAAACAGAAAAGACTAATAGGATTAAGCACATTTTTCATGCTCCTTACCTTCTCCTTGTCTGTATTTGTTCTCATTCTTTCCCCGTATATCAAGAACATGTGTTGGCCTGGATCGTAACTGCCAGGCGACTGGTCAACAAGCATCAGCTGACACCATCGGAAAAGGTCACGCAGATTAAACTCCCAAGGTCCACCTTTATGCCCCCACTTCTTCTCAATCATAACTTCTTGATCAATCTGAATAACGTACCAGTTCAAAAGATTAAAAACTCAGACGTGTTTCAGCTCATGGTAGATTATTAAAACGCCATTGCACAAGAAAGCATTCATCGCGCCAAGCATTCAACTTAATTTACTGCTCTTCTAAGCTACCACCACTCTTTACCGTCCATTCAAAATCTTTATGGAATGCTCTTGTTCCAGAATAACTGGGGAAACCTAAACACATACAACATGCAGTTGTCTTACCTTGGACACACATGTATGATTCTATGCCTACTTGCTAGGGGGAAAGCCTCAAAGAAACTTTTATGTGAACTCAGACTTAGTAAGCCTCAGCCACACAAACGGAACATGCCATAAGAAGAAAAAAAGGGAAGTTCTGTCTGACATATTAGGCAACAAAAAATGAAATACAAACCCAGTCTGCAGTGGCTGTTATCTGTGGAGCCCAGCTAGTTTACATGCCACTGCAACTCCAGAGTTGAAAATGACTACAAATGAAGTTTGTCCCAATACATGTTCGGATGAAAACTGTGACCAGCTTTTCACATAGTTGCAGCAGTCATTGGCTTGGACTTGTGGGGACAGTCACCAGAACCCTGAAGTCCCTCTCCTTAAGAAGACCATTCACATCATCAAGAGGAGTTTCAGGAATTATACTTACCATGTTGTTAAATTCAACCATTTTTGCAATAATCTTTTTGTCAATAGCAGGAAACAGGGTATTTCCAATGTACTCCATGTCTGCGGATGAGAGAGGGTCCACGAAAACCTACATCATCAATATAATTAAATGGGGTGGGAGGTGAGACTCAAGTATTATTTTTATGTAGACACAGAAAAATGCATAGTACGCTTGCAAATGAAATAAAAATGATTCCATTTAGAAAGGAACTGCAAGGAGGACAAGAGAAATAGTTTTAAATGACATTATGGACTTGCCTGTGTGAATCTGTTCAGAAAAGATTTGGGCAACCCCTTTCTGCCACCTCCTTGCCTGTAGGGATTCTGGCATCCAAAGATCTTTGTTTTCTTGTGTTGCACATGGAAGCTCATTCCCAACTCAGGAATGTAAATCTCTGCCCGATGGTCAAAACAAGCATTCAGGCCTTCTAGTACCGACTGAGAAGCCAAGTTCAGCTATTTGAGAGAAACCAACAGGAAAATTTACACTGCCCCTCTTCTTCACAACACACATTTTTGCCCACAAAACACCTTTAAATCTATAGCAAATAAGCAAAAGTACTGTAGTTACCTCAGGAAAAGTTAACTTCAGATTAACACAAATGCCCTGGTTATTTAGCTACTCTTTTGGCTTCAAGCTCCTTTTGCACAACTCAAAAGAGCAACAGCATAGCCCAGGGACGTCCAACTCCCAAAGACTGTGATCTACTCACACTATAAAAAAACTGGCAATGATCTACCCATTGTTGTTGGAGGGACCAAAGTTGTTGAGCTTTTTAGGAGGCCAAAGCTGTTGAGCTTCTTTGGGGGGAGGGGGAGGAGGAGATCACTGAGGGGCCTGAGATCTACCAGGATCTACCAGTAGATCATGATCTACCTGTTGGACACGCCTGGCATAGCCTAAAGGTAAATACAACTGTGAAGTCAATGAGGCTGTCGGAATCCACCCAGATAAATGCCATTGCTCAGGGGTAGAGTAGATGCCTTGTGTGCAAAAAAAGGTCCCAAGAATCAATGGCTAGCATCTTCAAGTGGCACTGTTTGAAACCCTGAGCTGGATGGACCAATATTATAAAGCCACTTCCTATGGATTCTATTAAGAAAGTGTTGATTTCAAGCTAATTCAGCCCTAAGACGGCACTTAAAAGGTAAGTAGTAGTTTTAATCTTCTGTAAACTGCAGCACATCCATGACACAGAACTCAAGCTGTTTGTCCACAAAATCGCCTTCTGTAACTGCCACCCCAGAAAAAGCAAGTGTGTGTTCTCCCACTGGAAAACTGAAGATAAAATCTGAGCAGCCTCTTGAATAAATGGGAGCAGCAGACTGTTCCAGGATACTTTCTCCACGTAAGGAGAATGCACTGTTAACTTTACCATGTTTGGATAAGAGCCTTTTAAAGTCCCCAAACAGCAAACTGAGACAGCTAGAGACCTCATTTTCCAAAAAAGGAACGAAAATCCTTTTTCTGTGCTACATTAAGCTGAACTCACCTCATCTAATACAATCCAGTGTCCAGCTTTCAATGCTGCAAGCAAAGGTCCATCACGCCAGGCAAATTCCCCTCCTTTGCCCCCTTCAACAGGTAAGTCTGTGCCAAACAAATCTGTGACGTCCTGGATCAGAAGGAAGAAAAGTCAAGGTTTCCAAATGCATGTGAAACAATTGCAATTTAGAAAAAGCTCTCCTAGGCTTGCAGTAATAATCCAGTAGCATTTATACCAAGAGTTATAAATATTTTGTTCTATGCATCTGTTGCATCAGCCAGTAAGTGCATTCTATGAACAAAAATGAAACCCAAGAGTAATTTTAAAAATAAAGAAAAATAATTCTAAACCATTAAGATTTTAACCAATATTCAAGCAGCAAACTTTGATCAAGGTTCTTTGCATCTGTATTTTAGGCAGTTTGTTTTGATCATTCACACCAATAGATGGATCACAATTCTAGCAGAATGTGTCCCTTTACTAGACAGGAAAAGGAATATAATGCTTCCTCTTAGAATTAATCAACAATACATCCCTTATTAAACTTACCTATTTCTAAGCATCTTCCCCCTCCCCAATCAATTAGGAGTATTCTCAAGATTTGTGAAAACTTAACACCTGTTAACTTGCAAGTATAGACTCTCACATTCACAAGTACAGGTATTTCAGTGGAGACCACAGTAATCCCTACCTACCGTTTGTTCAGAAAGATTGATTCTAACAAGGCAATTTCCAGAAGCCTTTGCCAAGGCTGCTACTAGGCTGGTTTTCCCAACACCTGGAGAGCCTTCCAGGAGAATGGGCTTGTTAAGTTGCAAGGCCCTTAACAACCGCTGTGCATTCATTGCTGTAGTTCCTGCATTTAGAGCGTAGTCTGAGACATTGTTCTTCTGGTAAATAGGGCCTACAGCACAGAGAAAGCAAATAAAAAATTAATTAGATTACAGGGTAAGATGATCAACATTTTTGCTCCAGTAAAAGTACTAGCTCATCAGACAGAATAATGGTACCAGATCAACATTCATCTTGATGCAGAGGGATTTTCCTCCAAAGTTTTGTTTTTTGTATTCTTGCAATCTCCCCTAATCTCCCCTCTTTTTAATGGGTGGTGCAGGCTTAGCTATATTAAGCAACGGCACTCCTGTCTTAACATCTGAAATACACAGAATTATGATACTTAACAATTCTAACTACAGATTGTGGAGTAAAATATTTGAATGCTCCGCCATTAAAGCTCTTAAAAACTCCATGCATATCGAAAGCTAGCATGCCAGAGCGAAGTCTAAGCCAAGTGCCTTCATCTGAGAAAAGAGCATTCAAGCACTCAATTAGAAATGGAAGGGTCTTGGAAGGACTGTAACAAATTATTTTTTCTGCATGTTTGTCATCTCTCACGCATTCGGCTCTTAAGTCATCGTAAGCGGCACATCACCATTCAAATTGTACTACAGCAGCAGCAGCAGCAGCAGCAGCAGCAGCAGCAGCAGCAATACCACCAAAAGAGTTCCTTGCCTGTTGGTATGAAAAATGGGTGGATTCCTATGTGGTTCTCCATCCAAACCATTTCCCTTTCCCTCTTCAGGTCATATATTTTCAGCTCATTCTTCTGAACCTCAGTGAGTTGCACTACTTGGGAAATTTTCCCACACAAATATTCCAGGCATTTTTCACGAGCCAAAGCAGCTGAGCCAGCCAAACAGGACATGGTGCCTACGTAGGGGGTAGAGGGAAGAAGAGATAGTTATATGTCAATGGTGGAAATGAACATATAGTTAACAGTAAGATATGGCCAAAATCTGTAGACAGGTTGTAATGCACACTCTGTAGCACAAACACTATACGTTGCTTGCATGCGTCTTGAGACCGTTTACTATTTTTGTTCCAAAATGACAAACTTGCTTTAAACCCTTGCGTAGTTCTCATCCAGGGGTTGAGGGACCCCCTCCCCAATAAACGATCTGAACTATTCAGAAATAAAGCAAAGAAACTGAAGACATACCTGAACCTATTCCATCTATGTACACCAGACATGCAGCATGGACAAATGTTGTCACTGGACAGACGCTAAAAAGCTGGTGCTCCTCTGAAGAACTGGATAGTTTGTCTTGCGCCATAGCATTCATGAAGCTGACCCACGACAAAACATCCCGGATGCTGAGGATACAGTGGTGTCCAAATTCTTGATTGGTCAGCCACTCTATGAAATCCATCATGAGCCCTGCAATATCTGCCCCTGGGAAAGGTGATTAGATGGAGAGAAGAGAAAAAATACATAAGACACAGACCTGAAACAGAATATGTTTTGCAGTAATTCACAATGACCCACAAGGGATGCAGAGGACTCTGTACATAATTTTTGCAAGATAACTGAATAGAAGTGCTTAAATGTTTTTACATAAATATTTGCAAGAGTAGACAGGGTTGAATGCTTTTTAAAAAAAACCATCCACAAGTGAATCAGCAGATGCAAAATTCAAAACATGCTTTGATCCTGCAACTTCATTGGTCTCTTTGTCCACAGTGACTGAACTTTGGCCCAGACCATTACTTTAAGCCTAAGAGGACAAACATTCATCTTAATGCAGAGAATATAGCCAAGGATAGAAAAAATAAGAGTGTATGTTTCATCAGCACTACTTATTTTTTCATCCTTCATTTAAAACCTTGGATAATAAAGAACCTAGGTCAGACCTGTATAACATGCACATATATTTGGACTAGAACAATCCTTAGATGTTCAATTTGCAAGAGCTTTTTCCAACAGCAACTTACAGCTGTGTTCAAATGAGGTCTCTGGTGACAATATGCATAGCAACCTCTGCCTATACCACAGAATCTAGTCACTGAATTCCAAACTTTTTTTTATCCCTTTCAATGTACTAAGAGCTCGAACTGTTCTTCCTTAAATCACTCTCCAGGCAATGATAAAATTTAAGCAAAAGGAAACTGATTTTGCACTTAACATGACCCCAGTATTATGCAAATATATTTCAATTCCACAATCTAGGTTTATCAAGTATAGAATTTGGAACATACAGCATCTGAAACATACTCAAAGGTAAGCACTCCTATATTCAATTTGTCATACTGCCAGATAAACATGCATTGGACTAAATCTCAAGTGAAAAATTGCAGTGTCGCAAGATCACACCTGTTTGCAATTTCTGTTATCTGCTAGTCGCGTCTGAACAACAGGTAAGTGGTACCTTCAGTCTGTGCCATTTGTAGCAGGAGTCCCATGGGACTTCTCCACAGGAATATTATTCAGCTTAGAGAAAAACCTATGGGCAGTGTTTAAGAGAGTGAGACTATTTCAGAACCGCCTGAACTAACTTCTTAGCTTTTAGAATCTGAGAGAAGCTGACTTGCAAGAACAGAAGGTCTTTTAGAAGGAAACCCCACTGGGACACAGAAACGGAGGAGTGCAGGCTGGTTACTAGGGATAAAGGTACTCAGAAGTGATTGCAGAACGTTTTTCAGCAACAAAACCACTTCACTGGTTTTGAAACTGCTTTAGCAGTTTCATAAAAGTCTCTTTTGACTGTTAACATCTTTTCTGTTCTTTCTTTTTTCTATTCTCTTTCTGGCCTACAGAGGATGGAAAATCCTGCCTGAATGTGATTAAACCAGCAGAGCATGGCAGCCCTAAAACTCACTAGAGTAAGAAGAGAAAGCTTTAAGGAAGAGGGGAGAGGTGCTTCTTAATCTGGCCAACACTGGCATGTGACCCTCGTGCTGAAAAGGTCTCCCATTACTGATAGAAGCAGAGGGACACCCAGAGAGAATAAGTAGGTGATGGAGTTGGTGAATGAATACCTCTGATATTTACCTTTCTCATTCTGTTTGGCAAAGCAGAGTCCTGGATGAAGATTATGGTTCACAATTTGCATTAAATCCATACGGTTGTTACTTTGCGGACACCATATTTCTGTAAATCTATTACGCAAGGCAGGCGACAGCTATGGGCAAGAAAATATTAAGTGCAGTTATTATGAAGGGAACTGCTCAGAGGAAAATTTAAGAATCCTCAAAGAGGGTTACTGGGATAAAAAGAGAAAACAGAAGAATTATAAAACGAGGGAAAACATATTGCTATAAATAATGTGTAAGAGAGTATCAAAAAGCACAATAGGTTAGAATAGTGTGTGTCAAAGAACAAAACTGCATAAAAATGAGTTTTACTTTTTTTAAATGAATGTTTTATTAGACCTAATTTATCCTTAGAAAAACGATTTACTCATACAAACATACTTGCAGCTTAATAGTCTTGATATTTTATGACATTCCCAGAGGAGAATGACATTAATTCCTGCCCCTGAAATTCCTAATAGTCTTATAATATGATCTACTACAGGATCCCAAACCAACCCACACTTCTTTATGCTGCATTTTCTTCATCATCACTAATTTTATTAATCTCAACCATTTCCACATTTTCCGATTAATTCTATCTATCTAGGAAATAACACATTTACTCAGTTCCAACAATCAAACAATCAACAATCAAACAATCAACAATCAAATTAGCTGTCAGAGCTCCATGTGGAGCTAGGTCGGGGCAGGGAATCTTTTTTCAGTCTGATGGCCACCTTCCCCTGCAAAGGATCACTATGTGGTGAAACAAATGAGATATGAATTTATACTGAAACAGCTTTTCCTAACCATTTAATATTATTTTAGTACTCTTTACTCCTTGAAATGTAACTACTTGACTTGAAAGGCCTGGTAGTAAGAGCTTTCCTGTCTCTTCCTCCCTGTGGTAATTAGGTCATAAATAAAAGAACTGGGAGTGTGAATGTGTGTGGTCTTTCTTACAGATAAGGGCATGAGGCTCCCAAGCAGCTGTAGCCTGCGAAGGACAGCCATGTGATAAGGGAAATGTAACTATCAAAGAGCCTGGGGTCCGGGAAAGGTAGGATGTGGGACTGGTTGCAATGCCTTACAAACTTCTAGAAAAACCCTAAGGCCAAGTTGGCATAAGCATTTTTTTCATTCCTAAAACTACAGGTAATTGAAAGTAGCAACCAGCACAGAACGGCATTTTCTTACATTACCTCTTTCTTCCCAAAGTCACCGCCAGGATTCATTGTGGCTAAAATGCGAAACTTCTTTCCTGCAGTCAGCAGTTCTACTTCATTGTCCTCACTGGCTTTTTCAGCCAACACTAGCGTCTTTTCAGTTTCAAGGACGCTGAAATAAAACCACGTTCTCAATATCTGCTCTCGTTAAATTTCCAAATATCCATACAAAACACTAGAGACTTGCCTAATCGACAGAAGCTTTGCAACTCTTGTTGTTCAGAGCAGCAAGAATCAGAAGAAGCCAGGGAAAAGTTAAGATTTATCCAATTTGCATTTGTGAATGACACGCCAAGACACCAGACTAAAAAATGCCCAGTTTTCAAGTACATACCTATTTAGTCTTTCAAGAACAGAATCATCTGCCAGTGAAATCTCATCCATGAGAAAAAAGCCATCCTCTCTCATTGCTAAGACAAGGGCTCCATCATGCCATTCAAACAGCCTAGAACCATCGAACTCCTGTTTGAAAGAAAAAGGGAAAGTCTGATCAAGTGTGTGTGTACATACATACATACATACATTTACAGACATGCACTTGGTGGATTTTTCAAGCTCTCAATTATATCAGGCACCATAATGCCAACTTACCTCATCCTTTGATCTCTGTCTAACAGGTCGCAGTCCACCCAGGAAGTCAGAGGTCTCCATGTGCAAGTGACAGTTCACAGAATGTAATTTCCGACCAGCCAATGCTGCAAATATCTGACAAATAGTAGTTTTGCCACACCTGCATAACAAAAAGCTTGCAGTCAATTAAACTCCAGTGACTTGTCTGTTGCTCTACGCAAAAAATAAATAAAACTAATAATGAATATATTGAAGACTGGTTTACCCGGTGTCTCCAACCAGAAGTATAGGTTCACCAAACTCTAATGCTCGGCCTGCCAAAATGGCAAGCCTTGTCATCCCTTGAGTCCACACAATGTGACTGAATTCATCGCCCATTATAGATGTCCACGTAGATGCTTTAGCTGGTTCAAAGTGGTAATGGGTTTGAGAAAGGAAACAAACAAAAACAAATTAATTAGCTTTAGCCAAACATTAAATCTTCTTTTATTATTGTTAGCGTTTTTCAAATTTACCCATTTGTTTCTTTACACTTTCTTCTGAGAAGAGGCGCTGAGGATGCAGCTTTCTCTTAAAGTGTTTTTCAATGACTGTTTGGATAACGTCAACTTCTTCTTGTTTCCTGACCCTTCCTGCCAGAAGCATAAATCCTAGTAAAAGAAAGACAACAGTTCATCAGGATGTTCACCGCTTTTGAAAAATGGTTGAAATGTGGCTACTGAACTGGACACACTGGCTGTGTAAGTTGAAAAGAAACGAGTGGAGACTCACCGTCATTTGCTAAATGCTGAAGCCAGTCATACTCCTTCTCCATCTGTTCTGCTAATCGGTACCTTTCAGCCCAGCGAAAGAGATCCCGAAGGGTAATGAAACCATGCTTGCCAGCAAACACTGAGGAACCTCTGCGATAAGACTAGATTTAAAAGGACATAAAAGCATTCATGATCCAACACAATTTTCTGTACCCACAACTGCATTTTCCACTACTCTTGCAATGCCTCCCCTCCTTACCACCAATTCTCCAAGTTGTCTTCGTAGCATTTATTTGTCCAAATTTCACCAATATTTCAGTAATGACCATCAGTCCCCTGAGCCAAACATATTCTGGTAGGTTGCTATGTAGCTCAACAATACCCCGCTCCAACCCCCCCCCCCCAAGCCACTAAATGTGTGCGCCTTGAGTATAAGACACCAAACTACAACTAGGGCTCAAGTGACTTCTCTATTATTTTCCCACTAAGAGAAAAAAGATTACTGTCCATACCTGCAACTCCAGCATGACTTTGACAAGTTTACTGCAGTACGAAGGTGGAAGGTGGCATCTTTTGTGCAGGATGGTTTCTAGCTCTGTACTTGGTAGCTCATCAAAATGCAGCTCCACAAATCTGTTCCTGAAAGCTCTGGACAATACCTTAAGACACACACACAAAAACCACCTGTCAAGTGTTAATCTACTGAGAAATTCACACACACTGAAAACTTAACACGAGTTTCCCACCCTCAAACAGTCAGCTAGTATTTCATGGCCACTGAACATGTTCATACTCAATGGGTTTGCCCTCTTAATACACCCCCCCCCGAAGATTTCGGTGCACGTCTGCAAGCAGTGGGGTTCTCCCAACTCTGTTGACACCTCTCTCTTGTGTTTGGATGGTACCATTTTGGATTGGCAACTTGTAGACTGATTTCACTATTGGTTCTGGATATGCTACAAAGACTAGAGCGTTTGACTAGGAGTGGCGAAGACTCAGGTTCAACTCAACCACTTAGTTATAAAGCTCACTTGGTGATCCTAGGCCAGTCTTTCACTCAAACTATCACTCAGCCTAACCTACCGCACAGGACTAAGGTGAAAGAGAGAAATCACATATGCCACCATAAGGTCCTTGAAGAAATGGTGGAGTGTACGTGTAAATAGCAGTATCAAAAGAAAGCCAGCTTCACTTGAGGAAACTATGTATGTACCTTCCTGCCTCCATAGAGCCCTGGAGGATTCTGTGTAGCAAAGAGCATGAATCTTGGGTGAGCTTTGACTGTTTCTTGGGTTTCTGTTATGAACAGCTCTCTGTTGTCATCCAATAATCTGTTCAGGGCCTCCAAAACATCAGTGGGTGCCAGGTTGAGTTCATCCAGGATTATCCAGTAGCCCTTTCGCATAGCATCAATGAGGACACCTATGAAGCATTTACAGAAAAAAAGAAATAAATGAGTTGCCCACTTGAGGCAAGCCAGGCAAGCATCTTTATGAGCAAGTAGGAGAGCCAGCTGGCAAGGAAACACTGAAACACTGAGTGACTGAGGTAATAATCAAAGTCCTACCTTCCTTAAATATCAGCTTCCCAGATGGATCTGAAGTATAACAGCCAATGTACTCCTGGATGTCAGTATGTTCATGATTGTTAATCCTAACACAATGGTTCCCGGTTGCAGCAGCCACCCAGCGTATTAAACTGGTTTTACCAATGGATGTGTCTCCTTGAATCAACACTGGATAGGTCCTTAAAGAAATAGAAAACAGCCAAGTTGGATATTGTGTTCTATGGTGGTGAATTATTACTATAACTATAACTATTATTATTATTATTATTATTATTATTATTATTACTATAACTATTACTATTACTATTATTAGAAGCTACAGTGGTACCTCCATTTAGGAACAACCCTGTTTACAAACTATTCGGTTTACAAACTCCACAAAACTGGAAGTAGTGTCCCGGTTTGTGAACTTTACCTAAGAATGGAAGCTGAACGGTGGAAGGCACCGGCAGTGGGAGACCTCATTAGGGAAAGCGCGCCTCGGTTTTAGAACGGTTTCGATTTAAGAATGGACTTCTGGAATGGATTAAGTTCGTAAACTGAGGTACCACTGTACCTGATTGGCTTCAAGGTCTTTTTACAACATATACTGATTAAGGGCACTTCTAGAAATGAGAATTGGGCTTCCTGTTGTGTTGTGTGATAAAAAAAGAAAAATTTGCTGAAGTTCAGAATAAACAAGTCAAAACTAGGGACAACTGACAACAGTATTTGTGCTTCTTAATTGTCGTGTTATACGGCTCCTCCAGCAAATGGTACAGCTGAAGTCCAACATACCCAGCTGATACAACTCTGACGATGTCTCTGAGGTTAAGTTTAACTGAAGCTGTGAGCACATAAGTCTCATCCACGGTTGGTTCCATGTCGCCAATCGAAATCCAGTATCCCTCTACCTTAATCATTCTCCCTCCTTTAGGCTCTGGTAACGACTAGAAGGACATTACAGAAACAAAACCAGTTTATGTTATGAACTGCTATCTCCGCATAATAGCAACGTTCTTTGTTTAGCTAAGCAACACACTCTTAGAACACCAGAATACATGTGGTATTTCCTTCATATGTGAGATGCAGAAGATTTATCACGCTCTGGTTATGGTATAATACACCAAGCAAGCACAGAGTCTACACCTGGGAGGAGAGATATATTAACACAATGCGTTAGACTCCCTCTGAGAACAGAAGGACTCTTTCCATTCATGGAAGGTTTCTGATCCAGCAGGCAGCATCTCACTGGCAGAAGAGGATGAAAGGTGTTTTTTTATTACTTCCCCTTCATCCTGCACCCCCCCCGAATCACCTTTCACACTATTCTAGAAACAGCCCCAACAAACTGAACAATATTTGCAAATGCAGAAGGAAGGTGAACTGGAAAAAGTCACCTTCTCACCTTTCCATCAGCAGGAATGAACTCTAGATCTAAGCCAATGTATTTCCAAACCTTACATGGATTCAGCATTCCCGCAAGTGGGATTTCACTTATAGGGTGCTCCTATGGGGATTGGGTGGGGTGGGGAGTGAGTATTTTGTCAATTTCCACTTTCTCCTGCAGACCCGTCCAGATGCTTGGGGGACTTTTGAAAACAGTGTGAAAGGTACTGCTAGGGTGTGCGCAGATGAGATCTGGAACAATTGTCTCCCACCTTCCTCCAAGCGAGAGGCTTTGATTAATGTCAGACCATTCAGCAAACAGAATGCAACCTTCCAGGTGAAAATGGGAAACCCTTGATTTAATCCAGGGTGGGTAAAATTAAACTCAGAATTCAAATTGAGTTTTGTTCTGTTTTATGTATTTTATGTCATAACCAAAAAAAATTCTGAGGAGGAGGGGAGAACTCAAACTGAGAACAATTCCATTCACACACACACACACACACACACACACACACACACACATAATAAGAATTTACTTGCCTGCTTGAGGATGTTTTTCACGTTTCCAGACAGAATATGCTGACATATTAGCCTTTGAACAACAGGGTAAGAACTTCTGTCAAGCTGGGTGAGGAAACCCAAGCAAAAGCCCTATTGAGAAGAAAACAGATTTGGGCTTTTTTAAAGTAGCTAGTTTCAAAGAGATTTTAATTGCTAACGCCAGAGAATTTCTCTCTCTCTTTGTCTAAAGACAAAAGGGAAGAGAGAAGGAAGTTTTAGGAACAGAGAACAAAGATAGTCACCTCATACAGAGAGCGCTGTATGCTGCAGCATGGGTTGGATGATGCAAATCTCAAAGCTCTGCAGAGAGTACGAAGGCTGTAATGAGGTCTGTGGCCTGTCCCATCTACCAGTTTTGTTTCACACTCCTTTCTCACAGACAAATAAAAGCTGCAGAAGCAAAGGGTTATTTGTATGAAGCATATTTTTCATGTATCACACTCATTTTTCTACCATATTAACAGGAGGTAATTTATCTAGGGGCTTGATACCTCAATGTGCTGCGGAGTTCCTTTTCCTGAATAAATATTGTCCCCTTCAGGATTGAATAATTCTTCACTCCGTATCGTTGCTAACCAACCCAGGTAAGGCTCAGTCTATATATCACATATCAGTCTTCCAGAACATCTGGTGAAGGACTACAACTCCCACAACTCCCAGTCAGCTTGGCCAACAGATATGATGGGAGATGCAGTGTAAAAACAACAACAACAACCTGGAATGCACCAGGTTAGAGGAAACTGCCATAAAATATAAGCTCAATTCTAAATGTCTGTGCTAAGCCAAAATGCTTAGAGCACAGCTATGAAAGAGCAAGCGACCATCTGTATGGGTGTAATGCTCAGATTCTCCTCCTTTTAGGCTTCATGTTGTATATATGCATAAATAAACCATATATCATAAAAACACCACAGGCTCTACTGTGCCCCATTTTTCCAAAAGGAAACACAAATCATGGGTTTATCATGTATGGGACCTCTGGAATCTCACACCACTCATAGAAATTGGAGTCGTGTGTTGCAGTATATACAGAGTGAGGCCCTCTATGAGATAGTCCCTAAATATTCAGATGTATCTATTTAACAAAACTCAAAGAAACCTGTAAGCATTTCATAAAATATAACATTAAAATTATTGATAATTTAGGTATTTAAGACAGCCAAAATATTAAAAACAGTGGTTAAAAATAAATTCTTTCCCCTTCATATTAATCTCACCCCAGCCATGGAAAATAAAGTGGTGTAATACATTATCCAATAATAGTTTTCTGAAGAAATTAAGTCTTCAAACAGGAAAATTCCTCAGAAATTTCAGGAGTTAAGAGTTAGAATGAACTTCTGAATCACTGTCAGAGAGAAGAGGGCATCCATGTTACACTAATGTAGAATAAAATTGAAATACTCAAGGCTTCTGATTAAAATTTATTCAAATATTGGGGCTTAGAAAAGCAGGGGAAAACCCATATATCTTGACTGACAGTGACATTTGCTAAGACAATGACACTCAGGGAGTGGAGCTCACACTCATTTAGTAAAAACAGGGAAAGCAAGTGGGATGCACATCTGGAATCTGGTGCACAATTTAAATAAATTATTTGACGTTCTGAACTGTAATGAGCTCAAAGAAATGGCAACTCATAGAGGAAGTTCAAAAGGCAGAAAAGTGCAGTCTGAACTCTGAATTCCCATCACCTTCAGCCTGTGTATCCAAAGGTCAGGGATGATAGGAGATGCAGTGCAGCAACTTCTGAGGACCACAGGTTAACTACCCCCGTTTCAGAAATACCACACTACAAGTCAGTGCTTTTTTTTCTTAAAAAATGTTTAGGGGTACCCTCATTTTCCTACTCATATTGAAATACTGCGCCTTAATGAGGCCAAACTTAGATTCACAAAATGTTTAGGGGTATGCGTACCCCTGCATTCCCCTCCCCAGAAAAAAGCACTGCTACAAGTTAAATACAACAAAACTTTCCCAAAGACTCTCTTATCAAATTTTACAATTTATACAGTACTTTCTGTTCATCAAAAACTTACTTTACGATCCCTTGCACTACGCTCTTGCTCACATTCAGCCCTTTGAGATAATCCATGATAAGAATCTGCAAGTCTCCTTCATTTTGTAATTCTTCTACGTAAAGTTCAGTGAACCTACAAGACGACATTACATTGTAAAACACCTGTCTGCTTATTGATACCAAAGTCTGATATTTGATCACAGCCCCTTGCCTGTCGACATCACAACCAATTACAAATGTACTGAATTAAAGACTAGTAATAGAGTAACATTCGGTGAAAGCTTGCAGATTACTTAGAAATCACATAATTCAGCATGCAGAAGGTCCCAGGGTCAACCCCCAAGAGCTGTAATTAAAAAGGAGTCAGGTAGCAAGCTTAGGAAAACATCTGCCTTTGGTCTTGGAGCACTGCCCCCGCCATCCCCAAACCTTTCTAGAAGGTTGGGGAAACCCCAGAACAGATTAGGGGGCACACAGAGGAAGGGGGAGAGATGCCCTGCCATGCAAGCAGAAGTCATTCTTCTCACACAAAGCACTACTTAGAGCTACACTGAATACAACCCCAAAAGTTAAAACATACCATTAAAAATTAAAACATTTTAAAACATGCAAAAATATTTAAATTGCACTTCTATTGGCTTATCTGAACATTAGTTGTTTCTGGAAAAATGCAGACCTTTTATCATAGGTAAATTTTGGCATCCTTTCATCTGCTATACACTCAAACCTAGGGTATTGGGTTTTCTATGATATTGCTGCTGAATTATTTTGAGCTCTGCAGGGGCAGTGATAACACCATGCATTTGTCACTGATGTCACACTGTCCGTAAGCCAAAACCTGTTGAGAAATTCAGTGGGGAAATGAAAGTGCAACTGCAGAATTTAGTGCTTAATGAACACTTGACAAGCTCTTGCTTGCCTAGCTAATTTGGACTGCATGGGCTATGAAAGATCAAAGTGAGCATAAAATCCACTCATATGCCCAACCAGCCTTTTATCCAGCTGTTTTGTAGCTAACATGTAATGCTGACAATCAGAAGATGGCCAACGGAGCAATGTAGATCATTTCCCTTTTATCTTTCCCATGAGACCACTATATAATTCTAGTATCCAACTCTGAATCTGATGACATAAAGGACACTTGAAGACAACTGCAGCTCTCAAAGAGAATGTGCAACATTTATTATTCCTGAGATTGGCAGCAAAAGGTATTTTGCAACATAGCAGCTCACCAGCATGCTTCAGCTATAGCAGGGATGAGCTTGGGGAGTTAAGAGTCTTAATACAAACTGGCCAGCCGCAGGTCCCTCATATCCCTAAGATACTGCATGCCAATCAGAGATGTATGCAACACAGACCAAAAGAAGTACAACATTCTAGGCTACTGCAAGCCAAACACCTCAAGAGCTACAAGTTGTTCTCAGCTTTAAAATGGTTTTGTAAAAATGTACATTCTGTATCTACCTGTTCCGTATTCCCGGAGGGAGGTTTCTTTTGCCAACATCAGTAGCTGGGTTCATGCAGGCAAACAAACGAAAATTTGAATGACGTACCAGGGGCTCTACAAGGAAAAAAATGCACAACCAACAAATTACAGCGCTGTTTGGCCCCATAAAAACAAATGAAGCATACAAACAAGAAAGCATGAAACAGCCATTTAAGGAAAATTAAAAACAGAAGTTCAAGAAGCAAACAGAAAAACTCATACACAGCCAATTGGTTGTCCTAGCTGGTGAAAACCTACTCTCAAACTTCAGAAAAAGCTATCCTTAAAAGCAAAGATGAAAACTGCATCTTCTATCTTAGCAAACAAAAGGGTCTTTTTTCATAGGCCTCTGGGTCTTGCTATTCTTCAAGCTAAGGAACAGCATGGACAATGAATTGCAATTTTCTTCTTCAGGAGAAAACTCTCACATGCTAATCTCTTAAGTTATCGGGAATCAAAAGAGTGAAAAGATAGTATTTTTCAGATATGAGTTTTTCAGCTATCAGTTTACAGGGCTTCCTAAAGTGGTCAACGTTGACCCACAGGGTTTATGTGACTGTGCAGAGGGTGACCTAGGTGTGAAAAAGTTTACAAGATATAGTGCAAAGAAATTAATTAGGCTCTATGAGCATCAGAAATAAAGGGCTTGGATATTTAGTGATCAGCACCTCCTTTATGAATAATATAATCTTCTTTTTTACAATTCTTCGTAATGGTGATTATATTGTGGATTATATACTCAAATTTATTGAGTTTATTTCATTTACATTCCTAATAATTTGCTTCTGGGTCACATCTTTATATGCTCATCTGTGGGTCAATGAACTTAGATGACTTGAAACCATTAATTTCAACCTCTCATTAAAAAAAAAAAAAAAGGAACTGAAAAAATAAACCACTGCAGAACAGGAAAACTTGCTGCAACAAAAAACAAAAACAATACCTGTGTCTCCTCTATCCAGTAATATCAGTGAACCAGATAATCCTTCAAGTAAACCACTCAGACACTCTAAAGTTTCTGCTGCTGCCAAATTGATCTCATCTAGTAGAATCCATTCTCCTTTTTTCACTGCTTGTGCCAAGGTGCCCTAAAAAAAAGACAAAAAGACTCAAAATTAGCATTTGATAGGCATCTGGTGCTGACCTCTATTTGGACTATGTTTTGAAAACTGCATTTATAGTCAGAGGGACCAGATAATTCTAGTGGTATAAGCAGAATTCCATCTTTTACATTGTTTTTAAGCAAGTTGGTGGGGTGGAAGCTCCTTATTTAATTAACTACTCTTACTCTATAACTGTTAAATATCTGCAAACCTTTCCAAAGTGTTTCTAGTTGTACCTACTTTTTTTTACCTAGCACCAAACCCTTTGCAACATTAACTTTTTTCCTCAATGAGGACTCATTCTTCCTGACTTGCAGAGGAAATCTATTTCACCTTCATTTTCAGCCAAGACTAAGGGGAGTAAAGGTGCTCATCACACAAGGACATTAAGTGAAACCTGGCTAGCCTGAAATCAAATGACCGCCTCCACAGGCAAAAAAACCAGAAACTCTGTGTGTGTGTGTGTGTGTGTGTGTGTGTGTGATCCACATCACGCATATGAAAGCACACTGCTTCCTCCAAAGAATCCTGGAGACTGCAATTTACCCCTCACAGATCTGTAATTCCCAGCACCTTTAACAAACTGCAGCTGCAACTTTATTTTAATAAAGTAACTTTCATATGCATCTTATGGACAAATATGCTCTTTTGCACAAAAGGACTACCTCTACAAATGCAAAAACTAGAGCATTTTCTGTCATCTTCATCTGTTGTTTTGCATGGTCTAAGCGGATACCAAGTTCTTCCCACTTTTCCTTCAATGGTGAGCCTACAAAAAAAAAAAAAAAGGCAAGCTATAGTAAACGTAGGATAAGATAAAAACATTCAAGTTCATGAAATCACGTAATAGAATTTGTCATAGTGCAAAACAACTCTGAATATAACATAAGCCGTTCCAAAGAGAATAGTGTAAACTGAGGTAGAAGTCCAGTTATTCCAACAATCACCTTTAGACCAATGATTTTATGCAATTTAAATCCTACTAGCAGAACAGGGACATTAAAATGAATGAACTGAATGAGTTGGAATTCATTGGACCCAAGTAATGTTTGAGGTCAAGTAATGCTCCAGTCATTTGTAATGCATATACAATCACCTCCTCTGTTTAAGCAAAGTAATGCTCACAAATCTGTTATCTTTATTGAATACATCTGGATTCAGCCTTAGGAGGCTAGTTACGTAAACAGTATCTCTTTCCACTTCAGAGCAGTATCTTATTTTTATCTTTATTTATTTATTAAATTTCTACACTGCCTGTCAACTGAGGACCATAGGATAGTTTACAACATGAAAACACAAAAATACGTATCATAGTAACAAACAAAACAATAACCTTCCCCCCCTTTCCCCTTTAAAATGCAGTCAAGCTTACATTATTTATTATTATTATTAGGCTGGGATAAAGTTTGTACAACTTTAACAAGACCTTCACCTCTTCAGTCAAAGATGATGAGTGAGAATGTTAAATTCTTTCTGTCCTTTTATCTAACTGTTCATTAAATAGTTCAGGAAGGCTTAACTGTGACTCCCAAGCATCTCCCACCCAAGCCACTCATCAGTTCCACACACACTAAGCTTCAGGAATGCTATTGGATCATGTATCAGAAAATGCTATTTTCTACTGCAGAAAAGTTGCTTTTTTCCCCTCTACTGCTGATCTCTCCATATTTGAATTCTAGAGAAAAATCACACCTAGTACAGTGGTACCTCTGGTTACGAACTTAATTTGTTCCAGAGATCCGTTCTTAACCTGAAACCGTTCCTAACCTGAGGAACCACTTTAGCTAATGGGGCCTCCCGCTGCCGCCACCGTGCGATTTCTGTTCTCATCCTGAGGTAAGGTTCTTAACCCGAGGTACTACTTCTGGGTTAGTGGAGTCTGTAACCCGAAGTGTTTGTAACCAGAGGTACCACTGTATCTCCCTTGCCAGATGCACACTGAAGCACAGTCCACCCAACTTTAAGAATGCAAGTTCTGCTTAAATCTCTCATTTTATTTATTTGATTTCTACCCTGCCCGTCCTCAAACAGAAGCCCATTTTAAGAACTTGGAAGTCTTACCATTTTCTTTAGCTTCCTTATTAATGGCAGATTTGTGTACATGCTGCATCAGCTTGAGAAGATCATGCCAGCGCTTCTGTCTGTAACATGTCTGGATGTGCCCCAAGAAAGTCTGGTTTTGTTTCCTGGAAAACGTCTGTGCAAAAAGCTCCTCAAAAGACTCTCGCAAGGGCAACCAAATCAGTTTGTTATCCACTGGCTTATAGCTGTAAATTGGGCAAACAGTAACGTGTTAACTGAAAACTCCGGCAGCGACATGTGGCAAGATCAGGCTCAATACGATCGGACAAGGTGAAAATCAAACCAGCCTCAGCGGATCTGATAACAGATAAAAGGTGAATCTGGTGGCCCCTGCACACCATTACTAAACAGATGACTTGAACATGTTGAAAATTAGAGACCGGCTGAAACATATGAATGGGGCCAATGCACACGTCTACTAAATACAAGATCTGAACTCATGGATAGAGTGAAAAAAATGATTTGTTGATGCAGTTGTCAACAGCAATTTGCAGAATTATTAGACACTCACCCCCCTAGGAGATCTGCAGTATCACTCTGCTGATTCATGTTGATAACCCTCAAACGGTGTCCTTGAAGAAACAAAACACAGAAAACACACTGAAGCACTTCTCAAACCTTTTCTAGAATCCTGGTCAAAGTCCCCGTATTATACTACATTTTACCTGTAATGTGGGCCAGGTATTGAACAGTAGATGTTTTGCCTGTCCCCGTTTCACCCACCAACAAGACAGGCTCTCCTTTGTCGACACACACAGCCAGCTGCTCAATTAATACGGATGATGGACGTGTGGGAGCAAAGGTCTGCTTTTTTCTGCGAATACAGGAAAGGGTAAAATCTTCTGTTAGCAATACTCTAATGCTATGTGCTAAGCATCTCCAAGTGCATTTGATTCACTAATTCTACAAATATAATCTCTCTCTATTACCAGGTTTCAAAAAAACACCTAAATGAGACATCATTAAAAATGCTGGCACGGAATTTTAAAGTTACAAGCACATTTAAAAAGTGCACTATTGTACATCAACCTGTAAGCCATCTGGTTGAAGGGTGGCTTAGTAATTTTAAAATATAAACAAACAAACAAACAAACAAACACATCAATACCTTTGCACAAGAAGCGCATGAACTTGCTTCCGTAAGAGCTGGACTCTTCCCACAGAGACCTCTTGCTCCCTTATTGCAATTTCTGGTTTGTAAAGTTGACAGTAGTATTCAGTCTAGAGTAAATAAATAAAGAGCATACATACTGAACTCAGCTTACTAAAAAGAAACATATGATGTAGTCCTTTGCCATACGCAGTTGTGCAATACAGTGGTACCTCGGGTTAAGTACTTAATTTGTTCCGGAGGTGTGTTCTTAACCTGAAACTGTTCTTATCCTGAAGCACCACTTTAGCTAATGGGGCCTCCTGCTGCTGCCGCGCCACCTGAGTATGATTTCTGCTCTCATCCTGAAGCAAAGTTCTTAACCCGAGGTACTATTTCTGGGTTAGCGGAGTCTGTAACCTGAAGCGTATGTAACCTGAAGCGTATGCAACCCGAGGTACCACTGTACAACTGAAAGTTAAGACACAAGTCCAGTTTGCACATCACAGTAAGGAATAGTAAATAGTTTATTGTGAATGTGCATCTGGGTTGTATGTTTTCCCTCCTCTCCTCATGATAGCAGGGAGCAGACAGACCACAGTCCCTGCTTAGCATTATGTCCAAACCAGAGGCCATGGTTTGCTTTGCTTCAAACCATGATCAGCAAATCAAGAACATCCTTAGCTACAGTAATTTGCCGGGAACAAAACAAACTATGACCCCTCATTTGAATGTAACACTTGCTTCCTCCAAGTGTGAGTGGACAGGATTCAAATGACCAAGATCACCATGGTTACAGTGAACTATTAACTATGGTGATGTGAGAACAAGGCCTTTGGGCTGTATTCAGTTGTTACATGAACAGAAGTCAGCTCATGCAACCAAACTTTCTCTTTCACTCCTCCTCCTCCTGATGCTCTCCCCTGCAACCACTTTTCCCCTCCAAAGGGTTGGGTGCCTCCTAGTGAAGCCTATGGTTGCAGAAGGGAAGCTGCTGCCTCAAATCAGGCAATGGGATCTTGCACCAGTGGCAATGTGCATGTGCATGATCCTTACACCCAATTTCAGCCATGTTACCTGTGGCTTTCTTCTTTCAGAAGGAAAGCAAGAGTGGACACTACCCAGTTAGATCATTTAATTATTTCTTGGCAGTGAAGGGGAAGTGAAACTATTTTTTTCCTCCTGACAAAAGGGGTATTTATTACACAATGCAGTATGTGTGTGAACTCTTCCAGTCTACCTTATGCTTGGAAATGTTCAGTTGGCTTCCAATGATTTCTGCCATCTTCAGTCTACTTCCTTGCTTGGACAGTATAGCTGTGAAACAATCCAACGCCTGTCAAAGTAGAGTGGAAGGGACACACACACACACACACACACACACAGAGAGAGAGAGATAGAGAATTCAAGTTAATTTGATATTTAATCAGAGATTCTACTTTTCTTCCATACTTCGAGTTCACTGTAGTCAAAATATACAACTGAGCTTCATGCAATGTATCGCTAGTATGCCTCCACGAGGAAAACAAGAGAACGAGCCAATTCAGACATTTCAGCTCTCTTCATAATGGAATTTCTGGTGTAACAGCTGTGGGACCTGGCATGTCCCCAACAACAGCTGCTTCTTCCTAGTGTGATTTATGCAACCATTCCTGTGAATCACCCATTGTGAAGCAGCAGGTCTAGTGAGATCGACCCTCAAGGAAAATTTCCAACACCAGAACCAGCCCCCAGTTCATAGTCCAAATGCAACCTGGTTTTTACATATTAAGGAATAGGTCAACATCACTCTAAAAAACAGGGAACAGTTTGACACGTACCTCATGAAAAATATTCAGTGCAGTAGAGGAAGAAGAACTATCAAAGTTGTAAGCGATCCTGTTGCACCAATTCAGCAAGTCCCTAACACAAGAAAAGAAGTGATGTGAAGCAGCTCAACAGTAGTCCTTCATTTAACTTTTCTCAGCTGCATACTGCTAAAAGTGCTAGTCTCGCTTCATTAATTGCATGGCTATTTTTTTTAAGCGCCAACTCACCACATTTTCATTCAATTAATGCCTTCTCACTAGGAATTTCAATTAAGAACAGAGCAAATGGCCTCCAACACACTAGAGAGCAGTAGTCCAAAGATAATTTGCCTCCCCCAAACTCAAATATCCATCAGCTTAATTGCATATTAAAATACCTCAGAGATAACTCTCTGCCTTCTAAGCTCAGGCTTTTTTTGTTTTCCGTTAAGTATGATGCGTCTTCCATTACGTTCTCATCGTCTGTGATATGGCTTTGCAATAGATGTTTATCACCAGTAAGCTCAACATAAATCTCTAACAAGCGATCAATTACTACAGCAAGTTTAGGATACCTCCTCTGAAGAATCTGAAAAACAAAATAACATTAGCTGAAGTAAATATTTTGCAGTGTTCCAAGGATTATATAACTCATTGAGTTTTGTCTATGCAGACAATGGTCTTAAAATCCAGAGATTTGATACATTTACAGTCTGCACAATTGCCTGGACTGGTCCCATGGGGTAGTGCCTACCATCAAATTTTACTTTGAAATTCTCTTAAAGGAAAATTTCTTTGCATGACAATTACACTGTAAAATACAGTAATGTTCTTAATTTATCTTAGGCTTCATTTGCTAGATAGAAATGTCAGTCAGTAAGATGAACCTGGTGGATTGGGCAAATGGCCCATCTAGTCCAGGTTTTTTGTTCTCACTGTGGCCAACAAGATGCATATGGGAAACCTACAGGCTATACTATGATGAGGAAATGGCAATAACAATTTAAGATGAAGTCATAGCTGGACAGTTGGGTTAAGTCAATCCAGCAACGTCAATCTGTTTCTCTTGCAGAAGCACAAAGCAGCAAGCATTCCATTATGGAATGGATACAAACTTCTTTCATGTCAAGGATTGTGTTTGGACATCATGCTAAACTATGGTTTGGTGAGATGTAAATGAGACTAACTCCCTCCCAGTTTTTTGGCTCGGACAACACAAGAAATCATGGTTAACCAAACACAGATGCTTCTAAACTTCTCACAGCCATGTGGGGAAAAGGGAACGGACACAGTTTCAACCTCTTCTACAAAAATTAGGACTACTTTCATTTGTTTTTAAATGAAAACACTTTGACATCAGTTCACAAAGTAAGAGTTCTCTTTCTGATACCATTTACCTCTCTGAGTTCAACTTTAGGCATATTATTCAGCTTAATTTTTGTCCAGTATTTATCTAGAAGAGCAGCATGGCTGTTTTGCTGTTTGTACCAACCACCACCATAACTGAAGAGTCTAGATTAAAAATCGAAGAACAAATTAATTGAAGCATTAGAAGTATTATAGTGCAGAACAGAATAAGTTCAAGGGTTCTGTAAGGCTCCTGCACTGCAGCTCTACAACCAGCTAAGGGAATCAAAGTCCCAACATCATCAATACAAGAAACACGAATTCACCATCTACAATTGTCCAATTGTCATTCTTCCACTTTACAGTCTTTAAATAATGAAATGCTAAGCAATTGCTTATAGGGCAGCTGTATCCCGCAGGCTAAGCAAAACGACAACAAGCACGTTCTATGTGCAAAGCACTTCATACATGTATAATGTCAATAAGCGTAAAGACAGGACAATATTATCTGCATATTACAGATTACGGCCAAGTGATGATGACTTCCTTATGGCTGCTTGGTAATTCCTCTTATCAAGCTTAGTTTTCACTTATATTCCAGGGGAAAGAGTTGTATTAGGTTTCAAAATAATCTCACGCTCCTAACTATCATTTTCCAGGAGATAATTTTCTATTTCTTAGTATGGAAAATTGCAAAAGAAATAGCAAAGGAGTGCCCACATAATTATAATTAAAAAATCATGTCACCTTTATACATGCGCACAATTTAAATACTGGATCCCCCCCCCATTCCTATATATATGACTATTGTCTAGTCACTGCCAAAAGGATTCATGTGCTAAGAGCTTTCCTTGTGTTAACAAAGCTACACAGTCTACCTTCTCGTTGCAAAAAGATGGAACCCAGGAGCTACTTTTATACAGTCACTTCGCCCAGGAATCAACAGTTCTCCATTTTCCAGAAGAGGAATCAATACAGAGATCTAAGGAATAGAAAAAACAACCACAGAATACAATTTCAACGACCAGGATGTAGAGCACCACAAGAAGAATCCCACTCATATAGCAGGACTTTCTCACCTTAACTCACTGAACCCTTCCCATAATTGCTTTTGGGCACGACATACATAGAATGTGGTGCTATATCAGTAGGGAAAAAAATAAAAAATCTAAGGAATTTTCATTGTAATGCCATATTCTCATGCATGAGGCTATCTTGATGCCCCACCTTATATCAATGACAACCAAAAAGACTTAACAGCAGTCAGACAGTGCTGCTGTGTTTCACCTCTGCTGGTGACCAAATATGTTACAAGAAATGTTAGAAATCTCATTCCCAATAAGCAGCCTTTTACATATACATTCCAGTTCTAGATTGTGGGAGATGGGTGTATAAGAGAACCAGTGAATAGCAGATACAGACAGGATCCATTCAGTAGTTTGTAACAAGTGTCCCCAAAAATCACTGCCCACGAAGAAGAAAATACACTGGGAATTGAGAACCATGATAACTTTTTGGGGAAAACTTTTGCTTTCTTTTATCCAGTGCCCTTAAGTTTCCTTTGCTTTGGTTACAAAATACTTGACTTTCAAGAAAGATACCTGTGCCTCTCACCCAAGGTATTTATGGACTACCTCTAGAAAGCACAGCTACATACCACATCCAGAGGAGCATAATCAATATCCTCCAAGAGTATCCAGTGCCCTTTGCTGACTGCTTGGGTCAGGGTCCCAGGTTGCCACACAAACTCCCCTGGTACATCTGTACAACGATACATGCCCAGTAAGGTCTACAAAGAAGAACAAGCAAGATTTTTAAATAATGTCCATATAACTTTACAAAGTGTCTTCATATATTTACCAAACAATAAGGTTTCTGAGGTATGTATTTATTTCTATTCGCTTTCTTCCATACTGGGTACGCTACCAAATATAAATATTGCCAGGTATAGCTTCAGCAGCTATGATAAGCTCAGTGGGAACAAGCACTGCCAAATCATTCTTGCTGTGCCCTCTCATAGTATGAGCAGGAGCAAAAATCATGAGTTTGGATTACTGTGGTGTTTGAGCCAGTGAGATATCCCTCACCAAACAACCCATGACCTAAAGCAAAGCCCCAATAGTGGCTGCTTCAGGCATCCCAGTAATCTATAGTCTTGCTCATGTTTTACTAGGGGAGGAATGCAGCAGGAGGGATTTCTGAAGTGTGCACACTGCTAATTCCATAGTAAGACATGGTTTTTGGCTTATCATTACATCTGAACGCAGCCAGTTTCTGCAAGGCAATTAACTCTGTAATAACAACTGCAAGTGAAAACTAAAATGCATTTTCCATTACCTTACTATCCGTCTGATCTCCTAGCTGGACTTTCAGAATGTGAGGTGGCTTTATCCTTCCCGTAACGGCTGCCAAGTATTCAACAAGATACGTTTTGCCACAACCCACTGGTCCTTCAAGTAACACTGCATTTTGTGAAGCTACAGCCATAGCGAGATTTTGAAGATTTGTGCAGGAAGATTTCACCAACACAAATTGGTTCAAGATGGTCTCCTGCTGAGACAAGAGAAGGCATTGCTTTCAACTGATAATACTGGGTGAAAGTACTATGGAGAAATGTGAAATACAAGTTACAAATTTGCTAAGCTACCATTTTTTACGCATCCCAGAGCCACACACATCCATGTCCCCATTCCACCCCCATTTTTTAAAGGGGGATTTAAACCCTTGCACTTTCTTCCTCCCACCAAACTCAAGTGTTCCACTTACCCTGCTCCAAAGTGCCATTTACTGCAATAGTACCTTCAGGAACAAATAGCAGCTTCAGGGGGATGAGATAAATACGGACCAATCACCCTACTCTGAAGCTGCTGTTTTAACCAGGAGAGGAAAAATGGCCATGTTCAATGACAAGTCAATTGTAGTATCATTTTATTATTGTTATTTCAAAGATTCAGCTTACTTTAGCATATGCTCAAAATTCTGATCCATCTCAAATACATATACAGTACACTGGCGCAATCCAGGCAATTGCACCACACACACTAAGGAATCTTCAGTTAAAAAAAAAAAAGCAAAACCCAACAGGCTATTTTGTGAAACTCATAGTTGGTCATTTTTCCTATAGCATTATTAAGACTAATAGTGACACTTTTTAATCTTTCTACTTTGTAGAGAGCCACTCTTGTATGATTTTAGCTGTGCCTAGTCTCTAGAGCATAATTTTATTCAACTTATGCTCAGAATTTCACTTATGTTTGAAGTTGTGTTCTTCATATGTTTCTATGTATGAAATTGCCCTGCGTTAAGACATCAGAATACATGGAGTGCCAGCTGCATACCTGGAGTGACAGAAAGTAAGGTATTTTGCTCCACGTATTAAACACTATTGTCAGATCGCAGTGATATCTCTGCCTTAAGATCTAGCAGAGATTCTCACCAGTCAGAAAGGTACAAGGTGATTTTCACCAACACTCAGAATCCTTCTGAAGCAGACTGTTTGGTAACAAAGAGAGCTGTATAGAAAGAACTGTCTTAGCCCCTTTGGTATACTTCATACAGATAAATGAGACCATGATTTCTATGTTACTTAACATCCAAGCCTGTGGATATCAAAAAGGGAGGGGGGGGGAACACACACACAGAGGCATGGATCAGGAATGGGACTGGAGATTTCAAAGGCCCTTGCTCTTAAACTGTAAAGTGTATTCCATCTATAAAGGGAAGGATACTATTTTGCAGAAACTTTTACACAAAACATGTTTGTTTGTTTTTGCCTTAAAACTGAAGGACAGGATTTTAATCAATGCTTAAATGCATCAAAGTAGCACTACGTAGAAATTTTGAGGGAAACAAAGGCCCAGGATTTCTCTCTTTTCAGAGAGAAATCTCCTAGAGCTGGGGTAGGCAAAAGGTATATCAGGGTCAGCGCCAAAGAACTGAATTTACGTATCAGTCCTTTACTTACATTTGCTCCTGGTCCAAACTGTTGTCTAGGGAGCAGAACACCACATACTGCTACAACCTTTGCAGAGAGGTCAGCAGATACAAGTTCTCCCTGAGTGTACCGCAACTCCTCCTCTTTGTTCCAAAAGGTTGCGTCTGGGTTGGCCAAGACAAGGGCACACTCAACATTCTGCATCCGTGATTCCTCCAGTAGCCTATCAGTCAAAAATGTGCATCTTTCAATGTTTTGAACAAGTGGGAGACAAATCTACCATGTAAAATATTAACTGAAAACACACACAAAGACATCTTGGGGGAAAACTTACTTAAGTCTGAAATGTATTAACTCTTCTGGATTAAATATCTTCTTCAGGAAGGATAACCGATGCTCATCATTCATGCACGTAACCAGTGCGAGACAACTGGCAGTATACCTAAGAAGCAAAGGCAGCTCAAGTACTGTTACATCTTAAGTCTATAGAACTAGGTTCCTTTCAGAGAAAAACAACAAAAGGCTATCCTGTCCCTTCAAATGGTCTGTTTGATCAATGGTCTTCAATAAATGATTTGGCCACTGATGCACAGGTCTATGTGCCAACTTAAAGTGGGCCACACCAATGGCACTACCACCATTTTCATTCTGCCTTATAGTTATTGCATTTGTAAGAGAAGAGTGATGGAACAGGACAAAAAACAAAGAACTTGGATGTAGGTCTCACAATTTAGTGTGGGGTTAATGTCAGCCCCTGGGCCTGAAAATTGAGGAGCAGTAGTAGGCTCTAAGAAAATACACCCAATATGACCAAATCAATCTTTCTTCATATTTAACTCCGGCAATTTTAGCCTCAACCTCTTGCCAGAAACTGCTCTTCTTGTCAATAGGAGGTCTAATGTAGGCCAGTAACCATACTGTAGGTTACAAATCCAACTCAAATGTGGCCAAGTCATTCTCTGCCCTTATTGCTGTACTGTACCTTACTTTCCTCATGAGGTATTAGTAAGACAGCAATAAAATAGTCCCTACTACACACTGAAAGTGACATATAAAATTAAACGAAAATTAAACTTACCATCGAACTAAAGTATCATGACTCCTCAGTAAAGGGACACATACACTCCAGTCCCATAACTCTCTGAATACAGACTGCTCTTTTTGGAGGAATTTGTAGGCTGCCTCCATGAGATCCCTTAACTTCATTCGTCGTCGCCCATATCGAACCATATTTGTATCTGAGCTCTCCAGAAACAGTCTTTGGAACACTGGTGAAGTATCCTTAAAGTATCTCAAAGCAAATCTACATGAAATGAAGATAATGAAAGCAAATGTAAACGTAGCTAGAACAGCGAGGTTTCAGCTCATCTGATGAAGCAGATGCTTACCTATTAAAGTCCTGACACAAATAAGAATGCTAAGCTTTTCTGAACTTGGAAAGAAATTGGCAGAAAAACAAACACAAAAAAAAAGGTCCTAAGAAAAGTTATGGTCTTCTTTTCAGCAAATTGTGTTTTAATAAAAAAACTGAAATCCATCACCACTTTTTTCAGTTCCTTAGTTTATCAGAGATTAAGGTCAGCCTGCCAGCTCTGTGAGTGGGGTGGGGTAGGGACAACTGGTTGGAAGTAGTATTCTGGACTTGACACTCAAACAATAGCCTGAAGACACTTGATGTAGACCCAGCTCTGATCTCACTAGTAGCAAGATAGGAACAGTATGCATGTTACTCAAAACTCCTTGGATAAAAGTGTTACTTCTAATCTAATATGGGGATCTGTCAAGAGCAACTTTCACTTAAACCTCTCTCACTGAAGCAAATAATGCACACACACACCCCTTTATGTTAAAGAAGATGCAGGTCTAACTGCCATTCAATCTTTGTATTCCTCTAAACTGAAGCTTGGGTTACATCACCCTTATTGTCCAATCCTATGCATTTTATTCAAAAGTATGGCTCGCTTCCAAGTAAATGTGCACCTAACAGCAGCTTTAGTTGCAATTCAGTAATTGCTGAATTGAGCATGTAATAGAATACAAGGCCTTGGTTTAAAACAATTAGCCAAGCAGATACCCTTGACATGTGATACAAAAGGTATGCACAACTGCAAATTCCTGCAGCACACCTCGAAAAGGGATATGGATCATGGAAACTGGGCTCACTGCATGACTGTATGAATGTAAATCCAACCTGAACTGGCTACCATGTGCACCAACCCTCAGCTTGTCCACCAAGCAATTCCCCATGAAAGCAAAACTTAATCCCAGACATCTACTGACTTACGGCATCACATCAGGATGATCACCAATAAGTTTGCTCATTGCCACACAGAGTCTCTCATGAAGATCATGGTTGATCTGGCCACTGGATTTAAGGATTTCTGCATTTCTTTCCATCAAATCGAGCAAGATTGGACGAAACTGACGGCCAATTAGGAGTGTGCATTCTTTATCCAACAGTAACTGTGCTAAGGCACTGAGGATGCACTGACGGTCCTGCTGACTCCAGATCTGAAAACAAACAGACATTTAGTAAAGTGGTCCCCACCCCCATTCTACTGCAGTACAAGTCAAGTTGTGTATAGAAGAGACTTTAGAGCAACATTCTTCAACTTAGGATTCCCAGATATTGTTGGACTACAACTCCCATCATTCCTGACCATTGCCTAAGCTGGCTGTGGATGATGGGTGTTGAAGTCAAACAGTATCTGGGAATCCAAGGTTGAAGAAAACTGCCTTAGAAGTACAACAAAAAAAGGTGAAAAAGATTATTTCTAAACCTCCATAGAAATAGGATAAAGCTAGGAGGAAGAGCTGAAGAAGAATGTGGAAAGCAAGAATGGGAGGGAAAGTTATTTTACACTTAGTGTAACATAAACATTTCTGCTGTTCCCCCTTTATTCATTCTACTATGAGAGACTTAGAACTGCCATACAAGCCTTACTAAAACGAGTGACTGGCAGCCATATTTGTTGAGTTGCTTCTTATAAGCTCTTAAAAACTTAAGGTTACTTTTCTTGCAGACCTTTAAATTGATGGTCACTGCCAGGCATGCTATCACACAAAAATAAACAAAAATGTGCACAAAGTTAATTTACAGCTCCTTTAAGGAAAGCAAACTGCCAATTCCACCCTTCCTTGTTCCTAAAATATAAAACAGTTTTAAAGTGTTTTTCTAACCCACCCTGAATTACCATGACAAGACAGGCTACATTTCTAAATGAATTAAAAAAGAAAGAAAACACGTGACTTTACTATAGGGTGGTATCAGACTGTGTCATACACATGAACAATTGCAAACACCATTTGCCTTGGCATTGGGGAGGGGGCAGTGAACTAGAGTATCCCATGTCTCTAACAACCTTCTGACTCCAATAAACCAAGTTATCAGTGTGCACTACATAAGGAATACAACCCCTCCCCATCATATTTTTAATTCAAGATTACAAATATAGGAATTTGGCTTATAAATATAGTGGGCCTCTCTGGGCTCTTAGAAATTCAACACAGAGACCCTTAGAACATGGATGGGGATCCAGGTGGACTCCAGTTCCCATCATCCCTGAGCACTGGCCATGCTGGTGGAAGCTGATGGGACTCAACATCTGGAGGGTCATGGGTTTCCCACCCCAGTCAAAGTATTGTACAAAATGAGTTCCTAAAAATTCGATGTTAGCTTAATCTAAAGAGTCCCAAGGACAGTAGTTAGGGAAGAAATTTCTAGCCCTACCAAGAGTAACATAACAGAATTAGGAAAGATGGAGATAACTTTTGTTTTCATTCCTTGAAAATCTTTGAATCTTTTGACAAAAAACCCCAAAAAACAAATTCCAACCTTGTAAAATCATTTCTAATGAACTACTTTTCAATGGGCACATGAATCAGTTCTCTGTAAACACTATGGTACAAATCTGATGGAAGGTTTTGTACCCAATGAGATATATTTCCCTGAAACAACACTGCAAACTACATTTGGATCACAGTGATGGGAATGTAGCTACTCAGAAAAGTGCTACATAAAACAAGGGGACCCTTGTAAACAAGAACAGCACTCTGTGGTCCAAAGAGAGCAGATAACCTTTGCCCAAATGTTTGCTCAAGCTCTATAGTAAAACAATGAGAGATGGATTAAGCAAGCTGTAAAAATAATTTGTTGTTGCTGTAACCAATTTGCTACAAAGCTTGACATCTGTTTGCCCCATCTGAATGTATGATTAGGGGGGAAGAACAGTATTTTAGCGGTTGGGAATATTTATAATTAAACTAATTTTTGCTGCAAGCACAACCTCTGTTTTGTTATTGCTGTTAGCATATTACTATTTCGTCAATTAAAAATTACCTAAATTTAGATTTCCACCTAAATTCTAGCACAGTGGTTCTCACAAGGGTGTGGTGACTCACGCTGGTGTGGCAGGAAGATTAAAGGATTATCAAAGAAACATTTAAAGATTTCAGTATTGTACAGCATAGCATTGAAAAAAAATTATTTGCACAATGGGGATAGATATAGTTTAAAATTGAGAACACTAGAACTGACTATTCTTCTTGCAAACAAGATATTAGTTAAATTAGCTCCCCCTTATATTAACAGTGTGTTTAATTTTAAAGCAAGCCAAATTAAGCTCCAAATTAAGCAACTGCAAATTTACTAAAGAGTTAATGCCAGTATGAAGAGAAACTAAAATGCTGTACTAAAATTGAATTATTACCCCTCATCTTTACAGAGCTTTGTAATCCACAGGCCTTCAAACATTAGTCTCTCTTTTATTACACAAAAAGCACTTTGTTGAGGATGGAGTAAATAGTGAAAATCACCAGCAGTCTCAGGCTCCTTAACATGCATTCATTTTGATATGCAAATATTGTATACCACGTATGTGATCTGAGCACATGGGGACCTACACATGACTTTCATATTTCGCCACATACCGATGTGCTTTCCACTTACAACGTTTGCAACAGACTGAATCAGTCCTAAATCTTTTTGTTCGTGCAGATGACCAAAATAATTTATTTCTCCAAGATTAGCAGTTTCTTGAATGGGACTAGAAGTACACACACACACACACACACACACACACGGGCCATAGTCAAAGGGGGTGTGTGTGTGTCAGTATCTCTTCCCTTTGATCATAGTCAGAATACTTCTTAGAATTCCTCAAATGATCTATTACTCTTTTGAGGTTGAATGAAAGCCAGATACACACACACAGAACATTTTACTATTTGGAGAATTTAACTCTTCTCCAGCCTCTTTCAAACTACTTGTTGTGACCTTTATGAACAAATGTATTGGGGGAGGGGTGCCGAACTGGGTCTTTGCCCTGGTGACAGAAAGCCTAGTTTCGGCCCTGCGTGCACACACACACTATCCTTTAAGTGGTATAAGAATTCATTTAGAGGAGGGGCTAACAGTATTTTTCAACTACCCAAACTCAATGGTGGAGGCGTGTGTATAGTATTGCAAATTTGTAAGCAGAGAAGTATCAACTTTACAGCAACGAAGTGAGAAATCTTCCAAGTATGGATATACATTTGAACAAGGCATCATTTCCTTGCAGTTGGAAAAACAAAACAAAAACACTTTAAGTATACAGATAGGATTGTGCCAAAGTATATTCTTAAAAACAAAAATAAAAAAACAACAACAGGCAATACAAACAGACGAAGCTGCTCGGCGATCCAGAGGTTCTCCTTACAAATTTAAACCATCTCCACTCTGCTTGGGTCTTTTAAAGCGCTGGCTCATGGAGGGGACTGTGCCGCACTCTCGCCTCCTTTCCTCCCCACCTCCCGCCACCATGGGAAAACAAAGAAGGCAAGACCCAGCTCTGCTCCCTCTCCCTCTCCAGCCAGATCACCCCCTCCGCCCACAAGGCACTTTGAAGAAACGGCGCACGGCGGGGGGGGGGGGGGTCGAGCCAGCGAAGATGGACGGCCAGCCCCAGGCAAAGGCTGCCTGGCTGCCCCCTCCCCCAGCTCGATGTCCATCACCGCCCTCCCCCCACGATTGCGGAGGGCGAAGAGGGCGCCGCCACCGCCGCCGCTATTGTTGCTCTCCCACCTGTTTGGCGAGGAACCTGCTGAGCTCGCCGCTGCTCCTCTCGTTCTTCTGCGCGACCATCTGCAGCGGAGCCGCCAGGCTGAGACGCAGGTGCTCCATTGCCTCGGCCTTCCCGGAGCAGCTCCCCTTCGCCCCGGGACCGAGGTAACGGGCGGTGGGCGTGCGCGCGCGGAGGCAGCCAGCTAGCGCCCTCCGCCACCCGCTGCTGCTGCGCGACACGTGGGGAAGGAGAGCGACTTTCGTTTTCCCCGTGTATATGTCGCGTCATCTCCCGGCGACAAACCAAGGCGGAGGAGGGATGGTCTCGGCCTTTGCTTTTTCACCCGCCTCTTGCAGAGACACACACGCACAAAAACTACTCATCCCAGCATGCACGGCGACTTTCCTTCGTAGCAACTCTCTGCATAGTTTCGAGCGTTGCGCGCTGGGATAAATAGGATTTCCTTCCTCTCCTTCGCTGTAGGCTGAAGTTGCGCGGGGTTTTTGCGCCAAGTCCCTCAAAAGCCGGGTTTGCGTTAGATAAAAACAGAAACGCCGCGGCTGCAGGGCGTTTGGGCTTTAAAGCACTGGGAACATCCCACTGGGACTTACTTCCGTACAAACAAACAAACAAAACAAAAATAAAATACAAATAAAATAAAATAAATCCTTCCAGTAGCACCTTGAAAAATAAAGGTAAAGGGACCCCTGACCATTAGGTCCAGGGTCGTGACCATAGCACCTTAGAGACCAACTAAGACGAAAGCTCATACCAATAACTAACTTAGTTGGTCTCTAAGGTGCTACTGGAAGGAATTGTTTTATTTTATTTTATTTTGTTTCGACTAGGCAGACCAACACGGCTACCTACCTGTAACTAAAACAAACAAAAGTGTGCTGATAAACAACAACAGCAACAAAACCTTTTCCCAGTTAGATGGAGCTACATCAGTTTCTGTTAGAGCGAGGAGAGAAATAGGTTTTCAAGGGTGGCAGGAATAGTTTGAAAACAGCATGAAGATACACAGGGTTGTGGCCCTCTAGCACTATACTGTACTGAACAGCTGGGCCTGTGTTTGGGGGACAAAACATCAACAGCCCAGCTAGTCTTATGGAAAATTAAGCTTACAAGTCCATTGATTTCTAGGCAACAATCTCTGACACACCTAAACCTGCACAGGACTGGACCGCACAGCTGCCATCTTAAACACACCAGGGATAAAGCTGATTGGAGTTTATTCAGACTAGGTCCCAAATAAATATACAAAGGGTTAGATTGCACAGAGCGCCTTAAATGGTAGTGGCCAAAAGCACTTTGTTGCATGAGAACAAGTTTGTGTGCCAAAAGACAAAGTTGCTGCTATCAAAAGTACTGCTGTTGTAATGAACCTTAAAAACTATATGGGATAGCTGGAACAAAGCCAACAAATGACAGTTAACTTTTTAGGTCAAAGGAGATCTGAAAATTTACAATCAATCTTTTTAACCACTAGTTGGTACAAGATGTAATTAACTGTATGTGCTATAGCAGCTATACAGTACATGACAGTATGTCACATTGAACTCCAGGGCTTTCTGCTGAGAAAGCATACATAAAATCCAGTTGCAAAGGTCTTATCTCATTTGCGGTGTATCCAAAACCACAAAAAATTATCCAACAGCCAACTTTAGTCATCCTTTCCCCTTGCCCTTTATCTAGGAGATGAAAGATGGATTGCTAGATACATTTTTTAAAAATGCTGAACCATTGCTCATTTGAGGTCTGTTACTTACACCAACAGCAAATAATCTAGCAACACCTTGAAGACTTAATAGTGATTTTAGAATGCTGTGTTACTTTTATTGTTGTTAGCAGCTGTGAGCCCGGCTTCGGCTGGGAAGGGCAGGATATAAATAATTTATTATTATTATTATTATTATTATTATTATTTCCTCAGAAGCTTCACTGTACCCAGTGGGCCTTACTCCTTTACTTGTAAGTTCCACTGAATTCAACAGGGCTTACTTTTGGGGTTTTTTTTTAAAAAGGGGGGAAAGGTGTTGGTACTCACCATGAAGTTGTTACAATAAGTGCCACACTTTTAACATTTGTGAGGAAAGGTGTTGGTACTGCGTACCCTTGAGTACCCGCAGAAAAAGCACCGGGCATGAGCTTCTCCATAACCCTACGCATGTTTATTTGAAAGTAAGCTCCATTGCATTTAACGGGACTTTCTCCCGGTCCTCGTGAACAGGACTACAGCCTTTAAGAGCCCACTCTATGTCACATATTTGGGGTATGCCCTCAATAGACAGCTGACAGAGAAGAGTTTCTCTGTCCTCATGCACGTCTAACAGCTGACGTTACCGCAATAAGGCTTTTGGCGAAACAAACAAACGCTCCTCTCTGATTAAAGCGAGCTCTGCGGCTGCGCCAACCCAAACTTCTGCCCCGGCAAAGGTATCAGCCACGAAACTTTCTGGTGGCTTTGCAGTATCAAAACACCGACGGCGGCTTCAGGGCTTGCGTTTGCATATAAAAACAGAAGCCGCCGGGTTGCTCTCGAGAGCAAAAGCAGGCGCCCCCCAGCGGAGCCGCTCGTCGAAGCAGCTCCGGCGAAGGAATCCCGCCCCGCCTGCATCCCGAAGGGGAGGGCCTTGACGCTTCCTTTTGGCGCCAAGCGTTTCTGTGGCAGAGGAGGGAGCTGCTGACGTCGAGGCACGGCGCGCGCCCCAGCGTCTCCGGTGATTGGCCGGGCTCTTCCGGGCGCCACCTCTCCCGTTTGGCGGCGGCGAAGGTGGCGGTGTTTTGGGGGTGGGGGAAGTGTTGTCAGCGAGAGAGGCAGCGGCGGCCGCCGGCCGAGGGAGCGAAAGTGAGGAGTAGCGGAGGCCGCACGGCGCGCGTTATTCCGGTTTGTGGAAACCAGTGGCCCGGGAAAGGAGTGGGGGGTGTCTTTCTCTCGTGGGGATCAAGCGGGTGGGAGAGTGGCTGCCTCGCCTGCCCGGAACCCCTGCCGATCCCCGGGGAGGCATTCCCACGAGCACATCTCCCGAGTTATCTATATATTGTCTTTCCCCCGAATGGCATCATAGCCCACCCCCACCAGCATGTAACTCTTCCCGCTCCCAGTTCCCACGTCTCCCACTTTCTCGCCCCTGCTTTCTGCAAGGGTGGGGGTTTGGAGAGTGGGGGTGCCTTTACGGCCCTCCAGACGTTGCTGGACTACAACTCAAGCCATCCTGGTTTGTGGTGACTGGGCATGTAGTCCAACAGCAGCTGGAGGTCACTGGGGTGAAAGTGGGGGCTGGGGCTGCCTTAAGGCCTGGTCAGCACCCGAAGAGGGAACGAGGGGGTCGAAGTTCCGAAGTGGTGGACTTGGACCGCACCAGTTTAACCGGAGAGTGGTGGTGGGTCATGTTTTATATCGCCACTTAGTTCTGCTTTGGGTGCAATTTGCCTTCCCACACCCCACCTGAGTTCAGGACTAACCTTGTAATGCTAAACTTGTCTGCTGAGGAATAATTCAATGTTGAATTCAGTGAGGCTTGCTCCCAGTTAAGTAGACTAGGGTTGTGCATAAGTGCACAAAGAACATGTGCAGAGTGCCTTGCTGTTTAGTAATGAGAAAGCACTTTTACCTATCGTGGTTAAGAGTGAAGACTGCTTTTCATTGGAGAAGACTTGTTTGAGCAGTAGGCCCTGTACTTTTTCATAGGAAGAATTGTATACAGTGGTCGCTCCACTCTGTCCTCTTTGGAGAACTGCTCTTCACTTGCTCTCCCCCTCCCCTCTGACTTGGTGGACAAACCACAAGCCCAGGTTCAAACATAACCCTAAGCCAAACCATGGCTTAGGCCAGAGCTTTCCAAACTTTTCGTGTTGGTGACACACTTTTTAGACATGTGTCATTTCGTGACACAGTAATTCAGTTTTACTAGCAGATTAGAGGTTAAATTAACCCATTTCCAGCCCTGGGAGCATTTGCAAGACACACTCAACACAGTGCAGCCGACACACTAATTTGTCCTCACACACAGTTTGGAAAGCTCTGGCTTAGGCCTAGGTAGTGTGATCAGGGGAAGGAGTGCTTTGTCTACAATCTTGGTTCTCATTCCAATTTATGGTTTGCTTTAGCACCAGGGGCGAAACTAGGTTTTACTTCACCTAGGTCAAAGACCCAGTTTGGCACACACCCCATACACATTTGTGTATACACACACACACAAGCTGGGAGCCTCAATTGCGCCCCTCTGGTGGCTTCACCAGGGGCAAAAAGATCTGACTAGCCCCCGTATAGCTACAACACTGCTTAGTGCTATGGAACTGTTTGTTGCAAAAATAAATGCTGGCAATCTCATTCACCTGTGAATATATTTTTCCCATGCTGACCACCATCTGTGTATGCAGGAACACTTGTGTCCCATTGTGAAAACAGAATAAAGAGATCCATCTTTCTCTGATGGATTGCCTTCTATATTAATAACCTGCATGTTTTTACTTAGGCTAATCAAAATCTTTTTTTGTTGTCAAATGCAGATGGAGAATACTAGGAAGAGAGTATAATGGCAACAGATGATGATGACGATGGGATAACGTTTTCTAATTTATTGCATGGTGGTAAGTTTTTTTGTTTGTTAGTTTTAATCAGATTATTTTTACTTAAAAAATAAATAAATGTAGGGAAACTCCATACCAAGGAAGAAACCCTTAAGAAAAGTTATATATGGACCAGTATATGTAGCTCCTTGTACAGCACAGTTGACTGTCATATGTTGTGGCAAGAGGTGTTGCTGGTCATCGGAAGAGAGTTTTCTTCCTGCATTGCTGAGAGACCCATCATATGGTTTTCTAAGAATCTGATCTTTGGGAGCAGAGTTGTACAGACAAACATTGGATGCCCTCTTAACTACAATTTTAGGCTCTGCCCCATTTCTTCTGGCTTCATAGAATAAGATGGATACCATTATCGAACAAATAATAAGGACCTAGATATTACTGTTATGGCTACGTTTGATGCTGTATTATGTTTTTAATGCAAGAAGTTATTTCTGACACAAAAATGGCCTATTTTTGTCCCTTTTAATTCTATAAAACCCACCGCTGAGGCTACAATTTGAAGGGGGCGATAGTGCAAGGGGAGAAGAGCTTCTTATTTCTTTCATCTCATAGTGATTTTCTACTAGAGATCCTTTCTAGTGTATTTCTCTTGTATTTCACCATTACTGCGTACGTAGACTGGGTGAACTTACATATTATTACTTTATTCTCTTTATTTGCAGTTTCTTCTCAAGGAGTAGATGATGATGAGAGTTCAGTGGATATTTATGATGGATTAGACAGCTCTCCAGTTATTTCTGGTATGTTCATAGCTTTGTAACCAATGGCATTGCTCAGCTGAGAGTAAAGCTCTCTGAAGCAGATTTATGATGGACATGGGGGTAGGGCTTCAGCGGGAAGGAGGAACCACTGAGAATTCACTGCTTCCCTTCCTGTTCCACTGACAGAAGCTTTCAGCTGAGTTGGATACAATCCATAGTTATTTGGTTATTTAATTATACATTGGAGAATTTTGTCATAAAAGGTCCTGTATATATTCATCCTGCTGTTAGGATAGAGCATTTTTGTTTTGGGTTTGTTGCAGAAACAATAAGTATCTTTTGCACTTCAGAATAGGAGTAGTTTGTATTGACTCTTAAGAGATGGCTTTGATATGTAATTTGAGTTAGCAGCTGCCACAAATAGCATTTTGATCTAAGTAAAATTTCTTAGGTGACAAGTTGCAACCATGGCTTATTTGGAAGGACTTCAGGGGAGAGATAAAATGTGCAGAACCCGTTGCTGTATCCTGGAACATCGTAATACTATACATAATTTAAAAACCTGATGGAAGTTGTGAAACTGAAACTAACTTTCACAACTTTACATGGGAGTAAGCCCCCACTAGATGCCTAGTGCGTCCTGCCCCCCGCCCCCCCGTCCCACATAGGAAACACTTTTGAAACTGAGAAAAATATTCAAAAGCAGTTTGATGTGGCATAGGGACCTGCTGTTCGAAAGAAAAAAGCCCTGTTTAGGGAAGTTTTTAATGACGGATGTTTTAATGTACTTTTAACCTTTTGATGGAAGCCGCCCAGAGTGGCTGGGGAAACCCAGCCAAATGGGCGGGGTATAAATATTATTATTATTATTATTATTATTATTATTATTAAAGTAGCTCTTTCGATCTTATCTAATGGAAGAATGGGTACAATGAAAAAGGAAAATATTCCAAGTAAAACTCTCTCTCTCTCTCTCTCTCTCTCTCTCTCTCTCCTCTCTCCCTGCTCTCTCAGTCAAACCTGCTACAAAACTGACCACATCAATAAGTAGTTTAAACCTATTCGATGAGATCCTGATTGAAGAAGGAACAGCAAAGGAAGCTACTTACAATGATGTATGTATTTTGAATCAATGATATGTTGGTGAAATGTGATGAAGTTAGTTAGCAAGTTAGTTAGCAAGGTGTGTGTTTTAAATTCATCAGTTCAGCACATTTTAGTACACTATGTACTATCAAAACATTTTAAAATCCCCAAACACCCACTTTACTGAGCAGTCTCAATTTATTGAAAAATTCGACATGTGCATCAGGAAATCTGTGATCAGTCATGACACAGACATTTTGTAAATGCATGTTTGGAAGGTTTTCCTGTTTGTGAGGGAAATTTTATTTACTATTATTTTAATGTAATGACTTTTCTTGCATATTTTAACAAAGCTGGATTATTATTATTACCCAAAGAAAATTAGGCTCACTTAATACTGTCTTTAATACAAATGTGAATAATCCTGTTTCAACAGTTGCAGGCTGAACATGAGAAATGTCAGCAACAACTTCAAGAGTTGACAAGGAGGTTTCAGCAAATACAAGAACAGGTAAAGCAGCATTAAGTGGTAATTTATCCATTTTGTATCCTGTAACTGAAAGCGTTCTAGAAATTTCATATACATCTTCCAATTTGTATTGGTTTGCTGTTTTGAGGTATTAGTTGTGAGTGTATCTTGTTTTTTAAATAAAACAAAATAATAAAATAAGAAACAGCAACCACAATAGTAATATTTTAAATTAGTGAGGCTGTGCAGGGCAGCTCTGTCTCTGTAAGGACTATTAGTATCGTAAACGTATTTTGCTTTGATGCTTATTGAAAATAGTGCTTTTTGTATGAGGTTGCAGCACAAAGTCGGTAGGGCATTTTGAAAGTTCTTTGTGAAAGTTAACTGTGATTCATTTAAATGAGATTTTTTCCTAAACCGTTATTGGTGTTTTCCTTCTCTCCCCCAATATATGCAGATACAAGTTCATAACATGTATATGTCTCTGTGTTCTTTTAAAATTAGAACTCTGCTCTGCAAAATGAAAACCAGTCTCTTAAAAAGAATATTTCCGCTCTTCTAAAAACAGCTAGAGTGGAAATTAATCGCAAGGATGAAGAAATTAATAGTCTCCAGCGAAGGTATGCTTTTTTCAGGAATGTCCTCTATTGTCCAAATATTTAGAAGAAAAAGAAACAAGACACATTTGAAACTAAAAAGTAGAAGATGTTTTCTAAGCCTATCTTTTTTGTAGTTAAATTTAACAGACACATAAACGTTAACTTGCTAGATATCAGATACTCATCTTCTGAAAAAAAAATTCTGCTAAAATTTGAAGTGTTTCTTGAAAAAGGTTACCCACACATTATGTTCATAGCTTCATGCTTGCTAGCATAACTAGTGCACAAAGATGTGGAATGTTTTCATTCTGTCCGGTATTTGGCCGGTGATGGTGCTAAGGTCTTGTGGTTCAGTTGGGTGTTCATTTCAGTGGTGATCAGGGAAAGTGTATTTTGTTTTTAAGCTGACTACTGTGGATGAGGGACGCGGGTGGCACTGTGGTCTAAACCACTAAGCCTAGGGCTTGCCAATCAGAAGGTCAGCGGTTCGACTCCCCGCAACGGGGTGAGCTCCCATTGCTCAGTCCCATCTCCTGCCAACTTAGCAGTTTGGAAGCACATAAAAATGCAAATAGATAAATAGGTACTGCTCCGGCGGGAAGGTAAACAGCATTTCGGTGCGCTGCTCTGGTTTCGCCAGAAATGGCTTAGTCATGCTGGCCACATGACCCGGAAAAACTGTCTGCGGACAAACACCGGCTCCCTCAGCCAGTAAAGCGAGATGAGCGCCGCAACCCCAGAGTTGTTTGTGACTGGACTTAACTGTCAGGAGTCCTTTGCCTTTACCATTTTACTGTGGATGGACACTTTTAATGTGTTGTACTGTTTTGAAGTGTGTTTTGAGGTATCTGCATTAGCATGTACTTAGGAAGTTGCTTTGAGACTTGTTTCTTTTTTAAGGAAGATACAAGCAAATTAAATGATGTTCAGTTCTCATTCTATCTTAATTTTAAAAGCTGAAAGGACCAGACTGGCTTCAACAAAGCCCCAAGCCATCAACATTTGTAAACAAATCATTGCAACTGAAGCATATCATTTTCATCTCATGCCAATAACATTGGCACCAGGCAAGGATCCCTGGGAACAGCACTCCTGAAACTGGGCTGCCCTGAGTAAAGCATGTGTTGGGTGATTGGGACCAGTTTAACCAGAGAGGCTATGAGTTAAGGCTCTCTTTTTCTGCCTATTTTGGTTCTGGTATGTTACTATATTAGGAAGTGGGGGGGGGGAGAAAACATTAAATGGGGACTGTCATTTCAAAAGGGAACGACAGCTCATTAGAAGAGCTCTCAACTGATTTGGACAAATCCTATGGGACCCTGACTCTCAAAATTACTGGGAGAAAAGCAGGGTTTGTGCAGGTTCTGTTGCTATGCCTGCTGAGGGAAGGGTGCTTAAGCCTGATTATATATTTGTCAGACATGGACTGCTAAATTATTGCTTTGGGCACGATTCTTCAATTAATGAGTGAACTTTTAAGCAAGAGTATTGTAACAGTAAGAAATGTGTGTTGCTCTCCCAAAGAGTTAGCTGTCTGCTGTCAGTGTAAGCAGAGATGCAACGTTGCCCCCTACCTTTCTTGATTCTAGCCTGCTGAGAGCAGCAGAGTGAAATGTGTGGGGTGAGAATATTCCTGAAGCGTGTGGTTGAGGACATGCTTTGAACAGGCTTTATAGCACCAATGGTAATTCCTACAGTGATATCCTTTCTGTTTGTTTGTATAAATCCTAAATAGAAGGTCCCCATCCAAACTGGTTAATCTTAACTATGCTTTGTTGATACAAGCCAACTTCATAAAGAATGCCATTGTGTGGACCTTTTCTTCCTTTAAAAGTAAAAGGAAGATTAAATATTTATTTAACACTTTTAAAGGCTTATTCTGGCTTGTCTCACCACGGCATTTAGATTTTAGTAGAATTTGGAGTTTGCTTAAATCTGAAATATCTTTTGAAATGTAGTATAGTAATACAATCTCTTTCTAAACAGGTTAACAGACTTTCAAGTTCATCCGAATAGAACATACTTCCCAGCATCAACTAATAATGCAAGAAACTTTGAGGGATCAAAACTGAAAAATAAATTCAGAGATTTAGTTCCAGAGAACAATTCAAGAACCGATTCTAGAACTACCCAAGCCCTGCCTAAGGACAAACCTTGCGGTTATCCACCTTGGGGTACAGAAAATAAGAAATTGCCTCCAGAAAAAGGAGACACTCTGTACGTATCTCAATCTCATCCTGAACAGCTTTGCAGAGATGGTACTCATGTAAGGCTTGCAAGTGTTGACAGCTCTTATGACAAAGAAAAAGGAAAAAAAGAAACGAAACATAATGAGCATCATAGCAGTGAGAATAACAACAGATACAAAACAAAAGCACACCAAAATCTGGGCAGCACACTAGAGGGAAAGTTGGATCCTCATGGAAGGTTGGAAGTTAATCCAGACAAAACAGAAAAAAATGGACTATGGAAAGACAAAAGGGACTTGAAGCTCAAAAGCAGCCCACATGCAGAAAAAAGAACTGGTAAGGTCCCTTCTGCTAGGGAGAAACAACCAACTCCTAAAGACACATCACTGTCAAAACCAGAACACTCCAGCAGTGACAGGAGTGAAAAGTCACAAAACAAAAATCAGAAGGACCTGAAACTGAGAAACAAAGAGGAAAGCAACAATGGACAAAAAAACAGGCAATCTGACAGCTATCTAGAACAACAAAGAACTGGCAAGGTTAGTAGTCCCCCTGAATGGAATAAAATTGCCAGAAGCCCTAAAAAATTAAGCAAAAGCTATGTGAAAGACAGAAAGAGAAAACATAGTGATTGCAGGAGGAACAAAGAAGCAAGCGGTCCTGTGCCCTGTGGAGGGAAACCTTCACCACCACCACCACCTCCTCCTGTTTTAAACAAAGAGCCGAAACATGGCCACCCTAAAGAGGATAGCAGTAAAAGTGAATCTGAACACACGCGTTCAAAATCGGGCAGACATAGAACTGAAGAGAAAAGGAAAAATGAGAGAGATGATTCTAATGAGGCCAGGACTTCTCAAAATGAAAAAAGAGAATCAAAGGAACCATCCCTCCAAACAGGAAAAGGAGCCATGAAAATTAAAGATAGTGCAAAAAGGGAGAAAAAGAAGTCCTTTCAATCAGTAGAGACTGCCAAGGTAGTTGAAGGCTTGGAGGAGCAGGTGCCTATAAAAGTTAGAAGGGAGGAGGAGCAGTCGAAAAGCAAAGACTTAAAACTGAGCTTTATGCAGACACTAAATTTAACCCTTTCTCCTGCTAAGAAGCAAACAGACAAATGCAAAGCAGTGGCAACGTCTACCAATAAATGTGGTACAGAAATTCCAGGTCAGGAAGTCATGTTGGTACCAGCTGAGGCTATTGGTGCTAATGCCATTAAGCAAACACAAACACCACTATCACCAATCTGTGACAATCCTGTTCAGACCAAATCGGAACAAGTAATGCCTCTTTCTGAGGTCAAAACGAAGGTGGGAAATGAGCTGCCAAAAACTCTAAACACAAAGCCTTTGAAGACAACCTCAGACCCACAAGATATAGCAGCGCAGTGGGCGCCGGAGGATGTGAAGCTCCTGCCTGAGGCAAAAACTGGGATGGGAGAAGCTGATGGAGTTGATAAGATGCATGTGGCTTCTGGTTTAGAAAGCCCCTTGGATCAAGACACACTTCCCGATAACTCTTTCAATGATGTGGAGACTATAAGTTCTGTGGATTTTGATTCTTTTAGTGTAATAGATGAGATCAGTGGGACAGATTCAGACTCACTGATGGACGAGAAGGAGTCCAGTAATTGGACAGGTGAAAATGTCTTGGAGGGTCCTGAAAAAGAGAACAAGCCTATGCCTCATAAAGCTACTGTGGAAGAAGGCAAAATACTGAGTGGTGGTCACTTGGAGCCAAGCTTTCCTGACCGTAACCATGAAAACCACTTGGAAACATTATACAATGAAGGGTTGAAACCTACATCTCCAGCAAGAGAAATAAGCACAGTTTCTGTTGATGATGATAACTCTATTCTGAGCATTGATCTCAATCATATGAGGAATATTCCAAAAGCAATCAGCCCACTTAATAGTCCAATGCGACCTTTGGCTAAAGTACCCCGAATGGAAAGCCCTTACAAAGGACCTGTGAAAAGCTATAATACAGGTATATGTTTAATATGCTCTGCTTGTTACATGATTTTTATTTGAATGAGGAACACATTAAGCATTCACACGTATACCGATGCTAAACATAAGTGAGTTGCAATTAAGTTCTGTTTGTTTTCAGTAGAACTTACTGCACAACTTGTAGGCAAGCGTGCTTCATCTGTGCAGTGCAATCCTGTACATATCTTCCCCATTGAGTTCAGTGGAGCTTTCTCTTTAGTAAGTGTTCTTAGCGTGTAGGAATTTACGACTGTGATCCCATACACACTTGAATGGGAGTACTAAATGCAACTTCTGAGCATCACACAAGATCATACTGCACAGCTGCAATTCACAGGCATTTTTTCTCAAGTTAGGTAACGAAGCTGCCTTATATTGAGGCTTTGCCCATCTAGTTCAGTATTGTCCACGTTGAGTGGCCGTGGCTTTACAAGATTTCAGACAAGAGTCTCTCCCAGCCTTACCTAGAGATGCCAGGGATTGAACTTCAGACCTTCTGTGTTCAAAGCAAATATTCTGACACTGGGCTACTGACTGTCCTGTTTAAATTCAGTGGGGAGTAAGACTTAGCTTTCAGTCTGCTAGCTCTGAGGGAGATATTTATTCAAACTGATTACATAGGAGGAAACTGTTTAAGGCAGTAGTGGCAAACCCATGACCTCTGATGCTGCTGGACTACAGCTTCCATCAACCCTGGGGCGTTGGGGTCCAACAGCATCTAAAGGGTTTCCCCACTCTTGAAAATTAGAATTGCAAGCCACGTTAAGCTACAGAGTGTAACCCACATTCTGGCAGAACTCTTTGCACAGTTTCTTATCCACTAGTTTTGGAGGCAGTATTAATTAAAAGTGCCTTTGGGCTTAATCTTGCAATTTCAAGATAAATTGCCATGGAACTTGATATATAAAAACTGTTTCCATGCTGAATTTTTTTTTTAAACCTAGCTCTTCTTCCAAAAGCTGCCTGTCCTCTGCTAAAATGCATCGCCTAGAGCTACTGGCACTTCTAAACAATTATGTTCACTGTTCTAAACTAAAATTGACTATTAGATTATACTGTCATTGGAATTTGTTTTGAGGCTTGCTACTTTGGGCTGCTTAATTAACAAATTGTTTCATTATTTCTAGATTTTGTTCCAGAAAATGCAGTTGTCTATCCTGGAAGGAACCAATCCAGTGAACTGAACAAGGAAAACCAAAAGCCTCTTTGCTCAGATCATCAAATCTTAGAGGAGTCTCAGCTAAGCATGTCCTCAGATGAATTAGAAGAAGGTGAAATTGTAAGTGACAATGATGAGCCTAAAATAGAAGCCAGCTCTGAAAATAGTAAAAAAACAAGAAGAAAAGCATCTCCAGATAGATCTAATTTGGCCAAGAGTACTTGCAACCACAAGGTCAGGACAACATCTTCCAGAGAAGATACAGGAAAATTGTCTTCTGGGGGAAAAAATAAAGAAAATCCCAAAGATGGAACTATAATGCGCTCCAATGAAGTAAAGAAAATTAAAACTGTGAGCTTTGACAGTCTTGAAAAAATAGTTCAAATTATTGTTGTACCTTCTACAGTGCATGAGTTCATGCAGATGCTGAAAGCTATAAGAAAGCAAGTACGGAAAAGCTACATGAAGTTTAAGATACAATTTCCAGTACAGCATTTTCATAGGATCATAGATTCAGCTATTTTGAACTTTACATCTCTGGTAAAATACCTTGACTTCTCTAAAATGTCTAAATCTAGTGAGGCTTTAAAGCTGAACCTCTGTGAAGTTATAGAATATAAACTTAATCGGATCAAAGAGAATAGTGCAATAGAGCATCTCTTTGAACAGCAGCAATCCGATATGAAGAAAAAGTTGTGGAAACTTGTGGACGAGCAGCTTGACTACTTATTTGATAAAATAAAAAAAATTATTCTAAAGCTATGTACCTTGGTAAGCTTTGGAAATGAAAGCGATGAAGGTAAGCTTGATAAAAGAAAGAAAGAAAGCCCCAAATGCCTTATAAATCATAAAAATAAAATTGACAGACAGAAATCAAAGAAACCAGCCTTAAATGCTAGAATGCAAAGGCCTGAAGAATGTGCCCCATCAAAACCAGTAGCAGGTAACCAGCTATTGAAGCGAGGTCACCATAACACAAACAAAATGAGTACACAGAAAAATGTGACAGCAAAATGTAGAAGTTCCCATACTGTTAACCCAAAACATTCTCGGACTGAAGCTGAACCTTTCAAGGAAAGCTCCATGTCAGACACTTCTTTGAACGGTGGAAAAAATGAAAATGAAAGATTGCATATGATTGGAGACTCTCACAAGCCTGATATTAGCTGTGGACCTCTCACAGAACAGCAGATGTCTGGCCTGACATTCAACCTGGTGAATGACGCTCAAATGGGTGAAATGTTCAAAAGTTTGTTACAAGGCTCTGACCTTTCAGAAAAAAATGGTGACTTTATCAATGACAATCAGTGGGAGTTCAGGACACCAGAAAAACACACCCAAGATGGCCAGAACTGTGTGAATGAGCCTCCATATGAGACCGAAGAGCAGATTCCAAGAGAGACTGAAGTTGAGTCAAGAGTACTAGATGGAATTAAATGGCCTATAGTTTCACCTGAAAGAGATTCAGCTTTTTTAGCTAGGCTGCAGATGCCAATTGATCCAGATATTCTTGATGAAAGCTGTATGTTTGAAATTCCTAGTAGTCCTGCTTTGAAGAAAGGTGAGGAGTGCATTTCAGAGAAACCAAAATCACTTGTCTCTTCTATTCTTCTGGAAGACCTAGCTGTGTCGTTGACTATTCCCTCCCCTTTGAAGTCAGATGCTCATCTTAGCTTCTTGAAACCTGACATGTATGGCTCAGTTCCTGAGGATGTTCTGAGCGCACACTTCAGTGAAGATGCCCATCTCGAAGAGGAGGATGCTTCTGAACAGGACATCCATTTGGCTTTGGAATCTGATAATTCAAGCAGCAAATCAAGCTGTTCTTCATCATGGGCAAGTATACCTCCTGCTCCTGGATTTCAGTATTGCCCAAGCCTTCCAATGCAGGCAGTAATAATGGAGAAATCAAATGACCACTTTATTGTTAAAATAAGGCGTGCCGCACCATCTACCTCACCAGTCCTTGAACAGCCTACTCTAGCAAATGAACCACTGACCTCTTCTAGTGGGGCAGGAAACAAGGAAATAGTGTTGGAAGAAAAATTAGATACTTTGGACCTCAAAAGCATTCCTTTGGAAGATACAGCAACATCTAAGGAAAATTTAAAGATTATTGACTCTGAGGGTAAGCTGAATGATGTTGGAGAGAGACAAGTTACTCATTTGCTGGGGTCTGAGAAGGAGCCACCTCTGTGCCTTGCAAACGATCAGGTTCCTCATCTTTCTGAACCCCAACAGGAACCTCATTCTGATGCCCCGAATGAGGCACTTGAATCTGTAGAGGACCTGTTCAGGAATGCCAGAGAAGAACGACCTTGCAATCTTGCAGCGTCTGAATTGCTTCAGGAGCGATATACTAATGCCAGTCAAACTCAAGGCCCTGATTTACTTGGGCCCCATCAGGTGTTGCACAGTGGTGCTGGCCCAGAAGAAGCCACTGATTTGCAAGAGCCACCTAAAGAACCAGGGACAACTTTAGAATCCTTGATTAAAACTAGCCAGCATGAGGACACACCTGAAGTGTTTACACTACCTCAGGCACACACCGTGAAAGTTTTTCAAAAAAGAGATGCATCTTGTGCTGAATTAGAACATTCTCCAATTAGCTGTGCAGCAGTTTCCCTTGTAGAAAAGTTGTCTTCTGAGACCCATTTTGATATATGTGTAGACTTGACTGATGAGACTCCCATAGAAAATGAAGTTGATTCATGGGATCTTACAGTGGAACGTGCTTCAAATGCTAGAATGGGAGGCTTATGTAAAGATAAAGAGGAGGAGAAGACAGTGAACCACCATGTAGCAGATGATCATCCAAAGCATGATGTTGAAGCAGTTGTAAATTTGACAGAGCATCCGCCTGACAAGTGTACAGCAGATGAGAATTTTGAAACAGGTACTACTCTAAATACTAGTGGCCTGGGATGTGAAACAAAAGAAAGGAAAAAAAGAAAAAAAGAGACAGAAGATACATCCAACGCAAAAAGACAAAGAAAGGAGAGTAGTGAATTGGCTTGTAAAAAAAACAGCAAAAGGTCTAAAGAGATTACTTCAGTGACCACAGACACATCCAGTAATAAAACTGCATCAGTCGGAGACAAAGATTCTTTACCATCAACATCCTCCCTGACACCCTCAAGTCTGTGTGCCAAAAACATCATTAAGAAAAAAGGGGAAGTTGTGATTTCTTGGACAAGGTAAGAATACAAAACCAAAACCAAAAACCGAATCAATGGGATGAATAAGGGAGGTCTGGAAGTGTATAACAGTTGGAGATAGAGTGATACATTTCTGCATTCTGTGGCATGGGCATTATTACCCTAGCAAACATTTTTTCTTGGTTGTACGTTCAGCTTTGTTGACCTGTCTCTTGAATCAGGAAAGGCAAATATGTAGTCTTATTTTTACATTGCAGTTGAAACTAGGTTTTCTGAACTGGAAGGTAGGGACAATAAATTGATTGAGAGGGGGAAACTTGGAAGCCCAAGTGAGCACCTGGTGGGTTGAATTGTGGCCTCTTGTCTTGACAGGGTTCATTGTATTGTGTATACTTTCTTTGTGGAAAATGTCTGCATTTAGCAGTAAATCATGAAGCCTAATATAGTCCCAAATGGAAATACTTGCTTTATTTCCATTTGCTTCATTGAGCAATGGTGCAAAGTAATTAGAAAGTATAAGCTTTTACTTTGTTTTACAAATATTTTTTCATATCTGAATGAAACCCAAAGGCAACCATTCAATCTGTTTTGGGTTTTTTGTGGGGTTTTTTTTTTTTTGAGAGAGAGAGAAAACCTGACCTCAAAGCCATTGAACAGAGTTTTTAATGTCTGATGTTTTCGCTGTATTCTGTTACATTTTGTTAGAAGCTGCCCCAAGTGGCTGGGGCAAGTCAGTCAGATGGGAGGGGTACAAGTAATAAATTGTTGTTGTTGTTGTTGTTAATTATTATTATTATAAGGTGATCATCACTGTTCCGAAGAAGCTTCAGAATGGCGTGAACATAATGGGTATCATCTAGTTTATAAGGGAGGGTTTGGGCAATTGCTATTAGCCTTCAGAATTCTGTTTGTCTTCATTAACAGACTTTTAAGAACTTATTTCGAGTTACAACATTGCGTGTGTGAAGTGCAATAGACATAGATAGACTTAGTTCAAAACAGTGTTCAGATGTTGAAGTTACCCTTGTATGTTTATTATAGAAATGATGACCGGGAGATTCTATTGGAATGTCAGAAGAAAGGACCTTCAGGAAAAACATTTGCTTCTGTTGCTGTCAGGTTAAATAAAAGTCCAGCTCAGGTACGTATTTTGGTAAGCAATTGTGTTTGAACCTCCCTCGCACACAAGTGTAACTGTGTTTCTGTCTGGTTGAGCAGTGCATATCTTCAGAAATATAACCCCATGACACTCTACTGAATTCATTAACATTTCTTAGGAGAAAAAATGTATCAGAAAAGATGTGTCAAAATTCAGATTGTTCTACAGACTAAAGAAATGATTGGTAGAAAGGAAGTTAATTTTTAAAATATATTTATATGAAAAGTAATATTACACCCATATAGGCTTTACATGTAATTTTATTTGATCTTATATAACCCTTTGGGTATATACCATGCCATAAAAGATATACATAAAGTCTGAAGTGGGGGCAGGGACTTGTTTATTCTGAGGTGGCAGTCTTACTAATGATGCTGCATGTGGATATGCAATATTCATACACAAGACAGGAATCAATAGATTTATACCTCTGGTGCCTTTATACTGTGGAAATCCTTTTTTATGAAAGCCTACATAACCCACTTTAGTCTGTTCAAGATGAGGGAATGTTCACATCTACATATACTGAGGCCATTCAATACATAATGTTGCTTCTCCATATTGGCAAGGGTGTCCTACCTGAAGTATGCACGTGAGCTGAGCAATCGCTGAAAAGGCTGGCAGCATTTCCATGATTGTAGTTGCACTTTTCAGTAATCAGAACTGGTGGGATATGTTCATGTTCATATCAGCACATGTGTGAGAAAAAAAGCATACTTTATTTTTAGGGAAATAACTTTTAGACTCTTTGCTTTCTCTCCACAGGTTGAAGAAAGATTCAAGCAGTTGCTGAAACTATTCAAGATGTCAAACTGCAGCTAGTGGCTATACTATTGCTACTAAGAATGGACTGCTATGAGTTTATGTGCACTGTGTGCATGTGTGTGTGTGTGTGTGTGTGTGAGAGAGAGAGAGAGAGAGAGAGAGAGAGAGAGAGAGAGAGAGAAATGGGACATGTAATCAAAGTCAGAATAACTGTTTGTTGCTTCTCCATTTAGGTAGACTTAAAATGCACCTTTTATGCCCACAGATTTCATAATAATGCCCTGCTTTCTCAATTTTTTTTGAAGGTATCAAACAGATCTGTTAGACCTGTTAGTGTCCTTGAGCAGCCTTGCATATTAGAGAGCACAGAGGAAACAGGAAGTGCATACAACCTGTCTTTCCTGTTACCTGAATTGCCTAGAGTGAAACTTTCATATCTCTCCTTAGACGTTTCATTTGGGATTATAAAGAACAGTTAGGGGAAGTTGAAGTGCAAGACACTATAGTACTTCTCGTTCCTCTGCATTCCACTGTGTCTGAAGCCATTATTTTATTAAAACTTTGGGGACAGCAGATGATCAATTCCTAGCACATGGGAAGTTGAATTCTTTGAGCTGAAACACCTCATGCTATTGATTTAAAAACAGACGGCGAACCTGTTGCCTTCCAGAAGTTGTTGGATTCCCAACTTCCATCAGCCCTTACCATTCTGGTCAATAGTCAGGACGATGTGCATTGTAGTCCAACAATATCTGGAGGGCCATAGATTCCCCACCCTGATTTAGAATGTCACAGAGAAATGTTGACCACTAGAAAACACAAGAGGGTTGGTTGTTAAACAACAGACTCCTCTTTTCTCTCTGTTTTCAGAAAGCACAAACACAGATTGTGAAACTTTGCAGTATATTACCCAATGGCATTTGTTCAAAGATGTACTGTACATACACTCCTTATTATAGATCATACAAAGTTAGCAAATTTTGGCAGGAATACATCAGTATTTGCAAGTGTTTCCTCAGATGAGCCAACACAATGGCAGCATTAGAAATAATGCTAAACCATGAAATAGGGCTTGTTTAACCGTACTGTGCACACAACTCAAGCTTTCCTGCTTCACTCTTCCATTAGTTCACCTGGGAAGCAAACCACAGGGCTCCTGGCTTAGCATTATGTCCCAACCAGTGCTTATGGTTTTCCCATCACAATAAACCATAGTCTGAAGCCAAAGTTTCTTTTTGCCTTCCCAGTCATGGTTTGGAGAAAAGAAACCAGAAGTGCTGCTAAGCCAGCCACTCCGTTTTTGTTCACCAATTTTACTAATGGGCGATGAGTGTGATTAGAGAAGCCATAATTTGTGGCTTAGCATTGCAGCCAAGCAGAGCAATTATTTGGAACCTGTATGCACAATTATTTGTATTTAAAAAGCCAACTTTTGCAATTAAACTACAATTGCCATTTCGTGTTAGCTTAAAAGTATTGCTTCCCTTTACAACATACTTTCAACATTTTATGAACTAAGTGTAGAATCCGAATATGTAAATTCAAAGGTGCTTAAATTAAGAGGTTCAAAATTTTAATTGCAGGTAATCTAGAGAAATTGATAGACACCTCTGCCCTAATAAGTCCTAACCTTTAGAGAAGTGAGGGTCTTGTTTTGGCAGCTATTTCTGCTGAACATGTGCACAGCAGGAAAAGCCCTAAGTGGCTCCCCAGCCTTTTATTTCAGAAAGAAAACAATCTTATAAAAAGGTGAAAACTCATTTCTTAAAGTCACTTACTGCCGTTCTGATCTGGATATGTGTGTTTGTGTGTGTAAATATTAGAGTTTAAACGAGACACTTCTGTAAATACCTGTACAGATTCTCTAATGTGTAAAATATTGTTCTTTACCTGAACATTTTTGATTACATAAAACAAGTTTTATTTTGTATCTACTAAATACTGCACACCATTAAAACCCCAAACTTTGTAAAATGAATGCACTTAATATTCATTAAACATTGACTTGAAGTGTTTTTATAACGTGTTGCTGTATTCCCCCCCCCCTTCAGTACAGGGTATGATACCTTATATTACATAAAGGGTAACATATGTCATAATATTCCAGTGCCAAGCCCAGCACTTGTACTATGTTCCACTGAAATTGAAATCATGGAGGCTTGCTTCGAGTGAGGGTTCTCTGATCTAGCGAGAGCAGTCTTCATCAAGATTCGCCTCTGCTAGGTCTCACATGCAGAAAATGGGCCTTCATCAGAGAGAAGCCATGTCTAGCATGTGCGCACGGCTGCATGCACGCTTATTGGTCAGTGCTTCCCGACAATCTAACCTATCCTTATCACCACTAGTGCCATTCCCACTACTCTCTCCAGCACCAGAGAACCACTGAGGATAAGAATCATTTCTGCCTAATCTTCTGCAGGGAGATAGTGGCATGGCTAAGCACATTTGATGAGTTAATGGCAAAGGCTGGGATTTCCTATCTCCTAGCTACTATACTAGACCAGGTAAATAATGGATAAATATGTGTGCATGGTGCTTCATTTGTGATTTTTTTCCAGTGTACCTTGCTCTCTTAATCTAACCAGCTCTATTTAGAGAACACTTAAGTGGCATCAGGTTCTCTTTGTGAAGGACAGTCGGTGGTTACTTCAAGTATTATACATATTTCCACCAAGAATGCCTTGCAGCAAATTGTCATTTACCACAGAAGTAGTTCTTCAATCATCAAGCGCCAAAATAAAGTTACGTGGTTTAAGAACTGGTGAATGGTGATGTTGAAAACTGCAACATTAACAAACCTGTGGGGAAACGGTTTTTTCTCTCTCTCCCAGAAGACATCATTTCTTAAAATTGCTGTACCTCAGTGACAGCACTTCAAAGGGAAACTCCGGTGTGAAATTGATGAAGTAGAATTTAGCAACAAACAATTCTATTCATTTTAGGCTAGCCTTTGCCAACCCTGGTGCCCTCCAGATGTTTTGGGCTTCCAATTCGATCACCTTTTCCTCCCTGTTGCCATTTTTTGTCAGAATCACAGTGAGCAAGGAAAGGGTTACACTTCCCCAAAATCCAATTCAAAACTCAGTTCCCCTCCCCACCGTACTTTTTTTTTAAAAAGACCTCAACATGGTACAGGTGACAGACATATATTGCATGTGTAGTTAAGCTGTGTGTGTATGTTTACCAACGAAGGAGGATACTTCATCTGACAAAGCGCTCTAGTCAATGAAATCTTATGCCGCTATAAGTCTGTTAGTCTTCAGTGCTGTAGATGGGTTTAAGGGCTCCAGTAGCCTCTCATTGTCAGATAATAATTTCTGGAGATGAAGTTTAATCTACAGCCTGCTTATCTAGAATAATCCCAGGAAGTCATTCGAGACTGTACCAGAAGTGAGTATTCATATCTTTTCCCTAAACCTCACTGAATTGCAATCAGACATAGAGCGGATCCTCAAAATATTATGCAGCTGCAAACACTGTTGAAGTGAATGGAGGGTTAACTGGAATCCTATGGCCATCATAGGCAGAGGTTGCCAAGTACCTAAGGCTATAGTTATACAAACAGCAATTCCACAAGCAGAAGACTTCAATATGCTTTCTCTTTCTGCTTCATGTCATACAATAAATGGCCACACAATTAACATAGCTGACTTCATAGCCCTGCTTCTTTTCATTAATTAATATTGTTGCACAGAATGAGGAGACTTTGGGATGGGAGTGGGGAAAACACAAAAGTGCTTATTACAGTTTTCTTTGATTTATCGTATTTCTATGCTGCTTTTCATTCAAATAAATCCCAAAGCGGCTAACAAATAATAAATAACAGTTAAGAGAATAAAATATAATGGAACACCACAGATACAGAAAAATCATAAAAAATTAACTGCTACTACTACTACTACTACTACTAATAATAATAATAATAATTGCATATGCCGCCCATCTGACTGGGTTGCCCCAGCCACTCTGGGCGGCTTCCAACAAACTATAAAACCACAGTAAAACACCAAACATTAAAAGCTTCCCTATACAGGGCTGCCTTCAGGTGTCTTCTAAAAGATGGATAGATGTTTATTTCCTTTACATCTGACAGGAGGGCATTCCATAGGCGGACTCAACTACCGAGAAGGCAATTACAATACAACAATTGCAATCTATAGTATAAAACATATTAAAAGCAGCAATTAAAACAACAACACACAAAGCCACAATTACAGCAAAGGACATATGATAACCAAATCAATATGGCACTTATAATTTATAGAACAAAATTAACAGAATAACAACTAAAAATATAAGTTAAGTAAGCTCTGTTAAGTTCACACACAAACTCCATGTCCCCATGATTTGTAATCTTTCTATTCAATTCATTAAAATACACATAACGTCTGTCTTTAAGCCAGCTCAGCCAGATGTTTGCCTTCCATTGTAGAAGAGGAAAGGAGATGAAGGCCATATAAGCATAAATGCTATAGCAATGCCAACCAAAACGAAACACAACATCTGTGAAATTCGATTCCTCAAAGCAAATTTTAAACCCAGTTTATTCTGGTGTCTCATTCAACCCCTCCCCTTGAGTGCTGTTCTAACCCGTCTGTCCCACTAGGCAATAGACTATGAAATCGGACATGACCGATTGATCACCAGGCATTGATTCTCATGAAAACTAATGGAATGTAAAGAAAACGTAAGAAGCCAGATCCGTGTGAAGAGGCTGTTTGTTCATTTTAAAAAATAAACTCATTTACCAGTTGGCTCAGCAATAAAGGCTAACATATTTGGGTTCAAACGAAATTAGCAGTGGCCTTACAGAGTAACGAAGTATGTGTGAAGCCTTGGGGGTGATTTGGTAGGACTAAAATAATTGCAGGATAATTCTGGCTGAAGGCACTGTCCTCTTGTCAGCCAGTCGATCAAACTCTGCCTGCGTACTTCAGATTCGTTTATTCTGTCAGCTACAGAACTATGAATTCTAGTCACCGTGTCAACCGTAAACTGTCTTAAGAGTTTGCTCTAAAAAAAAGGAAAAGGAAAAACTAAGTTTCTAAATGATGCTTTCTGGCTGTATACTCATTTTCAGGGTCTGATATGTTTATAATACTTGAAGAGGCTTATGAGCAAGAGAATTACTATTAAGGTAAGCAGCCAAATAATATCTGAACTTATTTCAAAGGCAAATATATGTAGGTGATTACATAGTTCTTATTTTTATTATTTGGTTTTTAAATGACTGCTTAGGTTCTGTTACGATTTTGCCATGTTTAAATAATATTTCCTTTTTTTAACCTTATCCATTTTTCTAATCTAAACTTTGCACCTGATTATATAAACCAGATGGGTGCTAAAACCATGAGGAAAAAGGAAGGTAACTGAAAAGTTGCAGCAGGTAGAACAGATTTTACATCTGTCCGTCTCAGCATTTCTTAACAAGGAAGTCTCATTGGGATCTTATGTGTTTATAATTATGTTCCTGGTTGAAACTTAAGTTAGAATCAAAGGAAAGGGTGTGTATAGGCATTTGTGTGGCTATTTTGTGGGTGGGGAATGGTGGCCTGCTTATGAGCACAGGTGGTCCAGCATCTATGCACTATGTGTATAGCTATAGTGTATAACTATGGTGTATAACTTACACAATTTGCTACCACAGAATGGGTATATGGGCATTAGTTTAGATGAGCTATAGGGGACCTGTGGGCCATTCAGACTTTGCAGGACTACAAGTCCCATAATCCCCTACTATTGGCAATAGTGTCTGGGGATGATGGCAGCTGGAGTCCAACATCTGGAAAGCCACAGGTTCCCCATCCCTGCTTTAGGTGTCTTTAAAGTGGGATTAGGCAAATTTGTGAAACCAGGATAGAACCTGATACATAGGGCAGCATACCTGTTGGTAATAGGTGCTGGGGATAGGCAACAGTTGATGCCTGTGACCTTCATGCCCTGCTTGTAAGCTTTCAAAAACAAACAAACAAACAAACAAACAAACAAACAGACAAACCCAAAAGCAATTTGATAAAGAATGTGGGGCTATATGCATTTTTAGTCAAACAAGTCAGATTTGTTCTTATGTTCTTTATTCATCTCCAAAATTCTCAGCTGATAGGTGGCACCCCTCAAACGTTCAGTCTACCAGATGCAACTTTTTATTGATATTTTGAGATGGGGTTGAATTTGTCCGAGTTTAGAAAACCAGGTGACAGGGAAAGGCAGAGGGAGGGAGGGAGAGAGAGAGAGAGAGAGAGAGAGAGAGAGAGAGAAAGAGACTAGCTGTTCCTTATTATTATTTGAAGCCTGAAGGTCTTCAACGGTGAAGATCGCATAAGAAAGAAAATAATGCAATAAATAGTAATGCCCAAGAGGATCCTTTAGGTTGGTGGATGGGGACTTGTAGCTATCCAAATGTTATTCAACTCCCTTCAGTCCCAGTCAGCATGGTCAATGATCAGGAATGTTATAGTTCAGCAATATATGGTGGGCCATAGGGTTCCCAACTCACAACAGTAAACACAGCAAATCTCATTTGATCATCCTATTTCAGTCAGTGCCAGCTGTGTCAAAAGGAATTAGGAACAATTTTAGATAAAAATGTGATCAAGCGCCAATGCCCATAGAACCGAACTGTAGTTTGGTATTTCATCGTTTAACACTGCATTGTTATTTGTTTCAGGGATGAACCCATGACTATGGGGGACTGGAACTTGCTGGGCAGCATTCTAGAAGAAGTACACATCCATTCTACCATAGTGGGCAAAATCTGGCTCACCATCCTTTTCATATTTCGAATGCTAGTTCTTGGTGTTGCAGCTGAAGATGTCTGGGATGATGAGCAAGCAGAGTTCATTTGCAACACAGAGCAGCCTGGCTGCAGCAATATCTGCTATGACAAAGCTTTTCCCATCTCCCTGATCCGTTACTGGGTGCTACAGGTAATCTTTGTTTCATCTCCTTCCCTCGTTTATATGGGTCATGCCCTTTACAGACTACGGGCCCTTGAGAAAGAGAGGCAGCGGAAGAAAGCTCACCTCAAAGCACAGCTGGAAGAGATCGAGCTTATATTGGAAGAACACAGGAGAATAGAGAGGGAACTGAGGAAGTTGGAAGAACAAAAGAAAGTAAACAAGGCACCCTTGCAAGGGGCCTTGCTGTGGACCTACATCCTGCATATCCTGACGCGGTCAGTCTTAGAAGTGGGTTTTATGGTGGGTCAGTATCTTTTATATGGGTTTCAAATGTATCCACTTTATAAATGCACTCGCCCACCATGTCCTAACACTGTGGATTGTTTTGTATCTAGACCAACAGAGAAAACTATCTTCATGGTTTTCATGCACAGTATTGCAGCAGTTTCTCTCTTTCTGAATGTTTTAGAGATTGTCCACTTGGGGGTAAAGAAGATTAAAAAGACCCTTTGTGGGACACTCAAGGAGGAGCTTGTAGCCACTGATAATGACATTAACTTTTCCAAAAAAAATTCAGTGATGCAGCAGATTTGCATCATGTCTAACTTGTCTCCCCAAGGCAGTTTTAAATTTATGCCAGACCAGCAAGTTGGGCTGCCAGCTTACTTGGCTCCCGAGGAAGGATTCACACCTGCTGAACAAAACCAGAACCCAATAAACGCAGAACAACAATGGTGCAGCAACCAGAGAAGCAGGCCAAATCAGCACCAGGGTCAACTCCACCACCTCTGCAGACATCTAGAACATCCTAATGAGTGTGATCAGCACCACCGACAGCTCCCCAGGCACCTCCAAAATCTCATGGGTCAGCGGCATGACTATCAACAACAGAATGAGTCTTCCAGCAGTGAGGATGTCCAGAAGCCATCACAGCAGGGCACCAACAGCTATCGAAAGAATGAACAGCATCCTCTAGAACATTCCAAGAATCCTCAACATGGTCCTAAACCTTGCATTATCTCCAGTCATATGGACAGCCCTCAAGGCATTCTTCGAAAGCATAGCCGGGCACTCAGCTGCAAGGACTTAGGAACTGATCACTGTGACTCTCCAGACAGCGGGCGTCATCAGAACCGCAAGTCTAGCTTTTTGTCCAGGGTGTTGTCAGAAAGCCAGCTGGACACAGACTCAGACACCTCAGACTCACGAAATGGTTCTGGCTCAGATGCCAAACACAGAGATGATAGCAGTCTTCCGAACACACCACCACTTCCTTCCGCAATGGGACGCAGAATGTCAATGGCAAGTAGACCCAAGCGACCTTCCTTCTATACCCTGCTAGTGTGAGTTATTGCTCCTTAGCATAGCGCTAGCTTAGGTCTTGGGCTTTACTGGTTCGTTCAGAATTGTGATCAAATAGAGCGGAAAATAATTTTGAGTTCTTTCATACCAAGTTAAGTCTTTGAGAAATATAACTGTTGCAGCAGAAAGGCATTTTAAAAACAAAACAAAATGAAAGGCATCAGACACTATGAATCTTATGGGGGGGGGAATTGGGAATGGGGGAGGTGCATACAATCAAATAGTGTTGCCACTGCTATCAATGTTAATATTAATGTAAAGACTTGTCTTCCACACGTGAACAAACAGGGTAAACAGTATTTCCCTGAATCCTCCTTGAAGCATACTTTACCCTATTTTTCAGTTTGGGAACTGAGGTTAAGGGCACCATGAAGGGTACATTATCTCCACAGCTGAGTAGGATTTTAAACTCTATTTTTCAGCAGTTATGAGGATGTGCCATCAAATCACAGATCAGCTATAAACTCACAAGGTGGTCTAAGATAAGCCAAAGACCTCTTAGACTCAGCTCCAACCTTTGATATGGGTATCATAACACTGGTCTAACAAAGCATTCTGAGGCTTGAAACCTCTTAGCCCCTCTGCTATATACATGGCTTCCATTGTGTCCTGCTCACAGTGACCCGTCTTGTGTGTGCACACCCTCTAGGGGACAGGAGGGTCCATTATCCCAGCAGGTGAATGTGATCAAGGGTATGTATGTATCTCAGAATTCCTCCCCAAACCATGATGCCACAATGTTATGTAGACACCATGCAGATCAATCAGCTGAGTGACCTTTACAGTCATATCAAGTGAATGTGACCTATGCAGTTAGAAATTGTACAGTAATAAAATATGAGTGTGGGTGCATTTCCAAGCAGAGATTTTCTGCTCCTTTATGAGCTAAACAAGAATTAACTGAGACTGGTCTCTTATCATGCGGTGATGCAGGCTTGCCTTCTTCTAACCTGTTCAATTGTCAGGATTCTGCCTCCATACTAATTTTGGCTGGTAATTGCTTCCAACTGGTAGTTTGAGCTAAGCATTACCACGGTCCTGCAACCATTCCAATTCAGAGAAAGGCTCAGTGTACGATAACACTTGTTTTCCTAAGAAGCATAGGCTCATCTGCCGCATAGTTAGGCGATGCTACCTGAGAGGTTCTTATGTGGCTGCCATGTGGTACTTTGTGAGTTTCACTTTAAATGCCTGGACAGAACCCAGAAAGAGGACAAGAGGTCATGGCTCACCACACATTCATTAGACTGCCTGCATGTTCCATGACCATAGGCACTGCTCCCTCTACATCATAGACAGGAAACTTATGCCCTACCCATATTCAACTCCCATCAGCCCCAGCCAGCATGGCCAGGATCTAGAGCAGGTGTGGGAGAACCTATGACCCTCCAAATTCCCAGCCTCATGCTCTATGGCAATAATGCCAAAGGGCCAATGGGAATCGTAGTTCATCAACATATCTATGAATATCTAGAAAAATCTGGAGGGCTAATGATTCCTCACACCTGATCTAGTAGGCTACAGGTGCTCCACCCCTGGGCTCCCTTTCTACCTCTGCACTGACAATGGGGTGGGTCAGAGCTTTAGCTGCCCATCTCATTCCTACCCTCAAAACTGTTTACTATAAAGATGCTTTATGTGGGGCTGCCCTTGTTTCTGGTCTGGAAGCTGTAACTTCCAGCGGCCAGACTGCTCATGGGAGAAAGCTACATGTTACTCTTGCTGAGAGAGCCGCACAGGTTGCCAGCTTGCTGCTGGACCAGGTTCAAGGTTATTGTGTTAGTTCACAAAGCCCTACAGAACTAGGGCCTAAAGTACCTTAAAAACCACTTGGTTCCTTAAATATTCCACTGCCAAGGGGGAATTTGGGTAGCCCTTCATGCCTGTCAGGTTTGGTCAGCCTTTCCCAGGCACCAAGCTTTCAGTGTTGCAGCCCCTACCCTGAGAAACTCCTTGCCAATGGAAGTCCCTCAGGACATCTTTGCTTCCTTTTAGATGTTGAAACCTGTACTGTTCAGACGGGCCTTTGGAACTTGATTTTGTTGTTTTTAACTAACCAGTTTTATTGATATGCTATTATAGTAGCTTATGTTTGATATGCTATTATAGTAGCTTATGTTTCCACACTGCACGCCACCTTGTTGTTTTTCTATCAAAGTGTGGTTTATAAATATATATATATTTAAATGGTTTAATGAAACAAACCAGGTTCAAACCTGGCTCACGCCACCCAGCCAGCATGACTGATGGTCAGGGTCAGATGATGGGTAGTTGTAGTCCAACAACACCTGGAAGGCATCTGTAGTTTAAATTAATCAGAGCTCCAAGTTCAGATGTAAGGGGGAACTCACACTAGCAGATGCTTCCACTGTGACAGGACATCTTAAACAAGTAAGATGGCTCACTTTCAGAGATTGGATATTGGGCCTTGTGGGCTGCTACATTCTTATATTTCTGAGAAAATATTATTTGTTTGCACTACTTACTATGCTGTTCAGCTGTTGACTGAGCTCTGCTGTTTAGGCAACAAGTGTTTATGTGGTTGAACAGGACCCAAGAAGTCCTGGGCAATTGATTTTCCTCTCCCAATTGAATTGTTAAAAGCCATGACATGTACAGCTCCATTTGCTGGATTGGTTGAAGCAGCAGCATTGACCAGCACAGCAACTGAAATGTGGCTTTGTTGCTTAGAGAATGGGGCAGACAGAGCAAAGCTAGTCCTGTCCTGCTACTCAGAAACACCCTGAGTGACAAGAGATTGAGGGCAGACAAAGGGAAGTACTTTGACACAAATTCAGAAACGGCCACTAGCTTAGATCGCTTTTTAAAGGGATCCTATAAATTCATGGAGGACAGATCTGTTATATCAGAAATGTGAAACCATTTGCATCCCCTGCCCCAAGGCACTGTTGAACCACAACCCCCATGATCCTTAACCATTTTGCGATGGTAGCTGCAGCTGATGCGCCACCACTTCCACATCTTCTGGAGCAGGGGTCAGCAAACGCTTCCAGCAGGGGGCCGGTCCACTGTCCCTCAGACCTTGTGGGGGGCTGGACTAGATTTTGTGGGGGGAAATGAACAAATTCCTATGCCCCACAAATAACCCAGAGATACATTTTAAATAAAAGCACACATTCTACTCATGTAAAAATACGCTGATTCCTGAACCTCCGCGGGCCGGATTTAGAAGGCGATTGGGCTGTATCCGGGCCTTAGTTTGCCTACCCATGATCTGGAGGGCTACAGCTTCTCCACCACTCTCATATTCTGAGGCAATAGATGACTGGAAAGTATTTGTTGGGGGCCAAACAGCAGGACAGAAGTACTGCTTGTGACTGGACTAGGCTGACCTTGGTTTAATCCAGCAGGGTGGTTGTTGTGCTTTTAAGATGAAGCACTGAGCTGGTGTGGCTGACCTGCATCCCTCAGTATATTGTTGGACTCTAGCTCCCATCAGTCTCAGCATAACCAATGGTTTGAGATGATGGGAACATCCAGAGGGAAACAGATTTGTCACTCCTTCACTAAACTGTAAACAAAACAGGTAAGTTAAAACTAAAATAATCTATAAATCTATTGAGAATGAACATTTCACTGAACCTTCTTTCTTCTTCTACAAGCCAAGTCAGTTTCTTTCTCTTTTCTCTTTCAGAATGTGCTACTAGAACTATCATCTATCATGAAAAAATAATGCTTGCTTAGCAGCACTACCAAAGCACAGCAGCAAATCCCGAAACCTGAAATATGAAGGTTAAAAGCAGTTCTCTCCCTTCCTCCTAGACCCTAGCAAATATGCTGCTTCAAGGTGGACAGCTATGGATATGGAATCTGTTATTTCTGACTGACACATGCATCTTGGCAGCCGCACGTGTGACCCAAAAGCCTCTTTCAAAACACTCCCATTTCCTCTCATGTGCAACAACTAGGAGCTGTTTAGTGTGTCCAGCTGCTACAAAACAGCATTCTTTTGTTCCTAGGAGAAGACTATGGGGGAGATACGCATCTTGATTTGTAGGACTGCCACATAGCTATCCAGCAGGAGCCCCGGTACACAACTTCAAGGCTGTTGAGATACAAAACATCTGTAAGGGTGGGATTGGCAGACAAGACTGCTTTCTGAAAGGCTCTCTTCCCTGCCCACCTCTGTACGCCCCAGGAATCAATGAATAAAAGATGAAAGCAGCATGCAGTAAGTTTTTAGTTCAATGCTGCAGGTTAACAAAGAAGTCTGAATCCATCACAAAGATGCACAGCTACCTCCCTCCCCAGACCTTTGGCACGCTGAATCTTATGATCTTGAAGGAATTGTCAGCATTACCTTGTTACTTGCCTGTTTCTCCAAATGTTAATAAACACGGGCTGAAAGCTTTTTTTAAAAAACAAAACATGACATAGCCTACCCCTGTTTTATTCCTTTAGCATAAAAGGGGACTAAAACAACAACTTAAACTGTTTCTACATTGTCTTTGTCCAGACAGTTCTACTTGCTGCTGCTTATGGAAAGGTTGGGTTTTTAACAACAAAAGAATAATAACGTCTCTTTCTGACTACTGCTGTTCCTGCCCTATATAGCACATAGGAAGTAAGGGTAGTCTTGCCGTAGAAAAGATACCAGTCCTGAAGGGGAAACTGTTCATTATCTGGGTGTTTTCTCTCTCTCCTCTTGTTCTTAAATAGGGCAGAGATGTCTGAGCACACAGATAGACTTAATGGAGGGGATAATAGATTCAAAAAATGGTAGGGAATAACTGCAAGGTCGAAAATGAATAGGCCAGATTGTTTCCAGCTATGTGTGGCAGCAAGGGAAAGATTATCGAGTTCACAACAGGGATGCACAACTCCCAAGGGTCACTTCAGTGCTTTTAACTAACTCAAGAGGCCCTCATTGCTATATCCTATGTGAAAAGCATTTCTGATACAAATTTAATAGTTCTTTCTTTCTTTCTTTCTTTCTTTCTTTCTTTCTTTCTTTCGTCATTGATTTCTTTTTCTCATACAGCACACACTCTCTTTATGAAATCCATTCCATCTTTTCAGTCTCACTCAAACACAAAAAGCATACAGAGTAAAAACCAACCCTTACCCCTTTGGGACAGAAAGAAAAAACCAGCCCTAGAAACCACAATAGATAAACGTTCAAACAGGCAACTGCAATATGGAACAAGTGAGTTTCTTCTTCTGTTCCAGTTATAATGGTGCTCCAATCAACCCTCCTCAAGAATGCACAATTGCTTCAAGCTGCACACTTAAATGTTAGGTTGAATAGGAAACATTAACTAAAGGATAAAGAAAGACATGGTGGGGAAGACCCACTTCCATGTTTTTCACAAGCTTTTAGCGTTTTCTTTACTCGTAAATGAAGATTTTTCTAAAAGATACCATGCCCAAGGAATACAGCAAGATAAATCACAAACTACGGTAAACAACTCTGTATTTAGTTTACAAAACCTAATTGACAATAATGTACAGCATGTCAACACATTCTATTACATGAGATCTTAAATAATATATACAATGCCAAAGTAATAATGACATGCGCAACTCAGTATTTCAAAGCCGAGCAGTCCAAATATTCCTGAAATAAGTCCATGTGAGCAACTCTCTAAATGCATTTAAGCTACCTGAAGGTGGCTCACACATGTATATTGCTTTATGAATGTTAAGAAGACCCCCATGTGAGAAAACGCTCATCAAAAGCTCAGACAGAACCTTCATAGTAGCTCACATGACCTTGGATACAATGCTTTATAACAGAGGCAGCTCATTTGTTCGGCTGCACGCCACTGAGGGCTGAACATGAATGTGTGATTCCATTAAAATTCACCTTAAAAGTAAGCTAAGATCATGCAAAGGTGAATTCTGCCCATGATAAAAGCCTGTGGCACCTACACCGATCTTGCTACCTGAAGTGCAAATGAAGACCAACAGTGAGCCAGTATGGACAATGGCAGAATGCCTAATCCCTACATAATGCTACATTTAGATGTAGTCTTGCAGTTTATTTAAGATTTGGTATCTAACAGCACAACCGTGACCATGTCTATTCAGAAGTTGTTGCTGGCATCCATTTGTCTTGAGAGACAGTGGGGTATGCCTCCGGAGGTGAAGTCACAGGTAAGAGCTAAGTGCAGGGTGAGGATCAAAGGAAGACAAACTACCACAGAAGGAGCACAACGCGTTCCTCCACCAATGGAACTATGCCTCCCCTAACACCCTATATACCCCAGAAGTAATTTCTATTGAATTTACTGGGGCTTACTCCCAGGTAAACGGGGTTAGGACTGCTGCTTTAGCCACCTTTCAGATTTGCTTGCTTTTCAATGAACGTAACATTAAATTCAGAGGCAGAGATCTACAATACGTAATGATATGTCTTTATTTCATCAACAGAAATGGTGTCTAGACAAAATTCAGTTAACACTATCAATTCAAATGAATGGAAAGGGTTTTCCTTTTCTTTGCACGATACTGTATTTACAATGAGTAAATGAAGTCTTAAATTTATTAGTTCATAGCAATGCTGTTTTTTTTCTCCAAAAAGGTAAAAATTCTTAGTAACAAGGAATAAGCATCAACAGCCATTTCATTTATACAATATAAATCACAAGAAACCACAGTCACCTAGAAAAAAAATAATAGACAAGCTTAAGAACTAGTACAATAAAATGATGCATTGAATTAAGTTACATTAATCGCATAGAATCTGTGTAAAAAGTATATAGAAAAACACCTGATGCAACTTGTTACAGTCATTGACCAGTTATGAGAGGTACAGAGGATTATACAGGTAGATATGTGTGAAAACTGTCCATACTGTCTGACCTGGGGAGGAAGAGAAGAGGGATTGCATCCCCTTGCATACACTGATAAAAACCCTGTTTTGAATATGGCCTCTGAAGTTTGTAAGGCATATAGTAGAGGTGCACTTGTATCCCACTGGTTCTGGAACAAACTTGGGGTGGTCTCCACCCTTGAAATAAAAAGTTGACCCTTGAATTGAATGGCAAAAATCAAGCATCCAAAGATCTCCAAAGTGTTTAGCATAATTTCTGATTGGAGGGATCCAGATATATTCAGTCATATCACAAGTAGTAAATATACAAGTTTCTGAAGCACACATCATCTTTTTTTTGTGACATTGCAAATGTAAGAGCTTAAACTTGCTTTCAAAACAACACACAGTTCTATGGTTAAGTGGGGTGGGTGAGGAAATCCCAATTAGATACTCAGGATGGCTCTCCAAATCTGAACTGACCTATTAAGACAGAGGGCTATGGGAAATCCTAGGCTGAGTTTCTGACTCAAAATTCCTTCAAATCAATGGATAACTAATTCCAGAATGAGAAACTGAGTCACATTTCAAACTCTGAGCAATGAAAAAAGTCGATTTCTGACCAAACTGCTTAAGCTTCTCGGTTCCAAAGGTTGCAGTCCTATGCACACTTAGCCAAGAATAAGTTCTATCAAAAAGGAAGCAAACATGCTGCAGAAACGTACATATCAATTACCACACTGCATAGGTGTCTAAACTTGTATGTAAACTGGACTTCTATAATAGAGCTGATGTTGTAATAGAGTTAATGACATGTCCAACAATAAAAGGTATTTAAACCAGTCATAAAATTTTTCTTTTAAGTTTGAGAAGGGAATTTGAATAATTAACGCTCCACCGGAAAAGTGGTTTCCATCACAATGGTAGAACCATATGAGTATTATAATTTAAAAACAAACACATATCACTAGTTTTAATGGTGTTTTTTTAAATATATAATATTGGTGGAGTGTAGGAAAATACTGTAATTCTTTTACACGGCAAGCAATGACATTCTAACTTCCAGAGAAAATTATAATAATTTATTAGTAGTCTACAATCCACCAAATTATAGATTTTAATATACATAAAATTGTTTGAATGGACTTAACATATGTACATGTACAACTCTATTCTGCAGCATCATTTGATGCCTGAGTCTTGAAATAATTCAAATATTATAAATATACATAGTATAAACAAGCAAAAGTACACACACTGATTTTATACTGGAGATAGAAATTAGCTACCACATTTTTAGCAAGGTTTCCCTTAGGCTACATCAAATCCTTTTTTTAATTTTTTTGTCCCTATCCACCTTCTCTAAATAGAATTTTAAAACAGGTACACAATTAAGCTGATGTAACAAAAATAAGGGGATAAATAAACATAAAACCTTATTATTTGTGTGTGAAGACTACCTCTTGGAGTCATTGGTTTGAGCTGGGTTGGTGAGGCTTGCATAGGCTTATCAATACTACCCATTAGGCCAGATGCTCAAGGAACACTCTAGCTTCATCGGCTAAACCTACATGTATTATTTTTATTTATTTTTAAAAGACACCCATGAAGATAAATGGTGGAATGAGATTAAAGGCTCTGGAGGTCTCTTTATTTTAGAATTATTCTGACTCTGGCATACAAACTTAAAAAACCCCAAACATATAGCAGTTTGTCACAATGCTTACCATATTCCATCTAGGGAAGAATTCGTTTTTGTTTTAAGAGCTCTGAGGAAAACTGAAATTCCACAGATGTAGCTTTTCTCATCACAGCAATGCACTGACGAGAAAAACCACACCTGCTGAATACCACAGTGTTCAGAACTCCTGTCAGGGGTGAAAAAAAGGCTGAATGTTTTTCTTTCTTTTTCTTAAAAA